TCACGGCGCCTGTCTCCTTATCGGCAAGCAGGCCCTTGTACGACTCGTATGAGGTGAATCGAATGGCCATCTTCGGGATGATGCCGCCCAGCACGGCGCCAAGACCCTTGTACAGACCCAGAGCGGTCTCCTTTTGCACGATTTGAACACCGGTGGACACGAACCCGCGCGGCTTAACCTGATCACCGAACATGGTCAGCAATTGGTTCAACTGCCAAATGGAATTTTCTCCAACTCACCCCAGGTGCTGTGGCTCTCCTTGACAGCTGCATGCGGACCTTGATTGTGTCTAGCGGATGGCACACGAGGGCCTCCATCATACCGGCACCACCACCAGCTAATCAGGCAAAAAAGTCAATAGCTGTTCACCATCCCAAAGGGTGAGTCTACTCTACCGATCAAGTTGACCGCGGGCGATGTGCGCTTCTGGTTGGCAGTCTTGGCGGACATTGTTTCAATATGCGTTGGTATATATGCAGAGAATTTGCACTTTTGTTCACGAAGATTTCACAGAAATTCTTCTATCGGCCGTCTCGGAAATCGATTTACGCAGATCTTCCGATTGTCGCAAGGGAAAGCCGAAATTGCGGAGAAGCGGAAGTATACAATCCCGGGGAATAAGCAGAGATAACCTGCAATTGGAAGAGATGGTATATCTGAAGTGTCTGGGGAAGATGAAGAGATCAATTGCAAAGATCTTTAATCTTTCAATAAGAAAAGAAAGCCGAAGTTCCACGGGTATATGATTCACAAGGCGAAGTGGCGGCCGGATTTTGTGGGGAGCTATGACGGGGAAGCGGAGGAAGCTGGACGAGCGGAAGTGTGTACTATGTATGACCTCCCACAGAATAAGAAGAACAGAGAAAAGAGAGAAAGAATAAAAGAGGTAGCAGAGTAAATGTTCTGCCGAGGAATATCTCTATATAATAATTAAATCCTCTCTGTACCGAGTACAAATTGTAGGGCTTCCCAAGACAATCCCGAGGCCTTCGGTAACAAGGGCGGCTCTCTATCCAACGCGGAATGAATCACTCCAGATCTCCAATGATCAGATTTCACATGTCTTTCCCAAATTGTCGTCATAGGTTTGGCAGCTTGTGATCGTGTTCTTTATCTACAGATTAGATCGTACAATGTAGGAAAATAACGTATAAAATGCCCGTACCTTACCCAACTACATGTACATTATCCTACACGCAACCATATGCCCCTACACTACATTATTCTGGAAAACCTCCAAGCTTTCCAGGGAGCTAAATTACTCCGGTCATTTTAGAACAGTTCGGGACTTGAACTTCGGAGGAAAGTAGCGAAATCGGCTGGCTATTTGCGGGTGATCTCGGGCCAACGCAAGAGCTCCCCTCAGCCGAGGTCCATATCCAGATAGGGTCATGGGACGTTCTGAGTCAGACGGATAATTAAAGTACTCGAAGGTTGGACGTGGGGCTTGCTGCAGGCTTGGCCGAACTTGGGTAAACTTGTCTTTATAGTCCGGGGGTTGTAGATTCTTATAGAATGGAACTAAGGGCAAGTCTTAAAGGTGGTGACGTTGAGAGAGCCGTCATTACATCGGAGGAACGTTTTACCGAAGACTTTGGTGGTAGATCACGTGGCACTGTTTATCCCAGCAGGTAAATCTTCTTCCCTCTATTTTCCCAAAATAGTAATACATTGTATTAGACTCTTATGTTATAGATTTCTCTTCATGCAGATTGTATGGAGAAAAGACGTGTATTGATTCCTATGACATGAATGGAAGCCATCTAGAAGACAGACTGGTATCTCGATAGCTCTGACCGGAAATGGTAACCAATGCAAATATACATTGCTCTTTTGCTCTTGAGACAAAGGAAGGGCGGAGAGAAATGACCTGACAAAGGACTTTTTAGGAGTGGAAGCTTCGTCAAGCACAGATTGTGAATATTGGATATCTATCTTGGCCGATTGAAACGGGAGTGGACGTTCAATTACATCGAGGAGGCGGGTGAACGTAGTGACTGACTTGTCCACATCTTGCTGCGTATATTGATGATACTTCCATGGAAAAGATTGGGAGTATGCCTCCTTTATTTTAGTAGACGTCCTGACTTTCCCTTCTTCTATCATTTCTAGGTAAGCCCCGAGTATCTGCTGGAGTGGCATCCCGCAGCCTAGATTGGCGATGACAAGTCTGCTAAACTGCCAGTCGGGGATGAAGGCTGCTAGTTTTGTATTTTGGTCGAATCTAGCACACGAGGATTAGTTTTTCATTGTACTTCCTTCTCTAAAAAGAAAAGTGCTCACACTATACCAACTTCCTCACCACACGTGTAACAGCCTGTCGCTTCATATAGATACACGAATCGATCATCCTCGTGATCGAGCAAAGGGTACTGGAGCAAGTTGTCGCTGATTTGTAGCCCCCTTAAGAAGTAGAAAAGCGAAACCCAGGATCATTATCTGACCACCCTTTTGAGGGAGTTGATCTAGCTGAACGGAGGAACTGGGCGAGCTTAGGAGTTAAGCGCGACTCAAAGCCAACTGGGGAATACTCCTCCCACCAAGTTGTGGATGGTAACAAAGCAAGGCCATGACCGGCACCAGTCCATGCATATTGCAGGATTTGATTGTGTAGTTCAGCGGATTGCTGAGGGTCGAAAGTGGAATGCGACATTGAAGACCTAACTCAGCAAGGCAATTTGAGTTGTGTAAAAGGGGAAAAGAAAATTCGAGATTCGAGATTCGGTTGGGCGCGCTAGCATCCTCCGGGACTGGGCTAGGAATCGCTACAGGTGGGCATCTAAATGGAGAAACAACTGCTGCGATTCCTATGGAAGAGATGGCAGACCGAGACGGAGAGGGATCTAAACAGAGCTAGTTATACCCCTCTCATGACTATAGAAAACATGATACTGCAGCAAACAGGAGAGAGAAAATTTCTATGCCAATTTTAACTACCTTGGTAGAATCTTCTTCATTATTTACATATAGGTGTTGATTGCTCAGAGATGTGCCGACCCGTCCTGGACTTGCGGATGTGATATACAAAGATGCAGAATATACACATGTCCATAATGATGGATACTACGGATGCACATTGTAACAGTACAGCGTATAGCTTCAAACAGATGATGCGATTCCTGCACGCGCTATCAACTCCGATATATCGGACTAAGGCCGATTACGCAATTTTCAACCCCGGCCCTACATATCCCCTACATACCCCTACAAGATCAGCTCAACTCTTATAGAGATCAAACTATCCATGGCGGTACAAAATCCATGTCCTCCTTCCTAGCTAAAACAAAGGAGGAAAAAATGGAAGAAGCCCGAAACACCTCCCAGCCGAGGTGGCAGCAACCCCTCAAGCGCCTCGCCAGTCTAATCCTCCACCAATGGCTGCTAATCGGGATCGGGATCGTGTGCGCTCTGGCATACTGCTTCCCGAACGTTGCCAAGCACGGCGGCACCATCCGCTCCGAGTACAGCATCATGTACGGCGTGATCGCGATCATCTTCCTAATCTCAGGCCTGAGCATCCCGCGTCAGAAACTTATCTCGCACGTGCTGAATTGGCGCCTTCACTTAATCGTACAGGGGATTTCATTTCTGTTTATCCCCGCGCTGGTGCTGGCCATCGTGTATATTATCCTCGCTGCGGATCTTGGGGGTAAGATTGATCGCGCCGTGCTGGCCGGGTATATTTTTACTGCATGTATTCCGACGACGATTGCGTCCAATGTTGTTATGACGAGGTCTGCGGGTGGGGATGATGCGGCTGCGTTAGTGGAGGTTCTGTTGGCTAATATTCTCGGGCCGTTTGTTGCGGCGGCTTGGACTGTTGAGTTGATGCCCAAGAGGGTGGAGTTTGATCCCTGGCGGTATGGGGGTGGGGATTTGGGGAGTATGTATAAGGAGGTCTTTCAGCAACTGGGACTCAGTGTGTTATTGCCGCTGTTTGTTGGGCAGCTGGTGAGGTGGACTTGGCCTGATCGCACTGCGTGGGTTATGCAGAAGACTAAGCTGCCTAAGTTGGCTACTTTCTGCTTGTTATTGTTGATTTGGTAAGTATGAGCTTTCTATGAGGGAATCTCCGTGTTTTTATTTTGCTTCCTTTTTCTAACCCAGCGTACCTAAATCTTAGGACTACATTTTCCTCCTGCTTCGCAACAGGGGCCCTCCAAACCCTTTCCGCGCAGAGCATAATCTTTGTGGTCCTATTCAACATCATACTCTACATCACCTTGACGGCAGTATGCTTCTTCTGCTCCAGACCACCACAAATTTTCAGCTCTCGACGCTGGTCCAGGCCCATATTCAAACGCATGTCTCCAGAGGAAACTATTGCAGTGTGCTTTTGCGGACCAGCAAAGAGCACCGCGCTCGGTATCCCGCTGCTCTATGCAATGTGGCAGCCCGTTGATCTCTTCATAAAAGCGAAGACATCGGTGCCGGTGCTGCTCTATACCACGGAGCAGATCTGCGTGGCGCATTTCTTTGTCCAGCTGTTTCGATGGTGGCATTCTAGAATCGTTGAGAAAGAGGATTTGGATGGCAGTACGCGCGACAATGTTGAGATTGGTATAGCTGAGGACTCGCGTGGAGATCACGCTGGACGTAGTCATGATGATATGACTGTTTGATACCCGTTTAGAATATTATTGTTTTCATTCCTCTGTGGCAATGGCTGCTCTGGACTGAGTCTTGAATTGTTTTTCCTTCTTTCTTTTAGCAACGAAACATATGTGTGCTAGACTTACTCCATGGATAGATACCTGGTGTAAACTTGGATATGCAAGAGGTAGAGCCAGCCACGTAACTACATATGTACGATGTAGTTCAATTGTCAAGATTTTACTTGTGTTTTGTCAAGTCACTATCATTCTGTTGTGGGTTGCCGATACGAACCACTTGCCGGCAAAACTGATCAAACTGCAAATATCATAGACTGGCATAGATTCTGGACAAGAAGTGGAAAGCCATTAAAAGTACCGGACACAAATGATAGCATAAAGAAGCTTTTACAGCCAAACAGACAAATCCTCCTGTCCTCTCTCGGTCTCTAGCTCGGCCAACCGCTCAGTAACCACCCCGAGCTCCCAGTGAGTACGGTCCATCACAGCCTGGATCTCGCTACGAACGGCCGAGATGGCCTCGATGTTACGATTTCTCAGATCATTTGTCATGGGAGTCTGGTAAGAGCGAGGGCACCGCGGTACAACGGCGTCTCCACTAGAAGATCCATAAGTCGGTTCTTTATTAAGGCATAGTATCTTCCTTTGAACTTCAATAATTCGGGCAGCTCTTACTTTCATAGAGCGTGCACGGAGTGCTCTTTTAGCATCCGTTCAAACTCCGTATGGCAGCTGTAGAGATTGTCAGATCAACCTATTCAGCAGATTCATGCCAATCACTCACCTTCATGCAGGGGCGTCTTCTTTCACGACAATAGTCACATACCGGACGGTCTGGTTTAATAGCACAAGCGTGGTCAAGATCATTTTTCATGCGTATAAAGCACGCTCTGCAGGGGAGCTTTGGCTTCTCCGCTGATGGAGCAGTGGAACCAGACGAGGGATTTGAACTCAGAGACTTCCCACGAGGCTTAAGTGTCCCTTCTCATTTTTGGTCATCCGATTAAAGTGCCTTATCCTGGGGATGGTCGTTATGTTCCAGTGCTTCGTCTTCTTCAATTTCATCCTTGAAAACGTATTTCTTGTCGTCCTCTTCTTTGATTTCATCCTTCAGAGCGTGTTCCTTGTCATCTTCAAGCGCATCCTTGAAAACGTATTTCTTGTCATCCTCATCCTCTTCTTTGATTTTACCTTGGGAATGTGCTTCTTGGTCTTCATTCTGTAAAGACTCGCCAATCAGGGTAGTTCTGGGATCAAGAGACGGTTTCTTTCTTTCTCTTTGATGGAAGGCAGTAAGATGAGGAGTTTGCAAGGCTGCGTTCATATGCGTGGTGCATGCCGTATTTATAGTCAAACCTGGGCATCTTGATACAGTTGCCCATGGATTTTGACTATTCATGGTGACAAATGAATTGCCCAGGTGTGCGTCAACTCCTTTGTTGGGATTTTATGGCTTCGTCCCTACAAAGAGTGTGTATCCCAGTCTCTAAAAAAATAATGCTATCTCTCACTTAGGTGAAGAGAATATAGATACCAGCACAGGTTGGACTGCACTTGGTGCTCAAAACAACTCCAATATTGCGAAGCAAGTTGAGGATAAGACCGCCAGAATAGTCTACAAGTTTGGCTTTTTACAGATAGCAGTGATGCACAACTTCTTCAACCCAACTCAAATTCCTGAATAGCCCCGAGAGAAGCCCTACGTTTACGAAGGCTGTCTTTGAAAATTGCTGGCTGAAACAAGGGAAAGAGAGACGAAATTGGATAAGAGTAAATGCAACCACACCCGGTGGCAGTCTGATATGTATGCATAGAATACATGAACATAGAGAATCACAAAGGGAATCACAAAAGAGACTTGTATGCAAAAACACCCCAGGAGCACTGGGGGGGCCAACTTGGTCAAGAAAAAAATATACATGATAACCATGCAATGTGCGTAGAGAGCTAAGCGGCCTATATCTCAAATATAGCTCACTTTGACTCCCATTCCAGCAGTAGCTTTGACCTTCTGCCAAGCGCCGTCTGTAACTCGTCGGACGCGATCACGCACACCCTGCCGACTCATGGCCATCAAAATGCCGATCACGAAGAGCAGGGTGCGCACTATTGACATGGGATTCCCAGACACAGTCCGGATAAGGTGACGGACGATATTGCGCAGTCCAGTGGCCACGGCCCGAGTTGAGCGACCCCGAGGCTCGACCTTGTCCTGCTTCTTGACATTTTTGGAGCTGGATGATGAGAGAGAAGTTCGTGACTTGCCATTTGGCGACTTGTCTGTCGATTGCCTGGCTCCTTTCCCTTTGGGAGAACCATGTGCGCGGTTTTTCTCAATTCCGTAGTCGACTTCGCTGGTATTGCGCCTATGCCCATTGGACTGTACTCGCGCAGCGGCTGCCGCTGCTTCTTCGGCTTCGCGACGTTCATCCTCTTGTTGCCGTTCAAGCTCTGCATCTTTGGCTCGCTGTAATTCGACTGCACGCATTTCACCCCGCTCTTTCTCTTCCTTCAGGCCCTCGAGAGTCTGTAGGAAGAGATCTTTGCGTTCTTCGTCGAGGACTTCGCTCAAATTGATGAATTCGGTCGAGTATTCCCACTCATCATTGCGGGGGAGGACGTGCAAAGTAAAGAGCTCGATTATCTTCACTCTGGCAGTTAGATCTTTCGGAGTATCGGCCCCGCTAGTCGTACGCATAGGGCGCTGCTCGTAATCATCAGACGCATCCTGTAGACGATCCGTAAGGTCGAAGTTGGGCTGTCCATAGGAGGAGAGGTAGGTCTCAAGGCGCTGTTGGTTCAGGGATTGCGAAGAGGAGTGGGTTAGAAGGAGGGTAGCACTATAATCGCATTGTTAGTACCTCAATGTGGGCCAGCGGGGTTGAAGTTGACTACTAACAGGTTGTAGACCACTTCGGCATCCACCGAACCCTCATGGCCTCGGTACCCGACGTCGACTACAATCTCCCAAATTGCGCCTTCCCTAACTTGCGAGGCAATTGATTTCCACTCCTTCAGGCCAAACTGCTTCTTTCCCTCCTCTGCACCGAGATCGACTATTGCGCTGAGGAGGGTGATGTAGAGGTTCCACACCTTGATCCTCCACGTGCCGGCCGCCGTGGCGATCGGCGCAACCGGTGTTGAGCTGTCGCCATTTGTGTGCTGGTCCTCTGGTGCTGAAGGCGTAATAAGTGGTTGGAGGTTTGTGAGGGCTTCTGGTAAGCGTCGTGTGAGGTAAAGTTGGGAGGCTTTCTTGTATGTCTTGGAGCACAACTTTGTGGGGGAAGCTGATGGGGCGTGAGAGTGAGTCGACATGGGGGATCCGTTGGCCATTGTGGAGGCCGAGATATCAAAAAGCAATGATCTTTATAAAGTAGTACAAAGAGTAAAAAGGAGCCCTGGAGTAATTATAAAAGGGAAATTGTTCTAGGAGTGTCGGAGCTGCGATCGGCTCTCTCGTTTCCCTCGGCTCGTCCAAGTCCGGGGTCGGTCACGGGACTGGCCTGTGAGATCTCATGTTTATCTCATGTAGACATCCATCTACTACCTACATATGTAGGTAACTTCAGATTCTATTCCTAATTTATGATTTATTTTACACATAGACAGAAGATGTGCCTCTGGAAATTGATCACCCTAGGTCACTCTCCGATGTTTCGGTTAATGCATCACAGGCTGGATTCAGGAGTATAACCTCTCTTCGGTCATTTATACGCTCCCAACTGAGGTAAATTCCAAGGTAATATAGATCTTGCTTGTGAAACTATATGCTGGGTAACTGAGGTAAGAGAGGAGGTATATTGATAACTGCGAAGGAATCATTGATGAAATGTACATATCTTCGCGACATCATCCATGGAGAAGTGAAGTCAGTGGTAATCCCCAGGACTATTTAAATACGTCGAGAACTTCGATTGTATCACTATTTATTCGGCTCTCTCTCTCTCTTCTTCTTCCTGTCCTCCTATCGCAACTCCGATCTATGAGACTTAACAGCCAAGTAGACCAGCAAACTTCCAAGCTCTCAGTCTTCCATCAGTTCACTCTTTCGACAATTTGCGCGCAGAGCACCCTTTCTGATCAATGAGCCTCGGATACCTGCCTTCCCAACGCATACTTCTCCTTTCAGCTTTCAGCAAATCAGGACTTCAACAAAGCCAATCAACAACTCTCTCTTCCTTTCGCCTCTTATCTTCATTCAAGCTCATACTTTGATGCTGTTCTCAGCTTCGAACCAAGATGGATGTCACAGCTGTCAATTTCCCCGAGTGTCTCCCCTCCATACTCAACGACATCTCCACCAGCTGCTTCGTGGCCGTAGACTTCGAGCTGTCTGGGGTGGTCTTCAAACCAGGTACACCACAGTCACGGCCCCAGACCGTGCAGGAGCGATACGTGGAAGCCAAGGCAGCCGCAGAGCGATATCAGATTCTCCAAGTTGGGCTGACAACTTGCCATGAAGACAAGGAAAATGGTACGAGACCAACTAATTCAAGATGTATCTCGCTAACCATCCACAGCCACCTACACCCTGAAACCATACAACATAAACCTGAGTCCAGTCACCCAGCATGAGATGGATGTGAATCGGGACTGGACATTCGGAAGCCGCTGTATGTCAGACATCTACGACGAATGTTTGGATTCTACTAATATCTTGTTGGGCAGCAATGGAATTCTTGCTTGCGAACCACTTCAGCATTGACCATATGTGCACCTTTGGTGTCCGATACCTGTCTCGAGAGGAAGAAAAACTGGCAATTAAAAGAGCTACGGAGAAATGTTACTCGCGGAACCCGGTCCAAGTTGCGGATATCAAAAAAGACGATCATGAATCTCTGGAGTTCCTTGAAGCCGTTCGGACCAGTATCAATGAGTGGCTGGCACAGGGTGAGGTAAGAGTTTATTTTAAAAGTTGATGTGAGCAAATCAATTAACACGTATAGAACCGTCGTGACTGGCTCAACATCCCACCACCCAGTAGTGTGCAACTCATTCCGGGCCCCATACCTACCGGGTTGAGCAGCATGCAGAAATGGCTGGTGCACCACCTCATCAGTGACGAATACCCTAACTTAACGTCGCGGGGTGCGTCAACGTTCGTCCAGATCGAATTCCGGGACCCGGGCAATGAGCAGTATACCTTCGAAACGAAACTGAAGGTCAAAAAAGAACGAGTCCGGAAGCATATTGGGTTCCGATGGATCGCAGAAGCACTTGTGGGTGGAAGCCTGGAAGAACTTGAACCAGATGCTTTCCATCCTCTGATGAAGATAATCGAGCAGCCGACGTTCGGGATCCAGCAGTTGGCAGACAAAGTGAAGAACCGGCTCAAGGAGAGCAGACCGGTTCTGGTCGGCCACAACATGTTCTGCGATCTGCTCTTCTTCTACAGGTGCTTCCTGGGCCCGTTGCCGAATACCCTCGCCGAGTTCCAGACCGTCATCCACGACCTATTCCCGTGCTAGCGGATACCAAGTACATGGCCACTCATGACTGTGGCTCGCTAAACCCTATGTCTTCACTCGAGGAGCTCAACACAACTTTAGCTGGAATAGAAAGCCCGAAGATAGGTAGGACATGAGTTATATTCTTGCAGCCAGCGAAACACAACTAACCATTTCGCAGAGATCGACCCTCGCTTTGGGAAGTACAAGTTCCGTAGGCGCACCCACGAGGCAGGATACGATAGCATGCTTGCCGCCATGGCCTTCGTCAAACTGGCAGGCGATATACAGCGCAGCCCTTCACAGCCGACTGTCAAACCCGGGCCACAGACGACCACGGCGCCCAGTTTGGTTGCCGGCATCATGGCACAGCCTGGCAGCAGCTACATTGATCCTGAGAAGTGAATTCAACAACTTCTTCGACGTTGACACTGAGACCATTCCGACAATCCAACCTGCCCAGATTGCTCGAGCTGGCGCATCCCTAGCCGACACTGGTTCTGGGCGTATCGCTCGCCTGGTCAACCAGGGTAAATTACTGCCGCGTCTCGGAGATGCCTTCTGGGATACCTACGGGAACATCCTGCGGGTGTTCGGTACGCAGGAGAGGATGGTGCAACTAGGACGGGAGGTGCCGAAGCAGGAAGAGCTGCTGGTGGAGGTTTGAGAGCAGGTAATTTATGGTTCCGGAGGAAGAGAGTGCTTACGGAGATGAGAGAAGACGGAGAAAAGAGAAGGTAAAAAGGTAAAAATGAATTTCTATCAAAGCACATAACTAGGACTAAAGGGGATGTTCGCGGCAGCTATCTAACAGTACGCCTTGATTTGTAAAAGAAGGTACCGCTAGCGAAAATTGGCCGCGACCTCAGGAGGAGCTCACTCTGAGCACCTTTAAATGATCAACCGGCCGTAGAGGACTGGACGCGGTGATGATAAGAGATGCTTGGAGAAGAGAAGAAGCGAGAAAGTCGATTTCCGAAATTTAAACCGCCCGGGCGGTGACTAAACCCAATCGGGCCTGGCGACAACGTGACCTGGTTGGATCTTTTTCTCGGGGAGACAAGACACCGATCAGCCCCAAACACATTGCCATTCCACCATTGAACATGTCGTCAGGATCTAATGGTGCACGGCGCGTAGCCTCGCTACTGCGTATGTCCAATTGAAGTTTTTCCCGGATTATTTACATCCAAATACTGACTCCGCGCGCAGGGCCATCAATAATCGACTCCGGCGTGTGCAGAAGCTGTCAAGAGACCCTTGGCCGCCGCAGCTATTCCTCCGCAGCACCAGCGATCGAATCGACCTCCGCCTCAACAGCGGCCGACCCAGCCGTGAAGCCAGCCTACATCATCAACGCGGGTGTAGTCCTCTCCCGCCCTCCCCAAATCACCCGTGAACTCGAACCGTTCGAGAAAGCGTTCTTTTTCTACCAGAAGCGTCTGAACGAGCGTCTGGCCCTCCCCTTTACGAAATATTTCTACTTCAAGCGCGGAACGCCAGCCGACGAAGACTGGAAGAAGAAGATCCAGGAGCGCCGGACTGCCGCACGTGATATCGGAAAGTACAACGCGTACGACAGCGATGCATGGAACGACGAGCTCCTGCTGGGGGCAAAGGAGTCTGAACCTGAACACCAGATTGAGGCTCTTGTCCAGGACGCAGAATCCACCGCCAATGCGACTTCCCAAGATACTAGCAAAAAGGAAGGAAATCCCTCGGCCGTACCCTCGGGTCACAGAGGCAGACAAGAAGAACGACCAAAAGAGTCTCGATCGTCTGCTCTCCCGCACTCTCTATCTCCTTGTTCAGTCTAAGGAGGGACACTGGAAGTTCCCCAGCTCGCCAGTGGAGTCGGGCGAGACCCTTCGCTTGGTAAGTGCTATACTAGGGTTCGAACCACATTGACTTTGGAAATTATACTAACGTATTATTTCCCCCTAGGCTGCTGAACGTACGCTCGCCCAGTCCGCTGGTGTCAACATGAACACCTGGTTTGTCGGCTTCCACCCGGTCGGATGGCACTCGTTCAACCCGCGCCGCTCGAAGAAGGCGGACAACGCAACCGAGATCGAGGCTCCCGGTAGCAAGGTCTTCTTCTTGAAGTCTCGTATGATGGCCGGTCAGGCCGATCTGTCTGTCAACACCCAGGGCCTCAAGGACTTCAAGTGGCTGGCCAAGGAGGAGCTCGCGCAATACCTGAACACGCAATACTACAGCAACATCAAGAACATGCTGGCCGACCGGTAAGAGGTGGATACCGGGAAGTAGCTGGGGGAAGCTGGACGGGAAGGAGAACGCGAGGTTCAAGATTCTTCGAATGGAGATGAAAAGACATACTTGTTCCGATACTATAGCGCGCCGTTGGTGGCGCATTGCATATACTCTTATTGCGCATGCCATGTATAACTAGAATTTTCTTACACTGTCAAATCAAATTCATTTCATTCCAATGTTATGTCGATCTCAATTCCGCGGTATCATCAACGCCTCCGAAACGCCATGCCATGTACAGAGTGAATCAAGTAGAACAACAGAAAAGGTACAAGCGCCTCTATCTAACCTGCAAGCCCCTATGCCATGTTGAACTTCTGTCCCTGAACAATAGGCTGGTCCTTGGCCGACTTCCCCGCCAAATTCTTGCCGCACATGGCACAAGCTAGTATCGATATCAGCATCCGCAAGAAACAAGCATAAAAGAGAAAAGAACAACATACCATTCCTCTGATAAGCACACCGCTGGCAAAACTTCTTCCCCTGCTCCGTCTTTACCTTGCAGTTATCACAAGACGAAGCATAAGCCGCATACGGGTTCTTTGCTTTCGCGCTGAGAAGTTTGCTCTGGGGGTATGTCAGAATGAAATTCATCGAAATAGTAATTCATTTTAATTCATAGTATCGAACGCCGAGTTTTGTAACATACCTTTCCGATTCCCGTGGCGCCTAACGTCGCCTTTCCCTTGTCTGCGCCGCCACCGAGTGTACTAGACGGCGAGCCGTAGTACATGTCGTTCTTGCGCTTGACGCCCGGCGTGGCGAGCTCGGTGGCTTTGAGCTTCTTTTGGCATTTTGAGCAGACCATTTTTCTTTTTCTTTTTTTTCTTTTTCAGCTGAGAGGTGAAAGAAAGAGAGAGTTGTTGATTGGGAGAAGGCTTGATGGCGAAAATGCAGATGATGTTATCGCGGGTTTGCGCCACCGCCTGGTCTCTTGCCAAGACGTTTTGTGTACTTGATTCTTTGTGTTTTATGATGCTCTTTTTGGATTTACTTTTGTTTTTTTCCTAGTTTCTGGGCTATAAGTACTATTCGAGACGTACTGTAAATATGGTTTATACAGTATTTCACACAAGGAGGCTCGCAGTGCTATCATTCGCATCGTATTGGGTATCAACATAAACGGTCGGTATACACATTAAAAGAGAGTATCCCTACGGATGGAAGCTCTCACTGTATCAAAAACAGGAAGTCAACTAGTACATCTCAACAGAATCCAACCTTAACTTCATCCTTAATGAGGAGAGACGTGGTGCGGGTGCGCCTGAGGCTGCGCCGAATGATCCCGGTAGGGAGCAACACCATATGACTGCTGTTGAATGGGAGGATACTGTCCTTCGCGGAACTGACCGGGAGGGAATTGAGCAACAGGATACTGAGGCTGGTACTGAGGCGCGGCATACTTTCGCTCATCGCCGAGACTGTGCCATTTGGCACAGCACAGTAGAATGCCAGTATAAGTGCCGACCCAGAGGATGAACTGTACAATGGATCTGGCAGTGGAAAGGTACGTTGGCCGATCATACTGGTAGACAGGTATCAGGCTATAGCGAATGTAAATGATGGCCACGGTGGCACACACTGCGCACCAGGAGATGGCGGCGGTGATGAGTGCCATAGCGGGCAACTGAAAATAGTCAGTTAGTGTGTGCACTATAGAAGATATTGTGACGGGACTCACCTTCGACGCAAAAGCATTATTACCAGCCTTGACAGCCAAGAAAATCACCCAAGCGAGGATCTCAGTGGACAGCACCCAATGGATGATATAAACTGCGCCAGCCACCTGTGTCCAAGTCCAGACTAAATCGCTGTAATTTCTGCTGTAATTGGAATTCACGGACCGCACATAATAAGCCACGCAGAGGCCCCATTCGACAAGAGACACCAGGAAGATGATACCAAGGAGGACATAATGGATGGTGGTCACTGCCATATGCGGCTTGCCGGAGGGTCTGGTAAGGCCCAGGAAGCGATGGACGAGCTCCCAGAAGACATAGAGGGTGAGACACATCGCGGCGAGTTTGAAGAAGTCCGTGAGCATCAAGCCGATCAAATAGTACATCGTCACCTCTGTCTCGGCGATAAACATGGCTTCCATGACTACCAAGCTTATCTGGGAGCTAGCGAGTGACCGACTGGTTAGCTAATTGTTATACTATTCCAGGTCTTTTCACATACCATATAAAGGAAGTCAGGGCACAAATAGCTCCCTTCAGGGCGAGACTGCGATTCCTGATTGTGCATGCCCAGATGAGGAAGGCGACAAAGGCGAGGAGAGATAGGACATCAAAGGCAAATTCGGCGATAAAGAGAGGCTTGCTCTGGTAGCGTCCTATTGACAGCAAGACCGTATCGCTCCATGGGTTGTCATCGCCATAGGAGCTCGAGTAAGAGCCTCCGCCGCCGCGTCGAGGAGCCATTTCTTTTGCAATGCGGTCTGCTTAGCTCTGAGGAATGGTTGGAATTTCCCCAGATTTACGAAATGGACGGCATTTAAGTAAACGGATTAGGGGGCTCAAGCAAATCATCTGGACGGAGCACTAGCCTGGATTGAGGCTTAAGGGTCACTCAATACGAAGCCAAGATGTCAATGGGGCGCATTTCATTGGCTCAGAGCTCATACTTAGCCTTGGAAGGCAGAGAGCTCCAAAATAAAATACGAGTTGACTTCGCCTTGTTCATTTTGGGGGATTTGGCCCCATTTTTGGGACCTGTACGGAGTACTTCGTCCCGTGCATGTTCGGCTAAAGTACATCGCACGCTAGCGCAGGGCACTGTACGGGAGTAGTCTCTGAGATTTGGAATTTAAGGGAAGAAAGAGGAGAAGGGGAGGAAATGCATTTCATGTTAGGCAGAGAATAAGAAGTTAAGTTGCGCCCGAAGATGCCAACACATCACCGTTAAATGAGTTGGAAGAGAAAGAAAGTCGATCAACAAACTAAAGCCTTGGCAGTCTATAAAAAGAACCATGTCAGCTGATTTGTTTACTTTTACGAGGACATAGGGAAGAATAATAAATTATAGATAGTTATAGGAGGGATATAGTAAAAGATTACATGTGGGGAGAGAAGGTAGGACTTATATTAAAGTATTATGTCCTATATGATAATATCTAACATCTTACATCTTACATCTAAGCCCCATGAAACATCCTTACCCTCTTCAGCCTCGTGCAGAATACATAAGTGGAGAGCAAAACCGCGTGGCTGAGTCTGCAGCAAAATCAAATCTGAAGACAATTTGCCTTTGCCTTGGCCTTTGCCTCTGCCTCGATTTGCCTGTAACCTGTCAAACCACCGACCAGGGAACATCCCAGGCACTTCTCAGCTCCCCGAATCTGAGTTCCACCCAGTTCATGCGTCCTGCATTGTTCCGATCGATCCTCGATGGGTTGAAGTATAATCTTTTTGCCATGTGGATATGAACTCGTTCCCTGGTTCTTTCATTCAGCTCTGACAAGTGTCAACTGCACACATTCGCCCTATTTCTTGTTTCATGTGCCCCCCTCCTTGGGTGCTTTGGGCCTAAAGGACCTTGAATTCTCCTCTCAGAAGCCCCATCACATCGTGATGGATCCTCCGCAGATGCATGGTGACCCGCCACTTGCGAACTGGCCCGCAGCCCATCTGTCGCCGAAGCGATGCAAGCACGCTTCTTGAGGGCCACGCTTGGCCACGCTCAAAGAAATCGACCATAAAGAACATGACTCAGGCGCCCCGGTGGTCCCAACAGCTTGGTTCGAGTCTCCAGCGCTCTGGTTCTGCTTCTTTAATAGGTCCTAGGGACCTACTAAGATCGTCCCCTAAAAACCATTAGGGGGAGGCCAACACTTGTTCTCGCCATATAAGTACCACGTAGTTCAATTAATTTATTTGCTCATCTTCTTTTCTCTTTTACTTAACTTTCCATTTGCTTTTTTTTTTGGTGTCCCATTTCCAGGTTTGGCGCAACCCGCATTCGGCGTATCCCAATTCTCGACTGCATCATATCCCAACAATTCTTTGGCCTTTTTTTTTTTTCGCCATCTGCTCATGCATGATTTGCCATTGCTCTGATTAGTCCACCCTGCTTAAACTTTAGAGGCAAATGCTGTGACCCTAGCGTCATTGCTGAAGGATTTAAGAGTTATCAACTACTGCATCCTCATCCGGGGTGTTCCTATTTTTGAGAGACCACAGTGTGACTACACAATTATTTTCCTTTTCTTTCAGCTGTTAAAAGCGCCTGACGACCCAATTCAAGAAAATCAAACCCCAGAAAATCAAAAATCAAAAAATGCCTCCAGATGGATCAACCTTCACGGCCCTAAACCTCCCACCGACATTCGAACTACCCCAATGCATGGAATACTTAACACTACGAGCGGGCCCAAACACAGACCTATGGCGCAAGCCCCCAAACGGTGAAACCTCCACAGCCCCGATCGTCTTCACATCCCTCCGACACGCATTCGTCGTAGCGGAAGTGACCGTGAGCGCAGATTGGGAAATGGAAATGGACCAAGGCGGACTAGTGATATTCGCCGGCGCAGCACCGCAATCCTTCTCCTCCGAAGTCGACGGACCACCCTTCCGCAACGCAGCACGCTCACCCTGCAAATGGGTGAAAGCCGGAATGGAGTTCTCGTCAGGGACGGTGAACGCGTCGTCCGTGAGCGCGACGGCAGATGGCGCGGACTGGTGTTTGTCTCCGCTGGCGCAGTCGGCACAGGCCGGACTGGCGATCCATTCGCTGCGGATCAAGCTCGAGCGTGTCGGGCATGCGCTGTGGATTTGGTACCAGGTTCCGTCGGCGTCGCCGTTCGCTCTGTCGCCTGGTGCGGTGGGGAATACGTGGAAGAAGTTGAGAGAGGTGACTTGGTTCTTTTATGGGGTTGAGGATAAGTTTGTGCATGTTGGGGTTTATGCGAGTCGGCCGATGGGTTTATCGCGTGGGACTATGTGGGATGCTATGCATGGTATGACGCTGGATACCTCTTTGCCGACGGGTTCGGCGGATGGGTTGTTGGTTGAGTTTGAGGATCTGGAAATCTTCTAGCTGGTGTGTTGCTCTCTTCTTTGTTTGCTTTGCTTTGGTGTGCTTACACTTCGGGTCTTTCCTTTTGTCAAGTCCTGGTGATACATATTCCCCATCAGCGTTTCATCGGTTTCATCGAGCGATTATGGCATGTCTGGAGTCGATTTTTTGTGGTCGTTTTTGCATATATTTCTGTTAACAAGTTGCGCGTTTACATCATTCAGATGAAGCTTATTTCTTGATGCACTTGAGCTTTCAAGGTTTGTTCCAACTTGAGTGTTCAAAGGTTGCCCAGATGTATTGACGCGATGAGTTGCGTGTCTGGTTGGCACGTGCATTGCTCTTCCAGCTTCGAGTTCTTCACATTAATATGTCCATTTAGTGATTACTGGGGCTTCTATTCTTGAGTTTGCTATATCATACTAATGTAAAGAGCGCTCGACAAGAAAGGAGGGGGAAAAAGAATGGTTACAACATAGTATGATTCGGTAGTCGCCGATGTATATATTGGATAAACCCTTCCGAATCAAGCCTGGAAACATTGTATATATAGTTTATTTGGACAATGCCCAGAAATCCAGGCGTCGAATATGCTCCCAACACGTAGATATTTCTACAAATCCAGTAGAGAGTAAATATCTGAAGACCCATTAGATATCGTTCAATGTCACTGACATACATCTGTATACTACTTGATATTGGCACTAACCGAAAGCGGACTAGACCGGATTCGTGGATAGAACGGGGAAGTAGCCGAACATCAGAGCTTTCGACTACTCGACCCCAAGCCAGTGTAAATTCATAAAACACCTAGCTCACAATGCAATATGACTTGCTTCACGCTTCAAATGCTGCATGCTGCATGCAGAAACCTGACCTCTGTGGCGGCCATGGAAATTCCAGGGCTGATGTCACACGCTGAGTCAGCTGACTACGGGAAAGCCGTTCCCGAGGTCCGGGAGCTAAGAATTTTCCGTCGAGGGTCTCTCAGCTCAATTGAGGCCCATCAGCACTAAAGATTTGCTGTAAAGTAGCTCGATAGTCTAATGAACCTCTTCTGATTTACTCTCACCGTCTATTGTAGGCCAATGGGTGGTGGTTGTGGCGTAGTTGCTCGTTGAAGAGCGGGTCAAATACTGAAGGACCCGTAGCAACATCCGCTAGAACGGGGATAAAACAAGCCCAAACAGAGTAGGAGCTGTTTATTTTGAAGATCGAGCTAGGATTCCCCCGGGTTATAGCTTTGTAGCTTGTCTACGTGGAGTTCTGAGCTTTCGAGCAAGATAGCTCGAGAAACCCCCATACGTGCATATTTTCCCATTCGCCCCATGGGGAAGGTGAAAATCTAGGAAGAAGGGAAGAGAGGATATTATACGGCCGTCAGACGCAACACACAGAGTTTTTGGTTTGGCTCTTTGATAGGTTGGATGGTCGATGGGCCATATAGGACTCTATATGTACAGAAAGAAAAGTGTTGTAGATGACGCTGAAAGTAGTACATGGTAATACATCACGACCAAATACCCTCCCCGGCGGAAAAAGAGATTCTCTCAAAAAACCCAAAATCCTTGTTTTGATGACATTTTTCCAAGAATCCGAAAACCCGAGTTGTAGATAATTTAGACGTACTTGCACATCATGGCAACCATGAGATCGAAGAGACCCATGGCCTCGACGAAGGCGAAGCCAAGAATGGCGTAGGAGAAGAGCTGGCCACGGAGGGCAGGGTTGCGGGAGACACTCATGAGGAGAGCGGCGAAGACGAGACCGATACCGATACCGGCACCACCGAGACCGATGGCGGCGGAACCCATACCGATGTTCTTGGAGACCTCAACCATGGCGGAGGCGACCTCGGAGGAGTACTGGCGGCGGGCGGCAGTCTGGAAGGCCTTGGCCTGGAGGAGAGTGGGAGACTGGATGCGCTTGGGGGCACCGAAGGCGGGGGCCTTCTGGGTGAAGGTGCGCTTGGTGGCAGCGTTGAGCTGGAAGCGAGCAGCAGGGCGGGCGACCTTGGAGGTCTGGGCCATGACGGAGGCCATGCGGGAGGCGAAGACACGAGAGGTGGCCATTGTGATGATGGGTTATAGAATTATAGGGTGGGTGGAAGAGAGGAGAAAGAAGGAAAGAGGAGAAAGATGGACTTTTCAGGGAGAAAAAGCTGGGAAACTACGGGAGACGGCACTCCCTAGGACATAAATACTCTACGGCCAAATTTTCGCCCGTCCGCCTCCTAGTCGGTCTTAGTGTATGTGTAAGGTAAAAAAAAGCCCTAGGTTGTGCGTGGACTCCGGAGTATTTCATACGCAAATCACACTATTTAGGAATGCTGGGGGTGGTATTGTTCTGTTTTAGTCTGTTTTGATCTTGTTTTTCATGTTTTATTTCCCATTCTTACCGCGTATTGCGACCTGTCGGGTTCAGTCGGGTATTGTTCCAACTGGGTCCACTGGGTTTTATTCGTGGAGGGTTTATGGGTCTTGGGACTATCTATCAGAATATCCCCTGCATGGGAAAGATGAGACTCTTCACTTTACAGGGGAAGCTTATGGAGAACCTGCCTCTAATGACATTCTAGATAGGGAAGTATGCCAATTGTAGAAACTAGAAAGCTGAGCAAAGGGATAAAATAAAATTACGAGGTCAACAGAATAAGATGAAATAATAATAATAAAATAAATTCCAATTCCCTTGCAGTGGATCTTAAGCATGTTCCAATCCACTGGATCGATCCACCCACAAGCTCCTTTCAACCAATCATAACCCCCTCGGGTCCGCTATGTTCCTAGGATTCGTTCCCGGTGTCGCCCAAACCGGCCCGACTCGGATTCCAGGTCCACCAACTACGGAGTCACTGGGCAACCATCGGTTGAAAGGAGACAAATAATGTGGATGAAGTGGGTATTGTCTCCCCTTCATCCCTTGGGAATCCACCTCACCGAGTGGTCACATTTGGAAAATACGTAATTCTGGACGGATCCGGTACCCCGAACACCTTCGGTCTCCTGCCTATGGCTTGCCGAGGGAAGCAAAATCCATGCATAGGACCTGCAGGTGATGTTCGATTCTTATATAAATTTATGGCAGGGGTGTGAAGTCAGCAGATCGGAAAAAGACAGGGGGAAAAAGGAGAAAAAAAAGAAGTCAAATTCCAGGTTGTCGTGTCCTTGCTTTCACAGGTCCACTTAGACTGGATTTCTGACCCGCCATAACCCGACTATCACGGTGAAAACTGGTCTTTCCGGATTGCCCTAAAGGAAATTACGGAACTTTCAGAGTAATGCGGTAAACTGTTACTCAACCTTCCCTCACCTTTTTGAACGGGGCTGGGGACCCTTATATAGACAGACCTTCCTCGAGCAAAAATTTTCACGGGCAAATTAGTGCTTCCCAATCGGGCTAACCAGAGGCTCTTCGCATTTTTCCCGGAAATTCGATTTTCAGCAATTTCGGTTGATCGCAGCTTGGCGGGACCCACACAAGCTCGATTCAGGGTGCAGCCGTTACGCGTTGTTCCTTGCCTGGAGCTATCCAGGCCATTGAGATGGGAATTGGGGATAATATTCATGCCAGATGTTGCAATTGCAATTGAGAACAGTAATTGAATATAAATAATTGAAGCTTGGAGAGAGCCAAGTGTTATAAGAAGTGTAATGATAAGGGGCTCCGGTGCCGGGTGTAATCGGGTAAAATACCATACCGTACTGGTAATTGCAGGCTCGGCGACTCATCAACTCATCATTGACCTGCTGTGAGGTCATGAGGCCAGTTGGCATATAACCCGTATAGCCTCACTGTATAATAGTGTACGCAGTATTGCCGTAATAGCACAAGACACACAGTATCCATAGCTTAGTTTCTTAGACTATATCCACTCTCTCAATTCCAACATAAGACCAGTTGTGCCCCCGTTAGACCACCTCGTAACTCTTTCCGTTGAACCGCACACAAGCCCTCGGCAGAAACACATGCAATCACGAGCCTAGCGCCAGCCCAGCGCTAACTGTCGGAGCTGATGCGCTGGCCAGCGCATACCCAATCTCACAGCCAATTCTTCCGCCAATATACCCGCCCCCACGGACTTAAAGCCCGCGCAGTACTCCGTACCTAGGTTATCCGTCCAACATGTTCGCCGTAACCAGCGCGTATCTCCGAGCGAGAACGGGAAACGCCATGAACCGCGGCATATAATCCGCTAGGAAAACTATATACCACAACAAGGCGCGCCCCTTCCAAGCCCTCCCCGATCTGCCCGAAAGCATCAACTCGAGCACAACAGCACACGTCCCTCCCTTATCTTCAGCCCGGCACCGCTCCGAAAACAAGACCCTTTCCAGCCTCGATCCAGTCCGCAAAAGCAGCCATCCAAGCTTCGCTCGCCGCATGATATATCCGCCTCGGACACTCAGACATCAACCTTCACAGTCCCCGTTCCAGGCGGAGCTAGAGGCAGGTCCACACTGTGTAGACCGGTCCTTGCACATATTGTAGGCTTCGATGTTTCCTGCTGTTACTAGATCCACCTACCCGTATCGAGGCTGCGGATATGCTGTGCACCAGACCGACAGATATACACGTCGGGTAGTGAGGATTGTCGAGTGACATGGTTGGTTTCGTAAGAAAGGTTGTTGTATATTGGTTATGTTGATGTATAGAGGAATGGGCACTTGTATCGCGTTCGTTCCATTTGAGGGATGCGTGAGCTGTTGTTTAGCAGCCATATCAGAAACTGACCCTCGGAGGGTATCCCGAGTGTTTTTTCCTAGTCCCTACGGGTGGGTTGGTACATCCTTTTTGGGGAGACCAAATTGACGCATTCTACGGCATTGACTGATCGCAAGTACTCATTTGTTCAGCTCTTTTGAGGCGTGATGTTAACTGGGTGGTCTGTTGGACCTCTTGCCTGTCAATCAATGCCACGGCAATGGGAGTATGCGTCATTTCTCGCAACAAATGATCATCTCAAAGATATCTAGTTTGTAACCTGCTCGGTAAGTGATGTCTGAGAGAGGCTGTTCACATGCCCCTTCTCCAGCCACCAACACAGATAAGATCGTCAGCATCCACCAGCTATACGCGATTAGGACTAGTCTTCGATCTACGAATCGAGATCGGACACCGCCATTCTTGAGTCCTGGAGGGACTTCCCAGCAGAGTTGCGGTGAATAGAAAGCTGTTTGGCTTTAAAGAAGCTGGGGAGAAGAGAACGCTATAACTTGTTCCTATTTGACACTACAAATGCTGTTAGAGTTGCTCAGTCGAAGTTCGGTAGCTTAAATTATATCGATATGAATTGATAACGATGTTAGACCTACCTAGGCTCGTTCAGATAATAAAAATTTAAAGCATATAGTTAAAATATTAGTAGCCAGCAAGTATTAGTAAAGTAAGAAATCAAACCAGCCATCCAGTAAAGAATATACCCGGCCAAGGACGAATGCCAGCATATGCATCCCCTAAGAACCAGCCATAGCACTCTTCAGAGCACTAGTCAGATCCACATGGAAGAAAGGCCGATTAATTCCATCCACAACAGCCATACCAGTACCGATACCAGATCGACCGCGATGACGATGAGTATTAACCTTCGCATCTGTCTCACCAGCCTGCACAACCAGAATATCATCCTCAGAGACACCCATAACCGACGAAGATGCACTGGTATCCTGCACCTTCAGGCCATCCTCCAAATCCTTCGACCAGTCCTCTGATCCGACGACCCGAGACTGATCTACCGAACCGGATAGACCACCATCCAAGATCTCCGCAACGTTGAAGATTGACCTCTGGCATCGGGGACCTGATCCGTCTGATATGGCGGGGAATCCGAACCCAGCAGCTGCGAGACCACGCTTCGTCCATCTGTTGTGGATGTGCGCGAAGTGCCACTGCACGCTGTCTGGGGACGCCCAGCGGTCTAGCTGGTTGCGGACGTCGATGAGGTTCTGCACGGATGTGACATCTACGTTGTTGACGGCGGCGAGATCGAGGATTATGGCGCGGAGAGTTGGGAGTGGGGATGTGGGTGCTTCCTCCACCATGAGGGCTTTGCGTTCGGCGCGGGTTGGACCCGGGTCGTTACAGGGTCTGTCGCCTGTTGTTTCCCATGCTTGTGGGTTTGTGCGCCGGGTTTCTTTGAAGATGTGGCTGACTAGGTGGTCTGTGTAGTGGTTTGCATTGGGGTAGTTGAACCCTTCGGAGACTCTGTAGATGAAGATTCCTGGGGCTGGCTGGTGGATCTTGATCCTGGGGTTTGTGCCACCTTTATGCTCGGTTGGGAGATAGATCCTTCGGGACATGGCGGTATCATCCTTGAACTCTGTATTTGGGTCTCCCTTGGATGCGTTGAGGATATGGTCGCCCACGACTGAATGGGCCTGGACGTAGCCAAGGAATTGGCCTCGGGCTTTGGCGAGTCGGAAAAGGAGTAACCCCAGTGATACACCGATTGTGCAGTAAATTCCGGTCTCAATAGTTGAGAATATGATCACGGTAACGCCCATGAGAAAGATGAGTGCGTCAATCGGAGATACACGCCAGAATTGGTAGGTGATACGGGGTGGTGTAACGAGATCTCCTACTGCGTGGATGATCACGGCCGACAATGACGATTTGGGAATGAAAAAGAACAACGCCGGCAGCGCATATATGGCGAGGAGGACTACAACGGCAGTGATCACACCCGCGAGGGGGGTGCGTACGCCGCACTTTGCTTTGATAGCAGTCCGCGAGAATGAGCCTGTAGCTGGGTATGCGCCCAAGAACGGTCCAAGTAAGTTTGATATGCCAATCGCAATAAACTCCTGCGATGAGTCGATCGTATAGTTGTTGACACGACCGAATGATTTCGAGATAGCAATGTGCTCAATCAATAAAACAATCACAGCGGCAGGAAGCTCACTAACAAATGCCTTGATAATTGGAATATCAATTTTTGGAACTCCTGCGGCCATGAACCCCCGTGGGACATTACCAAGAAGCTTAAAAGCAGGGTTATTGCGTCGATTGAGGTTGACGGCAGCACTAATCATGGTGTAGAAAAGAACGACGAAGGCAGTGCGCAATGTGGACAAAAAGAAGAACAGTTTCGCCTTGTGGGGCTTCTTCTTCGTTCCATAGTTGCAAGCAGACCGTATGCCGTATAACATCGCCAAAGCTGTGAGACCCATAGCAGCGTCCATCTGAGCGGATGGAAGATGCTTCAGTGTATCAATAATGATCTTGTAGGTTGCCCCACGCGTAGAGAAATGCGCTTTCTCTCCGAGAACCGTCTTCACTTGGCCAGCACAAACATTGATAGCGGACCCAGTCATAAATGCGGTGATAGCAGGCAGTGGGATAAAGTCGACGATGAAGCCAAGACGAAGCAACCCAGGAATGATACGATCGCGCCGCAAATGATTGCTAGAGCGGAAGCAAGGACTGGTGGAGGTATTTCGGGGTGAACTGCTTGAACTCTGATGATAATTGAACCCATGAGCGTAGACATGACTGCCACAGGCTGGGGGTGTTAGGTGTTAGCTTTTTCGAATACTAAAAGGAAAAGAGGGATTGTTCTTACACCAATAGTGATGTCCTTGGACGTTGCAAAGAACCAATAGATCAATACGCCCATGAACGAGGAGTACAGACCGTACTCTGGGGGCAGTTTGGCTAGCTCAGCGTATGCCATACCCTGTGGAATAACCACGGCGCCAACAGTAATGCCTGTCGAGAGCTTCAAGTTAGCCTCCGTATATATTTGATTGACTAGTCCGAAAGGGGCTTCGCTCACCTGCCACGAGATCCCCAATCAGCCATTGTACATTGTAATACCCGATCCAGTGGAGAAAAGGGAAGAGGCCCCAGAAATAGCGACGAACCTGAGGAGTGGTGGGCATGTGACCTCGAAGCCAATCGCCCACAGTGGGCTCGTCCTCGTAATAGCAATATGTTCCGGCCTCATCTGTCACAACCTGAAGAGCTGGAGATAGATCAATATGTAAAAGCTTTGCGAAAGCGTGGCCGACTCGAGTCGAGATAGTCTCCGCCATTGTTGTTGCGTCTGGTTTTCTTTGGCTCTTCGTAGTCTGGAGGGTCACCTGCGGCTCTCCAGATTGCCAGAGAGAAAAGGAGCTGAAGAATGAGGAAGAAAAAGGGTATGATCAGTAAGAAACGCCATATTGCGTCCATGAGGCCCGTATCATAGGGCTGATGGCCTGTATACTTCGGTACCGGCGATGTCGTGATTTTAGTGTTGATTGACCAAGATGATTGACTCCGACCAATCACGGCAGGTCTGCACAGTAGGTCATTCCAACGTCAGATGCAAGGGATCAGATAGTTACTCTCTTTTGAGAGAAATAATATGCTTGTGTGTAGGATATGAGAATAAAATGGGGAGAAGTCCCCGGTGCAGAGGGAAAGTGTAAATCGAACTCGTAGGGCTGAACGCATGGACCCACCACAGATAGCCCTGGAGGGCTGATCTGCTTACTCCAGGGCTATGTACATGCCCATAGGCAGTGATATAGTGTTGTAGCCCACTGTTATGGAGTCATTATATGATTAACTCTGCTGCCTGGAATCCATTCCTACCGTGTTGATTCTGTTCATTTGTTTAGTGTGGGACTTTCAGCTTGTGGAACATGCCATCAACATTAACCCCTTTGTGCTCTGTATTACGTTTGACCTATAATACTCTTCAACTTTCTTAAATTTCCAGGGAATATTAATTGCCCTTAGACAGATACATACCTAACATGAAGGTATGAGGTACCCCGTAGAGTGGGGATGAGGTACGTGACAGCGTATTGGGGCTAAATCCAAAGGGGAAAAGGCTAACCAAGAAAGGAAGTTCAACCAGTCATAAAAATGTGGGGTAGCTCAGGCACCTGGGCAGGTACCCGTTCTCTTCTATTACCTACATAGGTACCTAGGTAGACTGTCTTGTCAAATTGGCGTCATCTATGACTTGCATTATAGGAGCCAGTCAATCTTCTCCACTATCCAAGGATACAATTTTAGTCAATTACAAAGCCTGTAGTCTAATAGCCCGATTCTGCCACCTTCTGATCTCTACCTTGACCAACTAGAGAAGTATGAGGCCACTTCCTTACGTGGTGTATATATATTAACGAGATGAATTGTCTACGCAGGATAAATGGAGGCCTTTGATAAGACCAACTTGAAATAGACTTGGCTTTGACCTTGCGATGCACGATGACTATGGTTTTATATAAAGGTTGGACGGAAGATCTTGCCGCTGGTAGCACAGGCAACATGAGCAGCTTGCAATAGGATTGATGGAGTCCGAACGGCCACTTAACCATTTCTTTAAGACGAGTAACAACCTCGGGCGGCCTCGGCGCGGACTTAGGCGGCGACCAATTGTCAATAATGCTCTAGGTAGGTGAGCTAGCTATTTCATAGGTTTGCGGATCGAGACATGCATTATTGGCCTGGATTCCTGAGACACTGATCTTGTTATCTCCATTTCTCGGAGATAACGATCGATTGGGAGTTCGATAATACCCTTGAGTCTCCGCTCGTCAAGCGTATGCGAAGGCTTCTTGCGCTGCTCTGAAAGGACGACTTGATCCTGAGTATTCGCTGGCTTAAAGACCGAGGTCACTCCGTGGGACGAAAGTGCGATTGGAACGTGAGCCTAATGCAAACGAGTGAGGGGGACGTCGGGCATGTCAAGGTCAACGCATCGTCGGGTCGTCCGTTCCTGTGGACATTGGTGTTGAGGTCACGCGACCTGGTTGGAGTATGGCTGTTGGTTGCACAGCCTGACTGAAGGGCTTAAGGAGAAGATAGTCACGATTGGAGGGTAAGTCGACACTCTGTTTTCTATTTTTATATTACATTTCTATGGGAAATGGCACTTCCCGCTACGGATAAATGGATGGGCAGGCATTTGGCCTAGTGGTTGTCTTTACAGACATTGTTACACTGCCTCGAAGAACCCGTTCATCCATGGGTTCTTAGCTTGAGTGGCGTTTGGCCTCAAACCAGCCCTGGAGATTGCCTATGGGTGACTTTGTTTCTCTGGCTGCATCGCACCTGCCTAGTTAGGTAGTTACCTGAGGCGAGGTCCAACTTACCTAACAAACACGTAATGGTCACGAGAAACTTGGAAGCCCTAATTTATGTGGTTTGGTATATGGACACTGGTGGATACCTTCAATATTCCTTGCTTGTTTGATTAATATTGGCCAAGATGGAGCCACCTGCTATGTTGTATAAGCGTAATAAGTAGGTCTTTGAACCAACTTGTAGATAAGCTCCTTCACCCGATAATAAACCCTGTAATCTTCCGCCTCCATACGTTGCGAAGAGATAGGAGAATTAAATGAAGGAAAAAGACCAACACAGAATTTCCAACAGTCTATACAACAGCAGGATAGAGCTATAAAGGTTTGAGCACCAAAATAGAAGCCAATGGCACCTGATCCATCTACATCCCAGCAATCTCTGTAATTGCTCTCTTAGAAAGCTATGATGGTGAATCCTGGATGCCTATCAACAGCAACCAGATTCAATATAGCTATATTATAGAGCTAGATCCGAAATATTCCGCAGCTTACTCTTGATTATAGGAGAACCTTGGAAGTCATAAGATCACAGGGTGCCCCGCCCATCCCGCGGATTCCGCTCGGGGACCGGGAAGCCGACCACACCGCCCAGAGTGTATATCTTCTTTTCCACGATTGTATATGTTGTACGGAGGAGATGAAAGTCGGTGGAAAGGAGGAAAGTCTAGTGTTTCTATAGGGGAGGAACTGCAGACGATCTCACAGGTCAGTGCAGATTACTGCAGCTATAGGCTCTGAACCGGAAATGCGGCTTCTGAGGGTCCAAGCTTAGGGAGGTCTCACGCAGCACGCAATGCACGAGAGCTACTAGTGTGAGGCACGAGCTTTCATTGTTTTGAGAAATCTCTACGTAGATTCCCCCTAATATAGAAATTGTACTTTGGGTTCCGTTCTCCGTACTAAGTAGGAATAATATCAGTTATCCGTAGTGTTCCGCATATATGGGCCCTGATCCAGAAAAAAAAAATCGGAAACATCAGCCAATCCACGGATGGGGAGACTATTGAAAATTGAACCTCCACTATATATTGTACATTTATTTTTATTTTTTTGGAGATCACTGCAATGACTCAGAACCATATGACAGGTGGATAAGGACCTTGCCATTTCGGTCTATCAATTCTGCGCTTTTTAGCGCCCAATTTCATTTCAGAGTCAGGCTTCATTGTATTTTGGACTGTGCAACCAGAAAGAGGAAAAAGAGGAACATGAACATAGAATCATGTATATCGTATGGTTGCACATGTCCAAGAAGAAGTCAAAATAAAAGAGGCCAAACAATAAACCTCGGCGATGCAGCTTCACCGCATATTGGAAGTGGAGATGCGGATGAAAGAGAAAAAAGTACGAACAGCCATTGGGCGTCAAGCTTGAAAGATGCTCCAAAATGAAAGACGAAAGACCAAAAAGGAAAGGTGTAATGTATATGGTCACTGTGCCAACTGTTTCCCCACTCTCTGAGCTGTGCCGTCAGAGGGTCTTTTTTTTTTTTTGTATTGGGCTGAGATTTTTTTTTCTGCCTTTTCCCCTCCTCCATACTCTCACAATAATCCCCCTACTATTGCTCTGTGAGCTTGTGTTTTCTGTACACGATAAATCTAGCGTTAAATCTTTGCTGGTCAAATTGTGAAAAAAAAACATCTAATACCCTCATCATCCTTTTTACGACATTACGAACTTGAAACGAAATAAACCATGGCCAGCGTGCAAGAGCCCCTTATCCCGGAAAGCAATGTGCTGCCCACAGATGCACCAGTTGAGCCTATTTCATCCATAGATGAGAAGCCCACTGCTGAGGCAGATCTGAGCGAATCGACGGCCACGCTCGTTGAGCCCGACTCTACACAACAATCCAAAGATTCAACCAAACCCGAGGTCCCCATGACCGCCGCGGAAAAGAAGAAGGCCAAGAAGGCAAAGAAGAAGCAGCAAAAGAAACAGGAGAGTGTTAGCTCCATTGCTTTGGAAGCCGAGAAGACTCCTGAAGAGTCTCCCGCAGAGCCTGCAGTGGAGGAATCAGCACCAGTTGAAGCTTCCAAGGAGGCTGGACCCGCTGCTGAGCCAGTGGTTGAGGAAAAGCCTGCCGCTGAACCAACCACAGCAGAACCCGAGGCTGCTGAGAAGGCCGCCGAGCCCGTCACAGAAGAATCGAAGACTGCCGAGGCCGTTCCGGAAACTGTTGCAGAGCCTGTCGAAGAATCCAAGGCCGTGGAAGAGGTTGCTAAGCCCGCCACAGAAGAGTCAAAGACCGAGGCCGTTCCTGAAGTCGCCGCTGAGCCGATCGTCGAAGAGACTCCCGCTGCGGAAGAAATCAAGACCGCCGAGGAGGTTGCGCCCACCACCGAGGAGAAGCCTGTCGAAGAAAAGACTACCGAGGCCGCTGCCGAAACTGCTGAGCCTGCCGCCGAAAAGCCGGCCGAAGCTGCTGTGGAAGAATCCAAGGCTGTGGACGATATTGTTGAACCCGCTAAGGAAGTGTCAAAGACCGCCGAGGCCGTTCCTGAAGCTGTTGTGGAAGAAAAGACCACCGAGGTCGTTCCTGAAACCACGGAAGCCGCTAAGGAAGAGACTCCCGCTGAAGCTGCGGTGGAAGAATCTAAGGCTGCGGAGGATATCGTTGAGCCCGCCAAGGAAGAGTCAAAGACCGCCGAGGTCGTTCCCGAAGCTGCTGTGGAAGAAAAGACCACCGAGGTCGTTCCTGAAACCACGGAAGCCGCTAAGGAAGAGACTCCCGCTGAAGCTGCTGTGGAGGAATCGAAGGCTGTGGAGACCGTTCCTGAAGTCGCCCAGGTGGCGCCCGCCGTCGGAGAATCCAAGACTGCCGAGGAGGTTGCTGAGCCCGCTACAGAAGCCGCCACGGAAGAAAAGCCCACCGAGACTGCCCCCGAGGCTGCCGCAGAATCCAAGGCCGAGGAGGCTGTTCCTGAAACCGCTCAGGATGCGCCCGCCGTCGAGGAACCTAAGGCTGAGGTTGCTGAGCCAACTACCGAGGAGAAGCCTGCCGCTGAAGAAAAAGTTGTCGAGGCCGCTCCTGTGACTGTCGCAGAGCCTGTCGAAGAAACCCCCGCTGTGGAAGAATCTAAGGCTGAGGTTGCTAAGCCTGCCACTGAAGAAAAGGTTGCTGAGGCCGCTTCCGAAACTCCTGCCGTGGAAGAAACCAAGACCGAGGAGGTTGTTCCTGAAATCGCCCAGAAGACTCCCGCCGTCGAAGAACCTAAGGCTGAGGTTGCTGAGCAGACCACCGAGGAGAAGCCTGCCACCGAAGAGAAGGTTGCCGAGGCCGTTTCTGAAACTCCCGCTGCCGAAGAAACTAAGACCGCCGAAGCTATTCCTGAAGTTGCTCAGGAGACGCCTGCTGTCGAGGCCGCCGTTGAAGAATCCAAGACCGCCGAGGTTGCTGAACCCACTGCTGAGGAGAAGCCTGCCACTGAGGAAAAGGCCGCCGAGGCCGCCCCTGAAACCGTGGCTGAGCCTGTCATCGAAGGAGCTCCTGCCGCCGCTGCAGCTGCCGTGGAAGAAAATACGACTGAGGTCGTTCCTGAAGCCACCGAAGCTACCGAAGCCGCCAAGGCTTCCGCTGCTGAAGCTGCCGTGGAAGAATCCAAGGCCGTCGAGACTGCTCCTGAAATCATCCAGGAAACACCCACAGTCGAGGAATCTAAGGTTGAGGAGGTTGCTGAGCCTACCACCGAGGAAAAGCCCACCACTGAAACCGCCACGGAAGAGGTCAAGCCCGCCGAGGCCGTTGCTGAAACCGTCGCTGAACCAGTCGTTGAGGAGACTCCCGCCGCTGAGGCTGCTGTGGAAGAAAAGACCACCGAGGTCGTCCCTGAAGCCACCGAAGCCGCTAAGGAAGAGACTCCCGCTGCTGCTGCCGTGGAAGAATTCAAGGCCGTGGAAGCTGTTCCTGAAACCGTCCAGGATACCCCAGCTACTGAAGCAGCTGTGGAAGAGTCCAAGCCTGCTGAGGAGCCAGTGGCCGAGAAGGCGGTCCAGGAACCGGTTGTGGAGGCAGAGGCCGAGAACAGTGCTGACACCACCACCGCCGTTCCAGAGACTGCTACAGAGGCAACTGCTGTGGAGCCGACTGCCGAGGTTTCCGAGCCCAAGGAGGAAGTCATCTCTGAGCCCACCAAGGAGGTGGCCGAGGAGGCTCCTGCTGAGCAGACTGCCACTAAGGAATTGGCTGCCGAGCCAGTCAAGGAGACTGAGGTTGTCGAGCCGGTTCCCGAGCAGACTGCCGAAGCTGCTAAGGAGTCTGCTGTAGAGGAGCCTGCTAAGGTTGCTTCCGTGGAGACTATCACCGAGCCCGCCACCGAAGCAGCTAAGGAGCCTGCCGCCGTTGTCGAGGAGGCTACTACTGAGAAGGTCCAGGAGCCTGCTGAGGTCGAGTCTGTCCAAGAGACCACCGAAAAGGCCACGGCAGAGGTGCCAGTTGTGGAGGAGCCTGTGGCTGAAACTGCTAAGGACTCTACTCCTGAGGAGTCCGCCGCTGTTGAGACCGCCGCTGCTCCCGAGGCCGCTGCTGCCACTGCTATCGCCGAGGAGTCTCCCGCTGTTCCTGACGCCGCTGAAGCTGCTGCTGTTGAGGCTGTCGCTCCCGAGGCTGCTGCCGCTGCTCATACCACTGAGGAGGCTCCTACTGTCCCTCAGGCTGCCGCTGCTATCGTCGAGGAAAACGCCGCTCCTACTGAGTCTGTGCAAGAATCAGTGGAGGAGGCTATCCCCGCTGAAACTGCTAAGGAAGTCGCGGTTGAGAAGCCTGAAGCTACTAAGGCTGAGGAAGTAACTGAGCAGACCACCGAAGAGCCCGTTGCCGAGACCCCTGCTGCAGAGCCGGTTGTCGAGGCTGCTCCCGTTGTTGAAGAGACTCCTGCTGAAGAGCCTGCTAAGGAACTTGCCGCCGAGGAGCCCACCAAGGCTTCTACTGAGACTCCTGCTGTTGCTGATGTTACTGCGGACAAGGCCGAGAAGGCCGAGGAGAAGCAACCCGAAGCTGAGGCTGTTGCTGAGCCAGTTGTCGCTGAACAGACTGAGACTGCTGTTGCTGTCGAAGAGCCAGTTTCTCAAGTTCCTGAGCCTGCTGCTGCCGAAGAGAAGGCTGTGGAGGAGCCAGTCGCTGTTGCAGAGACTGTTGAAACCGCTGCCATTCCCGAGCCTAAGGCTGAGGCTGTTACAGATGAGCCCGCTGTTGCTGAAACTGCTGCTATTGAAGGAAAGGCCATCGATGAGCCAGTCACTGTTGCAGAGACTGTTGAAGTCGCTGCTGCTCCTGGGCCTGCGGCTGAGGCTATTATCGCCGAGACCGCTGTCGCTGGAACAGCCGCTGTTGAAGAAAAGGTCATCGATGAGCCTGTTGCTGCTCTCGAAACCGCGGCCGAGTCCACCGCTGAGCCTGTTTCTGAAAAGACTCCCGAGGTGGCACCCGCTGTGGAAGAATCTGCCATTGAGGCACCAACTACCGAGAAGGTTGAGGGTGTGAAGGCCGAGAAGGTTGAGGGTGTGAAGGAGCTCGCCACTGTCGAGCCAACCACCCAAGCTACCGAAGTTGCCGAGGCACCGATTGTGGAAGAACAGATTGCCGCTGAGCCTGTGAAGGCTGAGGAGCCCGTTGAAGCTGCTGCCCCCGCAGAGAAAGCCCCCCGAGGCTACTCCAGTGGAGGAATCTGCCACCAAGGAGCTCGAGCCCGAGACAGCCGTGGTGAAGGAAGTTGCTGTTGAGCAGCCTGCCGTCGCTGCTGAAGAGGCCGCAGTTGAAGCGCCTGTTGTTGCTGAGGCTGTCGAAGAGCCAGCACAGAAGGATGCCAAGGTCGAGGACCTCGTTCCAGAACAGTCTGCTCCTGCCGTGGAGATCGTTGTTGCAGCTGAGGAACCCTCGAAGGTCGAAACCGTCGAGACCGAAGTTGTGGCTACTCCTGAGCCGGCTACCAGCGCAGAGGAGCCAGAAACCGTGCCCGAGACTTCCGATGTGAAGGAGTCGGTTCAGCCCTCCACTACTGACGTTGAGGCCTCGGCACCAACCGAGCCCGAGACTAAGCAGGAAGAGACTGCTGCTCCCGTTTCTGACGAAGCTTCTACCAAGGACACCGGCATCAGCACTGAGGTTCTTGGTGCTGGCGCTGCTGGCCTTGCCGCTACCGCCCTTACTGGCGCCGGCCTGGCTGCTCTTGCTCACAAGGAGTCGGAGACTGCACTGGAGACCTCGAAAGATCAGAAGGTTCTCCAAGCTACCGATGCAGACAAGGAACCCGTTACCAAGGCTGATACCCAGCGCGAGGTTTCCGCAGCCGATGCACAGCCCACAGACGGTAAGCCAGCACCGTTCTATCTTTCATACCAGCAATCTGCCATCTCGTTCGAAACTGATCCCACTCTTGCAGCTCTCGCTGGTGACCGCGAAGCCCTCCTCAGCAAGCTCAACCAACCGTCCACAGACCAACTCTCCACGGCTACCCAGCAACCCTCGGTTACCGTCGAGAGTGCCACCGAGTCCCAGCCTGCCGCCGAGGCCAGCAAGGGAACTGCCGAACCCGCTGCAAATGCATCTGACGCCAAGCCTGCCGCCGACAAGACCCTCACGCCCAAGGATAATGATGAAGATGCTCGTCCACCGAGCCAGAACCGGTCAGTGACTGCTGTTTCTCTAAATGGTGCACCTGACAGCTGGCTCAAAGCAATCCTGCGCACTGTGTTTGTGAATTTCTTTGGGGCAATCTTTTCACCCTTCCGTCGTGGAAAGAAGTCCAATTAAATTAAAATCTCATGTGTTTTTGCTTGAAGACGTTTTCTTGCCAGTTATTCCTTGGTGCTACATGGTTGGCGCAGGATATGCTTTCTGAAAACTGATCAACTGACTTCATATATCAGCAATTTGTTTTGGATTGCAATCTTTGCTATGCCGGTATTTGCAATCGTCTGGCGTTCTTTCTTCCCGACAATTGAGCTCTACTGCCCGGTGCACACCGCCTGAGCGAGGCAGTATTGGTGGTCACGTGCATCACCTTGCCCTTGAAACTTGCAGCATAAGGCAGTGCGTGGCAGTGTACCAAGTGCGTGGCATTCGAAGTATAAGACTTCATACCACCGAAGTTCAACTATATTCCCCTGTATTATCTGTTGCCGGTTTCTTTTTACGAATTTCATTCTGTTTTTCTTTTTTTATCGTTGATGATTCCCTTTTGTTGTCTCCAATGTTATATTGGTGTTGGCATGGCCGGCTGCTCATGATGGATCTGTCTGGCTTGCTATGTATCCAGTATACTTAATGACATGAATTTAATGAATAACTTATACTTATAAACGTTCTTTGTGCTTATTTTGTCCGTAATCTTTTGGTTTCTTTGCATGTGTGCCGGACTTTGCCCTTTGAATGCTGCATCTTGCCATGCCTTTGTGTGTCTGTGTAACGGCATCGACTGAAATGGTATATAATTAATTCACTCTCTTGCCCATTTCTTCATGGAGAGATATCATTTGTTTCTGTCTCTTTGTTGCTTGTCTTTGTGTGGCGGTGTCCATCACTCCAATTCAAAGTACAATGTACAAATGCGTGTATAGCTGTGGAGGATCTGCCAATGCAGAAAGCGTGCCACCCGTAGGCCAAGAAGGCCCAGAGCTTGGAAGATGAGATGTGCTCTGGAGGATCTGCCAATGCAGAGAGCTTGCCACTCATAGGTGCCTGGCGCCTGGAAGTTATGGGTGGGCTGGCAAGCTGCTAACATCTGGGAAAGATTGAAATCCACGTGGGTCGGTGTATGGTCGTTCCTTCGATATTGGGAAGAGTTGGAAGCACCCTGATAACATGGCTGCCGTGGGCTGTTCATTCGCTTAAACCGATTCAGGCACGTGCCTATCCATGTGGTTTGTTGACCTTCGATTTCCTTTTTCACATCATTTGTTATTTCCACACGCGTCTTCTTTTCCCTTTCCTGGTCTCCATCATCATCAACATTCATCCTTTCATCTGAAAATCATCAGCAGATATGGCAAGAAAGAGTCAAGGTTAGTAACATCTTCCATTCATGAAGCATTTGTCACTTTTCATCTCATGGAGTGTCTCTTTCGATGGGCTCGATGCACTCGATGCACTCGGGCTCGTTTCGACTGAGTTCATTCATTGGGTCTTTTCTTCGGAATCGTCTCTCTTCTCATGAGCTGAGCCTGGTTCTTTGGAATCAGGTCCCTTCTCCATGGGGTTGAGCCTGGCTCCTGGGACCTGGGTCTCTTCTCCATGGGGTTGAGGCTTGCTTCTCGGACCTGGGTCTCTTCTCCATGGGATTGAGGCTTGCTCCTAGGACCTGGGTCTCTTTATGGGCTTGAGGCTTGCTCCTGTAATCAGGTCTCTTCTTCATGGGATTGAGGCTTGCTCCTGGGGCCTGGGTCTCTTCTCCATGGGGTTGAGCCTGGCTCCTGGGACCTGGGTCTCTTCTCCATGGGATTGAGGCTTGCTCCTGGGGCCTGGGTCTCTTCTCCATGGGCTTGAGCCTGGCTTCTGGGACTTGAGTCCATTGCTGTGAGATTGAGCCATTCGGCCTGCAGAATCGGACCTCGGCTTGGCTCCTGGGAATGGAGTTCCTTGCTACAGAATTGGGCATGATCCTTTTGAATCAGGTCTTTCTTTGGCTTCGGAATGGGTTCTTCAGAATCAGATCTCTGTCGTTGGCATTGGAATTGGTCCCTTAGGTTCCAATCTGTCTGGCTTTGTGCAAGCAAACCCCTTTCTATGATGGCCCTTTCTACAGAAGCAGGTCCTGTGAGCAAAGGAACTCTTCCTTCACGCATGAAATATGCATCGAAAGAAAGAACAGAGAAAGATACTCAAAGACATGAGAGATATCTATCACTTTGGTCTCAAATGGTCAATTGATGGCTTTCACTCCCCGTTCACTTTAAGGCAGGAAGGGTTCGCAAGGGTCACTGACAGTGGATGTTCTTATAGATACCGATTCGGAAGGTCCCCGCGGCCGTACCGGCCGCCCTGAAAGCCGCGATGAAAGCCGCCCTGAGAGTCGCGCTGAGACTCCCAGCCGCACTGTGACCCCCACCTCCGTACACTCGTCTCGTTCTCGTCGCAGCACCGTCTCCCGCGTACACTTTGAAGAGCCCGATATGTGTAACCCACTGGCTTCTCCTCGTTCTGACGTGACTGTCACTGCAGTCCCGGTGCCTGTGCCTGTCCAGTCGTCCAACCCTAGGGTTGGTTTGCCTTCGTCGAGTGTTGCAGAGAGCTCGCAGTCCGTGGAGCAGTTGCCTGATTCTTCAGAAGACAAACGCAACGCGTTCGCCCACCGCAAAACAAACCCTTCTGTTTCCCCCCACCCTCCCCCTCGCTCTTCACTTCGTTCTTCTCTCCGTTCTACCCTCCGTTCTTCTTCCATCCCTCCTGTACCCCCCATTCCTGTATCCATCCTGAAAAACCGACCAAGCAACATCACCCTCACTCAAGTCAAACCTCGCTCCCTGTCAGCTCCTCCATCTCCACCCAAGATGGATGAAAGTTCCAATGTTCCGGAGGGCAACAACAAGCCACTCCCCGTGTCTCCGTCTGGTAGATTCAACCCCCAGACTCCCAGCCCTCGTACTCCCAGCTTCAGAAATGATGGCATGTACCGTCCAAGCGCCAGTCCTATGGAGGGCCCAAGCGGTGTCAGTCCTACGACTCAGCGATCCAGCTTGACTGTCAAGGATCTTCCCGAGGCTGTTCGATCCCTTCAGTACCGTTATGAGACAGACATCTTCCGACTGTCCAAGAAGTTCGACGACCTCAACAAGCTCGAACAAAAGGTTGATGACTTTGTGACCGTGACCCGTGACTACTTCAAGGACCAAATGGATGCTCAGCTTGAGCGCCAGTCCGAATTGACCTTCGAGCTTGCCCAGGCACGGGCTGACGCGAGTGGCACCAAGGAGCAGGTTGCCGAGCTCATGAAAGAGCTCAAGGAGATTAAGGAGGAGATTCCGGAGATGAGAACCGAAATCAACGAGCTCACCTCCTCCTTCAACGACCTGGCCGCCAAGGTCGACATGTGTCTCACTGGAATTTGGGACAACACCGAGGAGCCGTTCGTGGCGTACCAGCGGCGGAAGAACAGAGAGCTGGATGAAGACATCCAAGACATCGGGTCTCAGACGGAAGACCAAAACCGCCAGATCACCTTCCTCCGTCGAATGTTCATCCAGGTCCAGATGGCATTTGACGTCTTGCGACATGAGCACGGCATTCAACTTTCCGAGGACGTAAAGAAGATCCTTCCTCCCAACCCCCTGCCAGCACACGACGCCGTCCCCGCCACTGGCACCGTGCGAAGTCTCGCCTCGTTTGGCTCTGGCGCAAACCCGCCAGCAAAGACCGACGCCGCAGCAAAGGCCGGTCCCTCCACCCAGACCGCTCCGCCAGCAAAGGCGACCCCTGCATCAACCACGGCGCCTGCATCAGCCAGTGCGTCCGCAACAGTCACGCCGCCGGGATCTTCCACGGCAAAGCAGAGTTCGATCCCCCGCCGATCCAAGAAGAAGAGCTCGAAGAAGAACTCCGGCTCTTCCGCTGCGAAAGAGACCTCCACCGCCAAGACCGAGGAGGTCCCCGCCGTTCCCACCCTTCCCGAGGGGATTCGTGTCCCCCGGGATGCCGTCCGCGAGGCCCCCGTCCCCCTCGCCGATATTCATCCACTGTTCCGACCTCAATTCAATGAGGTGAACGCCCCCGGGATCCCTACCGCAGGTGTCCTGACCGCGGAACCTTCGGGCCGCGTGTCCCCCGTTGAGGCTGGCAAGGATGCGGCTCGCAAGTAAGCGAGCCAATCCAGTGCTCAACATGATGCTTCTACAAGAAAAACAAAAAAACCCAAAAAAAAATTTAAAACCAAAAACCCTCAAAAAAAAGTACCCCCAAAAACAAAAAAAAGAAAATCCAAAAAAAAAAATTACCATTTGTCAGATTTGGAGGAGGCCCCGGGGGCAGTGGCCGGCTTTTGTTAGATTTTGTTGCATGTCAATGAAAGATGTTTGATTACAATTCTCCAAGAGTAGACAGTAGACAAGAGTAGATTGTAGCTGAATATGCATGTAATATTATTCAAAACAGTATTTACTTCGAAGAGGACATCATCTTTTCAATCTCTATCGCGGACTCTCGCACCTGTGGACAGTAATGCAGCCGCAATAGCTCACCCTCCCACACCGAACCAGCAAAGACATTGGTAGCTTCAATATCAGCAGCAAAAGCATTGAACACACCATCACCCTTGCGCTCCTCCGTATGCCACAGCGAAGAGATACGACGACCATGATATTTCGAGACCTGGTTCATGAGCGCCAGCGTTGCAAGAGCAGACTTCTCCGGCAACTGGAGGGAAGTCGTCATGAGACGCTTGGAGAAACTGGCAAGTCGACTTGGAGGCGGGTTGCCGTGTGCGCGGGATAGCAGGGTGGGCTGCAAGCAGCGAAGGAGGAGGACCATCGGGGTCTGGAAGTTGACCTTGTTCTTGGAGCGGGACTGGGAGAGCTCCTTGCCTTGTGCGGAGGTGTTGGGGTCGGGAAGGCGGAGGGCTGTTTCGGGGTTGTATTCCACCTCTGGGTTCATGGAGAGGGAGTAGAGGGATCGGTAGAGGTGCTTGATGAAGAAGTTCAGGTCGAGGTGGAGACCTGCGGCTGCTTTACTGGCTTCTTGACCTTCTAGCAGGGCGAAGGCAGTGACAGTGCAGAGAAGTGTCCTTCGGCGAGCGTCACGGGCTGCGCTTTCGGCAATTGTGCCACTGTCTTCGTCTTCGTCGTCCTCATCGTTGGCGACCTCCTGGTCACCTTCCACGCCCATCTCCTCGCGCTCTGCGTGGTTGATCAGGTCTTTCAGAGCCTCGAGCAAATCACCGAAGAAGTCTTGGTTAATGAGGTGGGCATATTTAGCCAGACCCTCAAGCACAGGACCCATGAGTGCGGGAATGCGGAGCTTGAGAATGCGGAAATAGAGCCCGAACACAAGTTTTAATGTTTCGGCCTGGTTCTTGTCTCTTTGCTCGTGCGATACCACTGCGTCTGCTTGTCGCATATCCTTCTCGACTTCCTTTCGCTCCTTTTGGATCTTGCGCTCTCGCTTCGTGCGGAATTCGCGCTTTTGCTTTTGCTTCTTTCCTTGGGGGGGCTTCTTCTTCTTCCCGGTCCACTCGGTCTCGAGACGCCTTCAGGTGGAACTCGCCGAGCAAACGAAGATGGAGGAATGTGTCCAATACACTAGGGTGAATGTGGAAGTCTCTAGCCTTCAACATCTTTGCTAGCAGACGAACAGCTTCGAGGGAAACGGTTCCATCGTCGTCTTTGGCGAAAACCTCCTCCATAGTTTCGCGGCACTTGACATAGTCGGCATCAAGCTGTCTCCGTGCAAGGCGGTTCACCAAGATCTTCAGAAGCTCGCTGCGGAAGTTGAAGTGTGGCACGGCCAAGAGCATAGTGCAAGCCATGGAAATCGCGAAGCTCCTCAATCCAGCATCTGTGGGCCCATCTGCCTTGGATGGCTTTACGAGCGTAGCAAGCTTCTGGACATAGGCTCGATATCCTGACACAAGGGACTGTTCGAAGTCTCGGAGCTTGCGCACCTCCTTTGATACCCTGCCGGACTGGTCCTCTTCGCTCAATGGACGAATGCGGTATCCAGGGATGACATCCTTGTAAAGAGCCGCCTGTGAGGCCAGAGCCAGTTTCTTAACTGTGATAGGCGTGGATTTCTTCGACACCATCTCGGCCATTGTCTTGAACAGAGAGATATGCTCCTCGGGATCCTCGTTGATCAAGGTGGCCATCTTCGCTAGCTCTTCCTTTGCCTGCAAGATTTGTACCTTCAGCGGAATCTTGGGTGCTTCTTCCTCGGCTTCTTCTCCGTCCTCCTCGCCCTCAGAGCCATCTTCCTCCTCATCGTCGTCATCATCGGTGCCCAGGAAACTGTCGGTTTCCTCTCCTTGATCTTCGGGCTGAGCTTCGGGCTGGACGAAGCCTTCGGAAGTCTTAATTGGCAATCGCGCATTCTCGCCGGCTTTCTTGGTGTTTTTGCGTGGGCGGCGTTCATAGTCTTGCTCAACATCCCACTCTTGGTCGGCTTTTGAGCGCGATGAGGAGTCCTCACCATCTGCTGGAGGACTCAATCGTCTCCGCTTCACTTCCGGACCACGCGCCATCTTGTAATTGGAGATTTGGGGGGTTAACGGTGAAATTTGCGGAGAATAGTAAAAATATCTTAGAGTGAAAAGGCGGTCCCGAAAATTCTAGGCGGAAAGACAATAGTTACTCTGATTGGCTCTTCATTCCCATTCCATCGCTATAAATTTCAGGTCCGTGTCTGGGCGGTAAGATATTGCCCGACTTTGGTTTTTTTTCTTGTTCCTCACTTCCCGATAATACAAGCTTGCTGCTATTCAACTTTTTTGTCATATCTTCAGCTTCATATCCGACAATATGAGATCCCTCACAGAAGTGCGTACTAGTGCAATGAATATTGACTGCTTTGACTAACCCATTCCTCTTTTAGGAAGAGACCCGGACGCTCTTCACGAAGCTCGCTTCCTATACCGGCCGCAGTCTCAATTCTCTTATTACCCCAGCCGAAGATGGATCTCAGAGTGTTTTCCGCTTGCAAGGATGCCGGGTTTACTACGTGAACAAGGATATCGCCAATCTGAGTGTTTCATTCCCTCGTGATCAGCTCCTTTCAGCTGGCACTATGGTCGGCAAATTTACGAAGGTTCGAGTCGCTCTGCTGTCATTCTGATCAGTGATGCTAATATGCTGGCAGACGGGCAAGTTCCGCATCAACCTGACAGCTCTGGATCTCCTGGCGCAAAATGCCCGATACAAGGTACGTATCACAATATCAGCATTGCAACAGGACATCGTGCTAACTCTAGGGCTATGGCACAGGTCTGGATCAAAGCAAATGGAGTGATGGTAAGCTTATTCCAACTTCCTATATGATCTGCTGTCCTTGCTAACAAGATTTAGCCTCTGCTCTATGGCGGTTCGGTCCTAAAAGCCCACGTGGCTCGTTTCTCGGAAGACTGTCCGGAGAATGCAGGTGTTGTGATTCTGGACTCAAATGATGTTCCCCTCGGATTTGGAGTTACAGCACGGTCATCCGCGCAGATCGCAAAATTGGACCCTACCAGTATCGCGGTCCATCGTCAGGTAGGTGCAGCTCGGGTCTGGTTGCTTACTTACATTGGCTAATGCAAACGAACAGGCCGATGCAGGAGAGTACCTTAGAGAGGTGAGTTGGGTCTATGTTCAAATCCTCAAGGGCCAAATTGCTAACATCCATATTAGGAGGATACGTTGTTCACAACCTAAGCAAATTCGACATGATACCGAATATTACATATTTGCACCTCGCAAAAGGCGTTTGGGAGTTTTACCAGATCTATTTGATCTTACAAAAGTTGACTGTACTTTTTACCATCGATCCTGTCCTCATCGCTTCTAGTGTGATGAATTGATGGCAAATGTTGACCAACAACTTCTCTGTAATGGTTACTATATGGAAATATATCCTCTGAATACACACAAATTCATGCCCAATGTAACGAAGTCAATAGTCATGCCATGTCTATCTATAGATGGGTTGTTGATATAGGACCAGTGGACTGTTAAGGTTGGGAGACTTGATGAGTCAGCACGATGCCATCCCGTCCGAGGTCCCGATCCAACCTTGGGAACGGGATGATAACTCACTACAGACCTCATAGTCCTGGTGTTACGTAGATCTTCCAAGCCAAAGAGGATTTCTCTCACATCGGCACTACAAACCAAACGGTTTCAATTCCCCCAACGTGTTTCCACCACTTATTGCCTGTCTCCGAGCGGGCACAAATATTGCCAACCCCCACCATGCCACCCTACACGACCAGCCAGAAACACCAAATCGCTGAGTTTGTCAACTGTACACGGACAAAAGAGTCTGTTGCTACTAAAGTAAGTAACTTACATGCTTTCCGGACATGTCCTCGCCTATGCGGTCCGTTTGAATATCTCAAGACGGTTCTGTCCGGTCACGTGGATCAAAACATTAACTTTCTGCTATAGTTCCTTAAAGCATGTGGATGGAGTTTACCTCCAGCGCTTGATGCGTAAGTGCTTGTCATCACTCTTATGCCGTACCCTGGAATTTTGTGTCTCTTTATTTTATTTGTCTTCAACCCCAGCCTGGACATATGGTGTTGAGTCAAAGATGTCAGCAGATACCTAGAACATCAAAGCTCCAACATCTGCTCTTCTCTTTCCAGGACTTGCCTCAAACTCACTTTGGGAAATCCTTGATCTCTCATCACATCATTCATCATCCAAAATGCCTCGATTGAAGAAGACGAAGAAGAAGTGCTTGCCATCCCCTAGCCCTATGACAATATACCTAACCATCTTGCTCCGAAGAAATCATACATGGTTAACGCGTGAAACATCCCAAGGCTAACGTTGTTGCTGGAATAGTTTCTTCGCCGCTGCATCTGGCACCTCCGCAACTATAACCTCAGAACTTACAAAGATCTTCGAAAGCTACCGAGGTACCTACCCACCCCTCACTCATGGTTTTATACCTAAAATACTCATGTCTCCGCAGATGACCCAGTTGAAAGCCCAGATACCATCGGTATCACGCGAGCAATAGATTTTCTTGGCGACCTGGGGGTCGAGCTGGACGAAGTAACCTGCCTAGCCATCGCCGAGCTACTCCAGTCACCATCGATGGGCGAGTTCACCCGTGAGGGATGGATGGAAGGATGGCTGAAAGCTCTGTAAGTGCAACATGAACGTGGAAGAAAAGCCCCTTTCAACCCACACTCAAAACATCCTCATCGTCATATCCATCCAAGCTAACAACCCACAAGCTGCGACACCATGCCAAAGATGCAAGCGCACGCCAAGCTCCTCCGGGAGAGGATCCCACGAGAACCGGAGACCTTCCGGCGAGTCTACAGATACGCATTCCCGCTCTCGCGAATGCAAGGACAGCGCAACCTGCAATTCGAAATCGCTGCCGAGCAGTGGCGTCTCTTTTTCACTCCTGACCATGGCGGTGTGGCGTGGAACACGGAAACGACGCCGTGGCTGGATTGGTGGATTGAGTTCCTCGAAGAGCGCGGGAAAAAGCCTGTTAATAAGGATCTGTGGGAGCAGGTTGAGGTGTTTATGCGCAAGAGTCTGGAGGATGAGGAGATGGGCTGGTGGAGTCCTGATGGGGCTTGGCCCGGTGCGCTAGATGACTTTGTTGCTTGGGTGCAGGCTAAGAGGGGGAAGGGGTCGGAGATGGAGGTTGAATAAGGTCGCCTCTAATTTATTCATGGATATGGATATGAGGGATCTGTTTCTTATTTCCGAATGAGTGAACACATGGCTTGTGTGGCATGGTTGATTATCTACTCCTCGGAATCCATGCCTTCTTGTACCTTACCCGGTTCTATTATCCACTGGGATCTTTTGTAGTTACTGTGGAATTAACAATGGCCATGTTTCGTCCGTTTCATGTCAAGCGCAGTTACATTTCTTTTTATATCCTGGCCTGTATACGTATGTATGTATATAGAAGTACACACGAGCAGAGGTAGAAGCAATGACGCGGCTAGCTCAGAGAGAGGGAAAATATATATAGCCGTGTCTTTTTGGTTGTCTTCCCCAATCTTAGTGTTGTAGCGCGTTGTTGAACCTTCCAACGTTACCTAGGTACATACACACGTTGGCACCTAGAACTTAACAGAAAATATAACGCGTATAGACGTGTTTTTATTGGTAACCGAAGTAAAATGTCTTGGCCAAGGCTTCATCAGTTACACTTGTGGTGATATATAGTATCTTCAAGGGTTGGAATTGAAATAAAAACAGAGATATAAAGCCATTCGTCATGAGATTGAGTGATAACATCAAGGGGAAGATATCTGCGGCATGTGAAGATGCACGAGGGGTGTGTACATGGATTTAGATCAACACCGGAGAATAATAAACAAAGGAAATAGACAAATCAGTGACGGCAAACGAGCAAGACACGACACATATAGGTATCCGACGCGTCCGGGTGTATTTGCAGTCAATTGCGGACTCGGCCCACTTAAGGGAAGTCGCGCTTCTCGTAGCCGGGGTCGCGACGTTGGTCATAACGCTGCCGAGTCGTTAGCAATCAAGTCGCAATTGTCGCAATCCCAGCGATTCAATCATACCTTCCGGAGAGCTTCCAGACGCTTCTTCTTGGTGTGGGTGTTGACGTAGGTTCCAATGAAGAATCCAACAATGTTGAAGAAGGGCACCCATGTGTGCTCGGGGAGGAACTTCTGGGCGAAGGCCAAGCACAAGGGCGAGGTGACCCAGCTGACCTTCATGACGGGCATGAAGCCAGCCTTAACGGTGGCGCGAACCTGGTGGATGGTGCGCGCACCGGCGATAACAGCCATGGAGGTCAGGTAGACGCTGTTCTGGATGGGGGAGATCTAGGGAAACGGGGGATGTCAGCAAATGCCAGGTCAGGTGATCGCAGCGACGACAACGTACAATCAGATTGCTAACGAGGATCTGGAGAATCTTGGCTTTCAGACTTGTGCGGCCGGCGAAGATCTTCTGCAGGATGCCAATGAGGACGTGGCCGAGGGGCGCGGCGACGAACATGCCGTACAGCGACATCTTGGGGATGCGCGAGCTGAAGTAGTGGCCGTGCTTGCCGACATCGTGGGCGATCCATGAAGCCAGCAGTTCCTGCAGACCCGAGAGCACACCGGAGGTGAGCATCTTCGTGCGCAGAGGGTTCTTCTGGAGCTGGAGGAGGTAGGCCTGTTGACGATCCATTCCCCGGATCAGTGTTGGTTCGATATTATTGGGAGAGGGGTGTGGCGCTGCATACCTGGAGATATCCATTGGCTGTCTTTCCACCGGTCAATCGCTCACCGACGCGGTGCACGAGGTCTTCGGACTTGCCGCCGCCCGTGACGGTGCGGACGGCCTCTTCTTGGAACTTGACGGACATTGCGATGATCGGAGGGGGTTGGGGGAGGACAGGGTTCAGGAGGGATGAGGAGTGATCAGGCTCAGATTAGACGCGCCTAGAAAGAATTAATGAATGAGATTAATATGCAATGGATGATAACCAAGTGGAGAAATTGGGAAGACGATGGGGTGAGAGCTGGGGGGGCTTGTTTGTTTATGTTGGCCCGAGGGTGGCTGGGATGGGATATGAGGGAGGACAGCCTCGGCTCTTCAATATATAACTCACACAAATATCAAATATCTCCCAACTCTGATGGATAACTCTCCGATAAATAAATTCGGAAGAATATATCCAGGAAATGGAGACGGTTATACGAACAATCGGCAGATGGATCCCCGGCGAGATCCATTGGCGGAGCACATCGGAAACCCCCGACGGCTTTTGATTGAATCCGGGGGGGGTTGGACGGCCTTTACCCCCTATAATTTACAATGTTGTGTACAATATATGGATATATGGTTTCAATTACATCTTAATGATCCCAATGATTCTAATGATCCCAATAATCCTAATCAATCCTGGAAGTTCTGCTCTGCACTGTTTGTTGTTTGTGATTGCCCAGGGCTTTCATGGTCACGGGATAGTCACTCTTAACACCTCCAGACTCATTGTCCCTCTCAATGTTTGAAATTGGTGCTCCACGGCTTGGTTTGGCCCAGGTGGTTATTCAGAACTATATAAATTACATATCTACATATATAGAGATCTGGAACTTGTCAGTTTGGACCTGTAGTGGATCCTACATACAGCTTATATGTACTGGTAGTCTTTCCAACTACATACAAAATCCCTGGAGCCGTAGTCTTCTCCGATAGACTTCTTATATGTCTGTGTAGTGGCCCTTTTGGCAGTATCCTCAGGCGGTCTTTTTAGACGTCTGGTTATATAGATATTCTGTCGCCCTTCCCGGGAGACTGCAGGAAAGTGTCAAAAAGAGGGCTTAATTCGTGGAAGTGACTTTTCTATGTATAACCTCCCAAGGTTTGATGTGTGTGGTACTATCAATCTGATAGTCGATACTATAACCTTTGATATACTCCGTACATATCCACGGGTGTGTTGTACTATCAATCTGATAGACAATGTAACTATAACCTTTGATGTACTCCGTACATGTCCACATGTACTATCAATCCGATAGTCGGCAATCAAGTCTTCAACATATTACCCTATTTACTTGCTTTACGAGAGGCCCCGGAGGCAAAGTATTACATGTAAGAAGAATCACTGCATTTCTACATGGTTACAGTACGTATTTCCACAATATAGTCCCCCGAAGAGTTGACAGACATGAAGCAAGCCCTAGTGCCACTCAAGCTTGTTATAGCTTGTGTTTCATCCCAATTTGCGGCATATAAAATAGCCAAGTTTATACATAGGCCAGTGGGCAGCAACCGGGCAATGCCATGCCGCATCGAATATACGTACACAGGATCAATGATGTCTTGTATCAACATATAAACACATGCGAAAGCAAAACCATCTCATCGACACTTTTTTGGTGCGCGCTCCTTGCCGTTTGAGTAGTATTGACGGAAGCAATGGGTTCCATGGAAAGCCTCGGTTGATAGCGTAGGGATACGGCCTTTCTTTGGGGGGTATCCGCTCTGTAATCATCGTCGTCGCCAGCAGCAAAACCGACGACTAAGCGAAACGCAATCCAGTCTAGGCTTCGCTGGGGTGACGATGTCATTCGACGATGTAATCGACAGCACCGGGCCCGCTTGTCAACACCTGGGTACTTCTTTCATCTGATTTCACTTCTCGCATCCACCCTTTCATCCCTCCCTTGTTGTATCTTTTCATCCAAACTTTTTCAAAATCATTCCATCACATCGTTCTTCCGGCTGTCGACGGAAGTACGACCTCTCTAGTGTGAAAGCCATTTGGCAACACACCGGCGAGACGCGAGACAGTACCTGTCACGCTCAGACCCGGCGAGGTGCTTCGCAGCTCCCAGTCGCCGGGCACCAACCATCTCTCCTGCGTGTGGTCTTCTCTTGCAGCACGCCGGCGACTCTTCTTCTTTCATTTTTCTCCTTTCATTCGCAACAATCCCATCTCTGTTGGGGACGAGACACCCCGACGTGACACTGATCATGTCTTCACGCCAACCCGACATGGAGGCGCCGAGTCTTTCTGACGCCGAGGTACAAGAGCCTCAAGGCACAACATCATTTGATGCCGAAGAACTTGAAGTTAGTAGTGGTCCAACCCTAGTGCCGCCGCCCTCCTCCGTTGACAGCGACCTATCTGATACACTTGACGTATCTGATACACTTGACGTAAGCCCTGAGCCTGAAGAGACCACAAGCGTTGTGGATAATGGCAGAAATCATCAATTCGCCAGTCGCCATGTTATCCTCGGTCGTGTTTGGCAACGTTTCAGATTCGCCGGTCGCCACGCTGGCCTTGGGCTCCGTCAGCGGCTTCGTGGATTCGCCAGTCGCCAAGTCGATCGATACCGTCGTCGACGGGAACGACGGGAGCGCAGACGTCGCGAAAGAGAAGACAGCCGACTTGACAATCTGCTCGCCAGTCGCTTGGCTAGGTTTAGCCTATCAGATATCGAAGATCCCCTTGCTTGGGAGCGCAGACGAGTTGGGAGTCTGTTCACCAATCGCCATGCTAGGTTCAGCCACCACAACATCGAAGATCCCACAGATCCCGTCGCTTGGGAGCGCAGACGAGTTGAAAACCTGCTCGCCAACCGCCAGGCTAGGATCACCCACGAAAGTATCGAAGACCCTGTTGCTTCGGAGCGCAGACGAGTCGAAACTCTGCTCGCCAATCGCCAGGCTAGAATCAGCCACCATAATCTCGAAGAATTCATTTCCCAGCAACCTGACTGGACCGTGCTCGAGACTTCCCCGTTGCAGCTTGACGAGAACGAAAACATCGAAAGCCACAGCCCTCCACATCCGACTTCACAAATACAAACCCGCGCAGCCAGCCCCGTTCACTCATTCCACTCATGCGACAGCAACATCGCGTACTATGGCAGACATGGTGATAACAATGAACCTTGGGACGACAACAGTGATGATTATGTCCCATCGGGCTCCCAGGAGTCTCAAGTACGACGCGGCAGATCCCTTCGCCGAGCTGGAAGCATTGTCAGCGACGCCGCCTCTGAGGTTCGTGGTAGCGACCACCCGTCGCGAGAGTCAAGCTATGAAAGACCTCGGGGAAGACAGCTTGTGAGGGAATCGAGCATTGTCACCGACCCATGGGCTGCGTATTGGGGTCCCATCGGGGACCCACCGAGTGATCTGTTCTCTCGAGTACAACGCAGCGCATCATCTCGACAGACTGGAAGCATTGACGATGATGCTTCCTCCGGAAACCGCCCATTGAGGGACCTGAGCCCTCAAGTGCGACGGGGCCGGTCTCTCCGACGGGCTGGAAGCGGTTTCAGCGATGCTTTCCCTGAGGTTCGGCGCACCCACCCCGACAGGGAACCAAGTGACGAGGAACAGAGGGGCCGCCAGCTCCTGAGGACTTCAAGCATCGTCACCGATCCCTGGGCTGCCATTTGGGGTCCGGTCGACCTACCGGTCGACCCGAGACCCCAAGAAGAAGGCCCAGAGTCAAGTGGGTACCTGGAGATGGACGCCGGGTACGATAGTGCTGAGGAGTGGGAGCGGCTGAACCTCCGGGTGGCCCAGTGGGTGGAAGAAGTATTCGCGGCCGGTGTGTGACCAGCCAGGCCATGTCATGTAAGAGTAAGCGAATCACAAATCACATTTGAATTGATAAATCGCTCTATCTCCTCATGTATAAGTGTAAGGCAGTTATTATCATCGTGTAAAGTGAGGGAAATTGCTCCTTACATTTTTAGGGAGACTAATATTCACGATTCCCGTGGTGTTTGGCCCGCCATAGCGACAGAATTCTCGTTTCACTCTGATGCCTGTTTTGTCAGGCTTTCACTATTTGCTAAGTTAGTTAACTAGTTAACTAACTAACTAGCTATCTACACCTGGCAACATACCTAGGTAGGTATATTAGCTAGCTTCTGTTTGTTGATATATAATTCTTCTATTCTTCTTCTCACCCTCACTCTCACCCTCACTATCAGATCACGCTTTGAATCAAGCGGGTACCTGCAGGTCGAGGCGGGGTATAGCGCCGAAGAGATGGCGCGGTTGAACTTCCAGTGGGGGAAGTTGAGCTATCTCGAGGATGAAGTATTGTAAGAAGTGTCTCCGGACTCAGAGATAAATCAAGCCAGTTGGCCTCACATTTGAATTGATAAATCGCTCCATCTGCCCTTATATAAGAGTCTAAGACTCAACCAAGCCAACAACCTTCCTCGTCCAGCTTCAGCGCAAACTCATGCATCTATGCAGCTATGTATCCACACATGCAACAGATTTCTGATTTTATGCTGATGCCTAGTTTATTAGGCTTTCATTGTTTGCTAGCTAGTTAACTATATTTGCTAGCTTCTGCTTGTTGATATATAATTCAATCCTTCTTCTTCTCTCTTCTTCCGCTTCCTCTTCTCTCACCCTCTCCCTCGCCCTCACTACCAGGTCGCGCTCAGAGTCAAGTGGGTACCTGGAGGTGGAGGCCGGGTACGACAGCGCCGAGAAGTGGGAGCGACTCAACCTCCGGGTCACCCAGTGGGTGGAGGGGGTATTCGCGGCCAGGGTGTGACTTGCTAAGCTCATTGTCATGTAAGAGTAAACAAATGACATCTCACATCTGAATTGATAAATCGCTCTATCTCCTCGTGTATAAGTGTAAGACGGTTATTATCACATAAACCGAGGGAAATTGCTCCTTATATTTTTAGCGAGACCAATATTCCCGATTCTCGCATATGTAGCTACCTAGGTATATTAGGTAGCTTCTGTTTGTTGATATATAATTCAACCCTTCTTCTCTCATCCTCACCCTCACTATGTAGTCAGACTACGTTCTCATTCAACCAGTTCACGGACCGAGGCTACAATGAGGAATGAGATGCTTCCTCCGATGACTTCGGAGGTGCCCGCCTACCTTTCGTTGCCTCACCAGACCTGCCGGGAAACACCCACGGAGTCTGATGAGGAACTCTCAACCCTTGGCCGTATTATGTATTATCACTCCCCTATAACATAGACCATGAGACCGAGCAAACCGGGGTCCAGTGGGTAAATCCCCACCCGCTGCGGATACAATGCTCTCTTCTATCAAAGTAGCTAAGTGGTCTGGGGAGCGGGTCGCCTGTAGAGAAATAGGTAAAGTCATAATTTTTTCATTTCCAATTTTTTAATTTCTTTCAAATTTTTCTCACTTTCCCGTTTGGGTATCATATATATGTTGTACTGAGGGATCAAGCCGGGGTGAGGAAGAATTGCAGGTGAGGTGAGGCGGAGTTAAGTCCGCAGTCAGGTGGAGTGGCATGTGAGATGGAACTCAGATTCCACATGTGAGAGGGAATTATCCCCAATGAAGAATTTCCACGCGGTGATTCCAAGTAAACGTAATAAAAGTAGATACTTGTACTAGTAAACTTGTAAATTATGCAAATCGTAGTAAATTACATAGAGGAATTCCATATGTAGATGGAGAATATCAAGGAGGGTACGATAGAGGTACCTAGTGAATCGTTAGGCTTACGTATGTATTCGGTATGTATTCATACCTAGGTATACCTAGGTAGTATACATAATTTATTAAATTACAGATAACTATGCGAAAGAAGATATTTATACGAATCCAAGTCCCTGGAGGTTGTCAACTTAAATGCTGGGGGATAAACCTTCCCTCGGAGATTAGATTGAACTTCGTCAAGTTCCGAGCCTCGGTTCCGCTTCCGCTTGTGCGGATTCCGCCCAACTTCATTTTATTCCTCTCTTTCTCATGTTCATCATACACAATGTCCGACCCTGAACGTCCCTCAGGCGAGGCGACTGACGTCCAGGCGGGGAAAGCACCCGCCATGAGCTCATGCGCGAAGCGACAACTGCTGGCCGCCTTGACAACAACCGATGTGACAATCCGCCGACTAGATCTGTAAGGTCCCTTTCGATCTTGATATGAGACAGCAACAGTTCGGGACGCGACACGGATCAAGAATATCGCTGACCGCTCCCGCAGACTACTCTCCGAGGCAAACGGACAAGAGCGAGTACTAGCGACTATCAACTATGTCGCCTCAATGCTCCATCACCTCACTGCGTCAGCGCCCTGGATAGCTTTACAAACAAGGCTGGGTATCCTTGCACGACTCAAGGGTCGTGTACCCCAAGAACGTCACCCCCGCATCGTCGAAATCGAAATTCGCGGCCCTTTGCTCCCTTGCATCGGAGACGAGATACAACTTGCGCTTGTTTGGGCTGCTTCCTTTGTGGATATGGGGCGCTGAAACGCTCAAGTCGCCGCCCGCCGACCCCATCCTCCACGCCCTGACCGTGCTGCAAGTCATCTCGAACGTCATCTATCAGCTTCTCGAGAACGTGGGCTACCTTGCTTCGAAGGGGGTTGTCTCGAAGCGGTTCGTGGACAAATATGGAGGCGTTGCGAAATGGGATATCTGGAGTACACGTGGGTGGTTCGGACACATCTTTTTCCAGTTCTTCGTGCTCTGGCGCCAGAGTGTGCTGCGCAGACAGCGGTTAGCCGCGCAGCGAGCGGCTGCTGGCACGGTCGAAACTAAAGAGACCAAGGCTGAAGATAGCGAGGCGTTGCGCTTGGAAATCCGGGCTTGGCGAAAGAGCTTGGTGAACAACGTCTTCTGGGCACCTTTGTGTTTGCACTGGTGTTTTGAGAAAGGCATCGGTATTCCCGATAGCATGGTCGGGATTATCAGCTTCTGTGCCGGAGCTTGGAGTCTCCATGATTGTTGGGCTGGAACCGCAACTGTTAAAGCATAGATGTTGGATTGCTTCTGTTCCTCGGCCTTTTCCCTTCTTTTCTATTTGTACAAATCCCCTCTTACTTGCACATATACCTGATGTTGACAGCGCACGGCACCTTGCTATTGGATTTGCATTTTCTAGGTTTACGCCAGCTTTTCGGAATACAGACCTGCCTCGACACAATTCGCTTCGATGGCTATAGCAGTGCTGGCGTTACTTTCGATCCAAGCCTGGCGAATCTACAAATAAACATACCATTTCATTCTCGGTATATCACCTTTCTTAATCCATAGTATTCGCATAGGCTAAATAGGTCTCCGTCTGAGGATCCCAAGATTCGAGTTGTCTGACATTGCCTGGTGTGTCCCTTCCAAGGTTGTCCTAGTCCAGCCAGAGTTCGATTTTCTTCGATTCTGGGGAAGTGAACCATGGCCTTTCTATATGCCCTTTAGGGTTGCTGTAGTCGTAATTCATCTTGTCAAGGGTCCCTCGGCTGAGTAGTAGGAGCAAGAGGACCGAAGTGCTTCCAATGGTTCTTGTCGCGATAGCGATGTTCAAGAGATACAGCCTCGTCTACTAAATACTTTCCCCTCGCAGGAAAAAAAAGGCTTAGATATTGATGTAATAATATATTTCACTTGGTGTTTAAATATTGACATGCTGTATTTAGTAGCTTTGTAGGTTCATCCTGCGTATAATAGCACCAAATGAGTTCACGGGTGTCATAGCGATTCGTAATCTCCTAATAAATCCATTCTTTCACATATGTCTACTCTTATTAAAGATGACTCCCCATTTAATGGACGGATGTGGTGAAAGTGAAACCCAGGTTGAGTGTATTATTGTAAGGACCTTGGTAACCATATTATTACTCCTGTCGCAATCATCCAGGCACCAAGGCGCCCCAATCGAATGAGTTCCATGCGCTTCGTTGTGGCGGACAACGCGATGACATAAGCGCCGGGCTTAAGTCATCATCATCAGTTCTAAGAACAAAGTAGGAAGCTCAACATCATCATTCCTGTTACCTACCTCTATCTCCACTTTGCCGTCGGATTCGCTCTCTGCCTCTGATCTATCGGTTCTTTTCCTTTTTCAGTACTCATCTCTCGTGCTCTTTTAAATCCGTGTCTCGCTCCGCCTGTTTCTGGGCACTGGACACCTTTGTTCACTCAAGCTTGCTTCCATCAACGTCACGACCCCGTTTACGGCCATCATGTCTTACGAGCCGGATCACACGCACGACAAGAAGAGGGTCCACTTGCAGTACGTTTCATTTGAACTGTTTTGATTATTTGAGTATGCTAACCGGACCTCAGGGACGCCTCGGGCGCCGAGAAGAAGGAGGTAAGCATTAACAGGACAGCTCACCAAAGGCTCCGAGCTGACGAAAATTGCAGGAGCTCGATACCTCCACTGCTATCTTGAAAAAGAAGAAGAAGCCCAACTCTTTGATGTGAGTAGCTGATAAAGAGATATCTGATGGGAGCAAGGAGCTAACGGATTTCATGCAGTGTGACCGATGCCATTAACGATGATAACTCGGTCATTGCCCTCTCGAACAACACTATGGAGACTCTTCAGCTCTTCCGTGGTGATACAGTCCTCGTGAAGGGCAAGAAGCGCAAGGACACTGTGCTGATCGTCCTGGCCGATGACGATCTCGATGATGGCAGCGCCCGCATCAACCGTGTCGTGCGTCACAACCTTCGTGTCAAGCACGGCGACATGATCACTGTTCACCCTTGCCCCGATATCAAATATGTAAGTTGAGAATTTTCACGTCATCTTTGGTATGATCTATTGGCTAATTCTATCTTCGTGATCTAGGCCAAGCGCATTGCTGTCCTTCCCATCGCTGATACCATTGAGGGTCTGACCGGCTCTCTCTTCGACGTCTACCTTGCTCCCTACTTCCGCGAGGCCTACCGACCAGTCCGACAGGGTGACCTGTTCACAGTACGAGGTGGTATGAGACAAATCGAATTTAAGGTTGTGGAGGTCGACCCTCCCGAATATGGCATTGTTGCCCAGGACACAATTATTCACTGCGAGGGCGAGCCCATCCAACGAGAGGATGAGGAGGGCAACCTCAACGAAGTTGGCTACGATGATATTGGTGGATGCCGCAAGCAGATGGCTCAGATCCGTGAACTGGTCGAGTTGCCTCTCCGTCACCCTCAGCTCTTCAAGTCCATTGGTATTAAGCCGCCTCGTGGTATCCTCATGTACGGTCCCCCTGGTACCGGTAAGACCCTGATGGCTCGTGCTGTCGCCAACGAGACTGGTGCTTTCTTCTTCCTGATCAACGGTCCCGAGATCATGTCGAAGATGGCTGGTGAATCAGAGTCGAACCTGCGCAAGGCCTTCGAGGAGGCCGAGAAGAACTCCCCTGCTATTATCTTCATTGATGAGATCGACTCCATTGCCCCCAAGCGTGAGAAGACCAACGGTGAGGTCGAGCGCCGTGTCGTTTCCCAGCTGCTCACCCTCATGGACGGTATGAAGGCCCGTTCCAACGTCGTTGTCATGGCCGCCACCAACCGTCCCAACTCCATTGATCCTGCTCTTCGTCGTTTCGGCCGTTTCGATCGCGAGGTCGACATCGGTATTCCCGACCCAACTGGCCGTCTTGAGATTATGCAGATCCACACCAAGAACATGAAGCTTGGTGAGGATGTTGATCTGGAGACCATTGCCGCCGAGACCCACGGTTACGTCGGTTCTGATCTTGCCTCCCTCTGTCTGAGGCTGCTATGCAGCAGATCCGTGAGAAGATGGATCTCATTGATCTCGATGAGGACACCATCGATGCTGAGGTTCTCGAGGCCCTCGGTGTCACCATGGAGAACTTCCGCTTCGCCCTGGGTGTCTCCAACCCCTCCGCCCTTCGCGAGGTTGCTGTGGTCGAAGTTCCCAACGTTCGCTGGGACGACATTGGTGGTCTCGAGGAGGTCAAGCGCGAGCTTGTCGAGAGTGTCCAATACCCCGTGGACCACCCCGAGATGTTCCAGAAGTTCGGTCTCTCGCCTTCTCGCGGTGTGCTGTTCTATGGTCCTCCTGGTACTGGTAAGACCATGTTGGCCAAGGCTGTTGCCAACGAGTGTGCTGCCAACTTCATCTCCGTCAAGGGCCCTGAGCTTCTGAGCATGTGGTTCGGTGAGTCAGAGAGCAACATCCGTGACATCTTCGACAAGGCCCGTGCCGCTGCTCCTTGTGTCGTCTTCCTTGACGAGCTGGATTCCATCGCCAAGTCTCGTGGTGGCTCTGTCGGTGACGCCGGTGGTGCCTCCGACCGTGTTGTCAACCAACTTCTTACTGGTAAGTTACCGTTGTTACATTCTTTCCTTGCTCCGAATATGCACTAACGCCCTCACAGAGATGGATGGTATGACTTCTAAGAAGAACGTCTTCGTCATTGGTGCTACCAACCGTCCCGAGCAGCTTGATGCTGCTCTGGTCCGTCCTGGTCGTCTTGACACCCTGGTCTACGTCCCCCTGCCTGACCAGGAGTCCCGTGAGGGTATCCTCAAGGCCCAGCTTCGCAAGACTCCTGTCGCGGGCGACGTCGACATTGCCTTCATTGCCAGCAAGACCCACGGCTTCTCCGGTGCCGATCTCGGCTTCGTGACACAGCGTGCGGTCAAGCTCGCCATCAAGCAGGCTATCTCCGCCGACATCGACCGCCAAAAGGAGCGCGAGGCTGCCGGCGAGGACATCACGATGGGTGAAGAGGAAGAGGAAGTGGAAGACCCCGTGCCCGAGCTCACTCGTGCTCACTTCGAGGAGGCCATGAAGTCCGCCCGCCGCTCCGTCAGCGACGTCGAGATCCGCCGCTATGAGGCCTTCGCCCAGAGCTTGAAGAACACCGGAGGCGGTAGCTTCTTCCGCTTCCCATCTGCTGGCGAAGTCCAGGAGAACGATACCTTCGGGGAAGCCGGCAATGACGACAGCCTCTACGATTAAACGCTTTTCTTCGAGGTGATATGACTTGTTTTTCCTTAGTTCAGCCATGCCCGGGTTTCTGCGCTCGGATTCGCTTATGAATAGATCGTTTTGCGTGGGTGGAAATGCGGGCCTGTTTGCTGGGCTTTCATGGGGTTTCCTTTTCGATTCGTTTCTTCCTGTTTTTGCCCACATACAATGTGCCATAATAGCCAATACAGAGAAATCTCTACGTTCATTGGTGTTGTCGGGTTGTAGTGTCCATGGTATTGTAAGTTTAATTTTGCGATAGAACGAATGTTGGTCTTCTCTTTTCGGACGACAGTCTACATGTAGTAATATTCGCTCTGGCAGAAACAATAGCCGGTTGTACCTGGAGCAATAACTACGTGTATGTATGTAGTGATCCATTCATGTTCTTATCCTCTACTGCTTTATGAATGGTCAAAAATAATATATATCAAACACCCATGGCTTCGAGACTCGGTCAATCGGTAAATCGGTCAATCGGTCAATTCCCTCCGATATAAATTTGGACTCGGCACTTCAGTTCTCGGCCTAAAGCCGAAAGCCCCACCTTTTTCGGTGCTTAGTTGAAGCCGAGAGCGAACGTTGGACTGGAACCGTAAGAGATTTCGTGCTTTTGCGTGCTTTCACTGGTCCATTTGCTAATTTCTATGGAGTTTGGGGCCTTTTTCCGATTCTTATTTATAATTTGGCGTCTCCATCGCCACATGGAATCCACATGCAGACATGGACTTGCGGAATACTCCGTAAATCCTATCAAGATCAGTTGACCAGGCGCATATACACCATGAAAAGAAGGCCTTCATTGGCTTGACATGGATATGGCATGACACGGCTATATAATTTGGGCCCAAAGGATGTGTCGGTTAAGTGCACTGCGGACATAGTGGAGGAGCGAACGACCGATCTTACAATAGCGAATGAGCTAGGTCTCCACAACCCTTTTCTTTTTTTTTTACAAAGCTTTGTAGTCTTTAGCTCCGAGTCTTATCCCCTTCTGGAATATCTGCGATGTTCTTATATTATTGCCCCGAGGGCCCTATGGCCCCTATCTCGGAAGGTTCTTTCCATACCTTGTTTTCTCCAATATCACACTTGGATAGTCTTGCGCATACCTCTATCTACCTACATAGGTATTTGGAGCAATGAGTCCCCAACCATTTGACTCAACTACAACCACGCCGCGTCTCAGCATGGAACACAGTTCCATCGAGGCAGGCACCAACACTGCTCAGGACAAGAGCGAAACAGACGTCGAGAAAGCGGCCGACACCCCAAAAAAGCCCGATGACTCCAGCGCAGATCCTGACCTTGTCGACTGGGATGGCAAAGATGACCCCGAGAACCCCCAGAACTACTCTAATCGGCGCAAATGGGCCATCACATTAACCATGTCCTCTATGACTGTGTGGATCACATTCGCATCCAGCGTCTTTTCGACTGCAACACTGGTGACTGCGAAGGAGTTCAATGTATCGACTGAAGTAATGGTTCTCGGCACCAGTCTGGTTGTTTTCGGTTTCGCTCTAGGTCCCCTGTGCTGGGCACCGCTGAGTGAGCTATACGGTCGTCGCATCCCGCTGTTCTCAGGCTACCTCATCTTCGCCATCTTCCAGATCCCCGTGGCTGTCGCCAAGAACCTCGAAACCATTCTTGTCTGCCGGTTTCTCATGGGTGTCTTTGGTTGCTCTCCTTTGGCCGTCGTTGGCGGTGCCTTGGCTGATATCTGGAACCCCGTGGACCGCGCGGTGGCTATTGCTCTTTTCAGCTCAGCTACTTTCATGGGACCTGTTCTTGGCCCAATTATGTGAGTACTCAAATCGCCTCAAGATACCCTTGAAACACATCCCCAAACACTATCCAGAAGCTAATATTCCTCAGCGGTGGTTTCCTCACAGATTCATACCTTGGCTGGCGCTGGACCGCATGGATCACCTTGATTGCATCCGCCTCCTTCGGTCTAGTTGCTTTCTTCGTCATTCCCGAGACCTACGGCCCAGTCCTCTTGCAAAAGAGAGCTGCCCGTCTTCGCGTTGAAACCAACAATTCCGCCCTCCATTCCTTCTTGGATCTGCACAAGCCCACAATGTCAGACATCGTTACCAAGTACCTCTTCCGACCATTCCAGATGCTCGTGCAAGAGCCGATCCTGGTCGCCATGACCATCTACCTCGCCCTAGTTTACGGAATCCTCTACCTCTTCTTCGAGGCCTACCCGATTTCTTTTGGTGAAGTTCGCGGTTGGACCCACACAGGAATAGCTGCCCTCCCATTCATCGGTATTCTTATCGGCGTCTTGCTCGGTGCCTGTCTCATCATATACACCACGAAGACTCGTTTCGCACGCAAACTTGCAAAGCATGGCAAGGTCGTTCCCGAAGAGCGCCTCGTGCCAATGATGATCGCCTCTGTGTTGCTGCCAATCGGTCTGTTCTGGTTCGGCTGGACTTCCAGCCCAAATATCTCATGGGTGCCGCAGGTCATTGCCGGCGTCCCTATCGGCCTGGGTATCCTGGTTATTTTCATGCAGGGTCTCAACTACCTCATTGATGTGTACATGATGTTCGCCAACTCCGCCATCGCGGCCAATACTCTCGTCCGTTCGACCTTGGGTGGCGCGTTCCCGCTCTTCGCTACACAAATGTACCGGAATCTAGGTGTGTCGTGGGCATCTAGTGTTCTGGGATTCATTACTGTGGCTATGATTCCCATTCCCATTTTGTTCTTTATCTATGGGTCCAGAATTCGCGCTATGAGCAAGTTCAGTCCTAAGTTCTAGGCGATTCTGTACCTGTCTCTCGTTTTCAAGCGCACAATAAATACATAGATCGCATTGGGGGATTGCTTCTCGCATGCATTATTATGATGGCAAGTCTGTGAGGTCAGGTCGCTTTTGATACAGGAGACCTCAAAGGGCTGTCTGCTATTTTATGACAAGAGCTTACGTACACGTACCACAAGGCATATTTTAATCAATACTATTAATATCTCTAGAACTTGGTCTCCATATCTGATGTAGTAATTTATCTGGGTAGAACGGATATTCAAAGTTATATCACCCGAAGGCTGCTCTATCATCAGTCGAAACAATGTGAACATGATACCTACTGAACCTTGAGGATTTATTTTGCCATTGTTTTCATATGCTCTTTGGCTGGGAGTTTGTTTCCTCTAGACTTGTGATGCGTAGAAACTGTGCAGAAACTGTTGTGCAGGGTGCCCTTGTCTCTTAAAGAAGCTCAGGAGGGACGTATCTTGAAAGAAGACTTCTAGGTGAGACAAACAAGTGCAATCTAGGCCCTATATGAGTTGGAAGTGGACATGGATATCATGTCAAAGTTATGAATCCAGATATGAACAGATTTAACATTATTTTCCCGAGTAAATAAACGATCTCAAACCGTACCGTATGACACCTGTAGCACCGACTTTGTAGGGCAGGACGCGGTCCCGTGCGACGCGTCCTGGGCGGTCAACCTCCACCCAAACTCCCGAGTTGAAACTCTCCACCTCACCAGTCCATGTGAGAACTGCGACCATCCACGATGCCTTCGCGCTCTCGCCCAGGTCCTCCCGAGCTGGAGGAAGACTCGGGGCTTCGCAGTCTGTCCTTCAACCAGCCGCTCTCATGGCGCGTGGGGCGCTCCGCCATCCCCATCGCGGATCTCCTCGAACGTCTCCAGACTCTCGCGCAGGAACTCCGCAAACTCGACCAGGAGGAAATTGATAAGGAATCGCTACGGAAAGTGTCCCAGGAACTCGCCAGTGGGAACTTGCTTGCCCACAAGGATAAGGGTGTCAGAGCATGGGCTACGTGCTGCATCGTTGATGTATTGCGACTATGCGCACCGGACGCGCCTTTTACGCGCAATCAACTGAAGGTGGGGACATCGAAGAGACACAAAATTTGTGTTCTATCTGTGCGATCAAGGAATGTACTGACTGAGCCCAATTTAGGATATATTCACATGTATCGTGTCCTCGATAATCCCCGCTTTAGCCGACCCATCCAACGCCTACAATGCCCAGCACATCTACGTCCTGGGGTCTCTCGCTGAGGTGAAGAGTGTGGTTTTGATGGTCGATCTTGACCACCCGGACTCGCTGATTGTCCCGTTGTTCACCAGCTGCTTCGACATCGTTTCGGGTTCTTCGAAAGCATCCACCGGTGAGGAGGTGGCTAAGAATGTCGAGTTTGATATGACCCGAGTACTTGTCACCGTGATCGATGAATCGCTCGTCCTGGCCCCCGAGGTAGTGGACATTATCGTCGCCCAATTCCTCCGAGTCGACCCGCGAGTGATGGACAGCTCCAACAAGAAGGGAAAGCGACCAGATGCCCCGCTTGATGCCAAGCAGGACACCCTTCTACTGAAGGACTACCCGGCCGCCTATAATATGGCCAAGGCTATTTGCCAGGCCTGCCCAGAACGAATGACCAGTCACATCAGCCAGTACTTTAACAACGTCATCATCGATGCGTCTGTGCCAGCTGCCCAAACGAATGGCTCTAAGCATTCCCGGAAACCTAACCTCGACGACTCGGACGAGGAGGGAGAGGATATTAAGGAATTGAGCAAGGCACATCGTCTGATCCGGGAGCTTTGGCGTGCTTGTCCAGAGGTCCTGCAGAATGTTATTCCGCAGATTGAAGCAGAACTCTCTGCCGAATCAGTGGCCCTACGTTTATTAGCGACTCAGACGATCGGAGACCTCGCGGCCGGAATCGGTGTTGCAGGTCCCCCCCCCCTCCTCCCATGGACCCGACAACCTACCCGCCAGTGTCACTGGTAGATTACGACAAGACCATTCCCCAGCTCAATGTTTTGTTGACCCCCGTATCACCCAAGCCTTTCTCTCAAGTCCACACCTCGGCCTACGAAGCCTTCTTGAGCCGTCGCCTTGACAAGACACCATCAGTTCGTGCTGCCTGGGTCACAGTTGTGGGGCGAATCCTTCTAACTTCAGCTGGAGGCTCTGGCCTACATGAAAGCGAAGAACGCAGCCTTGTCAGAAATCTGGCCTCGATGCTCCGCGATGTTGATGAGAAGGTTCGTGTGGCTGCAGTGGATACTGTTGGGCAATTTGGGCTTTCCCAAATCGCCAACAAGCTAAGTGTGGATGGTGGCTGTTCATCACCAGACTCGGTTCTTGCTATTCTTGCTGAGCGAGTGAAGGATCGTAAGCCGCATGTCCGTGAACACGCCATGAAGATTTTGGCTCGCATGTGGGCCGTAGCTGCTGGTGACATCGAGCAAAATACGGAGCCCGTCGTGTCCCTTCTCAAAGACGCACCATCCAAAATATTTGATGCATTTTACACCAATGATCAAGAAATCCATATTCTGATCGACCGAGTCCTGTTTGAGACGCTTCTGCCACTTCCTTATCCCCCTATCAAGTCGAAACTCTCTCGAGGCAACTCGAACCAATCACAAAAGCAGAAGGATAGTCAGGCATCTGAACCGGAGCAAGAGACAGATGTTGACAAGATTCGTGTTCGCCGAATTCTTACCCTGCTCCGAGGGTTGGATGAAAAAGCGAGGCGAGTCTTTTTCGTTATGTTGGCCCGTCAATTGTCAATGAGATCGGCAGTGACCCTTTACTTAGAGGCTTGTGAGAAGTACAATGGTGGTGTTGTCGACAAGGACGAGGAACAGATTAAGACACAATTGTCCAAGATCATTGAGTCATTATCCAAAACCTTCCCAGATGCCTTGCGCGCATCGACAGACTTGTGGAAGTTTGCCAAGGTGCATGATCGACGGAGCTATCAGCTGGTTCGCTTCACCATGGCTGCTGTGAGTGATTATCGCACTGTTGTGAAGGCCACGAAGGAACTTCAGCGGAGGGTCCAGAGTGCAAATAACTCTCCCTGCTGGAAACATTGACACCTCTTGTGTATCGCTGTGGATCTTTGATCTTCAACCGGAGCCACATCCCGGCGATCATGAGTTTGTCCCGAACAGATGAAAATGGATTGGCAAATGCCGCACAGGAGATGTTGAAACAAATATCATCTCAAAATCCGGAAGTTCTAGAGGCACAGGTCCAAGAAATGTGCAAAGACCTCGAGGCTCAAGCCCCCAAGGCTTCTTCGGCTGGTGATGGCAGTCCCGAAGACATTTTGAAGGCTTGTGCTGGTTTCGCTAAAAAGCTTCCCGCTAAACTTCCCAAAGAGCGCAAGTTCTTCCAGGCTCTGGCCAACTACGCCCTTTACAGTTCATCGCCGCATTCTGCAAAACATGCTGTCTCAATTCTCATGGCCACGGCGGACCGAAGAGAGATGTATGCGAAAGATTTGGTGCAGAAGTGTGTTGAGAAGTGGACGTACGGATCTGATCGATTCCTTACTCGCCTGGCTGCTCTGTCGCAGCTGAACCTCCTTGCCCCGAGAGAAGCAGACGAAGAAAGCGATGCTATCATTTCGATTGCCATCAACCAGATCCTGCTCACCAATCGCACCCCCGAACCAAACTCTGAATATAACTGGTCAGAGACAGTTGATGATGAGACCCATGCTAAAGAATGGGCATTGAAAATCATCGTCAACCGCCTTCGGGCTAAGGATGGGGCAGACAATGAAGCTGACTTCCGTGCCCACGCAAAGCCTGTCTACGAAACATTGAATAAATTGGTGGTCGGTGAAGGCGAGATTTCTAAGAAGAAAGATACCCCTGCGTGCCAAAAGTCACGCCTTCGCCTCCTCGCTGCCAAGTCTTTGCTCAAACTGTGTGCTTCTAGCACTGTCTGTGACAGTCTTCTGACGCCGTCCGATTTTAACACAGTCGCTTTGGTTGCCCAAGATCAGCTCTTGCAGGTGCGAAGTGGATTCATCAACCACCTGAAGAAGAAACTCGTGCAAAAGTCACATCTGAGCCACCGATGGTACATCGTCCCCTGTTTGCTTGCTTTCGAACCTGTTCATAGTCTGAAAGAGAGCACGCTTACATGGCTACGATCCCGAGCGGCATACTTCGCCCAACAGGCGCAAGCCAGTGGGAAACGAACCGAACAGACCATGGTCATGGAATTGATCTTTTCGCGTCTCCTGTCTTTGCTTGCTTACCACCCTGATTACCCGTCCGAGGATCTGGACGAGCAACGAAACTCGGCGATCTGACCGACTTCTCTCAATATATCCTTTTCTACCTCTCCGCAATTGCCAATGAACAAAATATGTCGTTGATTTTCCACGTCGGACAGCGCGTCAAGCAATTCCGCGATGGCATCACCAAATCAGACGAGATTTCCACCCGCCTCCACACTCTATCTGATCTGGCACAAGCGACTATTCGCCGGTTCGCAGATATCTACTCCCAACAACACAAGTTTGGCGGCGCCGCCGGCGCAACCAACATCTTGCAAACCTATCCTGGAAAGATGGGCGTCCCCAGCTCCCTCTTCACTTCCATGAGCAGTCACCGCGAAGCCCAAGACGTCGCTGACAAGAACTTCCTTCCAGATGAGTTGGACGATTTGCTAGATCGCGTCGTCAGAATTGCAATGAAGCCCAGGAGTAACTCTACCCACGCTTCGCAGGGCGGATCAAGCAAGAAGCGAAAGCCCGAGTCTCTTGATGCCAACGGAAAATCCTCCGTGGCCAAAAAGGCACGCAAGGAAAAGACTTCTCGTCCCGCTCGCAAGTCCACATCATCCACCAGTGCAGCTGCCAAGTCGAGACGGAAATCAAAGGACGACGACGGTTGGTCTTCTGACGGAGGCGCTGGAGGCGCCGTAACCACTTCCTCTCGCAGGCGCAGCGTCCGAGGCACCGCGAAGGCGGAAGTCAGCTATATCGACAACGACAGCGACGATGCCGACATGGAGATGGCAGAGTGGGATAAACCCCAAGAAAAAGACGACGGCGAAGATGAAGCGGGGGAAAGTGAGAACGAAGACGTCCAAGAAATGGACGATGATCAAGAACCCGCTGAGGATGATGAGGCCGAGGCCAGCGAGAAGGAACCCACGCCGCCTCCTGCAAAGAAGCGAGGCGGAAAGACCGCTGCTGCGAAGGGCGATGCCAAAAAGCCTGAGGCAAAGAAGCCCTCGACAGCCAGCTTGCCTTCGCGACGCTCTTCCCGTCGTGGATAAGGGCCTCTCCAGGGTTACATGGGACATAAAATGGCCAACTGTGTGTTCACGTACGGGCCATATCTCTCATTTCGTCTAAGACACACCTTCAATGGCCATTTATCTATGAGTCTCCAGCCAAGATCTTCGGGGCATAAACGTCTGGTATTGATCTTATTGCTGTTCTCAAAATCCAAATAAGTTGTGCGATTACTGCGCGGATCGTTCCCGTCGATATTCATATTCATATTCATATTCATATCCTGATTCCCATGTTATTTTCTATGGTTTCACAATTTCGTCCCCATCTTGTCTTCTGTTTCCTTGCAGTTAGTGATGGTTCGAGATGTATACCCCATCTGCCTTTTTTTTCTCTCTGCTTGAAGTTTACATCGGTCTTTTGCCCGAGATTTCACGAATGTCTCTCTCTCTTTGCGTATTCCCGTCAGATATATGCTTTCTATCTGTAAATGAATTGAACTTTGTTTCAAATTACTTCTTTACGTCGTATTGGGCATTGGAAATGGACAAGCTAAGTATTAGGCTGTTGTCTTGTACTCACATCTATCTATACCGACTCTCGACTAGTCCAGTCTTCCTCAAGCATAGCATGAATAGTCGCATCTCCAACCGCAGTGGCAATCCACAGCCCCCATGAGATATTTCCCTGGATACCCTTTTCAAAGAACAGCTTAGGAAAGCTTCCCTAGAGCTGAGAGATGGCGATCACAGCTACTGTGTAAGTCTTTCGGAAATAAAATAGTTGTGTACAGCGTGTAGTTGGCATCTACTCAACAGGCAGTATAAGGGGATTCTCGTGAGTCTGGAGAAGAAGTAGATGGATTGAATTGACCAAATGTGTAAAAAGAATATAAGCGATCTGAAAGAGAGGTGAAAGTAATCACACAAGACGCCGTTGTCATCACTTCATGAACGAAATTGACTATGGCTGAGATCCACTGGCTGGAGAGGGAGAGGCATGTGCTCCGGGGACCGCGGCAGTCCCGAGAGCTGGACTGGCACTCGCACTTCCGCCATCGGGGTTGCTACCACTACTAGCCTTTGCGAGCCGCTCTTCGACCCGCTCCTTGTGTTGCCGGTTGCGAAGATGGACTTCAAAGTTGTCCACTGTCATGCCCGGGCCCGGGGTGTACAGCTTTCCGGGGCAGTCGTGGCAACGGATACGGGGGAGGTATTGGTATTTGATATTTTGGCCAGCCTGGAGGTTGTTGGGATTCGCCACGGGGGCCAGGGTTTCAGTATCGACGGCGGAATAACGCATCACACCTTCGAAGGAATCGTTGGGGTGAGATTGTTTCAACTTGCTGAGACCGGCTGCCAGCCAGTTGGGTGGTGGGGGCTGCAGAGACACAGGGTCAGCCATGGGCCAAAAACTGGGGTTAAAATCTACTCACGCCAGGGACACCAGGCTGCGGAGGGTTCGGTGCATCAACAGCACCGGTTTGTTGGGGACGCGGGGGAGGATGAAGTCGGGATTGTTTATCGGACGGAGGTGCCATCGTGCGGGATGCTTGGCCTACGCTGGAGTGCGCAGATGCAATGCGTCTTCCGTTTCTCAGATCGACCAGCTTGTCGCGCGAAATCTTAAGTCTCACTATTAACTTATCAGAGTCATCCACACTCTCTTCTCGGTATTGCTGTCTTCGGGCCGAGACTCGGGGCTCGTGGTACACTGGTTCGGGAGTTGCAGATTGTCCAAGGCTGGCACGAAGCGCGGCATGAGCTGCGGACGCCGCACCTCGCATGCCTCTAGTACGAGCAGTTCCTTGTGCAAGGTTGGGCCCAATTGCAGGAGAGCCAACAGAGGAGTCGTCGCTATCGAACTCATCTGAGTCATCATCTCCCCGGTGTCCAGTCATTCCACGACGGCGGCTGGAACCGGTACGCTTAATCACATTGCTTTCATCCAGGGAGCCCACTGAGTTTGGTATCACGGATGAAACAATCATGGTACGAATCGTGCGTTGACGGTCCTTGAGATCTGGCAAAGCAGGACCACCGCGGCGGTTAATTGACCGTTTCTGGCGACGTTGCTCTCGAGATATTGAGATTTCGGTACGTTCGAGATCTGCCTCATTCAACTCATAAAGATAGGGCGTATGCTCCTTAGCAGATTGGTATGGTCGGAAGGCGGAAGCCACAGGTGTAGGGAGGAATGAGGTGTGGAGGTCTGGGTCCTCAATTGGACGGCCATCGAATGGGTGAGCGACAATGTACAAGGATTTGGTGAAGAGTTGGGACTGTTCGCGGATTGAATGGGCGATGGCGGTAGTGAATTCACCAGACAGTGATAAATCATCCGTCATGCATAATGCGAATTCTTCGGGAGAATTATTGGGATCATTGATATCCCACTCGAACTGGTCGATGAGGGTGTGTTGACCGATGGTGATGTTGAGCTTGATTGAAATGCGCATCTCATCGTTTTTGTACGCGGTGTAGGGTAATTGAGGATCAAGAGGGTCTTCGTGTATGTTGAGATGCGGGTAATAGTCTATCACCTGCTCCTGGATGCTCTGGGAGATCATTCTCGTCAAAGGGACCGAACTCTCTACCGCGAGCCCCAGGTCTTCAACCAGTTTCTCTGCAAACAAATCTGGAGACACAACACGATCATGAAGGTTCCACGTGAAAGTATCGCGGATCTTGACCTTTTCCCAATCGATGTCCAAGCGGATAGGGACCAGATCCTCAATCTGCTCGTTCTGCATCTTTGCGTCACGTCGTGAAATGCGTAATTCTCGCGTCTTTCTATTTCCGGGCCGGCGTCGATGAGTCGGGTAGAGAAGTTGAGGGTGTTGATTGCGAAGGTCGGTACGAGGGTTTCCAAATCCCTCATAGCCCACACCATACAATGCGGCTGGGTTTAACTGATTTTCGCGTCGTACAGCCAAATAGAAGTCGCGTTCCGCTCGCTTATTCTTCTGTATTTCCTGGCTCGGATTTTGCCAGGCAGCTGCGGCCGAGTGCTGGAATTCGCGATCAACGTACTGTTCCAGGAGAACCTTATCCAGTGGCGTTTCGCGGGCGCGTACAGCCATGGCCCCGGAGGCCTCTGTGGACTGAACAGCAGATCCATCACGAGATCTCTTTCTCGCGGGGCCATGCGTCCCATTTGAATGGGACGTACCATTGGAAACCTCACTGCCGGGTTCCGACGAGGCTGACACACCAGAGGCAGCTAGCATAGCCTTTGCGCTTTGCTTTCCCTCTGCAATTGTATCTGGCGTATGACCATTTGTTGATTGGTTTGTCCCAAGGTCGATGCTATCTGGACCTTGCTCCCCCGTGTCCGACGCGCCAGAGCTGTTCTGGACACCCGATGGAGGGTCCCCAAACGATTGCTCTGAGGGCAGCGAGCCAGCCGTCACTTCAGGGGATGGCATTGTGGGTGGTCTATTGAATGCGAAACGAACGTCTGACGCCACTCGTATAATCTTCGAAGCTCGGAGTGGCTCTCAACGCGACAGGGATAGGTTCGGGTCGGTTACCGTAGCATTATGGGATGGAACCTGTTCATGCGATCAAACCATCATTAGCAGATGCCTTCCGATAGTGGAATACACTATCCATCACCGTCGCGACCGTGCATCCAATGTCATCTGGGGGATGAGCTTGATGGATGGACGTGTCGCAACGGGCGCATGTCCCGAACACGCCACAAGTCAACCGTTAAGGGTGTGCAACAGGTTGAATAGGATATAATATGGAAATTATGGATAGGGAAACCAAATGGGAAGGAATCGAACATACCAGGGCCGAAGGGGAGAGAGCTGTCGCCGATGTTCCTTGAATGGACCAGTCGGGAGTTCCAGCGCAGAATCCGCTCCGGATCGGTTGGGGCCAAGTCAGCTGACCTTCTTCGTCAATCGATTGCGATTATCCCAATCGACGTGATTCTTTCCCAGGAGATTCCTTTAAATTGGGGGAGCTGTGGTAGTGTGTCTTTTAAAGCCGGGGTGAGGGTGAAAGAGGCAAAGGAGAAGGAGGGAGAGTACCCGTTACAAGTGTCCGCACCCGTCTAAGATTGTAAAGCAAAGAAACGCGCCATTCAATCTCTATGCCCAACAACCACAAGGTGATTATCAATTAAGGTATAAGGACTACTTTTAAGATATTTTGAGGTTATTCCCAATGTTCATCTATGCGCTCCAGACCAACCTATGACCCCGTTTACCAATTTTACATACGGTCATGTGACCCACGTGTGTGTTACATAATGTGACCTCGGAACTTCCATGGATGTCTTGGCATATTCATCGAAACTCATTGATAAAGTACCTATTCGGTCTTAGAGTGTCAAGTCCACAATAACAGCGCGGTGATCCGAGCTCAAAACACCATCGTCGAACCGATTCCCTAGCACTGCATATCCAATGACTGCCAATCTCTGGCCTTGAGCCCCGGTGGGTCTCACCAGAACATAGTCAATACGCGAAGCTGGCTCATCCTCGTACCCAAACCCAGTCCAAGTAATGTGGTTACCATATCGTCTCGGGCTTTCAACTTGCTTATATGCATCAAGCAAGCTTCTTGTCAACTCTTGGTAAGCTTCTTGGTTCTCTTCGCTGTTGAAATCGCCGGCCAAGAAAGTGCCCGAGATGAGCTTTGCGAATTTGTTCTGGCTGTATTCGGAAATTTTGTCGATAATGATACGTGCAGCCTCGAATCGAGACTGAGATCCCTGGTCATCAAGATGGGTGTTCATGGCAAGGACCGTGTTCCGACTGGTCCGATGAGTGAAGACACCGATGGTGACAATGCGGATAGAGGCCGCGTCCCAACTCTTGGACGGCGTTTCCGGTGTTTTGGATAGCCATACTGTCTCCCAGTGTAATAACTCCCACACTGCTGGTCTGTAAACGATGGGAGAGTATTCCCCAGCCTCGTGGCCATCGTCTCTCCCAACGCCGATATACTCCCATTCTGGTGTTTCGAGCTCTGCATCCTGATTCAATCCATCCAGGATATCACCAAGTTGGTTGTGAAGAACTTCTTGTAGGCAGAGAAAGCTTTCTGCACAATGACGAGTCTCGTATTCGAATTCATTCAACAGCAATTGTCTGCGCTCAGCCCAGGGCTGTTCGCCTTTGAACGGAGATGAGGTTGCATATCGGATATTATGTGTTAAAACCCGGATGGGAAGTTTTGTGGAACTCATAATGTGGAATACAGAAAACTTGATGATGGAACTACCAGCAATGGTGCGGGTACATCCATGGATAGCTCTATATCGTGGGTTTACAACGAGTGAGGGGAATGTTGCAATGCCTAAGGCTAGCACTATGCTCGAGACAAGCCACACAGGGCCCACCTTGGTCACGGTGTGGAGGTTACATATGTACGATGTACCGATGGAGGTATGTTACAGAGTATAAAGTCGTTTTGTATATAGGGACTGTGCTTTTCATGGGTATTCTACGGTTGGCGGCCAGTGATTCACCTATCTACAACTAAAACAAAGAAAGTTGTCGAGAAATCATGAGCTTGTTTAACAAACGGGACTTGAGCAAGTCAAATATATCCATACAATTGAATATTCGCTTCTTTGATTGTACTGGAATCATGGTCTGTATGGGGCTTTATGCTAACCTTTTGCTGACCCTCGCATAGCAAGAATCAGAATCTCGAAGAATGACAAGCCCAGGTTCATCGATATATCTCCAGGGATGTGTAAGAGGGGAAACGCTGGTCAGGTGAGGAGAAGCTACGGGGGATTGGAGTAGGAGGTCTGAGCGATCCTGGCGGAATCCGGGGTATCAGACACATTTACGGTCTATATGACAAAAAAAAGCAGTAAATCTAGCTAGATAAATTCTACTTACATGTTCTCTTAAGTCGAATCAATGGCGTCGTTCAAGTATGAAGTCAAGGGAGAGATTGCCATGACGTCTTCGGCAAAGCCCTAGGTAACAGGCCTGAAACATCAGGCGACCACCCAACCCCACCAACGCTAAACGCCCTCTCGACGCTCTGCACACGACTCGATCTCGGTCCATTCCTCTCCTCTAGCTTCACACGGGTTTACAATCCGAACACTTTTTTTGAAACCACTTGCATTTATTTGTTTATTACAGCTCCACGAGCTCAATTCACTTCACAATGGCGGAAGAGAAAGCACCCGAGGTTGGTATGTAAACTTCATGGAAAGCTCTGACGTTTGTGGGCACTGAGCCCAATATGGGCCATGAGCTCGCTGGCGCTCACCACAACAAAGAAAATATGTTCGATTCATAGACCGTGACTAATTATGCGATTCTTTCTAGATTACACCCTCAACAACCCCGATACCTTGACCAAGTACAAGACCGCTGCGCAAATTTCTCACAACGTTCTCGACGCTGTCTCCGGTATGTTGCGCAGGACTCCCAGTGTCTCATTTTGTGATCTAACTTTCGAATAGCTCTTTGCTTGGAGGGAGAGAAGATCGTCGAGATCTGTCAGAAGGGTGACAAGCTCCTCGAGGAGGAGATTGCCAAGGTCTACAAGGGCAAGAAGATTGTCAAGGGTTGGTCCAACCCCTTCTCTGCACAATCAGTGGCAGAAGAACCACATAAACTGATCATAACTTGTAAATTAAGGTATCTCTCACCCCACGACTGTCTCCCCTAGCTCCTATGTGACCCCCCTACACTCCTCTGGTGTCCGATGCCGCCGAGGCCGAGACTACTCTGAAGGCCGGCGAGGTCGTCAAGATCCAGCTTGGTGCTCAGATCGATGGATTCGGAACCATCGTTTGCGACATGGTGGTCGTTCCCAAGAAGGACTCCGCCAAGGAGCCTGTTACCGGCCGTGAGGCTGATCTCATTCTCGCTACTCACTACGCCAACGAGGTCCTCCTGCGCCTCATGGTTCCCCAGGGTCTGTTGGCTCAGGGTACCGACGAGGAGAAGAAAAAGGCCGCGGCCCAGAAGGCCCCTACTCAGGCCTACATGTCTTCTCTGCTCGAGAAGATCGCCAAGACCTACGACTGCAATGTCGTCGAGAACACCACCAGCTGGTTGTTCGGCCGCAACGAGATTGAGGGTGAGAAGAAGATCATCCTCTCTCCCGGTAACGGTGTCCGCGGTGACGGTGTCCCCGAGGTCGGCGAAGTTTGGGGTGTTGAGGTTGGCCTCAGTCTGGGATCCGGCAAGGTCAAGAACCTCGATCACCGTGCTACCCTGCACCGCCGTACCACCACCACTTACGGCCTGAAGCGCCCCAGCTCCCGCCAGACTCTGTCGGAGGTTGTCAAGAAGTTCGGTACTTTCCCCTTCAGCTTGCGCCAGCTTGAGGACGAGAAGGCCGCCAAGGTCGGTGTTGTTGAGTGTGTTCGTGGTGGTGTCCTGCGCCAGTACGAGCCCGCCGGCGAGACCGACGGTTCCCCTGTCTCTCGTCTGCTGAGCACCGTTGGTAAGTACCATTGAATTTGCGTGGAGATTATTTTGACCCATAAGCTAACCCCACTCACAGCCATCACCAAGAACGGTCTCACCAAGCTCGCTGCTGCCAAGCCTGTCGATCTCGAGCAGATCAAGTCTGACAAGAAGCTCGAGGATGAGGAGATTCTCAAGATCCTTGAGCAGCCCCTTGCCCGCTCTACCGGCAACAAGAAGAACAAGAGCAAGAAGAAGACCAAGACCACCGGCGGTGATGAGTAAATATGAGTCAATGCTCTCAACAATCTTCCCTGGCCATCATTTTCATGCAATACACTTTTGATATAGTGTAGGACGATTTGTCCACTCTGAATTCAAAACAGATATCCAATGACGAGCCTCACTGCAGGTCATACGAAATCTATCCAAAAACAAAAGAGAAGCACTTGATTTTTCCAATGACATGCGACAGGGCTGGCAATGCCAACCCATTTCTGGAAACCTCGGTATATACTTTATCGACGAGCTTGGTGCTGGGAGATCTCCTTCTTGTGCTTTTCCTTGGAGGCCTGTCTGTCTTGTATGTAGCAATTGGAGCAGACTCCGAGGACCAAATCAAGACGTTGCCAGTCTGTACTCGTGTGCACTGTAAATGTACAAGACGTTCTATTGAGACACTAGCCGTTGTAATGCTCCATTACTTCCGTATATGCTTGTCCATGTCGAATCTCACCGTAATTGTTCGAGGCAGCTCATCGCTCGAGGACAAGATCGAAGATCGACCAGAGACATGTGGAGACCTCGACTGCTCGAGAGAAGGACAATGTCTAAATGTTTATAGGTGAGTCTTCCCTGGCTTTCTTTCGGAGTATGTAATGGTATAAGACTATCCTAAGCTAACTATTTGGATGATGTTTGTCTACTGGCTGCCAATAACAGGGAACCAGTCAACTTGCTGGTCTGTGTAGAGCCTTGATGCAGCAATATAATCAGGACCTTCGTCTCGTTCCTGTTGTTGAGGTCCCAGGAGACACACGGTAAGCTCGGCTTTTCGCGTATCCGGAGAGAACATACTATCCTAGAGCCATTTACCCGTGAGACCTGCATACAATGGTGAATCCAAAGTCTGTCTACCTGTACGGGTGCCTGACGCATTGTCTACATGGCCATATTAGGTCCAATAGAGCTAAGGGTGAGCAGCCATTGAAGGTTTATACACAGGCAGCCTCGTCTCAACAGATCAATAGGTCAATAGATCAATATAAAAGCTATTGTTCTCCGTAGGCACCCTCAAGGGAGACACCCTGGTAGCACGGGGTCTCGAGGTAAAAGCGTGAGTCACCTGGACGGCTGTCTCATTCGATTGTTGTCTATTGTGCCCGTTTGCTGTCTCAAACAGAACAATAGACTTGTCCTAAAAGGGAAAGCCCCCCTGCCCCCCAATTCTCGCAGAGTATTTATTTCTCCCACCCTCCCATCTTCTTCTTCCTTTCTTCTCTCCTCTTCCCCACGTTCAATCCATTTCGTTACCTTCGCGTTAAAAATGGATACCGTGCGTGCTACTGTGCGTCGCGTCTCGAAGCGTCTTCTCAACAAGAAGAGTAAGTGATGACCCTCCATCTATCCCAGTCCCCTCCCCCGATATCCAGTCACGCCTGTGACGCGGGTATCATGTCTCCTCTGTTCATACTGGAGGATTACCCCATGCCATGTCTCTCTGTATCATGCTGCCCTGTCACAATCCCCGATCCCCAATCCCCAGTCCCCAGTCCCCGGTCTATGTCACCATGGCACCATGGCACCTTGTCCCTACTCCCATTGTGACTGAGGTGCAACACCTCATCTGCCTCTGGACCTGTGCATTTGTCTGGCAAAGACGAGTGGCACTTCTCCCTGGCCCAGTCCCCCAACTCATGTCACCATTGCACCATGTCCTTACTCTCATTGTGACTGAGGTGCAACACCTCATCTACCTCTCGACATGTACATTCCTCGGGCGAAGGCGAGTGGCACTTCCATGTCACTTCTCTCGTGTCTTGAATTATCTTGTCATTGGTCCGGTCACTTATGAGACGGAATGTGCTCTGTCATTTGGTTCACTGAGCCTTGGAGCGGATGAAACAACATGCTTCCCTCCCCTTTCCCCAACAAGTTCAACCACTTATACTATTGACACTACCATTCCCTTTTCCTCACTTTCATGTGAATCATACTTGCTCTATCTATCCCACTGATCTGATCAATGATCTGATCACTTCTGGGATTGGGAAGAACGAGATGTTGCATCTTTCAGGTGAAACTGAGAGATTACCCCACATTTTTTATTATCACTTCCGACATGAGAACAAACACTGACTGTTTCAAATAGCCGAAGCCGAAAAGGCATCCAAGGAAAAGCAAAATGCAGCAGCTGCTGAGTACGTTGACCCCAAGAAGTTAGGGCATGGAGTGCGTGGCACTAACCCTACCAGACCCGTTCCGCCTGCCCCTACGGGGTCCACTCAGTCCGAACGCCGCCAGGGCTCTTCCCAACCCGCGCAACGACGGAAGCTTCAGAAGAAGCCCCCGGGCCCTTCGAAGCCCATAAATAACAATTATCGGACAATGAGACCGATTGGGGAATACCCATCGATTACGGAGTACCGAGCTGCTGGCGTGACTCCTCCTTCTGAACGGCCCCACCGCGTCGCGACCGTGCCGACCAACGTCCCGCGCGACGAAGCTGAACGCCTTTCCCCCATTAGCGAGGTCGAGGGCCTGACGGCCGACAAGAGTCATGTTGAGATCGCTGAAGAAGCGGCACTTGCCTCAATCTCGAGTGGAGTCCAGACCCTGGCCGATGAGGCCATTCGCAGCGTTACCACCAGGGCCGATGCGGCCACTCCTACCCTCTCAAGCGCGGACGACACCAACAAGTATGTCACCGTGCTGATGTCTCTTCCTTTGCGCCCCTCCGACAAATATGACGTTCCCAAACTCCGGGCCGTCATCAAGTACGCCATAATCCACGCAACCAACAACGGCAATGAGGCGTCTGCCCTGGCCCTTCTTTACTTCTGGTCCAATGCTGTGGATGATGAATTCCAACTCTCTTTGGTCGCCAACATCTCCAAGGGCGACGAAGGCGACGATCAACTTCGACTTGCCCTCCAATCTGTCCTCAACAACTCTATTCCAGATGCCCACAAGTGGTATCAGAAATACATCCGTGCTACCGCCAATGCAGCCGTCATTCCCCCCGCAGTGAATCAAGCCTGCCATCTGCCGACTCTGTTGACGCAGAGCCCAGCTTCAAGGTCTCTGACATTTATCGCGACACCAGTGGTCCTCGGGTTGAGGAGAATTTCCTGAGTGGCAAGTCGAATACCGCTCCGCTCAAACGACCCAAGAAGCCATGCCGAGTCAATGAGAATGCCTACAAGCGTAAGCGCAAATGGGAAATGGATCCTGACCATGAGGGAAAGATGCGAGCCGTGCGTGCTCGTCTTCAAGCCGAGTCTTACTCGGAAGCAGTCGTCCGGTACAGTGCAATTCGAACTCGGATTGGACCCCCAGACGCCATCCAGCATCCCTACAACATGGACAACATTGACACCGGTGTCGACGGGGACATGGAAGAGATCAATCGTTCGCGTTCCCTTCCTGCGCCAGGTTCTATCCTCGATATCCCTGTCGTCAAAGGTCCGGAGCCCGAGGCTCCTTCTGTTTATTCCCCATCTGCTTCGCTTATCGGTCGCAAGACTGCGAAGCCCGTCTCGCGACGCCAGAAAGAGAAGGCCAAAGTCCCTGAGATCCCACAGCGTGCACGGTCGCTCTCTGTTGATACCACTGTCTCAAGTCTTTCTTCGCTTTCCAATTCTGCTTACTCGGTCCGATTTAACGACTGGACTGGCGGCCACGAGCCACGCCAAATGCCAAATTCTATGTATGTGATCTCTTGGCGTGACTTGGCCAGTTCTACGTGCTAACATGACACCTCACAGTGAACCCCCCGAGAACAGCGACGATTGCCACCAATGTGGAAAAGGTGGTGATCTACTCTGCTGCGACACATGCATTAATTCGTACCATTTCGACTGCTTGGACCCTCCCTTGGATCCCAAGAATCCTCCGCAGGGAGAGTGGCACTGCCCCAAGTGCTCCATCCGCAACAGTTTCTCCACCTTGATCGCACACTCGAAACATTACAAGAAGACCGAGTTCCAACCTCCCCAGGATGTCAAGGAACATTTCGATGGAGTGGATGAAGGAGTCGTCTTTGAAAATGAATATGCCCGGAATTTGAAGCACCAACGCTACTACAAGCCCGCGCCCCACCTGCCGCGGCTGACTAAACCACCCAAGCAGGACGGCCCTGTCACTTACGCGAATCCCATGCTTCTCCGAGAATACGACAACAAGGGAGACTGCATCCGCTGCTCCAAGTGTGGTTTTACATCCCAAGGTACACGTCCCATTATCACTTGCGACTACTGTCCCTGCCGTTTCCATCTGGATTGTCTTGATCCTCCCCGCGCCAATCCCCCCTAACCCCAAGGTCGGGTGGATGTGTCCTAACCATGTCACTCCTGACGATATGATTGCCACCAAGGAGATTAATGGCAGCAACGAGCGTACGCGCCGTGTTCGCCGAACCAAGAACATGGCGTACATTGATTGTGACATCATGCTTCCTGACGACCCCAATCAAAGTCTGTTTGACGAAGACTGGAGAGAAACGGGCCCGTTTCCTTGGAGGCGATGTTTGTTTGAACTTCATCACTGCCGTCAAAAATGATCACCGAGAGCGTGAAAATGAGTATGCCCGAACTGTCGAACGCAAGTGCTTGGACTTGACCAAGCAACTCACCAATGAATACCTCAACCGTGCTGAAACCGCCGGGATTTCCAACAACCTTACCGAGAAGGGTCTTCCCGCAGAATTCACCCAGAATGTTTCTTCCGCTGTTAACACTATGATTGCCGGTGCTCCTGTTTCCACCGAAGAATTTGACGCTGCCACTGCCCTCCTTGGCATGGCTACCAGCCAGCCTCCTGCTGTCGGCGAAGGTCACATCGCCGAAGCTGCCGGGCCTGCCTCGCCCGTTGCTCAGAAGCCTCTCTCCCGCATTGACGAGGAGTCCACCTTGGGCTCTTCTCACGCTGCCACCTCTCCCCCTCCCGAGGCCCCTCACCCTGCCAAGGCATCCTCGGATGCCGAGGAGTCCCACGACTCCGAGCTTCTCCCTCGGATCCCTGTGTTCAAGCGGAACAAGCGATCCCGCCCCGATGACCATGGATCGGCCGGAGAGCCGGCGCAGAAGCGCCAATACACCAAGTCCAAGTGAGCCACCCGGCTCTTTTAATTCAATGCGCGCATAAAAGGTCCCGGCGTTTTGAATTTTCAGGGATTTGTTTTATGTTCTTCCAATTTCGCGGTCGCCGAAAGGCGATCGTCAATTTTCTTGAATCTGTTTCTCCGAGCTGCCCGGCCACGCCTTCTTTCAATGTTGTTTCTATCTTGCCTTTTTTTCAAAAAAAAAAAAAATTTTGCGTGGCCGGGTAGCTCGGAGAAAGTGTACGATAGCATGGGCCAAAGGCCAAATGAATATTTGCAATTTCACTTTTCTCTTACTTGTAGATGTAATTACTCTCAGAGTTTCATGAACGTAATGATATTCGTACTCTACATAACTTCCCCCGGAAGAATAAATTCTGGTGGCTCGCCTCCAGGCAGAGCCCACTTGTGAATATTATGAATATCCCCCCACTTCCCATCAACAATAACTCAAGACGACACAGATTCAGATGGCACGGGGGTTGGGAGGGGAAGGAAGGGACAGGACGGGACGCTTAAAGGAACTTCTTGGGCATGTTGGCCCGGCGACGCTTGTAGATGACGTAGGAGATCACGAGGAGCACCTGGAACGCGATCAGCAAGAAGATGAAGAAGCCCATGCGAGGGCTGGAGGCCGTGATGACTATAAGATGAGGAAAAAAAAGGCAATTAGCAGACCGAACAAATGAATCATCTGAACAAAGCAAGCGGACTTACCACTCAGCAGGTGACCCTGCAGGTTCTCGCTCAAGCTGAGGTGGGAGGAGCGCAGCGTCTCGTGGAGCTGGTTGAAGCGTCCACTGTAGTCCTTGCTCTGGAGGTCGTTCTGGATGACCTGGAGAAGCTGCTCGAGGCGAGAGAGTCGGGTGTCGAACTGGGCGAATTGGCGGTCCTGGGCCAGGGACTTCTGGAGAAGCTCTGCGTAGCGCTGCTCGGCCTTCTGGGCCTGGTTCTTCAGCTCCTGGAGGATGGTGTTGGTGGCCTTGCCAGTCAGCTGGACGCGACCGCTGAGGTCGGCAATCTGGACAGCCAAGCCGTTCATTGTGCCTTCTGTGCCAGAGTTGACTATGGGTTGAGCAGGCTGGTCAGGAACTTGATTGGAGATTGGCTGCTGGGGGGTGCTGCCTTGGTTGGAGGGGATTGTCGAGCCCTGGCCTGTGGCGGACTCGAGGATGAACTTGAAGATCTCGAATGAGTCTGGATTTTCGGGAGTGGCTGCTGTGATGCCGAAGGTGTTTCCAGCGGGCAGGGCGACCTGCTCAGGTTAGTACGATAAATTCGGCCTCAACATGGTCTCAGTGCGACACGGTGTATACATACCTTGTTGGTAGAAAAGCAAAGCTTGTCGTCAATGGTGACTTCAAAGATGGAGCTGGTGTACTTGAGTTTCACAATAGATGGACGGCCTAGGTTACGGTAAGAGTAGTCACAGTGGCCAAAGGCTAAGGTGTCTGGGCTGTTGTGGCTTTTGTAATCGATGGTACCGTCGTTCAGGAATCCACGGACACTGCCGCCCTATGGGGGAGGTTAGTAATGACTTGATAAATACGCCGCGACAATACGCGACGAGGTCAATACACACTCTTCCACCATGCGTATCGATTACCAGAGCAAAGCCGTCGAATTGGCCCACAGTATAGATACTCGAGGTACCAATACGGGACTGGCCGTCCTTGGTATACCATAGTTGCAGGATTCCACCCGCTCGTTCTGGTCCGCTTGCTCGGAATTGGAATTCTGCTGACCATTCCGACTGAGTGACTCTAAATCCATGTTATTATCCGGTGTCCGGTATCACGGTTCGAAGCGGTTCACTTACGGACTTTGTGCCCAAGCTGATCCCCGTGTGTTTCCAGGGTACGGTGGCGTTAAGATGAGCTTGTCTGATAGCTATACGGCTGTTAGATCAGTTCGGCCACAATTCCGGCAGGCCGACTCACAACGTGTGGTTCATGGCCCTCTCCTCCAATTGCCCATCCGGGGATAGAATCCTGGTTTGGTGATATCCTGGTCTGGGGTCAGATAACCATAACGCAAAGACTGAGCATGGACATTGTACTAACGTTTGACCAGTGCCAAAGCTTGAGCTTTCAATAATCTGGGCTGTGGCCCCTGCGGCAAGCAATACCAGGGAAGCTAATGTTTTCATCATGTTGTGTGGCTTGACAATTGGTGGAGCTTGATGTTGATATGGATTGGCGGAAGTTTCGCACAGCAGCTATCAGCGCTTGCTATGGACTGGATCACGGTCGCAGTTCCGATTGCAAAGGCTGGAGACAACACTAGTGGTGATCCAACCGACAACAACAGCAATAACGCAGAGGCGGGCCTCCTTTGCAATAACAGCGGCCGATGGCGAGAAATCGATGAAGTGATGGAGCTGTACACTATTGAGAATGGTGTGGCGGATTCCGACGTCTGTGAAGTCCATACGGAGAGAACGTTCCCTTTTGACGCTATGCGCTGAATTGACTATCTGTCCTTCTGCGCAGGTGTTTAGCTCCTGATTTGACCTCCGCATCTGGTCACGTGTTCTCAAATAACATGCGGAGGAAGCTAATCATTTCACCGATTTGCGCATTCTCGCGTCTTACGTCTTCTCGGCTTTCAACATCGCTACACCACCATGCGCAAGAGCTCCAATGGCTGACCTCTACCCTTCATTGGCACAATGCGCTGTCGTTGCAGCTGCCTTCAAGGTTCTGCTCTTCCCCGCATAGTAAGTCCGTCCCACTTGCTTCACCGCAGCAAAAAATATCGGGAAGACAGGTTCGAAGATATCGAGCAATCACTGCAAAAGCTGCTGAAATCTGACGAGGGCATTTGAAGGGACCCGGGAACTGGACATTGGGTTTACAAATGAGCTTTGCTAACATGCTTTTCTTTGTGTTGCAGCAAGTCGACCGATTTTGAGGTCCATCGCAACTGGCTCGCTATCACCCATTCTCTCCCCATCCAAGAATGGTACTATGAAGTATGTTCGGTCGGGCGCATGATTCTTGGCCGAGTACAATGTTGACTTAGATCGGTTTAGAAATCCTCGGAATGGACGCTCGATTACCCCCCGTTCTTTGCAGCCTTCGAGTGGCTGATGTCGCAGGCTGCTGCATACGCAGACCCTGCAATGTTGGTTGTGAAGAACCTCGGTTATGAATCCTGGCAGACTGTCTACTTTCAAAGAGCAACTGTGATTTTGACGGAGCTAGTCCTTGTCTATGCGCTGAGTCGGTATGGCACTCGATCTTGTTTTTCTTGTTGGTGTTGCAATGGAATTCTGACTGCTATTCGATAGATTTGTCAAATCCGTTCCTTTGCCGAACAAGCAGGCTGCGCATGTGGCCAGTCTTTCCATCCTACTATCCCCCGGTCTCCTCATCATCGATCATATCCACTTCCAATACAATGGCTTCATGTATGGGATCCTGATCCTATCAATTGTCCTGGCCCGCAAGCAATCGACTCTTCTCTATAGCGGTATCCTCTTCGCGGTGCTGCTATGCATGAAGCACATATACCTCTACCTCTCCCTCGCCTACTTCGTCTATCTGCTGCGCACCTATTGTCTTAGTCTCAAATCGATTTTCCGGCCCCGATTTGGTAATATTTTCAAACTTGGATTCTGCGTGGTGGGCGTTTTTGCAATCGCCTTCGGGCCATTTGCGCAATGGGGACAATTGCTGCAGCTCAAGGACAGGCTGTTTCCGTTTTCGAGAGGGCTGTGTCACGCATACTGGGCGCCAAATATCTGGGCGATGTACTCCTTCGCTGATCGAGTATTGATTTTCCGTGAGTAGTTTCTATCTCCCCCAGCGCTCGCGACGTATGGGCTTCTCTGACAATCTCTGCAGTTGCTCCACGGCTAGGACTTCCCGTCAACGCTGAAGCTCTGAACAGCGTCACACGAGGACTGGTAGGAGATACCTCTTTTGCCGTCCTTCCTGAGGTTACAAAAGAACACACCTTCATCCTGACCTTCTTGTTCCAACTGGTATGTGTCCCCTGTCTTGTGCTTTTGGCTTTCTCTCACAGTTGTTTAGGTTCCTCTCATCAAAGTCTGGTTCAACCCAGGCTGTTGGGACACTTTTGTTGGCGCAATCACCCTCTGCGGCTATGCATCATTCCTCTTCGGCTGGCATGTGCACGAGAAAGCCATTCTCCTCATTATCATCCCATTCAGTCTCATCGCCCTCAAGGACCGTCGGTACTTCAGCGCCTTCAGACCTCTGGCGGTTGCGGGGCATGTCTCACTGTTCCCGCTGCTATTTACAGCAGCTGAATTCCCCCTCAAGACTATCTATACAGTCATGTGGTTGGTGCTGTTCCTCTTCGTCTTCGACCGAATCGCACCTGTCCCCGAGCGGCCCCGAATTTTCCTATTCGACCGGCTTTCGCTGCTCTACTTGACCATCTCTATTCCTCTGATTATCTACTGCTCCCTAGGCCACCAGTTGATATTCGGATGGGACCGGCTAGAGTTCCTGCCATTGATGTTCATGAGCAGTTATTGTGCCCTCGGAGTTGTTGGAAGCTGGGTTGGGTTCATGGTTGTTTATTTTACAGCTTAGATTTGTTAAGCTAGCTCAAATGATAGTTTATTTTCTATCTTTAGCCGTCAATTATGAACTACAAACTGCTTCGGGTTATTTAAGGTGACTTTGGGATTCACTTAGGTCCCGAGGTGTAGAATGTTTGCATTGTTTGTTTCCACGTGGATAAGACCCACGGATCACGGAGTCTATTCTCGCACTAGGCCTAATCTAGTTAGCGCTCCTTCATCCATGGTTGGCCTGCAGGCAAATGCAGGTCGGATAGAAACATGGGGAAGAATCTGTTTTCCATTCTTACATTCTAGGATTGTAATGGCGATGTTTGCGTAAATATGTAGGCATATTTCTATCTCTTTGGCCTATTGGGCAGGATGATTGTCTCTCTATCAACATGTATGTTTACAGCATATATATTTCCGCAGGTGTGGAATTTCTCTTCTAGGCATGCATTTATTCAAGTGCTTTCACTTTCTACTAGTGATTAACAAGCTATTCTAGGACAATCTACCAAGGGCAATTACAGGTAACCAGTTCTAAAAGCAGAAAAATATAAAATATGCACACCTAATGACTATAAGTGGCGGCTATACCTGGGCACATATATTCACGCCTAGCCGCGTGATAACCAAACAATCACAACAAAGGGTGTCATGCCACATAAAAGCGAGGCCCATTTTAACAATCTTACCTAGGTAGATATAGAGTACCACTTAACGATAGACATCTGGGTGGCCAATGCGCTTGTGACACCGTGGCTGAAGGAGTATCAAATCTACATGCGAATCATATCTGCTTGCTTTAGAGTCATAAAGGTGATGTATAATCATCAGCTAGCGTTGGGCATAGGTTGTTCATCCAAGGCTCTTTGATAATCACGACTTATACTTCAGTGCAATATAGTTACTTAGAATAGGTCTCATTATATTCTGAGTATAAAAAGGTAGATAACCATAGGATGAGGAACAAATAAGATTTGAGCATTTAAATCCAAAGAGAATACTGTTGAAAGGTTGGTGTTTCATGCTAAAAATACAAACAAAGCTGGTGGTTGACATGGCCCCGTTAGTCCAAATTGATTTGTTCCGATCTTAGGCCGGGGAGGTGACCGAGAATAGAAACTGAGAATTGATAATCGCGTTGAATAATAGAAATATCTCAAAATTTTGCAATAAATATTGTATAGATAGAATCTCCTCAACTAGACGAGTCGAATGAGGGTAAATACGGGTAGAGTTGGGAAAGAAAGGAAGAAATAATTGATAGTCGGGGGTGACGAGGGAGGAGGGAGAGTCGAGGGTCCCGAGGAAAGCCCAGGTGCTTTTTTCTGCTGGGCTTTGGCTCCCGCTTGCTCCTCCTCTCCACCAATCAGCTTCCACCGCCGATTCGCGGTCCTGCAATGATCTACCGCTCCGTCCTTTTTGTCTACCTTTCTTCTTTCTTGCTTCACCTTCAAATATTCACAGCTTCCCTTTCCCCCCTGATATTACAACAGTTCATCCTCTCAGAATCGCTTGGTCCTCTACTTTATACAGGACGCGTTCTACTCCGGTAAGTCCGCATGAAGTCTCGACGCATGGTTATTCCACTGTTCGCGTGTTCTTGGTCTACGACCAGGCCTGATCACGACAATTCCTTTCCGCCCACAACCGCCCCCTCTCTACACAACAGTGCACCAAAGCAACTAGAGTTCCTACAATCTATATCGCAACTCCCGTTACCTCCGCCGATTGCGTGTCTGACGCGGCCTCCACCATTCTCACACTCAATCGACAAGCTTCACACACTAATTAAGATCGCGTTTTGTTTAGTCCCGTTCATGCTCGATCCTCGATTCTACACACGGTAGCTCCTGGCCGACTGGCGCGTCCACAATTAATATTTAAAGCATCATGGTATGCAACACCTTAACCGATGGAATGGTTGCGGAGGCGACAAGAACAAAGTGGTGGATGCTATGGAGACAAAGAGGCTTACGCAATTGCATGGACAGGTGTTATTCAAACGTAAACCGGTCCAGTACCTCCCGCAAACTGTCATTGAAGATGATAGTTCCGAAGTATGGATCTCTATTACCTGTCCTGCAGACTTTCCCGCTGACCCTTTTTCTTCCTTCTAGGTCTGGGTTATCCCAGAGACCAATGAGGTCTTCACCAGCTATGAGCCTTACCTCCAACGAATGGATTTCTACAAACAACGCCGATTCATCTGCGAGATCACCGGCCATTCGGGGTTGACCTTCTTTGAGGCGCTCCGCAGTGAGGTACATTATAACACGGACATCAAGTTATGGACATATGCTAAGCCTTGAATAGACGGAGGAATCGCGTGAAGTCAACAACAGTTTCCCCGATGCGCTGAGAGAACCCATTCTGCGCAGAATCCAGTTCTCTATAGTTTCGAGGGTGGACAGCCTGGGTATGTTATTCCTGTCTTTCCTAGTCCGAATCAAGCTAACGACACTCTGTATCAGTGGATGAAATCTATGAAGTGAGATGACCCCGTCATTTATTAATAAGTGATCCTGATCTAACAAACACAGGAATTCAAATCAGACTTCTACCCAGGCGAGGCCGTTCTCATCTTGCTTGATGATAGTACTCGGCTTCATGGTACCATCAGAGACAAGGCAAACTTTGCAGAGCAGTTATATGCCGATGGAACCATTAAAACACCTGCTTTTGCGAGGTATCTGGTCAAGATCCTTGATCGACAAAATGAAGAGGCCCTGCTGGATCAGGACCACATCACACGCGATCGCAAGGCATTCACTAAGTTGATGCTACGCGGGTTCATCAAAAACAACGTCACCAGAGAGTCGTGGACAGGTGCGCCCTGGTTGGTCAAGCCATCTGTGGCAGAGACATACAAGATTCCGATTGAGGTACCTAAACATTTGCAGTATGGTGCGAAGGTGGCAGAGAAGAAGGCGATGAAGAAAGCGGATCAAGATGGCTTCTTTGGTTTCTTTTCTTCTCAGCAGCTGCCCGAGTTGAAACCCGCAGTCAAGGGCCAGAAGTCGAAACTGTCTGCACAGGACATGGCGAAATCGAGGGAGGCGCAATACCAAGAATATCAGCGGTCGCTGAATGGCAACCCATCATTCCTCCTGCCTTCCAATCCCCTGCGCCCTTCCAAGCCGCCAGTGGTTGGCGATAGGAAGCTTGCTGGACTCCCGGCAGTGGTTGTCAAGAACGAGCCGAGAGCACCATCCCCGCCACCAGTCAAGTATCCTATCGAAGATCTGGACCTTGCTCCTAATCCTGAAAAGCAACACCGACCAACCCTGAAGTTTATGATGGTGGGTGAGTCTGAAGACGACGGTGCGGAGAACCTTCTGCCTGATGACCTAGAGCCGGAAACAGTGGGATTGCTCCTTGAGACTTGGGACACACTCAATGTCTACTGTGAAGTATTCCAACTGGATTCTTTTACCTTTGACGATTTTATTCAAGCTATGCGGTTTTCGTCAGATGAAGTGGAGTGCGAGCTTTTCGTTGAAGTGCATTGCGCTGTTCTAAAAAAACTCGTCAATTCATCGAACGATGATGGCGCTGTTCAGATCTCACTCCCAGATTTCCCTGTTGATGATTCTGACGAATCTGAAGAAGAAGAAGAAGAAGAAGAGGAAGAAGCCGAGGAAGAGTCTCCAGAGCCGCAGGCGAAGCCCGGGAGAATGACCACTAGAGGAAGTCTGGCCAAGGAAGAGGCAGTCACCATCAAAGCACGGATCAATGAAGACGAACCAGAGGAGACACAGATTCATCGCGCTGGCGAGATGTTTGAGGACTATGGGTGGATCGATCGTCTTCGCAAACGCGATTTCCGTAACGGTGGATGGCAGTTGGTAATGGTTGGACTTTTGCACCAGCTATCTGTTCGTCCTCGCTCGGAACAAGTCTGCAACACCATTCTCAAGCATTTGGCACCTCTCGATCGCGAGCCTACACAGCACACCGTGCAGGAGCAGTATCAAACCCTCGACATCAATTTGCGCACCAAGGCCCTCCAGATGATTTGCTTGTTGAGTTTGGAGACCAAGGCCATCCGAAACTATCTAGAAGAGTGCAGCAATCAGATGACAGAGTTGCGCAAGGAGAAAATTGAGTATCAGAAGGCGCGCAAAGCAGGGTAAGTTAATTCTTGACCATTGTTATATCAATCGCTAACATCAACTTTCAGACTCATCGAGCTTCGTCAGCTGCACCAGGAGCGCAAGGCCCTGCAGCCAGAACCTGAAAAGGCCGGAAAGTCACCTACACCGGTGCCCGAACTGGACGGCTTGGATGATTCGCGACTGGAAGGGGACTCTGAAATGGTCGGGGACACAGAAGACGAGGATATCCCTAGACCACGCTCATTACGTGGAGGAATCGATCGGGCTCTGGAGCGCAAACGGAAACAGGAATTGGAGAAGGAGCGAAAGGAGATCTTGGCGAAGCAGCCTAAGGGGTCCAAGCAATACCAGCGAGTCTTAAAGAAGATCGATGAGCAAAAGGCCAATATCGAGAAGCTCCAGGAGCAGATCGAGACTGTGGAGAACAGCCTTCGCGAGACCGACTGCCCTCGGACCCGATGCCTTGGATTGGATCGCTTCTGCAATCGCTACTGGTGGTTTGAGCGTAACGCGATGCCCTACGAGGGTATGCCGGAAAGCTCAACGGCCGAGGCACGCTACGCCAATGGCCGTCTGTGGGTGCAAGGCCCAGATGCAATGGAGCAGGCCGGCTTCATCGACGTGACCGACGAACAACGGAAGCAGTATCAGAAGCATTTCCAAACCACCCCTGCAGAGCGCAAGAAGCACGAAGAAGGGCCAACCCATGTGTCCAATGCTCGTGAATGGGGCTACTACGAGGATCCCGAAGCAATCGAACAGCTCGTGGAGTGGCTAGACTCGCGCGGCAACCGGGAGTCTAAGTTGCTCAAGGAGCTGCTCCTTCAGCAAGAGTACATCGCCAAGTACATGAAGAATCGCAAGGCATATCTAGCCGAGACGCCTGATAGAGCCGAATCGGAGGACATCCCAGCCAAACGCGTGACAACCCGGACCAAGACCTATCTGGATGTGAACGAGAGTGGTCCTCGCTGCCTGCGCTGGAAAAACACGACCGCCTTGTCCGAGAATGGACATCTTCATGTCGACCCTGGCCGGCCAGCCAAGCGCAAGCGGGTTTCGGATGACACCAGAGTGACCAAGGCAGCTAAGCAGACTAAGCAGGCTAAGCCTTTGACCCGGACACGCGCTCAGCGCAAGGGTTGATTCCTTCAGAAGGTATCAGTTCTACAATATCACGCGACCACGATATTCTTTGTATGTTGTACTTAGTATACATTCCGAGCTGCATGGAGGCGGGGAGTTCTTTTTTTTTGTTGGCTTTTTTATTTTATTTTATTTTTTTTTGGAAGAAGTCAAATAGCTTAGAAGCAATGCAATAACATAGAACAAGTCACCAACAATAATGAAGATGGATATCGGCTACATGTCCCGATTAGGTCTGAAGGCAAAATACGATGACAAACCGGCTTCTCGGGACTCGCTGATTTTGCGGGCCGTATTAGTACCGTAATCCGCCGGTTATTCGCGGAAAGCCTCTGGTATCGGCACGTCAGAATGTTCGTTCGTAACAACTGGACTATCCGAACTTCGCAAATACGTCAGTGGAAACATTTGAACATAGAACGTTATTCTTCTTTCACCTTTTACCATTGCACTGTCATATTATTCTTTAAATCTTTGTTCAAGCTTGCTGTGCTATACTCTCAACTTTTAGACATCTGCATGCACAGTTGGAGCGTCCCGAAGATCATCCGGTACCCCGAGAACTCTGGCTGAGTATCGCCGAAACTGATCACGAGGGCCACTGCCCCGGATATTCTCGCCCCTCCTGTGAGCCTCGGTTGCTGTCTCACAATCTCGTCTTTCCGTTCCTCTTCCTATTCCATGTCGACGGGTCATTCAGACCATGCCTATGACCCCCACAAGACCCCAGTCTCTACTCCGCAGCCCGCTCCGATGAGCGAGACCGCACAGCCGGGATCGTCGCCTTTTGGCGGCGCTACGAAACCAATTGTGTCAAATAATACCGCCGCCATGGACAAACCGAAGAGTGCCGACAACAAGGTTCAAAAGCGTAGCTTGGATTATGTGATTAGGAGTGGAATTGCTGGAGGGTTGGCGGGGTGTGCAGTAAGTTTCTATGTGTGACAGGTCGTTGCGAGCTCAATACTGATTAATGCGCTGGACGTATAGGCCAAGACAGTGGTGGCGCCCCTCGACCGCGTGAAGATCCTCTTCCAGGCGTCAAATCCTCAATTCGCCAAATACACGGGCAGCTGGACTGGCCTGGCAGCAGCGATTCGAGATATCAAGCGCACTGAAGGTTTCCAGGGCCTGTACAAGGGCCACTCGGTGACCCTCCTCCGAATTTTCCCATACGCCGCCATAAAGTTCCTCGCATACGAGCAGATCCGCGCAGTTATCATTCCTTCCAGCGAACATGAGACCCCGTTCCGCCGCTTGGTCTCCGGCAGTTTAGCCGGTGTCACATCTGTTTGTTTCACATACCCATTAGAGTTGATGCGCGTGCGCATGGCATTCGAAACTGAGACAATCGCACCGCTCAGGCTTGGTGGACATATGGCGGCAAATTTACCATGAGCGAGTCCAACCCCCATCAACCCGCTCTGCTGCGGCGGCGGAGTCTTCTTCCGTTGCTGTTGCCGAAAGCGCTTCATCGGCCGTTTCAAAAGTTGTCCCGCGCACCGGACTTGCCAATTTCTACCGCGGCTTCTCCCCGACGATCCTCGGGATGCTCCCATACGCCGGAATGTCTTTCCTCACCCATGACACCGTGGGTGATTTGTTCCGCCACCCAAGTGTGGCGCGCTATACCCTGAGACGAAGAAAAGAGTCAAAAAACCCCGCGGATCGACCTAAACGACCACAGCTCAATACCACGTCGGAGCTTCTGTCCGGTGCTGTCGCCGGTCTAGTTTCGCAGACTTCGTCATACCCAGTGGAGGTCCTCCGTCGGCGGATGCAAGTTGGTGGTGCAGTGGGTGATGGACGCCGACTTGGAATGGTAGAAACGGCCCGCGCAATTTGGCTTGAGAGAGGGTTCAGAGGCTTCTGGGTTGGGTTGACTATCGGATATGTCAAGGTCGTTCCCATGGTTGCAGTGAGTTTCTACGTATATGAGCGAGCCAAGGGATCGCTGGGCATCAGTTAGACTTGTGACATATTCTCAAATTTTGCTTGCATATACCATGAGGGCTTTTGATACTGGTTCTCTGTGGCGTTCGTGGATACCTTGGGAGGGTTGTTTTTAGCATACAGAGCCCGAATGGCTTCTTCAGATACACCAGTACAGAATTTCAAAGACTTTTCTTTTTGTTGTAGAATCTATTTTAAAACTCTTTAAGCTGGATCATACATTTGATGATAACTCTTTTTACTTTTGATATGTGGCTGATGTGTGGCTGATTAGTAGATCTGACCTTGGAACGTTCCGGGGCTTGACTCCGAGGGCACAGACCACCCGCATAAAAAAAGTTGCAGACTTCCGCCACCCACGACCAAGTGTATTTACCTACTCGGATCCCGCAAAATGACGACCCGCAAACACAATGATTTCTTAGACATCGCGGCAAGTGATGACGAGGCCAGCGGCAGCGACCGCGGCTACGACTCCGAAGCCAATGTGGTGGAGAGCAAAGGACGGGCCGTGAAGCGTCGGCGGACGACAACCACAAAAGATTTCTCGCCGGAGTCCGACGAAGACGAGGAGGAGGAGAACAAGAAGGATGTCGAAAAAGAAGGCGAAGATAACGACAATGAAGACGGCGGCGCAAGCCTGGACGACTCAGCACAACCTAGCACCAAATCAGCCAAGTCGCTCAAGGCAAAGGGCAAGCTCGCCAAGCTGTCTAAACTAGCCAACGGAAAAGCACCCAAGAAAACCCGTCCAGGTGTCATATACTTCTCTTCTCTCCCGCCATACCTCAAACCCTTCGCTTTGAAAGGAATGCTAGAGAAGAGAGGGTTCGGGGGTATCACGAAGATCTTCCTAGCCCCTCTTCTCCCCTCTGCAGCGGGAAATCGAAGCCGCTCGAATAAGAGAAAGCTCTACACTGAAGGGTGGATAGAGTTCGAGTCCAAGAAGACGGCTAAGATCTGCGCGGAGACCTTGAATGCGACTATCGTGGGTGGTTTGAAGTCAAGCTGTGAGTTTACCGGCATTTTTGCCTCATACATCCCTGCTATTTCGCAATGAATACTGACCAGTCCTACGAATCTATAGGGTATCACGATGATGTCTGGAATATCAAATATCTCTCACGGTACTCCTGGGAGGATCTTATGCAATCCGTACAACGAGAGAGATCCGAGAGGGAAAGCAAGAGGAAGATTGCCGATGCCCGCGAAGCCAAGGAAGCTAAGATGTTCATCGCGGGTGTTGAGAGTGGTCGTATTGCTGATGGCATGGCGAAGAAGAATGAGGAGAAGATGAAGAGGCGGTTGGAGGCGGCTGGGGATGGGGATAAGGAACTGCCGCAGCCCAAGAAAGATCCGCAGTCTACGAGAAGGCGGTTCCATTTCCAGCAGAATGAGGTCGTTAAGGGATCGAAGGATGGTGCTGTGGCTGATGATGCCAAGCGTGTACTTGGGAAGATTTTCTGAGTAGGTGTGCATGGGAGCATTTCTTTTCTTATTGGCCTTTACGGCCTCTGGTCTGTCTACATCTGATCTAATACAGCCCGGCTTTCTAATATTAGATCACCGAGACGTAACGTCCGGTACTCTTTGTAGTATCAATAATCAAAGAAGAACTGGATCATCCTTTAGAGGGGAGAGGAGAAAAGCACTTCATACTAGACTAAGATATGTACACGAGTAGCCAATTCAGCCAGAGGTCTGAAACACAATCGAATTCCGGTGCAAGAATGTAGGAAATATACCAAGCCCAATCATAATACCTACATAGTACTCTGTATGTATGTAGCTATTGGCATGATATCTATCCACTTTGGTGCTTGGTCCCTCCCTCTCCGACTCAATGCCAGTAAGGAAAGCCCGCATACAGTGGGACCTCCGAAATATTGGGCTAAACCTTTGTACTTAGATATACCGCCTTGTATACCGCCTGCCCATTATATACTGTCATGAATACATAGTCGGTCGCTTATACGGCCGTGCATATGTAGTCTTCTCAGTGATCTTCTAAGGTAGTCTTCTCCAATAGTCTTTTCATATGTCTTTTTAGTGGTCATTTTTGGCAATCTCCTTGAGTACATAACTTTTTGACTGCTAAACTCTCCTGGATCACGTGCATACACGCTAACTATTTTAGGAGTTTTAGACTGGCAGAACTGGCAGAATTTGGAGGGCGGTATATCTAGGTACAAACGTTTAGCCCAATATTTCGGAGAACTATACCGAGGTCGAATTAAGTCTCGGGTTATGAGTATCTAGGCGAGCATTTTGGAGGTTGTAAAAAGCCAGATTATAATCTGGAGGTTAATGCCTAGGTGGTGTTAATATATACTATACTATTAGTATACTATATATGCCCCCAAATAGGAAGCGGACCAATAGAACTAGGCAAGGTTCGGAAGTATACCTAGGTACATATAGGTACATATATTACATACGTAAATAGCCCTGGATGTATGTAACTCGTAGTAGCTTGTATGTCCTTGGCTCTTTCCTCGACTTGATGATACGTTCAATGTTGCCATATTAGAAACGAAAAGAACTCCCCGGGGCCCGAGGTCCCATCACTCTCCTTTTCTTCTCTTCTTCCCAACACGGCTTTCCATTACTAAAACATCTCTTATTCTTAAACAAAATGTGGAATCGCCAATCCGTCTTCACTTGGCAGCCCTTCCAAGGTTGTTCTTATACTTGGGGCTCTCAAGTATAGGACATGGAAGACCCTCTTCCAGGCAAAGAAATCATCGTCCGAAAGCAAGTGATCTTAAATATACATCAAAATGCGCAATACCGCGGACTGTGCTCGCGTTTCTCCCGCAGCTGACCATTTTTCTCAGCGCGGTGATGGCCTTTTTGTAAGTAGGAAGAAGTTGAGAGGATGGATCCTTCTGGGGTTGATACTGACCATTGTCTACAGTCGTCTGCCCCCTGAAGTTTACCAGGGCAGGGGCCCTGCTGAAACCGCCCAGAGAGTTTGGGCGTGGAACCAGACCCATCCCCGTAAGATATTTCGCAGAGATATCTTCTGTGTGCTAAAGAGGTACTGACTATATTGATATAGTCGCATGCGGCAGCCGGCATTTCCTTTATTCATCCAGCATGGCCCCGGTAGCCAATATTCGTCCGCCACAATCGTTGGAGCAGGCCGCCTCTGAAATGTCTGCTACACCCGAGACCTACGATTCCGGCGGGTTTGACAGCGACGACATCTTGGTTCACTGATAGACCAAGGATTGTACACCCGATTCATAAGCCGACCCCGTCTGACGATTGAGACGATGGGCCGGGTTCGAGTAACGCTTTGATCTCGAACACCTCGCAGGCTGCCTTTATGACACCTTGGGTCGAAACACCACTCTGGTTGCCGGAGAGTATACACTCCCCGCCAGGTTGGGCTTATCCCCATTCCGTGTCACCAATATCTTCAAGGGGGAAACCCTCGTTGGAGGAAGCACGGAATCTGTGGCAACGCAGACTAGGCTCCCACAGACAACATTTTCTCTTTCCACTTTGCTATTATCAACATCTATCTATCAGCACCCAGCTCTTGACATCCTTTCCAGTATGAAAGGATCACGCCCTCGTCTATCCCCGTCGACGTCCCTCATCCACCAACCGCGTTGCCCTACCTCCCTTGCTTAGTCGTCCAACAGCTCGAGTCATGGGATATGGATTCCGTATTTGAGGTGGCCAGATGCCCCCACTGTATGCGAATGATCAGGAATACCTAAATCAACGCTGCATGTACTCTCTACTCCTTATGCGACGCTCACAGTGATTGGGCATGTTTCGCGGGTATTTGGTGATGCCATGGCCGCAGGCCGTACTTCCATGTCAGCTCGTTGCTGCTGCTGGAGAGCTTCCTAATCCCTTATGTTTCACTATGCACTTCGCCCTCTCTTGGACCTCTCCTGACAGCTTTAAAGTCTTACGTGTATATAGATCAAACTCGTACATTGATTACATGTATGCGATGATCTTCTTCATAGTATTGTAAAATCAAGTCTAACAAAAGCATCGCCCCAAAAGCCGATGCTATGGTATCTCGGAAATTTCCAGAACTTCCATACCCCTTATTTTGCGTCAACCCCATATAACCCTACAATCTGCCACCTACTTTCCCTTTCCAACCGGCCTACAATCTACTCTCACCTTTACAACCCCAGCTGTGTGCTGACTTTGATTCATTTGCATTTAGAGCAATTGATCTGTTCTAAGAGTCTATAAGAGAGACGGTTATGTCCAAAGAATGATAACTTCGCATCTGCATGCTGTACATTGCATATATCGATATGAAAAAAAACTTTTTTTGTTGACTGAAACCCAGAACACAAACGCCAACCAGTGCCATGATCGTCAATGATAACATTCAGATACCTACTAATTGTCCTCCATGTTCAGCTCATCAAAGTCATCAAGCAGTTCGTCCATGTTGATCTTCGGCACGGCATTTCCGTCTTCATCCATGTCCTCGTCATCATCCTCATCCATCTGGTCTGGCCTGGCCTGGTACTGGCGGTTCTTGTACAGATCAAGCGTTTGACGGAGCTCCTGATCCTCCTCAACATCACGCAAGAACATTTCGTAATCTTGTTCCATTCTGGCTTGCTCCTGCTCCTGGCGCTTGTTCGTGGGGACATTGACAACGGCAGCAGTTGCCTCCTCTTCGTGCTCGCGAGCCATGCGCTTCAAGCGCCAGCTGCGGGCCTTGGACTTCTTGCTGCGGACGTAGTGCTTCTTGATAAGGACGACGTCTGGGATTGTCGAGCCGTACTGGTTGCTGTTCTCAATTGCATCGAATTGATCGTTGTTGAACTGGGTTCCTGACAAGTGGTATCCGAGAACAGAGTCACCCACGTGCAGGACACCACCGAGATGAGTCCGAGTGAAATAGGTGGTGTCGTTGGATCCTAGATCTGAGGCACGAGCAACTGTGGCCTCAGAGAGGAGGTAGCGACCGTTAGTGTGGCCGGTGGATTCAATGTCTAAGATGATGAATTCCCTAAGCTCGGTGGTATCCGCAAGATTCGGGAATGGCTGGCGCCAGTAAACGCTAGAAGGAAGATCTGCGGTCCGGAGAGTGCAAGGGTCCATAAGATTGATAGACGTGCCTACCCGGTGGCAGATAACGAGCGGGCTGATATCAGACAATGACCGGGCCAGCTTAATCGGTAGTGCAACCAGATCATCCTTGCAGATAGGGATAATAGAAACGGAGAAATTGAACTTGTAGCTGCTTGTCGAAGTATGTATGTCCATTGAAATTAATTCATGGCTCTTCTTCACGGTGCATGGGACAACGCCTGTAGCTGTTAGTAAACTTGCACCTATTAGGTAAAGGGGCAAACACTCACTTGACAAGAATGAAAGCATACGCTCGGCTTCATTTCTCTTTGCAAAGTAGAAATCAAGACCCTCGTTCACCTCCTTGATATTAACAGTATCTTTATGGGCGTTGTGCTTGAGGATAAGCTGTTCCAGGTACAAAAATGTCCGCTTGTGAGGGACCTTCTGCCGGACTTGTACAGATGCCTGCCATGAGTGATGCGTGTAACTTTTAGCACAGCTAACGAAATAGTGTATTAGTATCATCTCACTCATATTATTCAGTTGGAGAGAGTTGGGAGAAGTTGAGGGAGAGATTTTTTGGGGGGGGGGGCATACCCGGCACATTGCTGATTGGCAACGACATATTCAACCTCAAATTGCTGTTGCACTATAGTGCCTTGGAAGGCCTCCGCTTGTGGGTTGTTAGCTTTGATCACACGGCTGGACGATGCGCTGATTTGGGGGATGCCTCGGCAGCCTTCACCAGGTAAGGATAAACTAACTTTGTATTGTGATTTTCACACGTAGTCGCTTGCTATGAGGCTCTGTCCAAATGAAGCTGGCATCGATGATTCGAACTTTGTTTAGACCACGGAGTTTGCGTAGACAAATAGCGAGTAGTTCCTTCGACTCGAGAGCTGCGACGACCCAGCTGTTGGGGGGGCTGCAGCCACCGTTCGCAATCCCTGCAGCAGTGAATCACGGCTTCTCGTTGCACCTATTAAGTCGAAGAGAGTTCATGTTAGCCGGAACGGATTATAGGCGTATAGAAAGGCTTCTTCTGATAAGCCCACAAACGGAGTTATACATACACCTCCGGCAACATCGACAGTAAGACGAATACAATCCGAGCATAGCGCGCCGGCTGAGAGTGTTCCATCGATAGCAGCGCCACAGTTGCAGCAGAGAATACTGAAATGAGAAGAAGTATTAATATGGAATTGAAAAGGTGGGGAGGAACAGGTAGAAAAAAAAAAGTTGCGATAAGAACTCACGTCGCTGCGACTTTCTCCTGCTGCGTGAAGTAGACGGGGGCATCCAGATCCATCGACATGTTGATGAGCAGAATCAGGAATAAGAACCCAAGACTGAAAAAAATCACCAGGGTATTGAAGACTCGAAGAGATCCCAGCGCCGTGGATTTGTGATAATTGCCCCCCACCTGAATCTTTTTTTTGGATGACTCAGCTGTTTGCACTATTTGCACCCGTTATCTGATATCACCAACTTTCCATGGTTGGAACTGAACTGTTCGAAGAACTCAAGTCTCCGTTTCCTCTACCAATATAACCATAACCATGAGCAGGGCTCTCTTACGAGGCGCTGCGTGCCAGACTTGTCGGCATGAGGTGCTGCGGTCCTTCGTTTCCGTTTCCGGCATCCCAATGCCACGATCATCTCCTCTTTCCTCCCGTTCGATGTCCAACCCAAGAGCTTTCTCCGCCGTAACTGTGCTGCGGTCGGATCGCCCTCCAAGTTTAAACCAGCTTGACCGTCATATGTCTGAACCAGAGGAGCCACCAGCACACTCGGAAACCAATACGCCAGCTTCATCACAGCATGTCCCCTGGTATCTGCAGGAAGAGGCGCCGACCGTTAAAGAGCGCCCGTTGACCGAGGCCCATCTTCCCCAGATCCCAGACGATTCGCCAGAGATGCTCTCGACTCTATTGGAGTATACGTATAAGGACTTGGGATTGGATGATCTCAGGCTTTTTGACCTACGCGGCCTCGAAATCCCTGCAGCTCTCGGTGCTAATGTCATCATGGTCATCGGAACTGCTCGCAGTGTGAAGCATCTAAACGTGTCTGCGGATCGTCTCTGTCGCTGGCTGAGAAGCCAATACAAATTGTCTCCCTACGCTGACGGCTTATTGGGACGCAACGAGTTGAAAATAAAGCTTCGCCGAAAGGCCAAGAGAGCGCGCGCCGCCAGCGCATCAGGCGCAATGGTCGACGAAAAGGATGATGGAATCACCACAGGATGGATCTGTGTGAACGCAGGTATGGTGGACAAAGGCGCTACTACGACCCAGTTGAGCGATGTTGGACTTGAGGGATTTGGTAATCTGGACCTCGGGACTAGTGTGGTTGTCCAGATCTTCACCGAGGAGAAGCGGGCCGATGTCGACCTTGATGGTCTTTGGGAGGCTACTCTAGCCCGCGAAGGACGCAAGAACGTCCGGGAGAGCACAGAAGATTTATCTAAGACTGGTGCTGGACCACCCAGGTCTACGTCCGATGGATTTGGCTCCATCCCTGGCCAAAAGAGAGGCTTTCATACCATGCGTAGACTCGCACTATCTGCCATGAACTCCGCTGAGTCTGGGTTGGAAGCTGGTTTTCCTGGTGTGGGAACTCCGTCCTCCGCACTTCCAGGCGACGCAGCTGAAGTTGCATCCCAATTGACACCGACCTCTTTGCTTCAGATTCTGGCTGAACTTCCGGCCGATAGTGCACGAAATGAGCTTGGGAGCGGCCCAAATGATCGCCAGTCCACTCTTTTTCTACGGCTCTTCTATACCAACCACGCCGCGAGGTTTTCCGCACAGGAAAAAGCCATTTTTCGGCTGAAATTGTTCTCCATTGCTGTGTCTCGACAACACCCAGCTTACACCAAGGATGCGCTTTTTAGCACATTCTCTGATTTTCTTCGCGACGGGTATGACCTTCCGGATGACCTTGGATTCGATGTTGTTTCTGCGCTTCTAACGCCGAGAACAGCGAGTGTTGTCACCAAGCAGTCTGAGACTCATTCCCCAGAGGCTGATATGGAGCTTGCTTTGTTAGTGTTGGATCGCTTGAGCCTCCGTGGTGTGCCAATTTTGAACATGAGGATCTTCAATATACTCTATCAAGCAGTCTGCGCACCCAAAACAGCAGCTTCTAACCTGAGTGAATTGCACCAGGAAGAGGGCTCTCCAAGTTCGTCTGTGGTTCAACAGACTGAGTCTCAGAAACAAACGTTGTCTCGGCTGTCCAAGATACTCGCGGCGGCCAACATTCCATTTGACGCAGTAGATGCGCGTCAGCTTATGGTGACATTATTCCAATGCGGGGACTACGACGGTTTCTGGCGACTGTGGCGGCAGTTTCCCTTGAAAGGTGTAAATCGCACACAAGAGGATTACGTGCAGCTGTTCAAGCTGCATGCCGAATTGGGCGAGGAAGTGCGAGCGCGCGAGTGTCTGTCAACGGGGGTACCATTGATGAATCAAGAGTCCCCTGCCATCGTGCTACAAGGTCCGATCGTGACAGCCATTATGCATTGTATTTTGGTGGCGGATCCGACACTACAGGACCGAGATGAAGAATCTCTAAGCTTCTACATGCCGCTCTGGACTGAGTGCCAGGAGGCACTTGCTCGGGAAAATTGATTGACGATGGATCACGTTGTAAAATAATCTAGCATATATTCTCCGGTGTACAATATTATGTGTGTATTTAATGTTAAATGTTAAATGTTGAAGTTGTAATTAATTCCCTGATGAATGTAGGGCGTGGGATGGATCTACTCAGCCCTGGAGGTGCCCAGAACGACGTAGTCAGCTCGGATAAGTTGAGCCTCGGCATATGATCACTGGTTCCGGCCACTCTTCCTCTCCGTCTCTCTCTTCAAACACCACCCTGATAAGGATGACTGGCACTCCTGACGATGGAGTACCTTCCTAGCCTTCAACAGGAGTTCGATGAGCAAAAGCCATCGCTCTTCGGTAAGTCGATTGATGCTTCCCCGCGGAGATGGAGACCCCAGACACGGGGAACCCCCCATACATGATTGGAATCACTAACGCGAAGATCTCGCTCGACAACAGAACTCCTCGCTGAGCAACAGCTCTCGGATCTTCTTCCTCCATCTTTGCGTTATCTTCTCGCAGTCGCAACACACCGCCACCCGCGCTACCTCCTCCGGATTCTCAATTCTTACGACGAAGTCTACGCCCTCCTTTCATTAATAGTCGAACGTTACTACTTGCGAACCTTCGGCGGCTCCTTCACAGAAAACTTCTACTCCCTGAAACGTGAGCGCGTCCTCCGCACCAAGAATGGCGAGATCCCGCGCGCCCAGGTCGGCGCCGCAGGCCCCGTGCGCGAGGCCCTGAAGCTACACTCGACGGACATTTGGAAGAACTTGTTCGTCATGGTTGGCATCCCTTACCTAAAACGCAAGTTAGACGAAGGATACGACATTCATGCCGCGCCACAAGCATCTCTGGTCACCAGCGGCGGCCCACGATATAACCCCAGCGACGACCTGCCGGCCAACCCGTCGCTGCGCCAGCGCATCTTCTTCTACTACAAGTGGTTCCTGCGAAATGTCTACCCGTCCGTAAATGCGGCATACTATTTCTCCGTCCTGGCATTTAACCTCGCCTACCTCTTCGACAACACAAAGTACTCCTCCCCGTTCCTGTGGCTTATCGGCACGCGCATTCGCCGCCTTGGCGCCGCAGACCACCGCGCCATCGCCGCAGTGCTAGATCCCAAGCCCGGCCCCGGCACCGGGAGATCTCAGAGACCCGGTGGTGGTCTTCTAGGTCTCCTTAGTCCCCAGAACCTTCATACTCAGCTTCTGGGCTCGCTGCGCTACTTCCTTCCCGCTTCGATCTTCGCCCTGAAGTTCTTAGAATGGTGGCATGCAAGTGACTTCTCTCGCCAGCTCGCTCGTAAGGCGACTGAGGTCCTGGATTTGCCAGCGCCCGTTGTGGCAGGCTTGACTTCTCCTGCGGAGCGACGGAAATCGTCAATCCAAGACGAGAAAGAAAAAGCCAAGAAGCAGGCAGAGCAGGAGAAGAAGAACGCTGCTGGTGATCTTAAGCCAGCACTCAAGCCTCCTCGTCGCCACCAGCCCCCTATCTCCGCGACTTCTTACCTTCCTATCTACACTGTATCTTTGCCTCCGGCTGATCCCTCGAGCGCAAATACTTGCCCTGTCTGCATGGGCGCGCTCGTTAACCCGACTGCTTGCCAGACGGGGTACGTGTTCTGCTATGTGTGCATCTTCCATTGGCTGAACGGTGAGCACCAGCGCCAACTGGATTTCATGGCCGGCGAGGGCGCTGGCGCACCGTGGGAAGAGGAGATCATAGGTGATGACGAAGAGACGAAGAAGGGCCCTAGTGGGGATGACTCTGAGGAAGGTCCCCGTAAACGATCTGGTAAATGGGAGAGCGGCAAGGGGAGATGTCCTGTTACAGGGAGGAGAGTGCTTGGAGGCACCGAGGGATTGAGGAGGGTGTTGGTCTGATCTGGGGTCATGTAGTCCCAATTTCCGATATATCAATCGTTAGTCGCACGTTGTACATTGTACAGCAGATATATTGGAGACTGAAAGAGGATATATCATTGTTCGAACTGTATATAAGAGCATGACAACATAACTCCTCTTTCCCTTTCTGTTACTCCTACCTCAGATACTGTCCAAATCTCATGAAATCAAGTGCATATCATGATGATGATACAGGCTTGCTCATTGAAAGCACCCACCTCCCCATCCCCCATGCTTATTAAACCTTTTATGATGGCTTGCACGGTCTACTATTGGAGTCCATCATCTAGCGTAAGATGTATTAAACTAATTTAAGTGCGAATACCATACCCAAAACTAGTTTAGTTTATGAATGTATCTACAAATGAAGAGTGCCTAAGATTTGTATGTATACATCTATAGATTCATGTATGTACACACATGTAGGTAGTGTGGACGTAATCAACCCTACGCCATCCGAATTTGGAAAGTTGACCACCTCCATATGGTATACTCGCATACTCAACGATAGGAAACTAGAAGGAAGTAGTCTTGATTCCAGATATGATTTCCCGAGAGCCTATTTACGCTGATCAACTATCGTAACATTTCAGATTGATTATCTGGGGAATTTGAATACGCAGCTAGAACAGCTGAACAGCTGCATTTCATATTGATAATGCTGGATCGGTCTAGGAATTACTCTTTAGGAATTATTCTCCCCTATCAGACCTCGTCGTCCCTGTCAGGCATCTCCTCCTCCCTGTCAGACGTCTCTTCATCCGTCATCTCATCTTCTTCCTCGTCACCGTCCTCGCTTAGTTCATCATCCGTATTACACATCTTCCCGTGAAACAAACAAATCCACCTCTCTTCTTCATCATCATCATCATCATCACGCTCACTGATATTGAGTTGCTGAACCTGGGGCTCCACAGCCTCTGGCGAAATGGGCTTGAAATATGAATCAATCTGCCCAGCGGCTGACTTGTCAGCAGCGCGGCGAAAGTACTCTTCAATGAGTCTGATAGTCATTGTCGTGTCGACATCAGACCTATGCCAATCGTCGGCAAACCCAGCGTCCTCAGGGAAAACAGCTCTGTAAATGTCACCTAGCCCCAGTGGAGCCTGCGCGGCGCGTAAACCAAGACGCTGTCTTATTGTTGACCACCATCCGTATGGCCGTTCCGACCAGATGGGTTTCGGTGGAAGAAGGTTCCCCTTGCCGACAGATTCCAAGCCATGGCTGAGACACTGGTAATCTCCATTGGAAGTGCCCCATTCGAGAAAGAGGTCTATTTTTCCATGTCTCTGTTCCCAGTCAGATATTTTACTTGCACAAGACTAGCATTTGACGTTGGTTAGTACATACTTTCGTGTAGTCTTCGATTAATTTGGCGATCTCCATCCATGTGCGACCCGGCGTCTGCTTTGTCCAGTCACCTCGACCGTAGAATTTCTGGAACATCATCATCGCTCTACCGAACTCCCCACAGCTCAATGCTGGGTTCGCTTCTCGTCGTTTGTCATAAGTAGATCGTATCAGAGCGGCAAGTTGCCCGATTGGCATCTCGTGGTCGATGGTGGTTGGGGGAACAATCCACTCCCGTTGGCATTTGCCAACGAGAACTCCAGGGCTGCTTGGTGTCTAAGAATAGATAGAAAGCTTGGAAAATATTCAAAGTCCCCGATGGCTATGGTCTTGGGCCTGGCCTTCCAGGCCTCCATGACGCCACGGATTTGGGGCGTTAATGGAAAACTCGCACTCGACCAGTCAAATGTGTAGCCTTCAGGCAGATTCTCAAGCGGCGTTGACTTCCAGATGCTCAGACTCATGGAATGGGGGTTATTTTCTGAGGGCTGTTGAGTTTGTGCGAGACAACCGGCAGTTCGATGTTCTTCGAGAACGGCGGCATTGGAAAATTGTCTGTTGCAGGTATCACAGACCGCAACTTGACAGGTAAGAAGGTGTTGAGGAAGCTCGTCGGATTTTACGCGGGTTCTGCAGTTTGGGCACTTTACGACCAGACATATGTGGCCGTCTGCTCTTGAGCCATTAGGCTCGCCACAGCTATGACAAGCGTTGCATGACATCCGGTGCTGCTCTACCATTTCCACAGGGATCAGGCCCTTCTCACAACGAGAGCACCAACGGTACTGGCACGCCCTTTTATGGGCTTCGAACTCGTGATCGGGGATTCTGGCCATGTGGCAGGCGATGCAGTTGTGGAAATTGCAGGTCTCGAGGTGCTGCGGCTTTTCTGCCACTGGCAGACGATTTTGTTTGCATCGGGAGCATTTCCATAGCCCGCAATCATGTACCTCGAAGTCTTCCCTTGACATGTACTTTCCACATCCGCCGCATTTCCGGGAGGAACATTGCTGTTGGTGATGGTCACGTTCGGACCTCGGCAGGTTCTGCCTGCAATGGCAGCAGATCCAACGTGGGCATACGGCGGCATGAGCATGTCTCTCACTTCGTGCTGTTGTTACGCCGCAACGGCGGATACATTTCCACCTGCCACAGTGTCCTTTGTGAGCCTCCCGTTCGCTGACTGGGATTCTCTCGCCGCAGTGGCCGCACGGCCGATGATCACAGGTTCGAAGATGCTCTACTTTATCATCTTTGGTCATTTTGACACGGCAAAATTGGCAGGTCCACGCTTGACAGATGCTCTGATGTTCTAACTTCTCTCCGATAGGAAAGATCCTGAAGCAATGCTTGCATTTAAACCGGGAGCAGGTCCGCTTGTGCTCTTCCTTTTCGGCTAATGGGATACTAAACTTGTTGCAATGCCAACAATGCCAATTCTCCTGCTGACAAGTCTTCAAATGCTCCGGTAACAAGCCTCGGGTTACGTACTTGTTGCAGCGGCCGCAGTAAGTCCCCACCCCAGAGCAAGCGAGTTTGTGATTGGGCAGCTCTTGGTTTGAGACCTCTTCTCCGCAGCCGTGGCAAGAAGTGGTCCCAACCTTGAACCACGTATCTTGCAGGTCTGTGCTTGGGCACTTCATGAGGTGTTGAACAAGGTTCCTTTCTTGCATCTCAGAGCCACAGTGCTTGCATGTAGCGCGTTTTTTTGAGAATCCCTCTTTGGCTTCAATGACAAAATGAGTCCGTGTCTCTTCAGGTGTCGGCTTGCGAAGACCAGGGCCGGGACATTTGGAAAAGTGTTGCTTCAGCAGTTGCAGTGTACGTGCGGAGCATACAAGTCCACACACAAGACATCTTCCTCGGTCGTCTACGTAGTTTGGATCTTGGAAAATCTCGAATTGTTGCCGGATGTCTTGATCACGGGCTTGCTGTTGACGTTTGCTTGCATTGGTTTGGCGTGTCTGACCTTCTTTCCGAGATCGCTTTTTCCCAGACATCACTGCTCCCTGTGAACACAGAGTAACTATATGAAAGATATCCTTTTTGAGAGCTCACCAGGCAAATTGCAGATAGAGAATTAAGTTGGTTTGATATCGAAGTATAAGAAACAGAGGAAGGACACTGATTTTCCAGGCTTGAGAGAAAGCTGCAGAAGTAAGAAGATATCAGGGCGAGAGACCAGGGTTAATTGGCTGCTGAGACAATATGAGTAACTGAGTAACTGAGTAACTGAACAGTGATGAAAGTGTGAGAGGATAGCGATAGAAGTAGGAGCAAGAGGGTAAGGGCACTTCCGTGTAAGTATGCAAGATGAATCAAAGGGAAAAGGCTACATATGATACGGCAAACTGAATTTATCAAGGCGCTCTAGCATGTCGACATATAACATGGCAAACGACAAACAAAAGCTCAAGATGGAAACAGACAAACATTTGCAAGGGAAGGTCTGGTGGAATATCCCATGTGTGAAACAGATGACCAAGTCTCTAAATGTATTGGGCGAAAAGCATAAAGCCAAGTGGTTAGGGCATGAAATCCGCAGAGCTCACATCAACCCCAGGTGAGTACACCAGGACCACGAAACGACCTTTCACTACTACGCAAATGTTAAATCTGTAAATACCTGCTGAACTTCTTTCATAGCTTAGGACTTAGCTTCTACTACTCAATGTCATCATACCTTCACAACATGCACCTTACCATCTCTGTGCCCCTCTCCCTGTAACACCAAAGCCCGCTCGGGCCCTGGCAGCGTGGACTGCAAAACGACATCATCATCGACATCACACCCAGGAGACATCATTTCCTCAGATACATCGTCCGGCGCTTCTCGCATCTCTTTCTGTCGGATTATATGAGCAACATCTGAATGCTTCTGCGCAAGGGCCCATTCGCGCGGCGTGCGTCCATAAGTGAAATCACGAGAGCTCACATCAACCCCAGTTGAGTCCAGCAACAACTGAACCACCTCGAAATGACCTTTGGCTGCCGCCCATGAGAGCGGTGTTCGCCCATAATTGGTGTCGGCGAGGTCAGGTTCCACGCCTTCTGTAGTTAAAAGCCGCCTTACAATTTCAGTGGCTCCACTCTCACTGGCATATGAAAGCGGCGTACGATTGGATGTGGACTTGGAATTCGGGTTCACCTTTCCCGTACCTAAGAGGAGATCGAATATAGCCTCGTTACTGAGCTCAGCGGCGATTGACAATGCGGTGCGCCCACCTGGATGGATATCGTCCCATCCAACATCTTGTGCGCCACTGTTGAGGAGGAGCTTGCATATTGAATCGTGCCCTGCTCCGAGAGACGAGACCAGTGGGGTTCGCTGCTCGGAGTCTCTCATGTCAAGTTGGACAGCGTTTGTTGCAATCAAAAGCTTGGCCACTTCTGTGTGGCCTCCCATTGCAGCCAGGGACAGAGGCGAATAGCCGGCACGATTCCGGCAATTTGGGTCAACTCCATCGACGCAGAGAAGAAGTTTAACTAGCGTATCGTGACCGCCTGTTGCAGCCAGAATAAGTGGTGTGTTGCCCTTTGCATTCTGCCGTGTCGGGTCAATGCCTTCTTGTTTCAGCAGGAGCCTCACGATCCCCACATGGCCAAGTTCGGCGGCTGATAAGAGCGGTGATCCATACCGGGAATCACCTTCCGCATTAGCTCCGGAGGCTAGCAGAAGCTTCACAACTGCCTCGTGGCCATTTTCTGCTGCCTTGCAGAGTGCCCTAGATTTTGAAAGGCATTCTGTATCTAGGAAAGCCTTTTCCCGGCTCAGAAGGATCTCCACTACCCGGACATGGCCATTCTTAGCAGCATTCACCAGAGGCTCATACGACCCACCATTGATGCCAGAGGGTTCACCACCGACCCCCGCATCTAGGAGTAGATTCACAACTCGCTCGTGTCCACCTTGAGCTGCCAATGTCAGAGCAGACCTACAAAAGTGCGATTCCTTGTCACTCGAGCCTTGACCAGTGGTGTCTAGACCAGTAGCGTCTATTATAGCCTTGACTCTTAAGTCTAGGCCAAAATATGATGCCAACAAAAGGTCGCAGAAGTGAGACTCTTCCCAATCCCGCGGGAGATAACGCTTGTTTCCGCGGTATATAGAAAACCACATGTTGAACCGCCAGGAACCTACCCTGCACACTTCAATCACTGATTCTAAAGTCGCCGACTGCCTTTCGCTCGCCGCCTTACGGAAGTGTTCGGCCCAGTTCTTGGCCGCGTATTCTAAGAAAACATGTTCTTGAGTATATTTCCCGATATCCTGCTTCGGGTTCGAGCAGGACTCAAAGTCTTCAAACAAGAGATATGCGATGCATATCTCATTTAAGATACTGTTTGACTCGGTTGGGACCAAAGAATGCTTCCAGTGGGAGAATGCGATATCACTATGTGGCCGATTCTCGACAGTCGAATAATTTGTTGAGGATCTGGGCTCCGTCCGTGGTGTTAATGTATCTCCTGCCTCTGCCTTCTTCACCAAAAATTCCTTTGCGGTCTGATGCAACAGATATATTTTTGAATCGATGACTGTCACGAAAAGCCCGCACAGATTTCTCACCACGGTGGGAAACCGTGTCTCCGATTCGAGATCGAGATCCTCGTATGTGCGGTCAGTTGGGCGTATTGCAAGGGCAATCCTCATTTCTTTGAGTGTCATGGGCCTGACAGCAGACACAACAATATGGAGCAGTCTTTTGGCTTTCTCCTGGTCGGGACTCCGAGCCAGGATATTCTCGTACGCTTCGTCGACTGTCCTTGGGAGTGTGTGGATGATCTCCTGTACTCTCGCATTCGTGTAGCTGATGCTGTTCTCAATCACGTCAAATATCAGAGTAACCCAGAGATACGTCCGATGAGAGAACAGCAGAAGCTGATTGCGAAGAAACACTCGTTCGTGACTTTCAAGCTGCAAACGATCGCCCATTTCCTCGACGCGGTTGTGGATGACCAGATTGATCTCATCGGATATCTTCTCCGTCTCAACGTCGTCTTCGCCGCTCAGGTGGATTTCTGGCACACGGTTCTTCAGAGGCTGAAACTCGCGCTGTATATGGGCGTATGGTCGACTCGTGACTAGGAATTTCAATAACGACTTGCTCTTCTCTCCTGCGGTAGTATCTGTTCAAAGCTTGGATAAGTTGAGAACGTCCACCACCTTCACACTCATCTAGAGCGTCTAGAACACAAACGATTTCCCCGGCATTTGGGTCGCTCGCCACTTTGACTAGCAAGTCCCACAAGCTCGAGAAAGACTTGGTAAGCCAACCGGGATCTCTCCCAAAATCGCCGAGTATGGATTCGTGTAAAAGCTTCTCATTCTGGAGGAACAATTGGCGTAGTATGGCACACAAGGCATTTACTGCACTCTTTTGCTCCGTATGATCATCCTTGAAGAAGAAATAGCAAATGATCTGCTTTTCAGACCTTCGGATCTTGTGATCGACTAGACTTTTTGCCAGCACTGATTTCCCACAGCCAGGGTCCGCAGAAACCCAAAGGAAGCAGGATGATGTATTGTTCCTCCACCCTTGAAACAGAGGATGATTTGTGAACCATTCACACGTGCCCTGGACTGCCTCCTGGTTTCTGTCTTTGTGGTCCTCGTAACAGGAAGTATAAAGCACCTTGAGAAACTCATCCCGCGCAGAAGCGGTTTGAGGGTCGGTTTGCCTTCTCAGGCTGTCCAAGATGTTATCGGTGTTTTCCCGCACCTTTGAAAGGCTTTGCTCATGCTTTTCCAGGCCGCTGTGCAATTTCACTGAGTCAATGACAGAAGTGAAGTTCCTACACAGTGTTTCTGAGTCCTTAATATCAGCTAGTTTTTCCTTCCAACTGTCGACTTCAAATGTCTCGCTGAATCTCTGTCGGATGGGGTGTCTAGAGAGGTGGCACAGAGCTCGGGCCTGGAACTCCAGGACTTTTGAATAGAGATCCAGCATACTGGCTTCGAACTCAGTGGCAAACCGGGCAGCATCGTCCGCGCTGGCAAGAATAACATCTTTGCGCGACATGTATAGTTTCTCCATCACATTGAATTGGCAGATCAGTTTCGACGTACAGTCAAAGCCGGACAGCAGCGCCTTGTGTTCGTTCACTGACCGAATGAGCAGCTAAGCCTGAGCCTCAGCAATCCCCTTCACTACGCATGATTGAAAGACAGGAAAAAAGACAGCTGAGCCTACCGATAAAATTACTGTGACTCCTGCGCAAGCCAGTGCAACATGCGGATCCGCAGCAGCGGCCGTGGAGACGATATCCTTCACGGCCAGCACATTGTTCGCAATCCCAGTTAAGATGCTTTCGACGGAAACGTGATTTTTGCGAAGCCGAACCCTCCATTTCTTCTCGTCAAGAGCTTGGATTCTGTTGACGGTGAAATTAGACAACTGCTTCTGGCGATCGGAAGATGCCATCCCCGCAATCTCAAATCCCAGCTCTGATTCCAGAATTGACAAATAAGTCTCCATGATCTTTCTCGTCCGATCATCGGGACTGTTTCGCAGAGCTTTTTCTGCGCGGTCCCAGAGATCGCTAGGCTCATCTCCTGATGTGGGAGTGAGGACAACTTCGTCGACATGCGGGGTATCCGCCTGTCCAATGTTTTGAGTATGGGGATTATCCAACTGTGAATGTGATTGTAAAACCGTCTTAAACGTAGACGTTCCAGTGCTCTTGATTTTGCGGAACCGATGTGAGAGAGAACGCATTTTGTGCTAGAGAGCGAAGATTGGAGTGTCTGTCACGGATGAGAGTGCCTGATTATGGCAGTGATTGGGGGATGTAAGCTAACTAATAAAAAAAGAGCCTCATTCCATCTTTTCTCCCCTTTTCCAGTACCAACCTCATTTTCACTCTTGTCCTTTCCTGTAAAGACCTTGGAATCATTTTCTTTTAACATGACAACCCGTGGTCGGCCTCCTAGCCTCATATACGCCCAACCACCTCACTAGATCCCACTCTATGCGCGCCCCGTACCAAGCTATCGCAATTTTATGCCTCGCTCATTTGGATAAGGCGCTGTATCGGACTTGGCGTTTCGGTCGCTTCGAGAGCTAGATACCCTTCCGGAGGCCGATCTAGAAACCGACGATTAATTCTATCTGAAAGAATTTGATATAGTGCGCAATTTACTTGAATAAGTTAAAGGGTATGAGTAGCTTTATAATAAAGACGGGGTGTTTAGACGAGACTCTATGTGGGGTTTTACGACAGACTATTCGCCTACTAATATGGAAAATATCCCTCGAGTAATTGGAAACCTAGTGAAAGTAAGAGAGTGTAGTATATAAGATAGTCTTCCCCCTATATAAACGAGGTATGCTATCGCTTTAAGCTAGATATAGTTAAAGATAAAGCGGCTTTATTAGGTGCCTCGAACGATCGTATACAGGAGGAGTTTAGGGCCCGCGTTCGGACTAGGCGCCTACTCGATAGCGCGGGTTGTATCTGGCCTCTAGCGAGGAATATAGCTTATTTAGTTCTTACTAGGAGTACGACTTCTCTACTAGCTAATATTTCCTTCGCCGATAGCAATCAGATAGACGAGTATAAGGCGTTTAAGCGAAAATCTATTAAAGTTGTGGACGCGCTATAGGAGCCTATATATGAATACCTCCCCCTATTGTGGTATGGACCAGTGCCCTCTTTATTACATTCTTAGTCTGTATTTTCACCTCACAAAGAGTGGAGGATTGATGGAGGACCTCTACCCTATGCACGACGAATGTTATTGAAATGAGCTAGTTATTCATAATTCCAATTTGATTATAATTGAATAAATGTAATGTCCTTGATTGAAGGACTAATGATAGCGAATATATGTAATGTTTTATGATTGCGTTATGGTATATTCCTTCAATGTTTTTATATGGGAGAAGATGTGGCATACAGAACGATAGTAGTTCTCTATCTGATAGAGAAAGTGGCAATCTAACGTCTATATTATTGAAAACCCTATCTAGCCTATGCTATATGCATATATAACATATGTAGGTAGTTATATTAGACCAAATCAGATAGCCCTAAAAACGGGAGTTCGATCAATTGGCCGCTATTTACGGCGACGTCATATGTGGGGCCTCTCTCTTTGAACTTCATAACATCGCCTTTGACCTGAACCCCCCCGGATATGCAGCTTTTTCAGCTGCATTTTGAACCTATTTGAGTCCCTTGAGCTATGGAGAGCTTTGATGATGTTTCTCTTATTGGACTAGTGTCACAGGAAGCACCTTTCCACGATGACCATATTCCGATTCCCTCGGACCCGAATCTGGCGAAGCAAGACACAGGTAGACCAACTTCCACCCAAACGACGAGCGTCAGACCCTCTTCGCGACTAGAGCGCACCGATGATACTGGAATAATCGATGATGCCTCAGTCGTATCGGAATTCCCGTTACCTTACGACCAACCGCCTGGGGCTCGGATTGAGGAAGAGGAAGGGGATGGGGAAGATGAGGAACCACGGGTAGCAACTTCATTTGAGCGAGAGGCTTCGCCAACTTTTGCGCAGAAACATCGATCAGCTTCAGACAACTCGGAGGACGAAGGGATCAACCGTATGCACAAATTTACGCTGTACGAAACCGCGACTCGATTCTATATGGTCGGGATCAATCTTGCGGAAACTCGTTTCCGGATTCTGAAAATTGATCGCACCTCGGACTCCGGAGAGTTGAGTATTACTGAGGATGACATGGTATACAACAAAAGAGAGATGGTTCAGTTGCTGGATGCAATCGACGACGGCAATAAGAGCTCTGGTGGGTTGAAGCAGAAGTGCAGTGCATGGGCATTGCTTGGCTTCATCCGATTCACAGGTGCATACTACATGCTACTCGTTACCAAGAGGGGCCAGGTTGCCATGCTTGGTGGTCACAATGTCTATCAAATCGACGAGACTGAGCTGATCCCATTGACCACCTCGGAACCTTCACATCCTAAGGCCGAGAAGCATTCGGAGGAGGCACGATATATTGCGATTTTGAATAATCTGGACTTGTCGCGCTCTTTCTATTTCAGCTATTCCTACGATATCACTCGCACACTCCAGCATAATATCTGCCGGGATCGCGAGGCCCACCGGGATGGCCATCCACATCCGCCTTCACATGATTACCACTCCATGTTTATTTGGAACCATCATCTTCTTTCCCCGGCTGCTGAGGCCCTTAAGAATCCTTACGAGTGGTGTCTACCTATCATTCATGGGTATGTGGATCAGTCAAAGATGAGTGTCTATGGACGAGTGGTCTACATTACAATCATCGCGCGTCGATCTCGATTCTTTGCTGGGGCGCGCTTCCTGAAGCGAGGCGCAAACGACCTGGGATACGTGGCCAACGATGTGGAGACCGAACAGATTGTATGTGAACAGACAACAACATCATTCCATTCTGCTGGCCCTGGGCTTCATGCAAACCCACATTATACTTCGTATGTTCAACATCGTGGGAGCATTCCTCTTCACTGGACTCAAGATAACACGGGGGTATCACCGAAACCGGATATTGAGCTTAATCTCGTGGATCCATTTTACTCGGCTGCGGCGTTGCATTTCGACGATCTATTTCGAAGATATGGCGCTCCAGTCTATGTTCTGAACCTGGTCAAATCCCGCGAACGAACTCCAAGAGAGTCAATACTTCTCAAAGAGTTCACCAACGCTGTGACTTACTTGAACCAGTTTCTTCCCGAGGATAAAAAGCTCATTTACGAGGCATGGGATATGAGCCGTGCTGCAAAAAGCCGGGATCAGGATGTCATTGAGACGCTAGAAGATATCGCAGGCCACATCATTCCCAAAATTGGCTTTTTCAAGAATGGGGATGACGCAGAATCCGGCTTGCAGCTTCAAAACGGTGTCGCAAGGACCAACTGCATTGATTGCCTCGACCGAACAAATGCTGCACAGTTCGTCATTGGCAAAAGGGCACTTGGCTATCAGCTCCATGCTCTGGGTGTGATAGATGACACAACTGTAGAGTATGATACTGATGCTGTCAATCTCTTCACGAACATGTGGCATGACCATGGCGACACTATCGCTATTCAGTACGGCGGATCACATTTAGTGAACACCATGGCTACCTACCGCAAGATCAATCAATGGAGCAGCCACTCTCGAGATATGGTGGAAAGCTTCAAGCGGTATTACAACAACTCTTTCCTTGATGCTCAGCGCCAAGAGGCATATAATCTCTTTCTTGGGAATTACACCTTCGCGCAGGGCATTCCGATGCTTTGGGATCTTCCTACGGATTACTATCTCCACCATACCGATCCCAAATCCCACTTCAACAGAAAGAAACCCAGCTACATCTCGTGGTACACACCAGAAAATCTAAAGCCCAGGGAATTCCCACCCCTCCCATTCCATCCCAAAACACCGCTCTCACATTTCGATGACTTCTGGCTGGAATACTACCGACCACTCGCTCTGTCTTCTCTCTCTAAAGTCTTCTCCTTGAAAATGAACTCCACATCCCGCTACCTACCCCCAGTCCGCCCAGGACACCCAGTCCCGATCTCAGCCCCTTCGTGCCACGAATCCCCCCAGAGCAAATCCAGCGCGAGCGCCTACCACAGCGCAGCGTGAAGATCCAGGAGCCTTCCGACAGCCGCAGTCGCGCCTCATCAGTCACGACACCAATACCCGAATCCGCACACACATGGGCCCACCAAGCCCCCTCGTCTGAGAAAGAACCCCCTCTCGCGGGCATCATCAAAGAGCCAGCTTTCAAAATCCCCCCATGTATCCCGCATCCCACTCATCGACCCACCAGATGCCAATTCCACTCCCAGCAAAGCGGAGATCGCCCAGTGGACCCTCGGCCAGCTAGTCAATGACTCGCTGAGCCCCTCTGTCACCAGTGCCGAGGCAGAAGAATACGAGCGGTACATCAACCACCCGCTTAAAGTCCCACTTGTCGTCACATCCGAAGATGAAATGACGGCTTCATCGCTGCAAGACCACGGCTACAATCTCGATCTTCTGGAGTACGCGAATAAGTGCAATGTCGAGGAATCTGCGATGGAGGCGAGGGCTGGGGTAAACATGCTTGCCTATGCTGAGTTCTTGGATGTCTCTGAGGATGGTCTTACTGTCGTCGGAGAGGATTATGAGAAGAAGAGGTACAAACGGTACCGCCAGTGGTTGCGCGGGAAGAGTCTCTTCAAGCAGCGGGTTGATCCGTGATGCTACAAACCTGAGTATCTGTTTTTCTTTTGTTTTAGCGTTCAGAGCAGCAAATTGATACCCTCATCTTATTCTACTTTATTAAAGGTTCTATGGATAGTGTCCACTTACTACCGTCCAGATGCCAAGAGCAAGTTTTTGTTTAAATCCAACAGGCATCTTCAAATCGAGATTGCCATAATTGTTGCTATAATATTTTCCCTAGATAACACCCCAGGCATACAATGCCAATAACGATCAAACGAAAAGACCCTTGAGCTCTGCATCCGCATCAACAAGCTCCTGGAACTCCTTCTCTACATTTTCCTTGACCTGCACCTGTTCCGGCTCTGGGACATCAGCCGCAACAGCAACAGGATTCAGCAAAACAAGCTTCAAAACCTGCAGCGTCTGCTGCAACTCGCGCTTCAACTTAGCCAGCTCAGCCACGGAATCCCTGCTATCCTCGGCAATATGGAGCCAGCACGAACACAGCCCGCTCAGGATCTCACCGCGCCAGCGCCATATCCGTGGGTGTGCGTTCTTGATCACCGCTTGCGTCGCTGCAGTAGCAGCTAGCAGTAGTGGGGGGTGTGCTGTTCCGAATGGGTTTGATAGTGTTGTGAAGAGGACTGGGATCAGTTCCTGGAGGTACTTTGTAGTGTGGATTCCTAGCTCGTTGATAACGATTGTTATCTGTTCTAGGAGGAAAGTTGAGAGGCGGGGGTGTGGGAAGGATGCTGCTGAGCCCGTAGCTGGAGTGCTGGAGCTGACGTGGTGGAAGGAGGAAATGAGGTTTGATCGGAGGATTTTGGTGAGGCTGGTCGTGTAGGCTTCTTTATCTTTTTCGGATGGGGTGGGGCCTTTGTAGGCGGTTTTGAAGGTGGACAGGAGGGCTGGATATGCTGCTCCTAGTAGATCTAAGGATCTGTCCTCGGGTGTGATGGATGGTAGAGATAGAAGACACGGCGTGACGGCGTCTTCGAAGACAGAAGTGAGGTTTGTTCGTCGGAGGATGTCTGAGTTACTTTCTTGGATGGGTCGCAGAAGCTGAGCGAGTAGGGCGCAGCCTTTTGTTTTGAATGGGAGATTGTTGTCGTCAACCATTGCTAGGATGGTGGGCACGAAAAGCTGGAAGTGCGCTTCGAACTGTGTCTTGTCCTCGGGTTGGTACTGCGAGAGGATCCAAGACAGCACAGATGCGACGTAGATATCGGTAATCTTCCAAGGCTTCGCTGATGCATCCAGATCGCTTGCACCGAAGCGAGGTAGAGATTGAGGATGGAAGTTTTTGCGGCCGGCACTGGTGATGGCGGGGTTTTTCGTCTTTGCAAAGAGAGGCCTGATCCTCTCTCTGAGGATGAAGTCGATAGCAGGCCAGAATGTATTGCGGCGACGAGTGTCCTGCACCCACACGCTCATGAGCATCGATGCCGCATTGTAGCTCTCTGATGTGGCCCATGGGTTTTCCTCGTTGGCAAAACATGCCCCCGCGAGAAGAATATCGGCCGCATTGTCTGGCTTGCCGTTTGGTAATCCTGCCAAGGGCTTGTTTAGAACCAAAATCAGCTCCAGTGCGAGCTCGGATCTGAACCGACTCTCGTTCTGAGCTTTGATGATATCTGTGTGGCACAATTAGTAAAGGCTTCAGATGTTTATAAAAGAACTTACCGTCTGAAACCTCGGCAGTCTCATCAAAATCGACTGCGAAATCGGACGAAGGAAGAGCAGCAGCACTGGCCCAGTCGAACAAGTTGTTCACGGCTTTGGCCTCGGCTGGTTTCAAGGGTCGCGGGCCTTGGTCTTTTGGCAGCATGCCATCCCAGTAGTCAATATAACTGGTCACGCTAACGAGACTCTCACAGATCTGAAAAATTAGTGCATTTGTCTTTATGCAATTGGTAGAATCATACATTCAAATGTGTTGAGTGATCGTAAGCAGCAACGTCTTGCCATAATTGAGCCAAATCACTTTTGGACGCAGCCGCAACGGCGGGGAAGAAACCGACTGGCATTTTGCCAGGATTCTGCACGAGAGCCTCTCGGGCTTCTTTGCGCAGTTTATCCATTGCTGAGATATTTACAAAAGAAGAGAAAGTTGTAAAAGTTCTAGTTTAATGTTGTCCGCGAATAGGATTTTCATTTGTCATCGGGATCTTCAACGTCACTCTAATTCTGCTCGTCGACCGGCGATCTCCTCCAACGCCTTCTCCTTGTCGGTGATATCAGGATGAAGAAGTTGCCATTCCAGGGCCATGTTAACTGCCTTGGACATCCAAGGTCCCTTTTTGGCCCCCAGACTTTTCATAATTTCGTCCCCGTTTACAATGGGCTTGAGCTCACAAACACCCTCCAGATCGTTTTCTACAATGTACGCAAGGAACTGGTCGTACTCATGGGCCACTAAACATCGTGAGAATGGGGATCTTAAAATCAAGGGGATACATCTTACCTTCTGCAAAGTCACGGAGCGCCATGTTTTCTTGCAGGATAGCCAGGAGAATGCAAAACTTCCAGTCCTTATTCCACGATCGCATTTGCAACCCAATGCGCTGTCGGATTTCTGCCGGTGTTCCACTCATCTGGTTGGTGAGAAGGGCATTTTTGGTTGCGATTGTTTCCTTGTAATGCAGAGCAGCAGCGCGGAGCGCATTGAGCGTCTTATTGTCACTGCGAAGGCTCTCCCTGCCAACCTCAACCGCTCGCGGGGGCAAGGGCTTTCCTTTCCCGGTGCGGCCGGGAATCGATGTCCAGGGAGCAAAGGTTGCAATCATCCAGGCGTAGTATATGGTAGTTTCGTCGCGGAATAGGACCCCACGAATGCGCTTAGTAACTGCCTGAACTTCTTCGCTGTCACCAGCCTCTGGATGCAGCAATCGTGCCAAAGTATTATAGGCAAGGGGCCATGTTGATGTATCAGCCTTGACGTCGTCATGATGATTAGCGAAGATAGTGGGGAACAGTTGGAGTCGATCAATGAACTGTAATGCACCGCGAGGGTCGGGTCCTAAGATATCAGGCATGACTTGTCAGAAATGTAAAAGTATTGGGCAAGTGCAATGACTCACCACGCAACATCTTTTCAACCTCGGTTCCTACTCGCTCTTTACTAATTTTGAGCTTCAATGCTTCGCGGATATCTTCAATCTGCATAGCGGCTTCGGTTTCTGCCTCGATTTGGTACCCAAGCCTGCTGGCAAAGCGAATCAATCGAAGCACACGCAGTGGGTCATCTTTGAAGGTCTGGTATGGTTCCATTGGGCATCGAATGATATTTTTCTTCATGTCGTCCAGTCCTCTCTCTGTGAGATCCTCCAGCCGTGACTCATTAAGATTGTAGAAAAGTGCATTGATAGTTGCATCGCGTCTCAGAGCGTCTTCGACAGCGGTGCCGAACTCCATCTGAGGATTTCGACTGTCATCTGTGTATGTTTCCTTCCGTAGATTGACCAAATCAATATCCAATCCGAAGATCTTGGTTGTGACGGTCTCGAGGTGCTTTGACTTCTCTGGGTTGGCCTCGATCTTGTGAAGGCTCACAATGGCGTCGTGCATTTCCCCATTCGGAAGGCCTTTCTTGTATTTTTCAAGGTGCTCTGGAACATCTAGGTAGTTTTTTAGGGCCATACCAAACTGGTATCCCGTCATGTTGCTGATGCCCACGTCGATATCATGGCTATCGACTCCGAGCAGCTTGTCCCTGACCCACCCACCTGTGAAGCGCAAGACAGTTTCGGAGTGATCTTTCGCGGTGCTGCCTCCCTTGGCGATCTTCTGTTCAGTGATGTAATGTGCGACATCGAGGAGTAGGGTTCGTAGGGTGCTCTCAAGCGGAGTGAGCTCGATGGTAGGCATGACGGGGCTCATGGTTGGATATGAGCCTTCCCGCGATGGGGAGGAAATGCGTCGCCTCTTTCTGACTCGATCTGAGAAGTCCGGGTCCGATTCGGGGTTGCGCATGGAAGTGCGACAAACGGATGCAGAGTAGGTTCGGAGGGGTAGATGTTGAAACGGGCCTATTTGACCAGCTCTTCTCGCTAGAGTGCGGGCAAGTGGAACTTCAACTGAAGAGAGACCAGAAGTCTTAAATAAACACACGAAAGGGCGCAACGGCATTGAACCTAGCCAGGTCAGATGCTCTGAGAAAGTGAGTCAGTTTGATTGTCGATAAGCATGGCTCTCACGTGGTTTGCATCACCACCTGGAGATCGACCAGCCTCTGCCTGAAAGTACTATGTGTTGCATTTACAATTGACAAGATAATTCTCCACCTTCTTAAAAGCTCTAGTGCCCAACCTGTCCACGGGTCCTGTGGCTCTATTTTCGTTGCCCGTGTCAGTGCTTATCGGCCCGAATCCGTCAACTTGGCTTTCTCCCCAACAACACCGTGAAGCCGCATCCCACTCGCTCTATTACACCTCGTTCGACCTCATCTACCAGTCGATGGGACCTGTCGATCAACTACACTCGCTTTAAATCTGCACAAAGCAGCAGGTGTCCGCCCATGACATCGCCCGGAGATGCTGCTCCGGTCAAACCTCCGCCGTCCTTCTCCCCCGGCGTTGCGCGAGTCGCATCCACATCACCATCACGATACCCGGGGGAGCATGAAACAACTCAATCTTTAGACGCCGAGCTGGCAGAATCCCAGACCGTCTCATCGCCGACCCCTCTTTCAGCCACAGTCGCCGAGTTACCAATACGATCTGGCTCGTCGCACTCGCGCTCTGGGAGGTCTTCCACCCCGCAGTTAGCAAGGTCATCGATCGGTTCGCCTTTTGATGGAAGATCCGATGGCTCGGAAGATATAAGATCATCAATTATCCGGTCATTCTCACCCACGATCGCAGTCCATGCCTCCGAGGATACCGACGATCTGGTGAGGAACAAGGGGTTCAAGGGGGGATTTTGGGAGTTGATCCGGCCCTTTGGGGAAACTGTTTCCGGAAAGGTAGTGATTCGGGACAGTATAGGCTCGAGTCGTGCTTGGGAGGACTATGGAGTGCGCTTTGCCGATTTCAAAGGGATCGGCAGGACTCCGTCTAATCGAGACTCTGTGCCCCTGGCGCAGATGGAAGAAGTGCTGGCCAAGCAGTTAGACTCTTCAGGTAGCATGCTTGGTGCGTCGGTACGGACAAAGGACGTTTTGGGACTCCCTGCAACAACTCCACTATGCAAGTCGTTTTTGCAACAACTGCTGTGTTCGGCACCTACAGCGCCCCACGAGACATTTGGCCACCCAGTAGCCAATGTAATAGCCATCAGCTCTCGCAACGCAGCTCCGTTGGAGACGCTCAGGCAGCTCTATGCTGATGGTACTACTGGGAACAAACAGCTACCGGACTGGGTCAACCAGGAGTATCTTCGATATTACGTTTTAGTTCATGACGAAGAACGAGATGATATTACGGAATCTATCAAGCTATATGATCAGATGAAGCGGCACTTTGGGCTACACTGTCATCTTTTGAGACTTCGGAGCAGCCAGTGTGTGGTGACAGACGATGATAGCATGCAGGTCCCCCAGTGCGAATGGCTCTCGCCGTCAGAGCATTTGTCGGGGGCAGGCGAAGCAGGCAAGTGTTCGTCACCACACAAACAGACGTAAGCTAACTTTTCTCCAGAAGCCTTGGTTGACCTCGGGACTGACGGCACGCCATATCTCTTTGGCTCTGATGCTACTGCGATTAGGGCATTCATTCGAGAACTAGTGGTACAGTCCGTCATTCCATTCATGGAAAATAAAGTAGCTGTCTGGAACGACCAGGTTGCATCTCGGAGGCGTGGTATAAGTGGCAGGTTTATGTCGATGTCTCGGCGATGGGCTGGCTTCGGTTCAAGCTCGCGTTCAAGCATAGGAGGCTCGTCGGGTGGTAACAGCGGGAACTATGATCCAACACAACATTCTTATAGCCCAGACACCCCGGAGGCTATCTTGCGGAAGATGGCGGACTTTGCGTTCATGCTCCGCGATTGGAAGCTAGCGGCGTCCACATATGAGATGATTCGGTCGGATTATGGCAACGACAAAGCCTGGAAGTATCATGCTGGTGCCCACGAAATGTGCGCTGTTAGCATGCTTCTAAATCCATTGGCCACATCAGCCAAAATCAAACTTGAGAGCGTTGACCAAATGTTCGAGACTGCGTGCTACTCCTATCTCACACGTTGTTCAGATGCGCCACACGCACTGCGCTGTTTATCCCTCGCAGTTGAGCTTCTCAAGTCTCGCGGCGGGTCAGCCACTGAGAGCGCAGCCAAATGGGCCATGCGGGTCATGGACTTTGGCCTTGTGGGCTCAGTGGGACAGATTCTATACACCGAAAGGGTGGCAGCTTGCTATGCGTCCAAGACACCAGCTGGAGCCGCAAAATGGGGTGGGCGTCGCCGAAAAGCCGGCATGTGGAGCATCCTTGCTGCCGATCAATGGCTCAAAGCTGGCCAACCCACCCTGGCTTCAGCCTGTCTGGAAGAAGCCGAGCGTCTCTATGCTGACGTGTTGCAGGCCGACGGGGTGTTCCCCATGCCTGAGATGCAGAGCTTCGTGGACAATCTGCGCCATGCTGTCAAAGTCGAATATCTTGGAGCGAGGGGATTCGATACCCGAGACGAACAGGCTAGTGAGGATCCCCTGGCCACTGAAGAGACCAGCGAGAAACTCGACATGCGCCATCATCGCCGGTCTTTGGTTGGGCCTCCTATGCAACTGGATGCTGGGACCTTGAACACGACGCAGGGACCTCTAGATCCTCAGAGTCCACCCAATGATGACTTTGAACGAGCTTAGACTCATTGCAGCCTTGACCGACTTCGACAAGGACCGGAGGCGTACTAGCACAGAATCTGACTTGAAAGATGCCCCAAGAATCCATAATTCGAGAAGCTTAGAAGACGGCATGCATCAATTTAAATTGCCGATATATGCCAGTATCGGTTTGGGGCGATGGTTTTGCCAGACTGAATTATACAGTGGGATGAAGAAGATATTACCTAGGTAGCAATACTCAATGTCAGCTGTCATCTATGTACATACACAAATAAAAAGAACGCTGTCATGAGAGATGCAAGAGACATAGGAGTGCATCATGCAACGTGCAACGTGCAACGTGCAACTAAGTTGAGATTGTCGAAGAAGCTAGGGCTATGTGGACTGTGGAGTCTGAGATCATACCACGAACATGAAACCAGAATTCGGGTCCGCTGGTGGGGAACATAAACAAGACCAATCCAGCCAGCCTTGGAAAGGAGATTGGAAGAAACGACTCGCCAAATTTCACTGAATTCAACACACCCTCCTCGTGATGTCTCCTTCTGCCGCGTCGGAAGTCCTGGTGGGAGCAGAAGCCCGGAGACTGATCTGCAGGATGAAGCATTGCTTGCCGGTGTTGGCGGTGTTGGTGGAAGGGAGGACAGGGCTTTTGACGCGGTGGACTTGCTGTTGTCTAGGTAGCGTCTTCCCCGCTTCATACACGGCAAAATATCTTCATCCTACAGCTCCGCACGTCTAAAGTTCTCGGAGCTTGTTCCACTCGCTGAATGGAACAATGGCAATGGATCTCAATCATAGATAGTAACCGCGTAAGGAAGCAACCTTAGACCCAGCCCGCTATGAATTGGAGCCCAGGTGGCAGGACTAATGAGGCGCCCACGAGTGTCTTGGTTCGGATATGATAGACTTGTCCTTGTTTGAGGCTTTTTGGCAATGGGTCGGCTTGATTTCCTTCAGTCTGAGTAGTGGACGACGTGGCTGTTGCATTGGCCGTCGACGTCGAGTGTATGTCAAGCCTGGCGTCCGCAGTTTGATCGTAAGCGTTTCGGTGGCGTTGACGAGGGATTCAATTTCCTTATGTATGTGGATCAAGCCGGACGATGCAGAGTCAGCATCCGTTTGGGTTAATACGTGGATCAAGCTGGACGATATAAGGTCAGCATCTATTTATAATGATATGTGGATCAAGCCGGACGACGATATAAGGTCAGTATCTATTTAGGATGATATATAGATTAAGCCGGACGACGATGTAGAGTTAGCATCCGTTTGGGTTGATACGTGGATCAAGCTGGACGATGTAAGGTCAGCATCCATTTGATCTATTTTACTTCGCGTGTGGTGACCGATTCGGACGATAAAAGGTCGGCAACTTTCGCTTCATGTATAGCGAGCTAACTGGATGATCAAAAATTTGGACCTTTGAAGCGCAGAAGAACTGCAAGACGAAACCATCGTCAGCATTGATTGCTGTACGGAATATTTGCCAGAGTCAGAACACAAAGCTAGTTATGGTCATAAAGGTGAATTGAGGGTACCTACCTAGGTACCTAGACCGTAGGGGAAGTAGTAAGAGTAAGCGGTTTCCTACCAGGGCAGGCAGTACCTACCTACCTATATGTGTACATATGTAGGTATTTACCTAGATACGTAGTAGGGCTGACATGATATTTACGTTGCCTCTAGGGCTTACCTACCTAGGTAAGGGGATGACCTCCCTCATCGACGCCAACCGGCAAGGCCGCCTACACATCCATGGATGGTATCACCTGCGCTGACACTTTGTTCCGGCAAAAATTGAAGCTACCTAGGTATACCGAAGTACTGTCCAGTTCTGAGTCCGAATTCTGCCTAGCTAGTCCCTACTGCACCGCCTCTTATTTGGGGGGGCGGCTGGCATCCATGGATACTACCTACCTAGGTAGGTACCTAGGTATGTACTTAGGTATTATATATGAATACCCTTAGCCTTCAAGTTACGGTACCCCATTCTTCGCCTTTTCTTCATTTGCAAAAGTAACCTCCAAAATGTTCGCCTGGATGCTCATCCCCCTTTTTGAGACAATCGACGCCAGGTTAAGAAGATACGGCGATTTCGATTCCTTACAAAAGTTCCGCCTTTTGGTTGTCAAGTATTATATCAAGCATGACCCGAGACTCAAGAAATTCGACCTTGGCGGAGTTCTTACCAAAATTGTCGGATTTGACATGCTGCTTCGATATACGGTCCAATGGGAAGAGACTCTAAAGCAGAAGTGCCAGGCCTTGAACAAAAAGAAAAGGTCTCAAGAAGAGGAGAAAGAGCTCAAATATTGCCTCTCCGATCTAAAGTTCTGCTCGGAGGCGTATTGGAAACAACAGCGAGGAATTTATGAAAAGGAAGCCTCGCTTCCAGCTGGGCCGTTCCGTCGAGCTTATGATACCTACCGATCTAATCCCAAATGGTATCTCCACCCTGACCTTAGAAATGACTGCGCAGGGAGAGGTGGATGCTGCGGGCGTCAGTGCGGTTGCTGTGAAAAACGTGAACCAACTCCCGGAAGACCCCGTGGTGTCGGCCACTGCACTGTACAATGTGGTTGTTGTATTGATGCTCGGGGATTCGAGATACAGTCACAGGACTTGATCGACGTTATGGACGAATTCCTGTCCGAATTGATTTTTCCGGATGAAGAAAATAAGACCTACTATACTCGATATATGCGGGCTTTCTTTATCGGCATTGAGTCGGAAAGGGACCAAGCACCAAAGTGGATATGATGCCAATAGCTACATAATATGAAGGATATTATGATTGAGCTTGGTATATTGGCTACATATGTGGATTCTTACACCGGATTTGATTGTGTTGCAGACCTCTGGCTGAATTGGCTACCTGGGTACACATCTCAGTTTAGTATCAGGCTTTTTCTCTCTTCGTTCCAGCAATCAAGTTATTCTTACCTTAGTTGTCCATGGGGCACTCGCAAGAAAGTTCCCAGTCATCCCCCCCTCTATTTAATTCGACACTTTTTCGACCTTACTGCTACTACTACCCCTCATATTGTCTTTCCTAGCCGCACAAGTCTAGCGTCCTCCACAGTCGGTCTGCGCAGGATTCGTCGGACCGAAAGCTTTTCCAGGCACAGGCTACGATAGTGTCGACACGCGTGGGCTTGGACTTGAGCTAAGCTATACCTCGCGTCTCAGGAACGCGGTGGTTTTGGGAATCGTGCTCGGTCGCGAGCAGCTGTGCTCATTACCAGTGTCGCACCCGGCGCATTATTGAAATGGTACGAGGTAGGAGCTACGATTTCCATCCATGGCCTCGCCCCCTACAAAGCATCTTCTTCTTTCGGCCCCTTCGTCGTCCAATTTGCACGGGTACCAGACTATGCTTTCCGTTCTAGAGCTGGCAGAGACTAATGATAGGGATAGGACTAAAGGTCTTCAATCAGGGGACCCCGTGCCAGCCCGGTCGCAGCCATAGAACTGCAGAGCTTGCTGCGAGCTATCGAATCGTGCGCAGCGGAAAACCTGGCCAAAAAATGTCCTCGACCAGGAGCAGCTTGGCTATGAAGATGTTCTCACTATCGACGCCAGACAAGGCTGGAAAGCTCCTGTTGTGTTTCTTTTGTTGACAAAGCTGTATGTGCCAAAACATCACTTTCTCAAATCAACCCATATCGACAGAGAGCCTGCCCTCGAATCATCGCATATCGACAGGGAGTCTCTCCTCGAATCAACCCACCTCGACAGAGAGCCTCGACCTACTATATCCAAACTAAGATACTCGGCCGCCTATCAACTATGTCAGTCTTGTACGGCTCATAGTCCTGCCACCTGGGCTTCAACTCATGGCCGGTGAGGTCCAAGACCTAGCACCCGGGGTCCGAGCCATGATCACTCGAGCCACAACTGTCGCCATGCCGATAACACCTGTGCTTCCTCCTAGGCTTCTGCAGAAGATCACAATCACTGAAAGCAGTACTATGTCTGCGACTTAGTCACTGGCGTATATGCTGGCTAGGATTGATCAGTTTGCTGATTGAGAGAGCAGCGTAGGGGAACTCTTGCTCTAGTGGCTGATGTTGCTGAGACCGTATTCGTCCGGCTTGATCCACGTATCAACCCAAACGGATGCTGGCTCTACATCGTCGTCCAGCTTGATCCACGTATCGACCCAAACGGATGCTGGCTCTGCATCGTGGTATTGGATTGTGTTTGTTATGGTGTTTCTCCCATTGCTTATCCTAGTAATTGTCTTGCCTTGATAGGCTTGTTCTTTCTCGACTCATTGGCCGGTTAGATTGGCTCTTTGGGTGTGGTGTGCTTTAATGCTACATACTGCCTCGAAGCGCTGGGAGCTTCGAGGTGTGGAAATGCCCCCCGAGTCAACCCACATCGACAGAGAGCCTCTCGTCGAATCAACGCATATCGACAGAGCCTCTCGTCAAATTAGCTCATATCGATAGAGGGCCTCTCCTCGAATCGGCTCACATAGACTCTTCCGAGCGGGAAGTCCAAGAGCCTCGGCTTTCGTGCTGACCGTGACAGGCTGAATGTTGCTATCAGCCGGGCCCAAAAGGTCTCTGTCATCATTGAACCTCCAAGTCTGGTACAAGAGGATTGCGGAGTGGATGATGAAGGCAGGAATTACGCGCTCCTTCAGAAAACTGCCATTCAACGTTGTAACCATGGGAAACGTGTTGTCCGTACCATTGTCGAGGCAACGAGCCAAATACTGGGTGATGTAAAGGAGACGGACAATCACCAAGTGGCTCATATCATTTTACCGCATCTTATTATATCACACTGCGTTCCATACTCTCACAAACACTTATATGGGAAACAAGGTCTCGGCCATGCACGGCGTCAAGTCTGACCACTTCTATGACGAAGGCAACGCCGTTGTCCCGGTCGGGACGGGGATGGGATCCTGGGCAGTCAGCAAGGGTAGAATTAACCCTTGAGATATAAGGATGGAGTCTTTCCTTAAGATTTGTACTTTACCATTCAATTCCATACTCTTTCTTCATTATGAGGTTTTAGTACCCATTAGAACCCGTACATTCATTCGTTCCCCAATGTGCCATCTTACTGCTTGCAATCCTACGACTCTGTCTGTTTCTCGACGTGAACGAAATTTGGGTTGGTGACGTTGAGGTTATCTCGCGTGCGAAGGGGCAGAGCGGATCACAGATCAAATGCCTGAATTTGCCTGATTTTATGTTGTATACGGAGTACTACGCGCGGTGGTAATCGTCTTCCCAGCCCCACCCGCGTTCTCGGGATGGGTCTGTTTCTTGAGACCTTTCATAATCCGGAATTTCCAAATTTTAGGTATCTTTTGTATGGCGCGCTCATACGAAAAGGTACCTACAGGTAGGTATATAGGCATGATATTTCAACAATATATTAAAGGTGTCCCCAAAACTTACCCTTAAAATTTAATATATATAGTATATAGTTTAGTCAAGAAAAACGAGCGTTTATATAGGTGATCTCCTCCGTTAGGGGGGTCTGTAAATTTTATAGAAATGTAAGGGCCGGTTAAGTAGTTTAGCAAAAACTCTACGACGGCTGCATGATTGGAATGCGCCCGCGATCGGAATCGATTAAGAATACTTGAGTTCAAGATTTGGACAACTTGATCTCAAGAACGTTCTAGTCAATCGCCTTAGATTCCTTGTCCAAGTTGTGCACTATATAGAAGCAAACAAAGGCATAGATCCAGGTCCCAAAACACATTGTCACGTGGGGCTTATCGATAAGGCTGATCAAAGCAGGTAGATGCGCATATACGCAGATGCCAGGTGACCCCCCATCTGCTTTCTCCGCGAGGTCCACCAAAAACGCAACTTGTCCTATCATTTGCTTAGAGGGAGACATATCATTTTTCCTTAGCATATGCTGGGATAATGAGTGAACTACTGAAATATATCCTCACTCACGAGGAAGCATTCCGAAGGTAAATAACGAGTCGCAAAGACCAACACAGAATGAATACCATACTTACTCAATGTCATATCTTCAGAAACCGTTTACCCTCTCTCTACTCAGACTTCACGCCTCAGAAGAAGACAAACCCCGACGGCTACGCCGTTAACGTTGCCGCATGGGAACAAGCACTCAACCGAGCCGCGAAGCGTGGTTATACCTCATCACGCGGTGTGCGGGTACGTTCCGGCTCGACCGTATCAGCTAAGAGTGGAACAGTACCTGTGAAACGAAAGAAGACAGACCACCTGATTCTGCGAACGGATGAGTCGCTGCTCCGGGATCTGGAGAGTCCGGAGTGGGGGAGACCCGTAGCTCTGGGCACTGTATTTGTGGGTCTATTATCTTTCCTTTGGAGAGCTCTTAAGCTAATCAATGGGTGTTATAGGATGAGGCAGTGCGCAAGAATTCGATGATTCCATTACCAGTTTACAAGACCACTGCCGGGCTTTTGCAAAAGAAAAGTCAATGGAAGCTAATTGATCCCGGGGTTCTGAGTCCTTGGAATGTCATGAGCTGGGGAGCCCGGCAGCTGAAAGGTTTTGTCGTAGGTTCTGAGAGCGATTCAGCACCGAAGCTGCAGGTGCAGGAATTGGTCTTGATAGAGAACCTACAGGAAGCGGCAGACCTAGTAGTCAAGAAAGCAACCGGCACCTGCTCACCCAAGCTTGACCTTATCTACTCCAGGGAAAGTTTTGTTGAAGACTTCGCGGCCATACTGAATGATGCTACGGAATTATCAGATACTGACTTTGACGTCTTGTTGCTCTATTTATCCCGCGATAGCGGTGCTATCGCATATGATGGCAGGGTAAGTTGGACTATATAATCATGGCCAGAATACCCGTTAACTGATGATGGCTAGACGATCAAGTTCAAATCAACAGATGAATCAGCAGAGATCACCCAGCAGGACACAACCATTGCATCCATCAAGACGTTGGTGTCGACTATGTCGAAACAGGTCACGAGCCTGGAAGCAAAGATTGCCGAGCTGACTGTCGCTGCAAAGACAGCATTGGCGAATAAGAACCGCATCTCAGCGCTGTCCGCCGTGCGCTCCAAGAAGCTGGCCGAACACAACCTCCAGCAGAGATTCAACACTCTCATGCAGCTCGAAGAAGTCTATTCGAAGATCGAGCAAGCCGCCGACCAGGTGGACATGGTCCAGGTCATGCAGGCAAGCACTGGTGTGCTTCGCGGTCTGCATACCCAGATCGGCGGTGCCGAGAGGGTTGAGGACATCGTTGAAGAATTGCGGGAAGAAATGACCAAGGTCGATGAGGTCGGAAGCATCATGAACGAGGCCGGCCCGGCCATTGACGAGGGAGAGATTGATGATGAGCTCGCGGCAATGGAGAAGAGCGACAGAGAGGCGAGAGAGAAGGAGGAGGCAGCAGTTACTGAAAGGAGGCTTGCCGAACTGGACAGCGTCAAGCAAGCCTCCGATGAGGCTTCCCGCCAAGCACGTGCGGCCAAAGATGCGGACTCGGCGCTGGCAGATAACATCATTGACAGGCTCTCTAACATGTCTGTTGAGGACCGTCCGATGCAAGCGAACTGAGACTCCCCGAATTGTGGGAGAGATTTTTGCCTTACGTGAAAAAAATAATTTGCTCTCCTGTGTTTTTCTCAATTCGAGCTCAATTTGACTTGTCTTGAGATCATCCAGATAAGTCAACGACATAATTGCCATCGGTCTCTGGGCCGAACTCAACGCGTGTACCATTCACCGGCAATCCTGCACCCTGCTGGGGTTGTGGTTCCTTTTGTCCAGATGAAGACGAAGATTCTCCAGGTATAGTCTGTCGTGCCTTGGCCTCACTCTTTTTACGCGCATTTGCGATCAAACGCTTAAAATCGTCATCGTGGTTGTTTGACCACTCACTGGCATCGAAGTCCTTGCGCATCACATTGTTGGAAGTGGTGAATGGCGACGGCGCTGTTGCATGTCCACCCTGAGTGCGTTCCCAAATGTCCAGTTCCTGGAGCAATACCCGCTTAGACTTGGGGTGTTTGGAGTCGCAATTTGCATTCCACAAGTTCATCCACTCCGTATGACGTCTCTGCAACAGCTGTTTCTGCCCCCAGTCGGGGATTCCGAGATCTCGGAGCTTTTTCCGCAATGCGTTATCCTTTAATATGGAGTAGTTTATAGCCGGAAGCCGCTCGGGCTGTTTGCTGGGGAGGTTGAGGCCTCTTGGGGGTGCGCCTTTTAAGGACCTGTAATTTCCATTAGCATGTTATAGACGTATGCAATATAGTTAACTTACCCGAAAGTTGCTGTCTTTGTAGGGGTTTTCTTGGGCGAGTCTTCTTCCTGTTGGTGTACGTTCAGGTGTGGAAATACAGCCTCCTCCTTCATTTTGCGAAAGCATATTGGGCAAGCAACCAACCCATCTTCTGTGAGGCGATTAGACGGGTCTGCTATCCGTGTGATAAAAGTGTCATACCGGGGATATATTCTTCATCGTCCTGACTGTCCTCGATGACCTCAGATACGATCTGAGGAACAGTTCGCTCCCGTGCGGAGCTATCTATGGATCTTTGGGAGCGGGTCCGTCGGCCTTGCGAATTTGTTTCTGGGACTTGTAGCTCCTCCTCTTCTGCGTGATTGACCTTCCGCTTCTTTTGGGCCGACTTCTCTATCTCTTCCTCTCCCCTAGAAAGGCGCGTGTTTTCCCTCCTCGCAAGTTCAAGTACACTGGGTCGTGCCAATTTAAACGCGTCGACGAGTTCCTGCACTGCCCAATTGCGACGCAGTTTGAGCTCTTGGTCAGCGCTCCGACACGCCGGACACTTGCCTTCGGTGCTGAGGCAACGGCGAATGCATAACGAGCAGAACGTATGGCTGCATGAAGTAATGACGGGGTTATCGAAGAAGTCTTTGCAGACCTGGCATCGTAATGAGGATTCGAATGGCGCAAGTAGTGAAAGTGGCGTTTCCAACCAATCGGTGGAGTCTGGGAGATCGAACGACGGATCCATTGAAACGAGACTTAATCCTGAGCTCTCCAGCCCTTTTCTGTAGAAATTCCAACCGGGCTCGCCCGGCGACAGCAAACGAAAGAAGAGAATGTGAGTGGAGAGCCGCTGAGCAAGACACCGCAAATGCCAAGACCCGCTGACTGATACGCGTTAAGTGGTTAAGCACGCGTCTGAGCAACTCGCACTTGAACAACAACCATGGACTCAAAGTTGTATCTGGCTGAGAATGTTCTCAATGAGCGGCGCCCTGTATGATTTCTATATGTCCTTCAGACAAGGAGGAGCTAATCAGAATTAGGTCACATATCGCCTATTGAGCCGCGCGCTCAAAGTGCACGCCAATCGCGCCAAACAGTATGTTCAGTGTTCGCAACGACAAAGATCGGAAGTGAAATTAACACTGACACTCCGTTGCATAGGATCCTTTTTGAATTCCACCGTAATGAGAACGCGAAGAAGCCACAGACCGTCCACGCTACCTACGTCATCTCCGGTATCCAGAAAGCGCCCGAGCCGGTCCCTACGAACGGCCATGCAGACGATGAAGATGAGATGATGCAGAGTAGCCCATACTTGCCAAGCTCAATGCCGAATCAGGATACAACCTCGGACTCAATTCGCACTGCCTCGATCGTGTTAGCACGCGAGGAAGACCTGGAAGGTACGCAGATTCATGGATCTTGGTGATGCACAGTACTGAATGAGTGGAACAGATGCGAAATCAACATTTCAGTCGATATCTACAATCCATGTCTACAGTCTCCAGCCTACGGCTCTACCGGATTTGAATGTGTTGGTTGATGCCAACCGGGAGATCTTGAGTACACACGGGCAGGAGGATCCATTGGAGTGTGGGAAGCAATGGGGTATGATCCAAAATCGGAACGTCAAGGTAGGCCAGTGATTACTTCGACAGATTTACCCCGATCTAATGTTTATATGATCCAGCGGAGGACTGGCGCGCGCCCACCGCCGCCTGCAGCTCCAGCCGTGAAGGCGCCGGGTGCCAAGGCATTGAAGCCTTCGACAGAGTCGACGGTGCCCGCTAAGCGGCCGCTGCAAAAGGAAGAATCCCCAGCGAAGACGGAAGCTATCAAATCCGATGAACCGAAGTCTGAGCCATCCTCTGCTGCCAACTCCCAGACATCCTCAAAGCCTTCAGCTAAAGCTGCACCAGCAAAGCAAAAAGGCAATCTTTTCAGCTCTTTTGCCAAGGCGAAGCCAAAGACCAAGGCATCAACTCCCGCAGAACCGGTTCGTGCCATCACTCGTGCTGCCTTTTTCATGTATTCTTTTGTTCGTCACTGTATCTTATTTTACTAACTTTGACTACAGGCCGCACCGAGTGCAGAAGATGGTTAGTTAACCCCACTCGGCTTTGATACATTAGCTAACATTTTCTAGTCGTGCTTGACGATGCCTCTGAAGAAGAGGCGGAAGAATTGTTCCCTGATAGTACCGATAAAGTAGCAGCAGCAACCCGTGAAAACAGGAAAGAGCGTGAGGATAAGCTCAAGAAGATGATGGATGATGACGATGACGATGATGAGGCTGACGGTATGCTCTGGCCCTCAAACGCCAACTTGGAAAGGAATCGACTGACATGGATCCAGACGAAGATATGCCCGATGCCGATGACGAGCCACGTGAGCCCACGCCCGTTGAGCAACCGCCACCATCAAAGCCGGCGGAACTTAAAGAAGTGACCGTACAGGGCGGCCGGCGGCGGGGCAAGCGGCAGGTCATGAAGAAGAAGACGGTCAAGGACGAAGAAGGATACTTAGGTCCGTGCATCATGCTGAGACCAATTCATTTGCCGAGATGTACTAATTTGTTACAGTTACCCGGGAAGAAGCAACTTGGGAGTCTTTCTCCGAGGATGAGCCGGTGCCTAAGAAGAAGCCCGCAGTCAATGTTCCCAAGGCCAAGGCTGGCAAAGCTGCGGGACAGGGTAATATCATGTCTTTCTTCGGGAAGAAGTGATCTCTGTAGTATTATTGAGGTATCCAATGAATTTCTAAAAACATAGATATCTAATACCAAAACATATATCCAGTTCATTCCCGTCATGAATTGTATATCAACCCAAGAAAGGAAATTCCGAGATGTCGATCTTCTCCGCACTTCATGTGGGGAAGAGTGTCATCGTGCCTAGACCGATGTCACCTCGATTTTGCGGTGTACTTTGTATTCCTCCGAGGAAATTCCCTTGAGATTCATATACAGGGCCGTGTAGCTCAAAATGTACTCATGCAGTCACGGAGAAATTCTATGCGAGTAGTGGAATGTATCCCTGTCTGGTTGGGATCGACATACATCCCCTCTTACTTATCCCGGCCTTCTTCCCTGTAGCAGTGAAATTCTGTCCCTCAATCTCTTCCGACTTCACACCTACGCCATGACTCTTCCTGCTGTCCTCGCAGTCGCTCTGCTGGGGCTCCAGGCTGCCGCCCTCCCAGGCAGAGACGACCCAGCCATCTTGCGACGCGCCTGCCCAGACTACACCTCCTATGCATCAACGCCGCAGTGAGTATCTACGATCCAAGGAGATGTGCCTAATAAATGCTAAACAATGATTTAAAATCACAGTGCTCCCTATAGTGGAGGTCCCTTGAACCTTCCCTTTCAGCGACCTGCGGAAGCATGTCGGACATTCTCATCTCCCGCCGTGGAGAAGGTCATTGACGATATCACCTCGCGCCTAGTCGATAAGGACCTGGCTCAGTTATTCCGAAATGCATTTCCAAATACCTTAGACACCACAATTCGGTGGCATACGAACGGATCAATATCATCCGGCACCAATGCCAAGCGAGACGGCGCGCAATGGACCGGAGTGCAGACGTTCATCGTGACAGGCGATATCAACGCTGAGTGGCTTCGTGACTCAACCAACCAACTCAGAAACTACCAGAAACTGGCTGCTAAGGACAAGAGTCTTTACTCGCTCATCCTGGGTGCTATCAACACGCAGTCCGAGTTCGTCATCCAGTCGCCCTATTGCAATGCTTTCCAGCCACCGGCTCTCAGCGGTATCAAGCCGGAAGCCAGCACCCAAAAAGACACCGTGCATCCTGCCTATGATGAGTCTTTTGTATTTGAGTGCAAGTATGAACTTGACTCCCTGGCCCATTTCCTACAGCTAGGCACCGAGTTCCACGAGAATACTGGTTCAACTGAGTTCTTGACGGACCGATGGTATAAAGCGCTCGAAACTGTGCTGAAAACAATTGATGCTGAGTCTCAGCCCACCTTCAATACTCATGGCCAGTTCATCCAAAACCAGTACACGTTCCAGCGCGAGACTACCATTGGCACCGAGACTCTCAACCTAGCTGGTGTTGGCAACCCGCTAAATAGCGAGACCGGCCTAATTCGCAGCGCCTTCCGTCCTAGTGATGATGCTACAATCCTAGGTTTCTTTATTCCACCGAACGCTATGATGTCCGTACAGCTCCAAAAGACGGCGAAAGTCATCAAGGCAGCGGTGGACCTGCAAGTCTCGTCGCAGACTTACAGGAACGCGGCACCAAGCTAGCCAAGGCAGTTCGCGATCACGGCATTGTTCAACACCCCAAATATGGCGATGTCTACGCATTTGAAGTTGACGGGTATGGGTCACGTATTCTCATGGACGACGCCAACATCCCCTCACTGCTCTCGTTGCCCTACCTCGGCTTTGTGGACAAATCAGACACCGTCTACAAGAACACACGCAAAATGATCACCAACAAGGCCTCCAACCCGTACTACCTGGTAGGTCCGCAGTTCCACGGCATCGGTGGTCCACATATCGGTCTTGAGAACGCCTGGCCCATGTCTCTACTTGTCCAGGCTATGACCTCTGACGACGACGATGAGATCATTGGAAACCTCAACCTCGTTCGTAACTCCAGCTTGCTTGGACTTGTTCACGAGTCTATCAATGTTACTAACATCAAGGACTACACCCGTCCTTGGTTCGCGTGGGCAAACTCGGTCTTCGCGCAGACTGTTCTTAAGATTGCTGCTGAGAGACCTCATTTGATCTTCGATACCGATGCGAAGCCTTATATTGTTCAATAGGGTTGCCAGAATATTTGTTTGTGGCTTGGGCTTCTTTGGCGTTTCTTGAAAATACCCATGGACCTTAACCATACCCTTATATCGTTCGGTTTGTTATCCATTGCATGAATTTTGGGAATGTGCTAGTTCTCTTTTTTTCCCTATCCTGAGCATGCCCAGTTCGATGCTTTTCTTTTGGCAGTCTAAGTTTTCGCTTCTCCCTAAGACAGGCCTTCACCAATCTAGTCCGCTCCGGGCATAGCCTTTTCAGCAACAAGGCCCCGGGGGCTTAGTGTCACATATTTGCATTAGCTTGGCATTAGCTTGATCCTCTTGGCCATCCCAATGAAAAAAAAAAAGAATATATATATAACTTCAACTTCCTTCTGCTCAATATCCACAGTAAACGATGGCATACAATCGACTCCCGCACTTTCTGTTGACCCTCTTTCGCGAACTCCTCAATACCATATATTCCGCAGGAGATGATCCGCTACTTGCCCGAGCTCATGGACTCTTACTAAAGGAACCTTCCCAAACCGATAATATTTTACTCCTAGTACCGATTACTCTAGGGATTATTCTCAACCTTCTGGTAAGTGACTACACGTAAGAATCCCTATTTCCCGCAGAGGCTAATAGGGCTCAGATTCGCTATACCATTGGCCACGTATTAATGCACATCTTAATCCTTGAAACCGTGGAAAAGCAAGCCAATTCTTCTGAGCTCGGGGACAAGAAGCGACCTCCCTCTAGCCGTAAACTGCTCCGAACCACTGTCCTCCTCTACCGTAAAGGAGGTCTCCGTCTTTTTGTGAATGGCATCGGTTCCGCCTGTACCTACTGGGCAATGCAGTCCTCGATAACGAAACTATCGACTATTCTACTTCCTGGTCCGGTCGCGTATATTATTGCATCGGTACTGCTCGCTGAGACCCGTTTCTTCTGGACTGTGCGCACCGTCATTCCGCGCGACCAGCTAGACTTCGTGCCCTACACCCGCGACCGCCAACGATGGAAAGCCCTGGTGTTCCCCACTTTGATCTATGCCGCGGCCGAGTCGGTGATGATGTATGTGCCGGCTCTATTTGACAGCAGCCTTGCCCCATCGTCGGACGAGGAAGTCACTATAGCCGGGCTGTCGTACATTGTGAGATCGGACATCCTGATATCGGGGTTCATGCTCTCTGTCCAGCTGTTTCTCCTCCTGCCTTCTTATATGGTGTTAATCCTGACCCAGGCCAGTCTGCTGCCGCCAAATTGCGAGACGCTGATCTTTGCCCCGGGACAGCAGCATCGGGGTAGACGGGTGGGAGAGATCTTTCCGACAGTCAACCGAGGACCCCTACAAGCACAGGAGGCGGTGCAGATGATTGGCGTGGGACAGTTGCTCTGGTATCTGGAACTGCATGAAAAGATGTGTTTATGTTTGGTTGTGGTTTCTGCTGTAGTGCATTCGTTAGTCTACTCTATGTTGTAGAATGGAATACCACCTGGGCAGCGCCTGGGTCATTCTCCAGTAAGCCAATTAAGCATAGTAGTTATCATAGCTAATAAAACTTGATATACATATGAGGGAATCCAATATTCTTTCATACTTTAGACTGCCTCTTCTCAAGGGCCTTTCGTTGAGTGCGAATCGCCTTTGTCTCCTCTCTCAGCGCCAGTCCCGCCATGATTTCCTCACTTCCGCCACCAACTACATGAACCCGAGCATCACGACTAATCTGCTCAATTCGAGCACCTTTCCCAGCCTTGTTATAGCCCGCACCTCCCATAATCTGCTGTGCTTCTCGAACACTTTTTTCCAGAGCCCTGGTCGACATGACTTTAAGCAAGGCAGTCATGCCACCAATGTTGACGTCGTCGGAAGGACGATCTTTCGTTAGCTCAAGGATATTCACAAGCTGTTCCATGAACGCATAGGCTGGCTCGATCATGAGGCCAAATTTGAAGATCTTGGACTGAATCGCCTGCTTTTCAATCAGCGCAGATCCAAACGTCTCGCGTTTGACGGCATAGTTGTAGGCGTCTTCGGCACAAACTCGGGCAAGTCGCAAGGATGCACAGGCAAGCGCAAGGCGCTCTGGGTTAAAGTCTGGATAAAGTATTAGCAGCTAATTAAACATGTTGGCTTAAGAAGGCTTACTCGACATGATAAGAGGGAATCCCTTGTTCTCTTGGCCGATGAGGTTCTCCACAGGGACGTGCACATCTTCAAACTCGATGAATGTTGAACCTAAGTTGGGTTAATTGGCGATGTATTCACATGGTCGTATTGAAAAAGAAGCACCCACCACTGGCATTCACGCCCGAGTTATGCATACGTCTGCGAGTCACACCGGCAGTAGCCAAGGGGATAACAAGCAAGCTGATACCAGACCTGCCAGGACCGCCAGTTCGAACAGCAGCAGTGCAATAGTCAGCCCAGATGCCATTGGTAATCCATTTCTTCGACCCATTCACAATGTAGTGATTCCCATCCCGCTGAGCCGTCGTCTGGATATTAGCAACATCAGAGCCAGCTGGAAAAAGTAAACAAAGTTAGCAACCCATTTTCGTAGGAAGATATACTTCCACCACAAAGTAAGCTGCACATACCATCCGGCTCTGTAATTCCCAAACAGAACCTAATATCCCCCCTCGCAACACCAGGAAGCCACCTCTTCCTCTGCTCATCATTCCCAAAACGCGCAACAGGCGGACATCCAATCCCATTACCACCACCAAGCCCCCAAATAACACCGACATATCCAACGCGCGTGAGCTCGTCCGATACAATCAGCGAGCACCACGTATCCCACTTCTCGCGCGGCACATTCCCAGGAAGAGAGAGACCGGCTGAGTCCTCCTCGCTCGTGAGGGGATGCACAATGCTGTAGCCCAGCTTGCAATGGCGCCGGCGTACGGCTTCGGGGACTTGGCCTGCTTCTTCCCATTCTGCGGCGTAGGGGGAGATGTATGTATCGACGTATTCGCGCACGGTGGCGCGCAGGTTGTGGTGCAGGTCTGTATAGTATGGGTTACGGACGTCTAGTTGCGGGAGAAGGGGTTCGCTGTATGGAGCTGTTGCGGGGCGGAGAGTGTCGGCCATTATGAAGTAGTATTTACCTAGGTAGTCTTATGGGAAGGTGGATAGGTAACTAGTTAATGGTAATATGGTTGTATTTGATTATTTGATGAATTGGAAGTACAGGGTGGTCTTATGCGGGGAAGTAGCTCGGTCGCCTGTGAAGAATGTGGGGAGAGCTACTTGGCCGAGGCCCGAATGCTGACTTTCATCTTGTGCTTCATAAGAGGGGAGTATGCATTTTTATCGTTATTTGGGTATATGGTATTAAAATCCGTGGTCATTCATTGCCTTTGTTCCAGACACTTCCAAGGTCATTTCTGCGTTTCCTCGAATCGGCGAACAGCTTTCTTCATCGCTCGCAAATGCTCCTTGACATCCTGGCAGCTCCACCTGTGCTGCGATTTGGGCTCCAACATTTTTTTGATACACGTCATGAGAGAATCCGCGACTGAGGTTCCGTCGTCCAGCACGATCGAGCCATAATCGATCTTGGCGGCGAAATCGGTAGGGAAAATGGTGCGCTCGGACGGATCCTGGCCTGACCCGCGAGTCAGATCACTCAAGACGAATTGTCTCTCCATCTTTGTGTTTAAACGATAAACAGTCTCGAAGAGAATGACGCCAAGCGCGTAAACATCGAGCTTTTCGTCGATCTTATATTCGTCAAAGTAATCCACCGGTGAGCTCCGGTCATCTTGAGGCGGAGATAGATTGGCTGGGGGACGATAGAACTCAGTTCCAACTACCCGCTGGATATTTTGTCCCTCTCGGTATGGTGTCATAGTGCCCTGTGAGGCATCGTTGATGTGGGAGATATCCGCCACGAGACCAAAGTCCCCGATACGGGGACGACTGAACTGGACTGGAGAAGCTTCGCCGGAGCTGCACGCGACACATATGTTTTCTGTGCTGTTCTCTGGTGCACACAAGAAGATATTTGCAGGCTTCAAGTCACGATGCACAATTCCCTTTGAGTGGAGGTACTCAACACCCGAGACAATGTCCATCACAAGCTTTATCGAGGGCAGTAGGTGGAAGCAATGGCGTCTGGCGAGTGAACATTCATCATACTTCGGAGCCGCTTGAGGGTTCAGGTACGCGCCGAGCGAGATAGGATGAAGTGACATCTGGATGTGAAGAATGACCGCAGGGGGTTGCTGCCCAGGCCGACAACGGCGTTGAACTTGAAGTTTAGATTGGTCTTGGCTAAGACCATCTGTGAAGATGTCGTCGGTATCCCCAAAAGTGGATGTTTGGCCAACAGAGGTGTTCCCGTCGAAGGTACGGGGAATGGATTCAACGTCGTCATCATCTTCATCCAACCCCCTTCGTGAGCTTTTCTTTGAATGGTGAGATGACGTAGTTACGTGGCTGTCCCGGCGATGAATGCTCTTGCTGAAGCTATGATCTCCAGGAAGAGAGCTTGACTGTGACTCAGGATTTGAACTTTCAGAATGTCCGAAGACAATCCCCATGCTTGACTCGTTTGGAGTGTCTGGAGAAGGCAAGTCGTTTTGCGATCTGTCATATGCCACGTGAGAAGGGTGGTATTCGGCTGGAGGTGGGTGCGAGTGATGAGCCTGCTCGACCCACGCCCCATAGTATCGAACAATATTTGTATGTTCAAGGCGGGCGAGTGTTCGAATTTCCTTCATGATAACCTCGAGCTGATTTTGACTTCCGAATTGCAGCTGCTCAAGTCGTCTTTGGCTAAGTGGAATTTTCTTGACGGCGTAGTCTTGTCCGTCGATGTGGTTTGTGACGTGGTACACTTCGCCGAAGGACCCGCGGCCCAAGATCTTGAGTTCCTGGAATTCAACGGAGTATCTTGAGAGCTGATTGTATGGTGGGGCTGTTGGAGAATTGAAAAGAGGAACTCCTACAGGCGAACTGCCAAATAGGGGAATTGAGGGATTAGGGAAGTTCATTGGCCCACGGGGAACAGTTGGAAGAAAATCCACCTTATTAGCAGGAGGAAGCTGTTTCCGAAACGATGGATTTGGTTCGGTATTCCGGCGGAACAGAGTGGGACTCTCCACATCTTCAACGCTAGATCTCTTGATCGAAGGCTTTGTAATTAAGGCGAGGTCCTCGCCGGAGCCAATTGTAGGGGATCGTGCATTGGGTTCATGGAAATTCATATCCTCAAGGGCAGATATACTAAGCAAGTCGAGGTTATCCCGATAACTCTGCCTACTTGGCCCCATCTCCCTTTGTCAATACCGTCGGCCAAGATACCATGAGTCGACAGAAACTGTGATTTAAATTTGTATAGTTTCTTGCCAAGATACTGAGCCTCGGGGCTGTGTCGACTGAACGATTTATTCGAGCCACGTTGAGCATTGAGAATGTCTGCTGCTCGACTTTGGCAGTAAAATTCCAAGAGGGCGGCTGTCATGATATTTGCATGTTGATCAACATTCACATCAGCCAGATCTTGTGGTAATGTTGATCTATCGCCGAAGGAGATCGAAGAGTCTGCATCTGTAGAACCCGAGTCTTTCGGAGCTTGCTTGGTCTTGTCCTTCCTCGGGCTGTGGGATTCATTCTTTGCAGCATGTCGAGGGGTTGGTGACGCAGATTCCTGGGTTTGACTTGCTTCTGAACTCGAGTCGGAATCTGAGTCCGATGGTATTTCTGCTGCTGGTCGGAACAACGACATATTGATACACTTTCCAATTCCAATAGCACATGCAATGACGACTTGAATCAGCGCTGTGGCAGCGCCATTGGCAATGAGAGGTGAAGCACACAGGTGATTTGAGGAAAAGGAAGAGGAAGGAGAAAGAAGCCAGGGCGACAAGTCGGTATAAAGATTGCTGCCTTCCGTAAACTTGAGCTGGATGTTGCCCCGCAATAAAAAGACGGGCGCTCTTTGATCAAAGGCAATGACTCAAGATTGAAAGAAAACAAAAATGGACAGGTGTCAGATATCCCTTGGACGGAGATGCCACCTTGTGATTGAGATCAAAAAGATGTAAACATGTCACAGAATCCTAGCGGGCGGTGATCTCAAGTTTCCATCGGGTTCTAAGAGAATGTCTCTGGTAGGGCGTGGGGCTTGCAGTTCTTGGCGAGAGAATTGAAGGTCTTTTGGACAGAGTCGGAGACTGTACATTAAGGGAAATCCATAATAGAGGCAACGACGAAGTAGACAAAGACTTGGCCTTGAGATAGTCATTCAGTGCCAAGCCGAGGGCGGCGAGTCATCCGTTTCCGCACCCATGGACTTGGCGGGACTCAAGAAGGATATATGATGAAAGGACAAATACGTATCCACTCAATATAGCTATTCATGTGAGTATAAATATTTAGTATAACACATACCTCTCGTATCTGACATATGATGCACAAAAGAAGGAAATATCTACCTACCTAGGTAGGGAGACCTTATTGCCTCTACTCTTTGGCCAATCAGATCACTCCGAATCTTTGTTCAATTTAGCTTATCTTATCGCACGTGACTTGTCACGCGTTAACGTCACGTCGTTGGCGCGACAGCGCGACTTTCACAAGGAGTTGCCCGCTCAACACCTTCCCGAGTCTACAAGTTCATTCTCACCCCATATTGTTTCTACCACGAAATTGACTCAGACTCCGTGATCCTCAGTCTGGGAGTTATCGTCATGCCTGAAGCTATTATCCCTCCCCAGAAGCGGGTGCTAGGCGACGCGGCGAATACTTCCAACAGTATCTTGAAATCTCCCAGCGGTCTCAAAAAGCGGAAACTCGACAATGAACCAACTGTGCAGTTTACGCCATCCTCGCAGATCTCTCGGCGAAAGATTGGCTCGAGTCAACCGCAGAAAAGTCAATTCGAGGAGGAGGTACTCGAAAAGTTGACGCAGGATATTGGCGACTTGAAGGAGAACAACTCGGAGAAGGACCAACAATGGGAGCGCCCCCCCTCTTGGTGACTTTGACCCAGCCAAGGACAACATCTGTTTCCAACAGATTGACGCGGAAGAAGCAACCCTGATGGGAAAGCCTGCCATTCGGCTTTTCGGTGTCACCGAGGTAAATATATTTGCCATTCTCTGGGTTTTCATATTTAACAAGATTCGTAGGCTGGACAATCGGTATGCCTTCATGTCACTGGCTTTGAACATTACCTCTACATCGCCGCTCCTGTCAGCTTCACCAAAGCGGATTGCGACACCTACAAACATTTCCTGGAGCAAAAGCTAAGCCAGAACATCACTGCAATCTCGTCCGTGCAGCTCACAATGCGCGAGAACATATACGGATTCCAGGGAAACCAAAAGAGTTATTATATTAAGATTACGGTTACTGAGCCAAAAATGGCCGCTCGATTGCGAAGTCTATTAGAGACTGGTAGTGGAAGCATGAACTACAAGGGTATGTGGAGCGGCGCAGATGGGATCCTCACATTTGACAATATTCAATACCTTTTGCGCTTCATGATTGACACTGGGCTGGCTGGAATGGCTTGGGTCGAGGCGATGGCTGGGAAATATCGTCTTCTTGGACAGAGTCAACGATTGTCCAACTGCCAGATCGAAGCTTCCGTCGACTATCGTGACATGATAGCTCATCCACCAAATGGTGAATGGGCTAAAATGGCACCTCTTCGCGTCCTCTCCTTTGATATCGAGTGTGCTGGACGGAAGGGTATCTTCCCGGAGCCTAACGTGGACCCTGTCATCCAAATCGCCAACGTTGTTACCCGATATGGAGAGACGAAACCATTCATCAGAAACGTATTTGTCCTTGATACCTGCAGTCTGATCGTCAACACCCAAATTTTGGAATTTGAAAAGGAAGAGAAGATGCTCGACGCCTGGCGCGATTTCGTGGAAAAGGTGGATCCTGACGTTATTATCGGATACAACATTGCCAACTTCGATTTCCCATACTTACTTGACCGCGCCAAGCACTTGAAATGCACTGGGTTCCCTTATTGGACCAGATTGAAGGGGTTCAAGACAGAGGCCAAGGATGCAAATTTCTCGAGCAAGCAAATGGGCAATCGAGACACGAAAGCGACGAATACCAACGGCAGAATTCAACTTGATCTTCTCCAATTGGTTCAGAGAGATCACCAGTTGAGAAGTTACACCCTTAATTCCGTATCCTACGAGTTTTTGAAGGAGCAAAAGGAAGACGTTCACCACACGATGATTACTGAGCTGTTCAACGGTACCCCGGATTCTAGACGACGACTCGCAGTGTACTGTCTGAAAGATGCATATCTGCCACAACGATTAATGGACAAATTGATGTGTCTGGTCAACTACACAGAGATGGCAAGGGTCACGGGTGTACCGTTCAATTTCCTCTTGTCTCGAGGCCAACAGGTCAAGTTTATCAGTCAACTGTTCCGGAAAGCCCGAGAGCAGCAACTCGTTATTCCCAATTCCAAGCCTCAAGACGAGCAGGATTACGAAGGTGCCACTGTCATCGAGCCGAAGCGAGGATACTATGGCGTGCCCGTTGCAACCCTCGATTTTGCGTCACTGTACCCCTCAATCATTCAAGCACACAACCTCTGCTACACGACCTTGCTCAACAAGAGCAGTGTTGAGAAATTGAACCTGAAGAAGGATGAGGATTACATCGTCACTCCAAATGGAGACATGTTTTGCACAACGAAAGTTCGCAAAGGCCTTTTGTCCCAGATTCTCGAGGAGCTGTTGTCGGCAAGAAAGCGTGCGAAGAAGGAGTTGGCTACCGAGACCGATTCTTTCAAAAAGGCAGTGCTGAACGGTCGTCAACTCGCTTTGAAGGTCAGCGCAAACAGTGTCTACGGTCTGACAGGTGCCACAGTGGGTAAAACTGCCTTGTCTTCCCATTGCTAGTAGTACGACGAGTTATGGTCGTCAGATGATTGAGAAGACAAAGCAAGAGGTAGAAGCACGCTACACAATCGCCAACGGTTACTCTCATGATGCTGAAGTCATCTATGGTGACACCGATTCCGTCATGGTCAAATTCGGCGTCACTGAACTGGCAGATGCAATGAAGCTTGGCCAAGAAGCAGCAGACTATGTTTCTGCGAAGTTCATCAAGCCCATCAAGCTTGAATTCGAGAAAGTATACTTCCCTTATCTTTTGATCAACAAGAAGCGATATGCTGGACTGTACTGGACGAACCCCGACAAACATGACAAGATGGACACGAAAGGGTATTGAGACAGTCCGACGTGATAACTGCCTCATGGTTCAAAATGTCATTGAGACCGTGCTGAACAAAATCCTGATCGACCGGGATATTGATGGCGCACAAGAGTAAGTTGGTCATTCATCAAACCAAGCTATCAGAAACTAACATAATATCTAGCTACGTCAAAGCCACCATTTCAGATCTTCTCCAAAATAAGATCGATATGTCAAAACTCGTCATCACAAAAGCGCTGTCGAAACGCAAAGAGGACTATGCAGGCAAACAGGCACACGTCGAACTTGCTGAGCGCATGCACAAGCGTGACGCTGGTTCTGCGCCAACACTTGGCGATCGTGTGGCCTACGTCATGATCAAGGGTTCCACTGATTCCAAGGGCTATGAACGAGCAGAAGATCCCATCTTCGTGCTGGAAAACAACATTCCCATCGACACTAAGTACTACCTTGATAACCAGCTTACAAACCCACTCAATCGTATCTTCGAACCCATCTTGGGCGAGAAGAAAGCGGGCCAGTTGCTCACTGGCGAGCACACACGGTCTATCACCAAAGCGGCGTCGAACTTGGGTGGACTGATGAAGTTTGCCAAGAAAACCCAGACCTGCATGGGGTGCAAGAAACCACTTTCTAGCAAGGACGAGATGGAGGGTGCCGTCTGCTCGAACTGCCGTCCCCGCCTCGGTGAACTTTACACAAAAACCCTCACCAAGGTCTCCGATCTAGAGGTCCGATTCGGGCGCCTGTGGACTCAGTGCCAGCGATGCCAGGGTAGTCTTCACTGTGAGGTCATCTGCTCATCCCGCGACTGTCCGATTTTCTACATGCGCATGAAAGCAAAGAAAGATGTGGAAGATTCACAGAAAGATCTGTCCCGATTCGACTTTGACGCTGGTGCTTGGTAAAGACGGAGGTTTTCCATTGTATGATTTATTTGTTTTCTTAAATAGTTGGCTTTTTAGTGGTATGGTTGGTCATGAGCATGGTTGAATGGCGTTGAAGCTTGAAAATACTGTACAATGAGATTGAAATAATAACAAGAAGACGTGGTCACCTTCAAGTGGCTCACTTCTTTTGCATCTTTCCCCAAGTTTCTCGGATCAGCCCTTGGAGTTACCATGCAGCAAGATCTGGTGAGACTATAGACTGGAAATACGACAGACAATAGGGGCAATACACAGAAGAACAATAGGGACAATACATATGTACATATGTAGACAATAGACAACAGACCCCGGAATGAAATAATCGGATTGAATAACGAACAAGTAAATGTCCAATTAAATTAGTAAATCTCGACTTCTTTCCTCTCGTGGACTTAAACCCGGAAGCGCGTCATCTGCGAAGCCGAACTCTTGGCGCGGAGTATCTGTCGATCTTCAGTTTCACCATTTCCCAAGTCTAAGCCCGCCATGAATCCTACGGTAGAGGATGAAGTCGATTGTTCCCATAATCCAAAGGCTACTCCAAAGGGCAATCCCAATGCAAATGACACAGTCCCTTGGTCGGAGGTATGTCTGCGCAAGGCGCGAACTGAAAATATGGACGGTTTGCGGCGAACTGTGACTGACCGGCTTTGTCTTTGCGACCAGATTTTCTCCCGTCATGAGGCCGTCCTCTGCTCTCATCTCGAAATGCTAAGCATGGTGAAGGAGCAGATTGCGCCGGAGGCCAATGGTTTCCAGACCGTTTCGTCAATGGTGAACAAAACAGTACTGGCGATGAACCAGCTGAAGATAGCTAGGAAACATATGGTGAGTAGTCTGCTCAATTCCATTTTTCCTGACCCCTCACTGACCGTTTCTTCTTTAGATGAGCAGTAAGTCTCGCCGAACTCCTACCCCGGAATCAAGAGAAGAACATACCCCAGCCTTTAGTACAGACAGGAATTGACACGACAGCCTTAGGAAACGCTACACCTCCAACCTCCAGTTCCTCCTCCTCCAACCCCACACAGTCTACTGACACAGAGGCCAATACTCGCAAGAAAAGACGCAGGATCTCTCGGGACAATGACAAAGCCGGTCCTGACCCCACGGACGAGAAGCGAGCCCCCAAACGATACCGTGACTCTTCCCCCCAGCCAGAAACTGAGCAAGACGGACAGTTCACGTCAACGTCACTTGGAACGGAGGATATCTCAGCAGAGGTCCAGCGACGGCTGAAAATCAAAGAGGAGCAACGTTTAAAAAAAGAAAACCCCAAGGCGGATAAACGCAAGCGCGAAAGTCTCGCGTCGAATGAAGGTGAATCATCCATTGCAAGCAGGCCTCGGAAAAAACGGCTTAGGCTGGAGAATGGGCATAAGAGAGATGGTGATCCAGTGGACAACGAGGCAGATTCTCCGAGAAAGAAACAACGCAAAACGCCTTAAAAGAAAGAATTTGAAGGAGGCCATGAGCGATGCTGGTCCGTTGCTCGGTTTTATTTTACTTCTGTCGGGGCTTGTGGTTCGTCTATTGGCGGATACTAAGAATTAGAAGAGGCAGTGATGCTTGCATTGTGCGACAGATGACAGTTCTTACTGAAAATATTCTTAGAATTATAAATACTCGGTGACAGGTACTATTTACTGTCCTGCTGATCCCTATCCTGGTAGAGATTATATCAATAAGTCACAACAACCTGTAGGTAGCCTCTTCTGGCGTTAAGTTTCATGATATGTGCAGACCGTGATAGTTAATTCTACTTATCCTTCTAGCTATAGCACCAATAACGGGATGAAAATCTGTAGATATAAAAGGTATCTGGGGACATGTCTTAGAAGGGCGTAGAGAAGACAACTAACAAGACTATTAAAAAGGCTGCCAAAACAAACATAACAACGCCGTATCAGATATTTCCGCAGATGCTATATAGATATAGGTCTAGTGGGAAGGCAGAACAAGGGGGTAGACATGTTCCCTAAAACCCTCGTCATCATGTTGGAAAGACTGTTGTTACTATTTCTACGTGCAACATGCCTATTCGAACAACCCGCAATTGGTCTGCAATATCTAAAGATTCTAGAGTATACCTAGCCCAAAACGTATATATGTACAAGTGCTACTTCGTGTATCTCGAAGGATCGATACTCAGCTTCATGGTTCCCCTGTTTATAGTCAGTCTAAAATACCTACAAGCTACAGAAAATGAAATCCAAGTGGAGAATAATATTTTTTTCATTTCAAAATACATCCAACGTGTTTTCAAGACCAAGAAACTCTCCACGACCATGGCATCGCGAGAGACTCCTTGATCAAGGATGGTACATGACATATCCCGACGAATTTCCCATCTGGAAAGCTGATAGACCCTCAACGACCATGGCATCGCGAGGGGATTCTCAAGCCAACCAAGTTCAGTATATGAAGATTCTCCCATATCCAGGTATATCCCATTTGGAAAGCTGTGAGACTCTCAACGACCATGGCATCGCGAGAGACTTCCAAGCCAACCAAGTTCAGTACATGAAAAGATTGTCTCATATCCAAGTATATCGTTCCCAGGAATAAATAATCCGAAAATGAAACATGTAAAACGCCCAAAAACAGATGGTATTAAATGGCAAGACCCCCCATTCGAGCCGTGAGGTGAAGGTGAGTGGTTTTCTTTTTTCTTCTGGCGTTGATGCTGATTTTGATGCAAGTGCCAATGTTGATGTTGATGTTGATTGATGTTGATGTTGTCTTCACCCCGACGGGGCCATGGGAAAACCCGACAAAACCCTTTTTGGGTGCCGGTAAAAACCATAGCCGGGACTGCACCTCTAGGTAAAAGTTCCTTTGTTTCCCTCCATTTCATATTTGCCGATTCGAATCCCTTTCCTCCACCGAGCTTCTTCCCGGTCTTGGGTCTGGTCCTCCCTGTGGACGGAGCAGTCGCTGCATGCACCGTCGACACCAGGACCAGACGAGGTTTGTGTGTGTTGTCTGTCGATGGAGTCTTCTGTGCCCTACTCTGGGAGGGTTGTCACCCGTCATAGACGGTTCGGACCCGATTTGAGGAACCCAGAGGTCTTGGGGCTGGTTCGGATGTCGGTAGACAGATTTGTTTTTCTTTGCTCCCTTTCTTTTCCCTTGCTCAGTTGAGGACCCTTTCCTCCACCGATATTTTTCTCGGTCTTGGGTCCGATCCTCCATGTGGACGGAGCAGTTGTTGCATGCACCGTCGACACTAGGACCAGATGAGGTTTATGTGTGTGTTGTCTGTCGATGGAGTCTTCTGTGCCCTGCTCCGGGAGGGTCGTCACCCGTCCCGATTTGAGGAACCCAGATGTCTTGGGGCTGGTCCAGAGGTCGGTAGACTGATTCATTGTTCTTTGCTCCCTTCTTTTTCCTTGCTCAATTGAGGGCGTAGCCAGGGTCCAATTCGCTAGCTAGTCGGAGCATTGTCTCTGCCTGTGATGAAGTTAGATAAAGTAATTACACTCAGCGTTTCCTTGCAACTTTGGAGAACTGATGATCTTGGGATGGACAGCTGGGGGATGGAAAGTTGGCGGACGGAAAGCGGGACGACGGAAAGCAGGATGATCAAAGGAAGAGTGATAGAAAGCAGGAGGAATAACAGCAGGTTGATGGAAAGCAAGGGGATTGAACTGGAAGTGGGAGGGACTAACAATTTCTTTCACTGCCAGAGCACCCATGGCAAAAGCTTCGATTCTCTGTAAAGAAGTTAGTGCATGTTGCAGACCATTTGCTGCTTCCCAGAGATCACTCACTGGATCAGGGAGAGGTGGCGCGTCCGGCATCTCGATGTCATTCTGAATTCAATGTTAGCAACTGGTCTTTACAAAATGGATGTGGATGTAGATGTACTTACTGGTTCATCGGATGGCGCCTCAGTCATCTCAATGTCGATGTTTGGATTCTGGGCACGTCGGTTGAAGTTCTTCCCCCTGTAGTTTGGGTTGTAGTTCTTCCCCTTGTAATTGCCATTGGCATTGCCATTGACATTTGCATGGCCGTTGGATTGCTGGCCGTTGGGTTGCTGGCCGTTGCCGTTGCGAGGGTCGAATTTCTTGACTTTGTAAGGGGTGTTGACATTGGCCCGTTCGATATTGGCTTTGTGAGGGTTGAAGTTTTTGCCCTGTAGTTGGGGTTGAAGTTCTTCCCCTTGTAATTGGGGTTGCCGTTTTGGTTGTTCCCCCGGTTGTTTGTATTGGTGTATGTATTGGAATTGGAACTTGAATTGCCGTTGGCATTGGCATTGCCATTGCCATTGCGAGGGCCGTGGCCCATTTCTTTGTAAAAGCTTCTTGCAAGCATGGTCATTCGATTGAACTTCCAAAAGCCGGATTTCCACTTGTGAGAAGAGTGCAACACCTCTGTTTTTGGCTTGTTTCTTTCCCTTGGCGTCGGCCTTTTTTTTGTGGAATGTTTTGGGGAGGATTTGGTTTTTTTCTTTTTTTCTTTTGCGGTTTTTTGGTCTATAGTCTATTGGTTTTGCCTCAGCTGGGATACTTCACCTCAAGAGGCCGGTAACTCTCTCCAAGTCCGACGATTAAAGACAACTCCCTGACCCTCGTAACTTGGTGTGGTTTGCTTTTTGATGATTTTGATATGTGGAATGACCCCCGGCCGAGAGGTGAAGAAGGAAAGAAAAAAGACGAGTCGAGGGTGGGCTGAGGCAGTTTATAATACAAGGAGATACGCTACTAAGCCAATCTAGGGACGTTGCTGGCTTCCGACATGGATTCCTTGGATTCGTAGAAGTTAATGTCTAAATAAGGGAAAGTTGATCTCTCATCGTACTGGATCTCATCATATATGGGGGGCAGGCCGTTATATGTCGAGCCTAAAGCAGTGTCGGACTGAGAAGGGAAAGCAAACAATGGACCATTGTTAACGGTAAAGGGAGACGGACAAAGAACCTTCAGATCTTCAACTTTGGCTCGACCATTTTAACAGAGGTCTTTGGGGCATTTTCATCAGAGGCCCGGAACCTAATATGGAATCGGCCTGTTGTTGGACTTGATGTAGAGGGCATATACATAGAAAGTATATTTGAGTGTCAGTATGATGTCTCGTCCGTGAAATCCAGGCAAAAGCAAAACTTCCAAGTATCTTGTGATTCCTGTTAAACTTAGGTCATTCTGCTGTCGGAGAATACGGGGTAAATAATTGTGTCGGAGCACTCAATCGAGTCGCTGGCAACATTCTGTTGGGGCATCACGGGCATACCCCGAGTCAAAGACAAAGACTTCAAATGTTAATTTATCGGAATGAGAAACTTAAATCCTTTTTGCCTTTGTTGAGTACTGCAGACAATTGCTTTCTTCCGATGAACAACGCCTTTGATGTGTAGTTTGTCAACTATGCCTAATACGGAGGATAATGTCATCGTGACCATACATCTCGATCAAAAGTACATAACATATATATGTAATTATAAAGAAATCTACCAAAGAAAGATGTCATACAAGGAAACAACGGTCTTATAATATAGTTCCCTGCAATTATGGACTTTCCACCAGGTCAAAAGATGGAAGTATGACCAAGCCAATGAGAGACTAGAATTATGCGCGCTAGACCTTGTACAGTAACAAGCTATACCCGATTCGGAATCGGCCACAGGTCTCCCGTTATAGCTCCTTGAGGGTTGGGGACTTGGTCGAGTAAACATTTGTTGGGTTCTGCCAGGATTCTACAATTCCTAGCAATGAGTCTCTTGCCAAGTACTTGTGCATGTGACATCTATTTCATCTTTTTGCTAGATCTTTCTAGGATTGGATCGCCATTCCTCTCGTTTTTTAAGTTGTACTTCCACTCACTTCAACCTTACATATGCCCGGGTATATTACATTCTCTGTCGGGCAAAACCTGGCTGTCATGATGGTCCCTAAAACCCTCGTAAGTCAGATAAATTCCTGGCAGGTGGAATTCAAAACTCAACCAAACACCTAATCCCAATGCAAAGCAGAGCAAAATATAATACATCAAAGGGAGAGACAGACGCTGTACAAGGCAAAAGCAGAGACAGCACAAGCAGCGAGGAATCAATCCTTCTCAGCCACAGTCTCATCCTTCACCCCCCTCACCAGCCTTCCCATCCTTCCCACCCCAAGTCCAAACATCCCAAATATGCTCCTGAATCAAATCACCATACCCCTTCCCCTCACTAAGCGCCTTCTGTTCCTCCCTCAACCTCCTCTCCTTCCACCCCTCAGACTCCCCACCCATCCAAACCCGCTGCACAATTCCTTCTTCCTGCGCCTGTCTCGCCTTAAGCTTTTCAATCTCCTCCATCAACCCAGGATCCGGATCCCTGCGCTGCTTATCCGAAAGTGACAAAATCCGCGCCTGCAACTGCTCATGCTCAGCCTGGCGGAGCTGCGCATCGCGCGCAGCCCGAAGTCGTTCTTGGATCTCCTGCGCGCGCTCGCTCGGCAGAGAAGAGAACGTCCCCTGCACGCGGGAAATGCGCGCGTCAATACGGTCGACTATGCTGCGTCCTGTGCGATCGTGCACGATGTGGTTTGCGGATGCGCCGAAGGAGCAGAGGACTAGGACGGTGAGAGGGTCGAGTTTGCGTGGTGGGAGGGCGATTAGGATCGGCGCGCCGATTAGGAATGTGTAGGCTGCGTAGTTCTTGAAGCGTTTGTAATCTGCTTCGCGCGTTGCGTTTAGGTCTGGCGTTGAGGGGGATGCCATTGTTGATTTTTTGGTCTGGAGTTGGTGATATTGCGCGACGTTGGAGGAAAATTTATGGTTTGCGGTTGGGCTTGGCGGATACTTGGCAGGGTTGGGTTGATCGAGAGTTTTATGTTTGTCGACTCTCTTTCATGTCTACTTTATTTTTTTTATTTCTCTATTTGCACATGGGTTTGAAGTTTAACACAATAGTATTATGCTGGAAATGGTAATTTCTCCATTCTGACTGCAACAGAAGCAAAAAAGCGATTATTCAACATGATACCAACTACATGTACATAGTACGCTTCAGTGGGATCTCACCAAGCTCTATATGAAATACTTAAAGCCACATCTGTAAAAATCGAAAGTCTCATGCCTAAGGGACTGTTCAAGGGTAAATATCTTATATAGTGCGGATAAAAACAGGGATCTAAGTTGAGCTTCATATATGATTGGCAGAGTCGACAATCCCACACGTGCACCCTATTGGTGTTCAGGTCGAGGTTATACAATTACATTATGTATCAAATCAGGACTGACTTCCACCATTGACTTCATTACCTCTCCACTTCCACTCATCTTTCTCCATCCCCCATCTCCAAGCCATCAAGATGTTTGCCAACATTCTCTCCTGGTTCTCCAAGGAGGCCACTCCCAACCCTACATCGGATGCTACAACTAGCATCGAAGGCCACCAACCCGCCAGCCCAGAGGCCCCCTCCACCGACCGCATAGTGACCGAGCAGCCTGTACGCCATACAAGACACATCCCCCTCTAACGAATAACGAACCCTACTAATATACCTAGAACTCCGAAGAGAACATGCTAAAGCTGCGTGGTGGCGGCGCCAGCGACATCTGCTGTGGCCTGTAAGTCAAATTCGTCTGAAGGACAAACAGCCAAACCAAACTGACACCCATCTAGTTGCGCCGGTCTTCTCTGCTTCGAGTGCTGTGAGCATTGCTGCTAGTTTCGAGCACGTCGTCAGATTTCCTCGATTTCTTCGATACTTTGCTCTACGCCGGTTTTGCGCGTTTGTTTCATCCGGTGATTGGCTTTTCGAGGGTCTGGGACGGGGACTATCGACAGGTGGGGACTGGCCGGGCTTGAGGGGGCATTCTTGTCCTACTTTCTATGCTGCGTATCCCTATTCAGCGATTATGACTCTTGTTCTGGGCCATTTGCCAGAGCCTTTGCGTGAACATAGAGTCCGGCCTCGGCTTTAACATACCCGATTTCTTTTTCTAGCTGGACAGATTGAAATTCAATATTGATTTTGATCTTATTCTTTCCTTACTGTCACTGTTGACTGCTTTGGTTGCATCTTAGAGGCTGCACGGTCTGATGGGAACAGACATACTGGCTCTACTCTGGATAGTGGGCATTGACCAGGGTAATTTATGCTATGGAAATATGAAAAAGTGAAGACATTTCCCTTCTATTCTTCATTGATGTGAATTAATTTCAATCCGTAGAACCATGGCAGATAATCTTGAAGCTCACCCTTCAAGCTCACCCACAGCTACCATCCTCAACGTTCATTCTCAGAAACCGCCCCTAATCTCAGTTTCAAAATCGTCCTCAAAGCTCTTCCTCCTCATCTGCCTCGTGCTTATCAGAAAAGACCATTCCCTCCAAACCATCCACTAGGGATTCCGCGTTTGAGGAAACGGCCTCCACGTTAGAAGACACGACTCCTGCATCGGAAGATACAGCCTCCGCATTTGAAGAGACATTATCTGCGTTCGAGGATACGGGCCCCGCGTTGGAAGATACAGTCTCCGCGTTGGAAGAGACGTCATCTGCATTCGAAGAGACCGGCCCCGCGTTGGAAGACACGGCCACCGCCTTGGAGGATACAGTCTCTGCATTCGAAGAGACATCAACGTCATCTGCGTTCGAAGGAATGGGCCCCGCGTTTGAAGCTACAGCCTCTGCATCCGAAGAAACATCATCCGCATCCGAAGATACATCATCTGCATTCGAAGAGACGGCCACTGCGTTCGAAGAGACATCATCTCCGCTCAAGGATGCGACATCCTCATCCGAAGACCCGGGAGTATTGTGCTCAGGCTGGCTACTCACATCGAAAGCAATCTCCCCCGGCTCCGTTTCGTCACCGATCATCCGCGGGATATCGGCAAAGCCACGAGTAACTTCGTTGAGTTCCTGTTCAATTTGACCTGTGGTCACACGGAAAGCACACTTAGAGTATCGAGCCTCCATGTGCGCGACGAGTGCGGCGAGGGTTCTGAACCGTTTGAAGCATCGAGGGCAACTATAAAAGCCATTGTTAGTGAGAATCGCTTTGCAATTTAAACGAGCAGAAAAAAGTAGATACTTACTCGTTGATTGTTTCATCCTCCATCGTGAGATGATACTCAAATGTGGTAATGTACAAGAAAGATGAACCGCAGTTGCAGTAGTAGCGTCGCTTCTCATGATTCCAGAAGCTATCAGGGTTCACGCCTTGAATCTTGCGGTGAGCCGCTGCTCGGCAACGAACGGGAGAAACATGGTGAGAAGGACCTGCTTCTTGGACAACCAGAGAAGATCCAGAGGGTCCTGCCTCACTTGACTGCTCAGGCGCTCCGTGAGGAGACGAGAAAGGATTATCGTGACGCATTGAGGTACCGAAAATATCGTCGAGGAGGACACCCCCCGGGCGATTCAGTGGAGCTACTTCCTGCTTTTCCTTTGACTGGGGTCATCGGAGTGCCCAGCTCGGGCCAGTTATCATGAGGGATGGTTGCATCATTGGTATCGCGAGCAGGGCGCTTTCCTTCCATACGGGGTGTTTGGAGATCCAGCAGAACGCCACCATCCGTATCCGGGTCCTCACTGGAGGTATCAGAGGGCGGGGACTGTGGTCCAGGAGAATCCCTGCCCATGGTCAGAACACTTGCTGCGCCGTGAAGGTCATAGTTGGCACCGTCGCGGGCTTTGTCTGGCAGGGTAAGGACAGGGCAGTCCTTGTCTTCGATGTGTTTAATGACTGCAGAAGCGGACTTGTACTTGCAACCACAGCCCATGCAAGCGACTTCGCGACCTTCATGGTGATTCTAGAAAAACGGGGAGTTAGTACTGTTTCTTGTTTCTGTCGATGCTACCAGAAGAATGATGAAGACTCACGTTTCTCATATGAACTTCCAGACCGGCCTCGCTGCGGAGCTCAAGACAGCATTCAGGGCAAGCAAAGTGACGGTCGCTCATAATCTTGTGCAGATGAAGGGTCTGCTGAGACGGGAAGTCGAGGTCACATTTCATACAGTAAGAATGTCTGTCCGCATTGGCTTTATGGTGTTGCATCTCGCTGACGGAATTGAAGCCAAGCCTACAGCCCTGGAAGGTACAAAGTACCTGCTCCAGCTCTTCAGCCATTGCGAGGAACGTTTATCAGCCGTCAGGACGATGGAATGACCCGTATCAACGAAGGAAAATAGGATATCAAGATAGTTGGAGAAGGAAAAGAATGTGAAAGAACGAGAATATCAGAAAAGTGGCAGGAGGGGAAAAAACGAGAAAGTCGTTGGAAACCTCTGAAAGGGCAAACAAAATGGTTTCTCTCTGGCAAACTGGTGGCCTCTTTCAAGGTTCGGATGTCAGAAGAAAGGAAGAGGTTTGATATTGGGTAATACATTAGACAAAGCTACCTACCTAGGTAGGTAGAAGACCAAAAAAAGGAGGAAAAAGGGCATCAGTTTTATTTGACGAGGCCAGGGATCGATCGTATGACTTTGCTGTTTGGGTTCAGTTGACCCTCACCGTCGTCGTTCCATCCGAAAATGGGTGTCTGAATAGTCTCATTTTTGACTTGATATGCATGTACCTAAGGTTCAAAGTGGCTGCCAACCACCACTTTCAAATGTTTAGATTTTCTTATAAATTGACAGACAGGAAGCAGAATCCATCTAGATACTATACCCCAAATTTGATACTCTAGTAAGACTAGGAAGATAGGTAAATCAAAGATCTAAGCTTCTAAGTGACATCTCTTTTAAGTGTTTGGCCCTATATGAAGAAGACAACGACTAATATTTCAACCAGCCCCCCCCAGTGGTCCAGGGGAATAGCCCCTTGCAGGAGAGAGAATAGCCTCCTCCCCACTGCCGGTTCGGACTCTTATATACCCAGGATGCTTGGCAACTGTAGGTCCAGATAGCGGAAGGCCATATAAGGGAATGTCCGGAGGAGGGGACAGAGGTGCCGGACTCCTCTCTGAGGACTCTGGTATACCATGTCCTGTCTTGAGGTCTAGGAACGGTCTAGATTAATGGGGATTTTTTTATCTTTGACGTTTTTTTGATGGTTTTTGGTGTTTTTTGGTGTTTGGTGATGCTCTCTTATCTTCCGTCCCATTCTTCCTTCTTCCTATACCAATGCTCTTTCTCATCCTTTTGAGGCCATAATGCTCGACCTAATGTAAACGCAGTTTGAGTGTCAAGCAGACGTTTCCTAGGTAAATCTAGGCACAGGCTTCTACGTATGCTCTAATAAATGGATTTGCTTAGTGAATCAGATGTACCTAAAGTCCACTGTGGTCGAATGCGGTCGAATGCGCGACTATCTTCTTTCTAGTCTTGGGCACCTCTATCACTGATGATATCGGAAACTGCAAGGATTCTTAAAGGGGGTTGATTGAGAGACCTGCCGAGGAGATGCTAAAAATAGAGCCATGGAGTCCATGTCAACACAACAGCTCTGCTACTTCCTGGTGATATCCTTGGACTTAGAATCGAGAGAAGGGCAACCTATTCAGCTGTCAGAGGAAGTTCAGCAAACATAGAGAAGACACTCTTACCATTTACCACGAAGAGTGATAACAGCCCAGTTGTTACCATCCTCATCAGTCTCCTTCTCAACCTTTGTCGAAAACGAGATAGCACTCATAATCCCATCTCCAAATTTCTCGTTGAGAACCGCCTTGTAGGCATACCCATAGTTCTGCACGATCTCATACAGTCGGTAGATAAGGGGCTCCTTGGGTGGCATCTCGACCGAGCGACCGCGATCGGGGAAGCCGTTGAGTTGTTCCTCCAAGGGTTGCTGAGGGATGTGAAGCAGATCGGCCAACTTCTCAATGTCTTCGCGCGAAGGCTTGGCCTGGCCGTAGAATATGGCAGCTGCAGCTACTTCATTGCGACCGATGTGCTCGCCGATTTTCTCGAAGCTCAGCTTGCGAGCTGCTTTGGCTTTGAAGAGCGTTGTGGAGACGGTGGGGAGATTGGGGTGCTCTGTGGTCTGAGATGAGGTCAGCGGGGCTGCGGGTTGACCATCCTAAGGGCATCCTCACATCCAGAGTTGCGAGAGACATCATGGACTGATGTGAGCAGAATATCTTCAATTGCCGAAGAATGAAGGTTTTGCGGCAATGATTCTTGGTTGTTTGTGGAAGATAAATGTCAGGTACGTTGGGACAGATTGTACTGCGGGGAAACAGCCTTGATGCAATATCTATGATTCATCCATGTATTACAAGGGTTTCCCACAATTTGAATGTATGTAAATCCATTAATCTTGTGTCATGAGCATCAGACACTTTCTGTCTCCATTTTCATACATTTGAAAGTATTGGAGCTAAATATAAGCATAAATTTAGGCCTTAGGCCATCCCGTGACTTGGCATGGAAATCATGTGGCGTACATTGGGCCACGGCTGAAGAACAACTATTATATACAATACTAGTAACCACCACAAATCTGACTCCTTGTATAAAGTGCAAGTGAATAGGCATCAAGGTCAACTCTCGCAGATGCCCCAATGCTCCTCGGAATCACAATTGCGTAGAAGATGATCGCCCAGATCCACCAGCTTAAGCCCTTTTGGGAAACCACTGCGAGTAGCCAATAAGAGCTTACTCTGGCCCCACTTGCCTGATTGATATCGAAGTATAGGAAAATAGGCAAACCCTTTCGACTTACACTTTACCACATGCTTTGCAGGAAACCTCGGTCTCTGCCATACATATAAAGATTACCATGACCAAGATGCACTGTATCCTCCGGACTGGTCTGTTTCTGAACTCCAGAAGACCTACTGTTCACTATGGCGACTGGAAATCCTATGGATAATATGAAATCCACATGGCGCACATGGGACCGAGACCAGTGGAGACTACCACACAAGATCTTCGAGCATGCCAATGTATATCATGTTGAGCTCAACAGGGATGTTCCGATCCATCCCAAAGAAGACAAAATACCATACGTATCCGACTGGTCGTTAAATCGCTGGGTTCTTGTCAATTCAGGAGTTCCAATTCTGGTCCATCAGCTTTTTACCTACTTCACCGGATACAACTTCCACCCGATCATCGCCTTCTTCCACTACTACTATGCCTCAAGGCTGTTCACGACACGCGAGCTGCGGATTCTCCGAGAACTCGGCCATACCCAGGGTTCCTAGACGGCGACAAACATGAGCGAGATGGTGTACCCGACGTGGGGGTTTCAAAAGCCCTGGCCTCGGTTCTGCTGGCCGGGTTTGTGCGCTCACTGATGACAGTATGGCTCACCTACGATGCAGACAAAGCACCCGTCTCACTTAGCTGGGCTTGGCTGCCCCTCGAGATCAGTCTTTACGGCGTCATTCTTGATTTTTGGTTCTATTGGTACCACCGTGTCATGCATGATGTGAACGGTCTCTGGAAGTTCCATCGCACCCACCACCTCACGAAACACCCGAACCCGCTGCTTACAATCTATGCTGACTCGGAGCAAGAATTCTTCGACATTGCGGGTATTCCGTTGATGACATGGTTTACAATGAAATTCATGGGCATGCCGATGGGATTCTACGAATGGCACGTTTGTCAAATGTACGTTATATTTGCAGAGCTGGCCGGGCACAGTGGTCTCCGTCTCCACGCATCGCCGCCCAACCCCTTGACATGGTTGATGCGGATGTTTGATGCTGAGTTGGTCATTGAAGACCATGATCTGCATCACCGCCGGGGATGGAAGAAGAGCCATAACTATGGCAAACAAACACGGGTGTGGGATCGGCTCTTTGGAACATGCAGTCCCCGTATCGAGAGTGTGGATGCAAATATTGATTATGATAACCCTGTTGACATGCCAATTTTGTGATATACGATTGCAAGCACTGCTTGTTTTCCATCGGCATGGGGTTCTAATACGATGAACTAGAAAAATTAGACTATCGCCTTGCAGCCTTGAAAACAGTCCTGTCTTCATTGAACGGCACCTTGGGCTATGTGTCGAGTCTCATTCTTGCCATGAGCTGTGTTATTGATCACAAACGTAGGTCCTCATCCAACATCAGTCAGCACTTTTCAGCAAGCAGCGAGCCTCTGTACGTAAAGTGGTGACCACAGAAAGAGATTGGTGGGGGTGTTGAAATCGCACCTGGCGGGCCGCATACTCCCAAGCACCAGTATCTACACACAGCTCTTAGAAGCTCTAGAATTACCATGTCAGTACGAAAAAAAAGTCTAATCGCGCGGATACGAGACGAAGGAGTCCGGACAGAAAGTTGGAAGGTCAATTGCCCTAGAACCCGCGTTTCCGGGAATCCGGGAATCCGAACGGACTATCCTCAACCTTTCAGCGAGGTCAAGCGAACACTAACATGTCCTGAAAGAGATAAAAGAGACCATCGTCGCGATGATGCAAGTCAACATCACAACAAAATATCTTTCTCAACATTCACTTGAGCTTCAATTTAATTATCAAAAATGGTCGGCTTTGACATGCGTGGTTTGACCCCGGCTCCGGTCACCCCCTTCACTGAAGACGGTGCAGTGGACTATGAAGCTATTCAACGCCTTGGCTCTTGGCTCGGTGGCATCGATGGAGTGAAGGGCCTTGTGGTGCTTGGTCACGCTGGCGAAGGCACCTTCCTCACCGTCGAAGAACAAGTTTCAGTCATCAAAGCTTTCGTCAAGTCCGTTGAAAACAAGGTGCCCATCATCGCCGGAATCACCGGCGAAGGCACTGAAGTTGCTGCTCTTGAGGCCAAGCGGGCCAAAGAAGCCGGCGCAGCTGCTGGCTTGCTCTACCCTTCCCACGGCTGGCTGCGCTTCGGATATCAGCCCGGTGCTCCCCAAGATCGGTACCGTCGCGTGTATGAAGTCTCCGGCCTTCCCTTGATCCTCTTTCAGTATCCCGACAACACAAAAGCCACCTACAATCTGCAGACGATGCTGGATATCGCTGCTCAGCCCGGCTGCTTCGCTATGAAGAACGGCGTGCGCAACATGCGCCGCTGGGACACAGAGATCCCTGTCATTCGTGCTCAACGACCTGACCTGCAAATCCTCTCTTGCCACGATGAATACCTTCTCCACACTTCATTTGACATCGATGGATTTTTGGTTGGATACGGGAACATTGCCCCCGAGCCCCTGATCGAACTCATCAAGGCTGGCAAGGCTAAGGACTACAAGAAGGCGCGAGCCATCCATGATCAGCTCTTGCCTGTTACTAAGAGTGTTTATCACCGTGGATCTCACATGGAGGGAACCGTGGCACTCAAGCATGCTCTCGTCGCTCGGGGAATCCTGACTCACGCTACTGTCCGCCCACCTCTTTTGCCTCTTGAGGCTGGCGCGGAGCAGGAGATTCATGCTGCTATCAGTGCCGCATCGCTCAGTAAGGTGGTCTTGTGATACAGAGTTAAGTCATGTCGCGCATGAAATATTTTGGTTCGAGTGTATATAGATGATACAAATCGCGCCTCCTTCTCCATTATATATGTTTGCACACATTAGCGGCCGTGAAGGTCCAATCCTCTTACCCATGAAAGATGGGTAGCCCACTAGTAATAATTATAGTAATTAGAGGAACTAATGTCTACATGTAGACGTTAAGCTTATTCTAGATGAAGGTTGAACCCGAAGCTCGAGCCATGACAGCTCGGATTCTCGGCTACTCTCCCCACAGTATCCGCATCCCCGCATCCACCTGGTATCTGAACCCGACATTTCCGTCCACCTCGTTTCACATTATGCAAACACAAGCAATCATGGCCCCTGTACCTCCTCCGCAGGCATCTCCAACAGCGTCTCAGTCTTCCAGAGCCCTTTCGGGCAAGCGTCCTTTATCTACCAATGCAGACGCGGACGAGGAAAACCGTCGGAAAGACCCGAAGATTAGCAGGGCCTGTGACACCTGCAAGAGAAAGAAGATACGATGCGATGGCATAATCCCATGCAGCAATTGTGCCAAGAGGAAGCTCCATTGCGCTTATGACGCGAAATATGGCCGAGGGCGGCCTCCAACCCCACCACCTTCAACCGCAGTCAATGAACGCCAAGAAAGATCACGAAGTGGTAATTCAAATGACCTTTCTATCTGGCAGCAACAAGAACCTGTTTCTCATGACATCTCGACTTCACAAGTGCATTCTCATGCCTCGCCCGAAATCGAAATCGAGGGTCAATATTTTGACCCTACCTCGGGATTGAACTTTCTACACCGAGCGTGGAAAAAGTTGTTGACTCAAAAGGATGAGTCTACATCATATGATCCAAGCGACACGGAGCGAAATCAACTTCTCACTTCGGCCGGAGACCGCCCGTTTCATGTCGACAACAGCGCGTCAGACGCCTTTATTCCAGATGCCTCGACAGCGAGAAAGCTACAGGAGTTCTATTTTGAAACGTGTGTTGTGACTTACCGTATGTTCCACCGACAAACTGTTGAAGGCTGGATGGAGCTGTTCCTGAAGGATCGACAATTACAAAGGCCGATGGCTCAGTCCCTTGGAAATTCCAGGACTGCGATCCTCCTTACCATTATGGCCATCGCGACTCTGCGTCTTGAGAAGGTACACGGGGGGATGTCCACAGAGGATGAGTCACTTGTTCTACAACGAAGCGATCACTTGTTCTGTGCTAGTATGAGATTGACCGAAATGGAGATGGGGTTCCCCCGGCTAGAGTCAGCACAGGCACGCCTCATCCAAGTCCTTTATCTTCTTCAGACTGCTCGTATGAATAAAGGCTGGTATACATTCGGGAACGCATTCCATATCACTCTCTCCTTGGGTATGCACAGGAGACGCGATCAAAAGCGAGACTTTCCTTTCACGAGCAAGCGACAGAATTATATCACTTCGGAGTGCTATAAGCGCACCTTTTGGGCGGCATACATAATTGACAAGTATCTCAGTGTCGTATTTGGTCGGCCTCGACTTTACCAAGATGATGACATTGATCAGGACTTTCCAGATAATGTCAATGATGAAGACATGACTCCACAAGGACCTTCCACCCCGGATGACCCAGCAGATTGTTATATTGATGCTCTCATATTTCATGCAAAGTACATATCACCTGCCCACTATGACAATATTAGCTCTACTAACGCATTGTAGAATTGCACGAATAATCGGAAAGGTGTCACGAGAAGTATACTCAGTCAGCGACCTGTCCATCCGAGACCGCTTGGCAGCTGCCCATCGATCTAGCGGCGAATTACATGAATGGCATGCCAGCCTGCCACCACACTTAGGTACTGTGAAACCATCGACATTGATTCCTAGTTTCCGGCGTCAGGCTATCGCCTTGCAGCTTGCGTATTCGCACGCCCTCATTCACACCAATCGGCCCTTCCTTTTGACTGAAGGAGGGTCTGCGAATGTCACCGAATGCATCTCTGCCACCAAGGCCAGTTTAGAGCTCGTCAACAGGATGGCGGGGGATAATACGTTGCTTCATTCCTTCTGGTGGACGCATTATGTCATCTTCTGTGCATTGGCAGTGGTCTACGTTTGGGAAATTCAACGAACCACAAGACCCGCCGACGAGATAGATAATCAGTCTCTAGGCAAAATCTTTGATCTCGCAGAGAAATGCCACGGTCATCTCAAGCGAGCATCTACTGGTCTATCACAAAACCAACGATACACCATCATACTTGACGAATTGAGATCCGAGGCTCGAAGATGTCGAATCTTGAGAGGGAAATCCGCCTCATTCACAACAAAGTGGTCGCCCTGGTGGCGAGACCAACGCCAATACAGAAACTGGGTTTCCATTCTTGCAGGATCCGGATATGTTCAGATCTACGGCGGGTGTTCAGGAAGAGCTGATGCCGAACATGCTGGACAGTTTTCTGTTTAGTGACTGGCAGACTCTTGACTCATCGGTATGTGTATCCCTGGAACAATTTTAGCAGTGCCCTTGTAGTAACAGCTAACCCTAACCTTGTCCGAAGGCCATCTTCCCATTTCCTGATCCAAATTCGGTTTCCCCGACCTTCCCCGCAGTTCCATAAGACGGTGGAAACTTGTTAAGAGATACTCCACTTTTTGGACTCAAAACTCAATGTTATCGGACTTCGCGGAAAAGGTCACTCCGGACGGCAAGAGTCCGGGGTAGTCCGGGGTTGCCAAGACTGCTAACGCACCCCAGTTTGATTCGCTCTCGAAGCGGCTTTTCTATATCTACCCCGTGGGGTTGCCAAGGATCACAATACGTACTTTATAAGATGATCTCAAATCACTCTTTCGATATATCTTTTATTCCAGACACCAACTAGCTCCATCATGGCCTACAAAGACGCTGCAGTGGTGCACCTGGAGCATCAATCAGGCCAGGGAATCTCTGCAGACGACGCAGAGTTCTTGTCGAACTTTTCGGATGAAGCGAAAAAGAAAGTCCTTAGGAAGGTAAGTGCAGTGACAAGCGGTATAGAGAGGGTTACTGACAAAGTGCATCTAGATTGACGTATGCCATTCATCTCGATCTCTCTCTATTGACCCCGAAAACGATGACTGAGTCTCAATTCTAGGTGAGGCTTGTTCCTATGCTTGCTCTCTTGTATTTGGTCGCGTACATCGATAAGACAAACATTGGTATGTCATTCCAGAAGTCCCGTGGAACACATCTTCTTACTCTTAGCAGGAAATGCCAAGATCGAGGGCCTTCTTCCAAGCCTACACATGGACGGTGTACAATACAACATTGCCTTATCCATCTTTTTCATACCTTATGTCCTTGCTGGTACGCAATTCCTATGCGGAACCTATGGATATCCACTAACGTAGTTGAAGAGGTGCCGAGCAATATAATCTTGAACCGGTTCAAGAAACCGTCACAATATTTGGGATTTCTGATCTTTTGCTGGGGTGTGATCATGCTTTGTACGGGCTTTGTTCAAAACTTTGCCGGTCTAGTGGTGATCCGCTTCCTGTTGGGACTTTTCGAGTAATTCGCCCGAATCACACTTAACGGTGTGTCCTATACTTACAATTTCCCAGGGCTGGCTTTCTTCCAGGTGCCGTACTTGTGATTTCGAAATGGTATCTCCCGAATGAGACGCAGACCCGCATTGCTATTTTGTATACTTCTGCCGCTTCTGGCGGTGCTTTCTCGGGTCTGCTGGCATTTGGGCTCGCCAAAATGGATGGTATAGGAGGCTACGAAGGATGGCGCTGGGTCTGTTCTTTCCTTTTTCATCTGCTTAATTTCTAGGTTCTAACATCCATGCCAGATCTTTATCATCGAGGGCCTTGCAACCATTGCCATGGCCGTCGCTTGTTATTTCCTCCTTCTGGACTCTCCATCCTTGTCTCCAGGCTGGCTCACTTTAGATGAGGTTCGATATCTCGAAGTGCGCCAACTAGCCTCCAATAATCACAGTGGTCGTCACAAAGGATTCGACAAGCAGATAATCCTCAGCGTCCTTTTAGACTGGAAGATATATCTTCTTATACTTGCCACCTGGTCCAATGCTGTTCCCAACTACGCGCTCAAGTTCAGCATGCCCGAGATCATCAAATCTATGGGCTACAAGTCAGCCAACGCCCAACTTCTGACCATCCCCCCATACGCCGTCGGCGCTGCGTCAGCTTACGGCTTTTCCGTGTTCGCGGATCGCTTCTCGTGGAGAATGCCCTTCATCCTGGCGCCGCAGTGCTCACTTATAGTCGCATTCGGAATATTATTTTCCAAGGCCGCCGACATCGAGAATAACATAGCACTGTGCTACTTCGGGATTTGTCTCGCTTGCTTCGGAATGTATCCTATCCTCCCCGGTGTCAATGCTTGGAATGTTTGCAACATTCCGAATCCTCACAAGCGCGCCGTGGCCATTGGTTATCTAATTTGCGTGGGTAATGTGGGTGGAATAATTGGGAGCTATATTTACAGAGCTGAAGAGAAGCCACGATACCCTACTGGTTACGGGACTTCACTTGCGTTCGCTGCTACTGGAATTATGGCTTGTTTATCCTTGGAATTTTGTCTCTGGAGTGCAAACAAAAAGAAAGCTCTCATGACTGTATCTGAAATTGAGGAAAAGTATACTGAGGACCAGCTTCAAGAGATGGAGGAGAGGAGCCCTGTGTACAAGTATAGCTTGTGAGATATCAACATGGATATGCGGAATTGACGAAACCAACTTTCCAGAAAATGGCCTTTCCACGTAACTGACGAAAAGGTGCATCAAAGACTACCAAATAGCTCTAGGCCAAAAAGGTATTCTAAATCAATAGAAACACACCCAGCAATGATATCTTTCCTATAGTGCTCTGCGTACTTGATGGCAAAGGCAACCCAATAGTTCATGGGAAGGCTTAGATCCACCGGAAACGACACATAAAACTTCCGCTGATGGTGCATAGCAACACCCTTGGTGATTTCAAACAATCCGTTGTGAAGACGTTGAATCACAGTATTTATCAAGTCCTTATCAGAGAGCTCAATATCGTGGGCTCGAAATGGCACTGACACCCACCATGCATCTCCGGTAGAAGAGGTATGATGCTCAAAGATAGGTAGGCCATCTTGCATAAATATTGTACGCGTAGAAGACATGGCTTTCGTGATAGTAATGAAGCTTGGGTGAAGTGTTTTGGGTTATCTGAAAAGTACATGGGTAATTGGTTACTACAATGCTTTTATGTATTTTGAGATCTATCAGTATACGCGTAAGAAATGATTCAAACCTGATCCATTGAGTCTTTCAGTCTTCACACAGGTGTTACTATCTTCAAGACATCGGTGTGTTAGTCTTCCTGTTTCAAAGGCATCCTAGGAAATGTCTTACAACACAAAGCCTTTATACCAGCTAGCATGGAACAAAGAGTACATGAAAGAGGGAAAGTTGAATGCTGACCACCGCTTATTACTTGTCTATATAAGAAGCCCAATCCCGTTATAGGATTGATCAACCACTATCAAGTTCATCAACTGTTCTCGCCATGGAGAAAAAGTCAACAACGGATGTTTTCATGAGCATCCCACCTGAAGATGCGCTAGAAATTGCACGTGGCAGGAAAACCAATGTATATCGCAGCTATCCTCTACCAGCCACCGTTCGTCGCATCTGGTTCTACACCACCGCTCCACTACAGTTTATTGAGTATGTGGTGTGTATATCACACAATGAGCTAGAATCCAACACAGGCGGCAAGCAATCCACATACGTTTACAAGATTCACCAGGTATGGATGTTGAAGCACCCTATTTACCTGCATCAGGCTATCTCGCGCGGCATATTCAAAGCTCCCCCGCGAAAGTACTGTTGGGCGACGGAGAGTTTCTTGGACAGCAGTCCGTTCTATCGACAGTATCCAGTGAGGGGTCCGAAGGAAATCGTCTGGTAAAGGTGACAATGGAGCCACTTTTTACGTCCTACTACTTAGATAGCGAACAATGAATTGTTTTTCTTCCGTCTTTCTTGTTTAAAATAATCTTGAAAAGCCGAAACGGTGGAATGTTCGCCCGGACTCGCTCTATTAAGCGAGTGAAATCACTAGGAGACCTACCTATTTTAGTAATAGTGTCAGGATTAATGTACACTAGTTGCTTGGTATGTGAAGGCTGAAGGCTACTGGTTGGCATTGTTGGCATTAACCCTCCAACACATAATGCACTCTATATAATGTATGGAACTGTGTGCAACCTGCAGCTATACCTACATATGTTACCTTGGCACTACAATGTCAGAAATTATTTAGACCTATTGGCAATATGTCCGAGTTTTCTAAAGCCGTCTACGATACCCCTTTCAAATGTGGGGTTCAACTATAGTGGTCTGCGATATACATCGCTTCATATATTTAGAGCTCTTATTGCCCCCAAGCACCAAGTGATATATGAACAATATAGGACGATCTTTGATCCAGCACACTCCGTTAATATTAATGATTGGTTTTCATGTAGTTTAGTGAAACAATATAGGCCGCTTTCTATCTATGCCTGTTGTATAGTGAAATATAGATCATCCATGTGTGTATCCAATAGAATCACAGAATAGCGCAAATAGTGGATCTTTCCGTAGAACCGAATTAGTTCCGAAGGGCTCCTATTGGTCCGATTATTGATCCTTCAGGCATTTCCTCCGCTTCACAGGTTGATCAATCATCACGGCATGTTTTTCCTCCGTACTCCGTACTCCGTAGGTAAATGTTTGACAGCTTTCTGTGGGTTCAGGATATGTAAGGGGTCCAGTAACAATTAGTCTATACATATATAAATTGAGGCCCACAATATCAACGTATCTATGGTTTTTTTTCCCCCCTAATTCTCTCCCAGTCAAATCCGTATTTGACACAGTATCATGGACCAAAAACCGTTTAAAGTTGTCATCGTGGGTGGCAGCATTGCTGGACTCACTCTAGCGTTGATGCTAGAGAGAAATGGTATTGATTTCGTCATCCTTGAAGCGTACGGCAGCATTGCACCCCAGGCCGGGGCTAGTTTCGGCGTTTTGCCAAACGGCTTTCGCATTCTGGACCAGTTGGGTTGTTACGAGTCGGTTCTGAAGATGGCGGAATATCCAGTCGATAAATTCCACTTCCGAGATTCCCAAGGACAACCATTCTGGACCTTCGATAACTTTAACGAGACTTCAGTCGGAAGGTTTGTCGCATTTCAATCTTATATGCCATATCGAAAAAACAGGGTCAACTGACAGCACCTTAAGACATGGCTACCCTGTCGTTTTCCTCGACCGACGAATGTTGATAGAAGTCCTCTACGAAAAGATCCAGGATAAGTCCAAAGTGATCACCTCTCAGCGGGTCCAGAGTATTGAGAATGGTACTTCGAGTGTAACGGTTACCACAACGACTGGCCAAATCTACACCGGGAATATCGTGGTCGGAGCAGATGGAATCCATTCCAAAGTGCGTCAAGAGATGTGGAAAGCGGCCGAAAAGATAGATCCCACCTGGATTGATCCCACAGAGGAATCTGGTATGAAAATCAAACCCGAAGCACTTGAGAAGTATTGGCTAACTCTTGTGAAAGCACTGCCTGCAACCTACGCATGCATATTCGGCATCTCCAAAGGCGTGAAAGGGATCGAGAAAGGTATGCTGAACTCGGTGTTCAATGAGCATTACTCGTATCTTGTGCCCAGCGGACCCGGAGATCTCACCTACTGGTTTCTCGTGCGGAATATGGGGAAGACGTACTATGGTGCAGATATTCCTCGGTTCACGAAGGAGGAAGAGGAGGCATTTGCAACGGAACATTTGAATGACCAGATCACTCCCACGCTTCAATTTTCCGCTCTGTATAAGAGCAAGATCGCCTCGGCATACAGCAGTCTGCCAGAATACGTCTATAAAAGATGGCATTTCCAGAGAACTATGACTATTGGCGATGCCAGTCACAAAGTGAGACTACTTGTCCGAGAACAAAACCATGCAAAGGCTAACACATATTCCTTCCATTAGTTTGAGCCTTTGACAGGCCAGGGAGGCAATAATGCAATGGAAACCGCCGCATCCCTGACGAATCATCTCGTTGCTGCTCTCAGAGTCTGCCAGTCAGGGACGCTGTCGTCGGCAGAGATCTCCAAAGTCTTTGAGAACGTTCAACAGCAGCGTGAACAGCGTGCGTGGGGATTGGTCAAAGCATCTCATGCCAGGCAACGTCTGGACTGCCTGGAAACGCCCTTCATAAAGTTCATGGCAAGATACGTGGTGCCGCGCTTTCCCAGATCCGCTGTTCTCAGCAAATGGATCGACACGTATTCTCCCGCAGTGTCCTTGGACATGCTTCCATTACCACATAGGCCTCGAGAAATTGCATATTTTGACGAGCGCTTCAGAGTACCGTCATCTCGGGGCGTGGTAACAATCTTGTTGTACGCTGCGTACTTCCTCTTAGCCTGGCTAGGCTATCGCCAGCTCTCCACAGCAATCAGAGAGAATGGGACAATGGGGTTGGTCCGCCAGGCAATTCAGAACGACTCGGTTCTACTCCCAGGAGGAGTTGAAGCTCCCCTTCGCCAGGTGTACACAGGTCTCCGACCTGTTGACCTCATCTTGAAGATCTTGGTAACAATATTCCTGCCAGCGGTCTCCAACTTTTCTACACCGGAGCAGCCATTGCAAGTTTTGTACTTCTTGGCCTCGATGATGCCAATCATCGCTGTCTGGACGGTGGAAGGGTTCCGACCAAGGAACAAATGGACCCTTCTTGCCACTCCGAGTCTATGGGCGGTTCTGTATCAGTTGCGAGGTATTGGGCTGATCGCACCGCTCTATTTCGCATCGAGCACCTATATTTCCTCTGGGATACCATACTTCTCCCCAAGTACCCGCAAACTCCCTGAATCCACCGCCCGAGCCATACTGCCTGCACTGATATTGGGATTCGTCGTACCTACAATCATGCTGTTCTTCCCATTGGCCGATGCGCTGAATACGCGCCAGGTCTTCCTTGCGCTGTGGCAGCCTGCTCCGGTATATGTGGTTATCTTGACTCAGATATTCTCCCGTATCATCAATTCGATCAGTTCGAACACACCGGCCAAAACTGACAGTGCAGCGGAGAGAGAATCTAATCGTGACATCCCACACTTGCAAACCCTCTATGCTGTCGCTGGTTGTATATCTGCTTGTTTCCATGTGGCCATGTTGCTGAGCTGGGCTGCTCTGGGCACCAACTTTATCACTAGGGCGTTTATTCCATCCGATGCCTTCGCACAGGTGTCAACACTTGCAGACGGTGTGTTCGTGTTCTTCCAGAACGACTTCCTGCTTTTTGCAGCGGCAACTCTCCTGTGGTGCCTCGCTAGCGTGTGGGATCTATACCGCCTTGGTGTTTCTAACGTTTCCTGGCAGATGGCACTGGCTAGTTTGATTCTGGGTTCTGCGGTAATCGGACCGGGTGCCACTGTGGCAGCTGTGTGGTATTGGCGGGAGGAGGTTATGAGTCGGACATCTTTCCGCCGGCATGGTCCGGGTCTGTAGCTCAGCCTAGAGTCCTTTATGGTGTAATTTTGGTGTTGAAGGCCATATGATCAAGGAAGGAAGGTCACATTGTAGGAATTGAGATACTGTAGAAATTGACCCTATAGAAGTTAAAATGATGATATTGTAGGAACTAATTATTAGAACTTGTACCAGGGGTAATAGTAGCGGTATGGAAGGTCAATATTTAATATGGAAAATACCATATGGCGCACTGAAAGTTGGAGACTGCCGTAGTGCGCGAAGGAAATAGGGTATTAGATTGCAGGTTTGAAAGCCATAGCTGCACGCAAGCCCTGGAGGCTACCCTGGAGAGCTAGTAACCCCAACTGAGATCCACCTCACATTGTGCGATACCACCCTCTCGACATCAGACCGGCGAAAGCCAGCCACACATCCCAGAGCGACTGGGAGCCGGCTCAGTTCTGGCTAGGTTAGCTTTGAACGTTCTACTTGACGCAGAGAATAATAGCAAACAATAGAGTGGGCGTACTGTTGATCAATTTATACTCGTCGATGACCATCATCATACTGCCTGGTAATTCGCCTTGGGGGGTCCGAAAATCCGAAGGCCGGCCTGGACTAGATGGATAAGATATTGTAAGGGGAGACGAAGGAAACTCGCCCACACCGATGCCTTGATTGAACAGGTATCTCTCGACATCATGCACATCAAACCAGTCTTCATCAGCAGGGACATGAGACACGCCATTTGTTATTCGGAAGAGGGCGAAGCTATCCGGAACAGCGTCACCGGAAGGTAGTAAGTGTGTTCCTGCACCACCGAAACTGATATATGGGAATCGAGCATCGATGATAGGCTGGCAAGGTTCCATGTTAATGACACGTCCGAAATAGTCTAGGATCTCGGCTCGTGGCATTCTTTGTAGGAGTAGTCCGAACTCCCACATATCTTCATCTTTATATGACGGATTTGACAGAAACTGATGGCCACTTTGAGCACAAGCGCGGAAAAGCCGTTGGGTGAAGGGTGTGGTCGCATATGGGATGGTGTGTGTTTCAGCAATAGATGGTGTCATAGGGATGTGAACCAAATCGTTCGATTGGTTATCCAGGTTTTGGGTATTAGTCGATGGAATTATGCCAGCAGACGAGCCCAAGAACAGTTTCCAGAAGTCAGACCTCGAAGTGTGATCTCTTAACCTGCCAATTGACATCTCGGACGCGACCTGCGCGGGGGGTTGCTTATTAACAATCTGGGATGGTTCTGAAATTTGATTCTTTGGGGACTCTTGAAAGTGAATATCGGCCCGCTTGAAATGCGACACTATATCATCCCGGAGTAACTGTACAGTCCGGAAAAGTTGAGGCTGGGACCACTGCGACCCATCCCGGATCACTTGATTATCGAATGCATGCATCGTCTGGCTCATCTGATTAAGTACATCTTCCAGTTGCTCTACGCGAGCTTTCAGTGAAGAGAGTTGAGACTGCTGGCGAGATCGGTACGCCTGTTGCGCTTCGCGTACCTGGGCGCGTCGTATCTGTGGCGGTGAGACAGAGTTATTTTCACTTGCAGAAAGGGGCCTTACGGATTTTGCATCTTCAACTGGTTTTCGGGGTCGCCCAAGAGATCTTCTTACTTGTGCTGTGGGCATTGTACAATTCGAGGATATGAAGGTCCAGTAGTTTGGCCACGACTCAGTTGAGACTAAGTATCGGAATGCCAAGCCCGCATTCCCGCGAGAAGTTACTACTCCGTACTTGGCCTCATGTTTGAACTTGGCTCATTAGTATATTCTATATGGGGGTTTTTCCATATTTTCACGAATGTATGATCTCATCTCTTTTTGTTTACTTGTCACCAAACGTCTCATAGTCTGTAAGTAAAAAAAGGGGTGTTAATACATCTACATCTCTACATGTCCTTAACTTAGGCAAGTACCACGTAGTAAAGTATACATTCAACACTGTCTCACCTATTCTATTGCCTAGATCCAAGAATATCCTAGGAATATCCCAATTTGGAGAGATAATCATGTCAGCTTATGGAGTACATAATAGGTACACCGCCACATTCACCACGTTCCCATCGTGGCTGGGCAGCGGGGCCTTCATCGGATTTAAAAACAGACCCCGCTCTGCAGGCACCCTTATTTCCTGCCTTTCCTGACTTTCTTTCGTCTTGAGCGTTCTTTCATTCTATTTTATCTACAAACTTGATCAGAATGTCCAAGCAGGATGATCTGGCCTATGGTGGCTACTACCAGGGCTCGGAACGTGGGTCCGGAGATGGTTCCCGCGGTCTAGGAGATACATTCAAGAAGCTCCGCGACACCTACAAGAGCCATGGATCCTCACATGGCCAGGCTAACCAGACGTATAACCCAAGTGGTTATCAAGGCGTACGATTCACCCCTCCTTGAGGTTTCACATTCACTAACCCTTTCTTTACAGCAGAGTTACCCAACCCAGACCGAACCTCAATACCAGCAGAGCCAGAGCACAGGACAGCACCAAAACCCTAACTATCAGGGGAAACCTCCAAAGGAAGACAAACTGTCCGGTTTATTGGGGAAACTTCAAGGTACTGTGACCGAGTTTGGTTCTGAATTTGCGCAGAAACTCGGTACCACCATCGATCCACAGGCGTATGCCGAGTATGGTCCCAGCAAACCCAACACAGAGCATCGATTTGGTAGCTTTGCTCCTCCCCGGGAACATAACGATGCCAAGTGGTATGTGGATGGATGCAGCTATTTCTGGGCAGTGTCGCGGGCTCTGGAAAACGCCCGGGAGTCCATTTGGATTCTAGACTGTAAGTTTGGATCTTCCCCGGATTTTCCTTGCATCCATGGATGCGGCTAACTTGACGTAGGGTGGTTATCTCCCGAACTTTATTTGAGAAGGCCGCCGGCGAAGAATGAACAGTACCGATTGGATCGCATGCTGCAAGCTGCAGCCCAGCGGGGCGTGCGCGTCAATGTCATCGTTTATAAGGAGGTTACGCAGGCGCTCACTCGTATGTCTATGATCCTTGAACATAGAAAATAACTGAGCTAAAAGTCCCTACAGTGTCTTCATCTCACACAAAACATGCCCTAGAAGATTTGCACCCCAATATCGCCGTCTTCCGTCACCCTGACCACCTGCCTGACCGCCAAGAGCTGGCAGCTTCCATCACATCGTCCTTCCAGAACATGTCACTTGACTCGGCAAGTTTGAGTAAGATGTCAAAGGACACGCTGAAGGGGCTATACGGAATGAACGATGATGTCATTTTGTATTGGGCTCATCACGAGAAGCTTTGCTTGATCGATGGTCGGGTTGCATTTATGGGTGGTTTGGACATGTGCTTCGGCCGCTGGGACACAAACCAACATGAGATTTCGGATCTACATGCCTCGGATGTCAGCCAAACTCTGTTCCCTGGCCAGGACTACAACAATTCTCGCGTCCTTGATTTCCAAGATGTCGTTCACTGGGAGAATAACCAGCTGGACAGAAAGACTATGTCTCGGATGGGATGGTCTGATATATCTGTGAGCCTGCACGGTGCAGCCGTGGAAGACTTGCGGCGTCACTTTGTGGAGCGATGGAACTTCATCTATGATTCGAAATACAAGGTCCGCAGTGACTCTAGATACGCGAGACTGGCCCTCCATGGAAGGCCCATTTCCTTGACTGGGCACCAACAGGCTGGTTCTCCACAGCCCAACTTGTACCCCTCAGGGCAGGCAAGCCCACAGGGTCAGGCACCTACGCCATCCTGGCAGCAGAAGCCTAGTGGAGTCACGTCGCCTACCTACCCGCCGCCACCAGGTCAGACGTCGAGTTCGCATCAAGAGTCGCAGTCGCAGTCGCAGTCGCAGTCGCAGTCTCAGCCTCAGCATCAACAATCTGCCGGGTATATCAGCCGTACAACAGTACTAGCGCTTCAACCTATCCCCCACCGCCAAGCCAGAGCCCTCTAGGTCATCAGTCTCAATCCACTCATTCCCCGAGTCATGATACAAGCCAGTATAGCTACACTGGGAATTCGTTCCCTCCTCCTCCGCCTGGACCCCCACCAGCGCAATCCACTACCAGCACCTCGTATCAACCGTATCAACCGGGCCAGCAACAGGAGCAGAAGCCCTATTTCCCACCCCCACCAGGTCAGGAAGCATCCCACTCCAACACCCGTGGAATTGATGACTACCAGCACGAAGGTGATCGCGAACGAGGTTCTTTGGTGCCCCGTCGCTTCCGAGAGGACATAAACCAATATGGTAATTCCCTTCGTGGTCAGCTCGCCGGACAGATCCACCAATACCAGGATCGGCTAACCACATACGGCCGCCCTACTTCCTCGCAAGGCCGAGGGAATATGTCATGCCAGATTGTGCGCAGCTGTGCGAAATGGAGCAACGGCAGCCAGCTAGAGCATTCAATTGCCGACGCATATTGCGCCATCATTCGAAACAGTGAGCACTTTGTCTACATCGAAAACCAGTTCTTTATCACTGCGACCGGTGATTCGCAGCGTCCAGTGAAAAACCAGATTGGGGCCACAATTGTGGAGAGGATTTTACGTGCTGCCCGTGCCGGTCAGAAATATAAGATCATCGTGGTCATTCCATCCGTTCCCTGCTTTGCCGGTGATTTGCGAGATGATGAGACTCTGGGAACACGCGCGATTATGGAGTTCCAGTACAACTCCATCAACCGCGGAGGTCACAGTATCATGGAGATGATTGCCAAGGAAGGATTTAACCCCATGGAATATATCCGTTTCTACAACCTTCGCAACTACGATCGGATTAACAACGGCAGTATGATGGCTGCAGCTGAGCAGCAGAGTGGTGTGAACTACGAGGATGCCCGCAGACAGTATGATCTCAACACAGCAGGCCCTGGTGGATACGCCCCGAGCACTACTCGTAGTGCTTTCGATACTACTGCACCGTTCCAGAAGTATCAGCAGGCCGCACACCAGGTACAAGGCGGCCATGCTTCCTCGAGCCGGTGGGACAGTGTGAGCGAGTGCTATATGCTCGGCGGAGAGGATATTCGCAAAGTGCCGTGGGATGGCCATCCCGATGCCGAAATTGATGCGTTTGTGAGCGAAGAGCTTTATGTTCACTCAAAGGTTCGTTTCCCGGCAACTTCGATGGTGATTCGACTTCTAACAAAAGCATTAGGTGATGATCGCCGACGATCGTGTAGTTGTTTGTGGATCCGCAAACCTGAACGACCGTTCCCAATTGGGTGACCATGACTCTGAGATCGCGGTCATTATCGAAGACTTCACGCCTGTGGCATCCACCATGAATGGTAAGCCATGGACTGCCAGTCGCTTCGCTTCGTCTCTCCGTCGCCAGTTGTTCCGGAAGCACCTGGGTCTTTTGCCACCGCAAGACTATCAACGGCCGGATGCGAACTTTGAGCCCGTGGGGGTTCCCAACCAGTTTGACTTTGACTGCCCTGAGAGCAAAGTCGTCGCTGATCCGCTTTCCGACACTGTGCAGAGTCTTTGGAACTCGCGGGCGCACACCAACACCGAGGTCTTCAGGAAGGTCTTCCACGCGGTTCCGGACGACTCAGTCCGCAACTGGGCTGAATACAAAGAGTTCTATGAGTACTATTTCCACACGACTGAGAAGGGCGCTGAGGGTATGGGAGGATCTGTACGTCCAGCGCGATTCCAATGGGGCCATGTTGTGCGCGATGACTTTGCGCCTGGTGCAGAGGGGGCCAAGCAGGTCAAAGAACTGCTTAGCCAAGTGAAGGGTACTCTGGTTGAGATGCCTTTGATGTTTTTGATCGAGGAAGATATCGCCAAGGAAGGATTGACTCTGAATGACTTGACCGAGCCAATCTATACCTAAGTGGGAGATTGCATTTGCCGAGTTGGGACTATTATTATCGTTCATCTCATTTATTCTCGAATTCGAGCATCCTTATTAGCTAAATTGTTGAGCCCAAGCGAAGTCTAACTTCTTTCCTTTTTGGTAGCGATGGTGTTCGGGGAGCATTGCTTTCTTTCATGTCCCCGAATGAAAACGATACTGAACGTGTAGTCAACCCTATCTGAAATTTGTGGTTATGCCAAGCCCGGGATAATATTGACTTGATATTGTTCTTGAAGAACAATCGTAGGCGCAATGTGATTGTGGCGATTGGTCAACCTAAACTTCCTTTGTTCGCGATGCCCTTCCCATTGGACGAAATCAAACAAACTCCGAAGTGTTGGGTACTTTCGAGACCCTTTCGAGACCCCCGGCTTAATATTGTTCTTGTCCCTATGAAAGACTTATGAATGTACTAACTACACCTGCCTAGGAAAAGGGCCCCTCGAACATGTCTGTGGCGTTCCTTCATGAAAGACACCCCTCGGAGGATATGTGATGCGGCCAGTCTCAGCGTCCCTCGATGTATGCACTGACTGTATGCCAAAACAAAGAGCAAAAAGCTAGAGGCAACGACGTCTACATTCACGGCCTCGAGAACAATATCAAACGGCTCCGCAATGGCCTCCACCGCAATCCCAACCCATGCATTCTGGATTGATTCTACGCCGTCAATGCCAATGCAATCAAGTCAGCAGTTTAATGTGACATTTGCATTGACTTCCATTCCCCAGACGGGATCTCCATCATATTGATAGTCCGAAGAATAGTCCCTCGTCGAATATAAATATCAGCTTGTGCACCCAGTCTCAATTATTTCTCCACCACCAGCTCACATTTCGATCATCCAAAACAATCTTCCAATCTTTCCAAGCTTCCGCTTTTTAAGCTCTTCTCAATCTTCGAAATGTCTCGCGCTCAGGTCCAGAAGCAATGTGAGTAACTCGCCTCCAAAACATACACTGCTTCATCATCTCTTCTATACCGTATACTAACATGTCTTCTCTAATAGCCCCCGGCGGTGGCTGCGTCGTCATGAAGTCTCCCATCCCCAACGGCTGCGTGGTCACCCGCACCCCCGGCGCCGAGTGCAACATCATGAAGCGCTCTCCCGGCGGTGGCTGCGTCCTCATGAAGTCCCCCGGTGGCGGCTGTGTCGTCATGAACCGTGAGTACCACCTACTCTCCAATAACGACCGATATACTGACAATGTCTTCATGGATAGCCGCTGACTACTAAACGCCCTCCATGAATGCGCCCAATTCCAACATTCCATTAGCCACCATGGCTTGACCTGGGTCGTTGGTCGCCGTGGCTGATCTTGAAACGCATAATGCCTTGATTATCTTCGCCGCGGTCTCTTGAGAACACTTTCAACTTTTCAAAAATATCAATCCCTCGCAACATGACCTCTCGGCTTTGCTTTTGCTTTTGTGAAGACTCTTTAGTCTGTCTGTCCAGTTCATTCTTTCTTCGATGAGAACGGTTCACTTCTTCGATGGTCTTGCATGATCTTCACGACTGTCGATTTGTTCTGCTCTTTCGAAATCTTCGTGGACATCCGGGTGACAACGGTTTCTTAGAAAGGACTTGCTTTCTGTTCCTTCAGCTACATTTGGGGATTTCCATTACATACTTCTAAATCGGTTGATTGTGCTTCTCTTTTCAAAATGGCGGGTTCCTCTGGTTTCTTGTCCGGTTGGTGGTTTGGGTGGATTGGGCTTTATTTTCTAGTTAATTCGGTCATGGTAGTTGATAGGAATGGATCATTACCTCAAAGATCTTTTCTCCTTGTATATTTCCTGTTGTAGTTCAACTATACCTAGGTAGTTAGAGAAAAAGCCATGTAGTGGCCTCCTTCCTATTTTGGAAGGGTTTATGTTGGACGTGAGCACTTTCACCTCTACCTCTATCGACTCTTCCATAACCCAACTCTCTTGACCTAAATACTTTACCTAGGTAGACAGTACATTTGTGAATCGACCGCATAATTTATTGAGTGGACCTCAACGTAAAAGCCAACGGAGTCTATCAATATAGCACATTCTATTACATTGATTGTGATATGCCACCCAAGAGTGCCCACATCCTCGCCAGAGTTCTCATGCATCTAGAGCTAACTTGGCCCTGCTGTGACAGCCGAATACACCAATGAAGCAGTGCAACGGGCCGACCGCACCAGGTATTATGTTCAAATACCGCTGGAACTATCTAAAATATCTCTATTTCTGCAATTTCTTCAGTTCCCCGACGAACGTCTCGGTCCATTTTGAACTGAAGGAAAAGGGTTGTTAGCTTCACTGATTACTAGAACCGACGGACTTCTCGCAGAAGACGGGGGACTGGGGAAGATGGGAGCGTTAAGAAAAGGGGAAAAAAGAAAAGGAAACAACTAACCTGGTGTTGGTGGTGACGAAGCTCCGCAACTCTTCATACATTGTCTTCCTGTCTTCCTTCTCCATTGTAAGAGCATCGTAAAGTGCATCGGAGAGGCCATTTGCATTAGAAGGATTGAACAACAGACTGCCCTGTTGCATGAAGGTTGCTGCACCGGTAAACTCCGAGAGCACCAATACACCGTGTCGGGCCTCTTGGCAAGCGACGTACTCAGAAGCAACAAGGTTCATCCCATCCCGGCGTGAAGTGAGGAGACAGACATCAGACACCGAGTATAGAGCGGTAAGCTCCGCAAAAGAAACTGAGCGGTGGATGTAGAGCAATGGTGTCCAACTGGGAGTAGCTGGTTATATTTGTTAGCGTGAGATCCAATGGAGATATAGCTATCAATTTCTAAAGCCACTTACCATATTTGCCGGTAATTTGGCCCACCAGCTTGCTCACTTCTCCCTCTAGATCCTGATACTTCTTGACATCTTCCCGACTCGGAATGGCGATCTGGATTAACACAACCTTTTCCCTCCATTTGGGGTGTTGTTCGAGGAAGACCCGGAAGCCCTCCAACTTTTCAGGCAACCCCTTCGTATAGTCCATGCGGTCCACGCCAATAATGATCGTTTTGCCCTTGTGTTGAGTCTCAAGCTCTTGGATTCTGGCCTGGACCTCGGGATGATCGATTGTATTAGCGAACCTCTGGCATTCAATCCCCACGACGTATTTATCAATGCTAATAATACGACCATTGTAGTGGATTTTCCCGCCTTCAACTTCCGCACTACTGATAATTGAGTTAGTTACTTGTCACCAAATTGCTACTCCCAGGGTCTTACAGATGAGTTCCGCAAGCGTTAGCGAAGTTCGCCTTATACTCATCGGTATGGAAGCCAACAAGGTCGCTACCAAGGACACCATCAAGCATCTGTTTCTGAAAAGGAAGGCCTCTCCAGAAATCATCAGCTGGGAAGGGGGTGTGGAGGAAGTATCCTATAGGACACCTTTTGTTTTGCGCATGAAGGCGCTCACGTAGTAACCCCGGTAGCAAGAGTAGGTGGTAATCGTGCACCCATATTAGGTCACCATCCACCGCCTCTTCACTGATTCGATCAGCGAAGATGTTGTTGACGCGTTGGTACGCTTCCCACGTCTCATTGTCAAACGAAACGTCCGATTGGTAATGTAGCGTGGGCCATAGAACACCATCTAAGTATACTCGGTCAGCGATGTAAACGGGACCGAGAATATAGGTCACGTACTGGAGAATCCATTGTAATGGCTCTGGGCCAAATTCTCATCTAGGTATACTGCGGCCGCATTCTCTTTGGCTAGGGCTTTATCAACACTTTCTCTATCCCGTTCATCGATGTCGACCCCGGGCCAGCCTAGCCACAGGTAGTCGGAATATTTCAGGCCCTTCAAGGCGGTCACCAAGCCTCCGCTGGATGGAATCGCCTCGTAGGTGCCGTCCTTGCGCTTGACGGAAAGTGGAAGGCGGTTTGAGGCAATTATGAGCTTCTGGGGTTGGGCATGGGTCGCCATTGTTTTCACTTACGATCAAAATATTAGCATAAGTTGAATGATATTTTCTATTTCCTGGATGTCTACGTAAACTTATATTCTTTGCGATAAGCAGTCTTCAAGCCTGATTTAGAGCACAGCATGGGAAAAGCTTGGCATATGTCATGGACACAAATCAAGTTCAAAACACATCTGGGCATCATTTCGAAAAATAATCCAATGATCCAAAACCTGGTCATGCTGACTGTTAGATCTTTACCTTATAGATAGTTTAATTGTAAATACACGGGGTTCTTATATCATAGGGTGGAGATTAAGCTTGATACTAAATATATGGTTCACTACTAAATAGCCTCTACCCCTATCATCATCTTGTACCTAGGTAATAAATACCCCCCAACAGAGACAATGGTTTGGTGAATCTGGGTTCGCTTCATAACTATACAATTCCGTCACATAGCTATCATGATTGCGCGTTCAAAGTCTGGACATAACAAGTAGATGTTCATTCGAGATTGATAGATCACATAGAATCATTATTCCATACAACATATTGGGAGAGCACAAACTATGAGAACGAGCCCACCATAGCGAGTGCGAGTGCAAGAAACTGACACTCGTCCATCTTCATTTCGAAGACGGATTGGGCATCCCCGAGGTGTGAGGCCACTTGCGGAAGAGGTCGGAAAGATGATCAATCGGCGCGGTCAAAAGGCCAACAGCCGTCTCAAACGGTGGCTTGTCTGGGGCACTGGGATGAGAACGGGATGGAACGAACATCTTGGTCCTTCCAAAGGATGTCGAGTACTTCTCACTCTCCTCTTGCGAGAGGACGTCCTCCAGCTTAGGCAAGTCATCCGTCTCTTCTTCCTTGATATGCTGAGACAGATCTTCCATCAGAGACTTGATGGTAGGAATGAATTCAGAATCCGAAGGCTTCATATTCTGGAATTTCTTCAGTTGCTCTTTGACCTTGAGTACACGTTAACCATGTTCCTAAGATGATGGGTATGTGTACCATACCGATTGATGCTCTTGGCGATCTTTGTTGGCTAGTTCGATGCCGTTGGGCACGTACTTCTCAAAGGCCGGGTAGACGACAAGCTCCTCTCCAATGGAGTGCCGTGCCAGTTCCCATGTAAACTGGTTTTGCCATTTTGTCTGCTCGGTCTCGTCTGGGGCCTTGAGGATGTTGTCGTAATACGTCTCTATCTCTCGGTGATCCTTCTTAATTGCATCGCTGATGGTGGGTGCCATGGCAATAGAAGATATCGCAAACGTGCGTCTTGAAGTAGGTAGAGCGAGGCGGTTGGTGCTAGTTACTCTGAGGCCACGTAAAAGCAACGACATAATGATATATCAAAAAATCTCAATTATACAAGATACTTTAAGGCCTCTTTTATAGCCAACGAGATGACCTAATTTCCTGAAATCAGTCCAACTTACGACACGACTATGATCGAATTATGCCGCAAAAACTTGGAAACTCCAGAATATCGGTATCTTGCATTGCAGGTATTCAGATCACCCAAGAAAATGCACCAGTCAGATGGAGGCTATTGATAATCGTCATGATGACGGGTCATGCTGCTTTCCCAAAATTCCCGTTCCAAGAGACAGGACAGCTCTAGATGAGCTATACCTTCCATCATATACCGGGCAGCCTTACATCCGTAAATTACTAAGCGTACCGGCCAATGATGTCGGCATCATTACATATGTCCATTTTTTAGGGGTTTTATCAATTTAAATATTCCTATCTATGTTATATCCTAAAAGCTAATATTCGCTAACTCGATTTCAATCTAGTAAACTATCCCCCTTCTAACATTAGCAAGCGCTGTAAGGATTCCTTATTAACTTGAAGTTGAGCTTGCTCCTTTATTTGCTGTCATGAATAGCCATGTATCTTCAAAACCATACAATATAAGAATTCAACTCACTGTAATCCCCCCCTATCTAGCAATATCATCGCACAAAAATGATAATCCTAAGATACTGCCAATATCCGTCTTCCCGTCTTCGCGGAGGCTATGGACTGATTCCTTTACGGCCTCCCATCTATCAAAATCATGATCGAATGCCTCGGCCATACCGGAAGCATTAAGAATTTTTGCTAGAATGTAATGGCACTCCAGTAGGATTGGACTGGGAAGCTTATAGTCCTTTGCTGAGTCGTGGTTTGTGAAAGTGATCCGATCGGGAATCATATTGCGATACGCATTGCCGATCGGTCCAAATATCTCGACATCATATTGATCGGGGACTTCCTGTATCCTCTTAATCAGTACCTAGCCACTTGTTTTGAAAGGTATAAATAGCTAACCGTTGCTTTAAAAGCAAGGCGAAATTTTCCAAACCTTGAATGGATCCATTCAGCCATGGTGATTCCATTCTCAAGGTTGTTGATATCTTCCCAGTCGAATCTTAGGCGTCGGAGTACTGGAAAGCACCGGTACAAAACTTCCCAAGCAGTAGCTATATCGGGAGGTAAGCTCTATTTAAAACTTAGCATTCATATCAACTACCTTAGAGAGAAAGTTATCTTACCTGGCTTGTATTCCAAAATCCATATGAGAAGGGAATTATATGAGCCCCTTGTGTATCCGTAGGATTAAGATCGGGCGAATCCAAACCAAGTTCTTCATATCGGCCTTGGTCAAAATGACCAGTCACGGTACACTTGTATCCATCTCTTGCTAGCAAGGCTGTTTTGAACTTTCGGTCGCGGCTGATTGGCTTATCCATCTTCGCGCTAAGTGCTTCGGCATTATCGCGCCGCTTTGGGTTCGGAGATGGGGTAAGCGAGGGAGGCTTTGAGCGCGACATCACTAAGTAGTCCGATTTATAAGTTCTTTTTTTTTTTTCTAAGACTGAGTCAGGGATCATAACTTACTCCGGCATCTCAGGCCGGTGTAGAGGTTACTGAAAACCTCATACAGGCCTTCGTCTCCCGGTTTGCTATCCATGTCCTTCAAGAGCTCGGCGCATCCATCTGGTGGCAACATCTCGAGGAAATTTTTAAGGGATGCTTGGAGGATTTCATCGTGGGGTCTTTCTGCACTTGTGGTGTACCGATCAATACGATCAAGCATTGCGGTTAGATTTGCTGCACGCGTGGATTCCGACATATCTTGTTTGGAACGAGAAGATTGAATCCTCATACGGGAAAGGGGAGGCGGGTCTGGCTCCGTGACCTTGCGGCGGGGTCGAGAAAAGGATGCCTCTGGGGAATCCGAACGAGGGCGTTTGCTCGCCATAGAAGGTGGTAGGCTGCGATATACTCGTAGACCTATAGGCTGTGAATGCTTGTCGATCAGACTATCGGCCCTGGGGCCCCGACCGGCGCCACCTCCGCAGGGCATTATAGCGGCACCGGATTTACCCATATTAGGAAACTTGATGCTTGCCGCTTTGGTCGGCCTGAACCCAAAGCACAATTTACTACTTTTTTTAAGGCGATTTCGTTTTCTTTTACCATAACGCGACTTTGATAAGTACATATTGTACCTGCAGTTCATTGAAAGGCTTCTGATGCGCACAGAGCAGGCTAGACAATATGTATCAAGGCAGATTTACGCTTGTACATCTTGACACGATACTTATGGCTCAACGAAAACCACCTTGTCGCCCAGTGCCTCCCGAGCCTTTCATAACCACCAAGATCTTACAATGTTCATCCCGGTTCTCAAGCAAAGATTTGAATCCCTTTTCCACCACCTCGCTCAGCGTTATCTTCGAAGTGACCATCTTGTCGGGATTCAATTGGCCTGAAGATCCATCAGCCTCTCCACAGTCCGTTGATCAATAAACAGGGCTTACCATAGCTTATCGCTTTGATAACATCCTCAAAGGATGTATTATCATAGAGGGCTGCACCCATATAGTTCACCTCCTTATACATCAAATCATTCACACGGACAGCAGGTCGTTTCTGCCACACCGCAACGTTGACGATTGTTCCATGGGCGCGACATGCCGGTATGGCCCCGTTCAGGGCTCCCTCCACACCGGCAGTATCGAAAAGCACGTCCGCACCGATGTTATCGGTCAGTCGAAGCACTGTCTCGGGAACATCCACGTTTTGGGGATCCAGCAGATGCGTCGCGCCGAAGGCTTCGCTTAGTCGTCTGCGATGTTCCGTAGGCTCGACCACTATGATCTCTCTGGCGCCTTGCACCTTGAGAACCTGTACGATGCCGATGCCGATAGGGCCTCCACCCACGACTAGAACATTGTCACCGGGTTTGAAAGGTGATATATTAACCGCATGCCAGGCGACCGCGAGTGGTTCTACCAATGCAGCTGACTGCAGGGAGACATTGTCTGGAATCAGGGTAGAAGTGTTCAGCAGGGGCGATGATATACTCGGCCAAACCACCACCATAGCCTTTTATCAGCCGAATTAGCGACCCCGTGATGAAAAAGATATGAGACACTTACCACTTTAGACCGATGAACCCAATATTATCGCAGCAGTGTTGAATGCCCTTTATGCATGAAGAACAGGTCTTGTCAAAAATAGTCGGTCGGACGACTACTCGCTGGCCCGCGGAGAGGTGTTCTACATCGTCGCCGACTTCCACAACAATGCCGCTGAATTCATGGCCCATAGTGACGGGGTATTTAGTGCCCGTGATGGGGTGTGGAGTTTTCGGGATAAGAACGGGACCGGTTGTGTACTCGTGGAGGTCTTTCTATGTTAATAGATCGAGATGCTTCAGAGTCTGGGGAAGTGCCTACCACTACCACAGATTCCGACGTAGGCCGGTCTCATCTACAGAAAACAATATCAGCAAATTTCATATAGATTTAGATATCAACATGCGATATGGTTGAAATACCTTGACTTCCCCTTTCCCACATGGTGGCTCTTCGATTTTGTCGAGGCGAATATCACCGCGTCCGTGGAATCGGGCTGCTAACATCATTGCCTTGCTCTCGGTGTAACATGGAAGATTTCATACAAATCTGTGATGGGGACAAAGTGTGCTTTGGATCCATGCATTGTCTATATGAATTTCAAAGCTGGCGTGTTCGGAGCCATGCCCTTCTAGATATACTCTAGATATACTACCTAACGCACCGCTGGTGACGAACGATAACATGACGCGCGCCGAGAATCCGTCCGGGAATGCCTATTAGGGAATAGAGATAACCTGAGATGCGAAATGGAGAATACTTGTCTTAGGCAGTATAGCAATAACAGGAACGACAGGTCGAATGTCGATCTTGCGTCAGTCATTAGGGAATGTACAGAAACAGTAACCCGAAACCTGACCTGTGGATAAATGAGAATTCGAATGCGGAAATTTAGTGGCAACATAGCCATGCCATCGTTAGAAAACAAGTTCAATCGCAATATGTATTAATCTATGCGTGTTCTACTTGTTCCCTGATTTCATTTTCCTGCCCAGGTGGTCTTTTTCCCAGTATTAACTGCATATTAATCATAATGACATAATGGCCCTACAACCCCTACTTTAGCTACTTTTGAGCTTAAACACGAGATAAGCTACTGGTATTGCCTCAAACACCTGGTAATACTGCCAAAATTCTGTACAAGTAACCTGGTTCTATACTTATTCCCAGACATCCATCTTCTTCCGGATCGCATACACCTTAGCCTCTTCCGCTTCGGAATATTCACTGAGATCCCCTTCATCGGAACCAAATGCATCGCTGGCTGTCTCCTCAATTTGATCTAGTGTAAGACCAATAAGTCCCACAGACCGTGCATTGCCAATCTGGCACATTTCCTCGCCCACTGCAGCTTCGATGACCCCCTCGCCTCCCTTGGCAGTGAGATCATCCTCGAAGCTCCGGAATACTTGCCGGAGAGGGGTGAGCACATGGCTGCGGAAGAACTTGACGGTCTTCTCGAGATGAAGCTGGTCGCGGAGCGATGGCGAGGAAAGCAGCAAGTAATACAGATTCAATGCGGAATGAAGCGGTGGACCTTGAGTCTGAGTAAGACGTGACCAGATAGCAACGAGATCGGACGCTGAGGTGGCGGCAGTGACCGGTTTGAAAAGGGACGGGAATAGAGCCCAGAAGTAGAGCGGATCTTGGAAGATATTGTCGGAAGATGGGGTGGGGCTGCGGAGCAGTTCATCCTTCAGCCATGCGATGGCGCTATCCCGCGCAGGGGCAAGACGATCATCTTCCAAGATCTTGTGTATGAGCTTAAACCGTGTCTCAGGCGATGGGTGGCTCTGGACAATGGCGGCTGGGATCTGGCGAACGATGCCGTGGGTCTGGCGTGCTGTACATGCAGTCAAGAGGACAACAAAATCCTTGAACTCCGTATCGCTTGATGGGGTTTCGATAGGCTGTTGCAGAGCGTAGACGGTCAAAGCTAACAGGGAGTCGAGAAGCGCATGGGGTTGGCCAAAAGCCACTTCGTCGAGATTGGTGGGGCCGCCGACAAAGTTTTTGAATATTTGGGCCAGCTCAGGGAAAACAGATACCTGACGAAGCGGTTGCCCAGAGGCAAAGAGAGTTGCTCCTGCAGCCCGAGCCGCTAGTAACAGGAGTGAACCATGCCGTTCTAGCGGAATCTGATCGGGGTTTGTTGGAGGCTCGTCGAAATCAAGTTGCGCGGTTTGATCTGTCGGGCATCCGGATATGATTGACAGGAGTTCCTCGTTATCAATCACAACGTCTCGTGATAAAGCCTGAGCAAAAGCAACGTCAGATTAATCATCCTGCGATATGACACGTTGCCATCCATAATTTGATGTCACTTACCATAAGCTTCCCCATGACCATATCGCGCTCCTTGAGTTCCTTGGTCGACCCATATGCCTCAGTCTGCGATTGGGCGGCCGGTAGCCGCAGATCCGGATGCAAGTGTTCCTGCATTCGAATAGTCCACGACATCCCCGGATCCATTGGACTGGAGAAGCTCAAGAGATATGACTTCAGCAGTTCAAGCAAGCCGAATTGTATAAATTTCCGAACAAGGAGCGTCTCGTTATCAGCAGACGGAGAGGGCGAGGATACCTCGGCTTCGGGGTCTGGCGCGGAGGCAGCGGCAACCTTCAGCACGCTCGACTCACTAGCAGCTCTGGGGGGTGGCGCAGGCCGCTTGGTGGGAGACACTTCGCGGAAGAACTCAAGGAAGGCAAGGGTGGTCTCATTGGTCGCCATTGTGGTATACGCTTCCAGCGCTGCTTGGAGGGAGGTTGCTATGAACCGACTTGGGGCTTTTGTCTGGATCCGTGTATGAAGTACTGAGAGCATGCCGAGAAGGCAATTGAACTGTAGGATGTGCAGGGGCAGCCCCTGATCAGCCGTCTCGTCCTCGTCCTCCTCGTCCTCCGGCTGAAGTTGCATCAGAGATTCTGAAACGCGCAAGATGACTTCTCGGGGATTTCCTAGTCGAGCCACATCCTGTAGACATTCTGTGGACGCTGGTAGCATGGGCAGGAGCAGCTTGACCAAGTCCCAACCGATGTTCGTCGTAAGCTTCTCATCTTGCAGGAGAGTGTGCAAAAGCGGCAGGCGTTCTGGGGTTAGCTGATATTCTAACAGAGTAAGGTAGGTCAGGTAGTCTGTAGCCGGAGGCAATGCTTGAACAAGAGGGTCCTCCATGGTGATGGTGTTGACTATTTGATGTCGCAGGCGCGGGGAAGATGAAACATGGCGATGACATCAGCGGCAGAATCCCGAAGAAGACACGGGCCGATCACATCTCCGAACTATAGACCTCTCGGATCAGCTAAGGGATTAATTTGAACGCATTAGTCTTTATTGGCACTGTTATATTCATGAATATCTGTACTTGTTGTTTTATCCAATTCGGTTAGAAAGGTTGCGACCGCGCAGGGTTCCCTATCATTAGAGCCCTATCTAGTACCTTAATATGCTGACTTATTTTGTCAAAGGCTGAGGGAGAAGATTCAAATTTCTACCCTAGGTATAATCGAGACTGGACCTAGGGGGATAATCTTGCGTAAAGTGCCTTAAAGATGCATAGTTATAGAGTTAACTGTCCATAAGCCACACCCTACAAAGGATTGGCGAGGAGCAGATTTTCCTAAACTACAGAGCTTTCCAAAATAATGAGGCTCCAGTTTTGGAAGACATTCTGGGGTTTGCAATGATTGCCTTGGTATTTTTGCACAATATAAGCTCATTCTTGGGCTGTTTTAGACCCGGCAGGATGTCGACTTAAAAGGCGGCATCCAAGATCAAGCCAATAAAATCACAGTCACGTGGATTGTCTGTCTGAACCCCCACTTTGGGAAAGAAAGTTCGTTAAATCGAGGGCAACTAGTCCTAATTAGGTAGGCTAGTTGTTTACTATGTATTATCTAAGCATGTTTTAAAAATCAAGCACAAATTCATTGAAATTCTTTTTACCAAAAAAAAAAAGAGTGCACTGAGTACAGATTATGAAGTACGAATGTACTTTACTGTACTATCATTACCATAGAAGTTCCCTGTATTCAGGTCCACTACTAGGGCGGAGTGAAAAGCCCCAGCCGCGCGGCTGGCATTGCTGACATTGCGTAGATCGGCCCAAAAATAACTTCTCGAATGTGACTGCCTGACTTCTATTTCACCTTTCTTTCATCTCTTGGGTTGCTCTTTGTTATATATACCCTTCATCGCTTAAGCTCTCTACAACGCTTTGGACAGTTTCATGGATTCGTCGTTCTGCTCCGGAAACTAAAACAAAGACTCAGCCCCAGGCACCATGGCCTCCAACGAATACTATCACACGAACATCCCACAACCCCCCCAGCTACGACCAAGCTGTTCCGGGGAAGACAGATCAAACCCCGCACGCAGTTCCTGGATTTGGCTACGCGAGCCCAAGCTACAACCACGACGATCCCTCAACCCCTTATCACAACCGAGAAAGTCAACAGTCATTTCTATCGGATAATGGACATTACCAGACAGCCGGACGGGCGACGGAAGGCGACAATTACGCAGAAAACATCCCTTTGAAGACCAACGCCCAGTATGGAAATAATCCAGATTGGATGCGCCAACAGACGCAGTACCCTCCATCACCAGGGGGTATTGAGGATAGCCGACAACGTGATAGCCGGAAGAAGAAGGGATTTTTCAGCAAGAAGATTGCCTGGGTGACGTACATCTTGACATTAGCCCAGATCATCGTATTTATTATCGAACTGGTCAAGAATGGTGAGTTCTGTTCCTGCCTCGGTACTATTCTAGCATTTCGGGATCAACTAACGGAATCCTTCCCGCTCCAGCCCAGTTGACAGGGTCAGTCATCGAGACGAAACCCACCTTCAACCCTATGATCGGGCCCTCACCGTACGTCCAAATCTACATGGGAGCACGCTACAATCCGTGCATGAAGAACGTTGAGGGGGTCCAGAATGCCAATCATACCATTCCGTGGCTCTGTCCAAATGCCACATCGACGACGGTGACGGGAACGGGGTGCACACTGTCCGAAGTGTGTGGCTTTGGCGGTGTTCCCAACCCCCGTATTGGAGGGTCAACGGATGATCAGCCGGCTCCCAATCAGTGGTACAGATTCATCATCCCCATTTTCATGCACGGAGGATTCATCCACATCGGATTCAACCTGTTGGTTCAGATGACCATGGGCGCGGACATGGAGCGCCTGATTGGTATGTGGCGCTATACCTTGACCTACTTCGCCAGTGGTATCTTCGGGTTCGTTTTGGGTGGAAACTACGCCGCGCAGCTCGATCCCAGTGATGGCTGCTCGGGCGCCCTGTTCGGTATCCTTGCGCTTTACCTTCTTGACCTACTGTATGAGTGGCCCCAGCGGGAATCTCCGTGGGTTGAGCTTATCATTATGGTCCTCGGAGTGGGTGTCTCCTTCGTTCTTGGTCTCCTCCCCGGATTGGACAACTTCTCCCACATTGGTGGCTTCATCATGGGTCTTGCCATTGGCATGACTATCATGCGCTCGCCTAACGCTCTCCGCGAGCGGATTGGCCTGGCACGACAGCCATATGTTGCCATGAGCGGAGCCGGCCAAGCTGGCCCCGAGCAAAAGACCACCTCCTTCATGGATTTCTTCAAGGGAAAGCGGGGTCTCACTTCCAGCTCGGCAGAAACCCCGGGTTCTACAAGCGGCCCGCTCAACTTCTTCAAGGGCCGTAAGCCTCTTTGGTGGCTGTGGTGGCTAGTCCGCGCTGGCGCCCTGGTTGCGGTCCTCGTTGGGTTCATTATGTTGATTGTCAATTTCTATAAATACCCCTCCTCGAACTGCTCCTGGTGCTACCGGTTGAGTTGTATGGACGTCAATGGCTGGTGTGACCAGAACAACATGCCAAGTTGATTCAGCGTTTTTCCCTTTTTAATTCGACGTTCTAGAACAAGTTTGCATTGCGCTTTTTCCTCATAACTTCGATGGATCTATTAGCATTATCACTGTAAATAGAATTGTTATATCCACAAGTATACCAAACTGCACAAAAATAATATAAACTATCTTAATTTAAGGATATCTCCTGTTCCTGAAAATGGTACAATGCCGGAAATAGAAAATTGTTGTGACGCTATACTTCGTGTATGTACGCAGCTTATGTGGCTGGGGTTGTGGCGGAGCATGTCAATATTACCGTACCCAGTTTACCGTACCGTACATCTCACCTGATACTGTTCTCATCGCATATTGTAGGTAACCCTCAATTCACGCCTGAAACTTGTCTTATATTTTCCAATGTGTCTATAATGGGATCGATCCCGTCAAACTTCTTCATGTGCAACCTTCTTTCCCCCGTGTCATAAACTCTCAGTCATGGCCACCTTGGCCTCGTCACCCCCGACCTCGCCCTCGTGGCCTAAACGACGCCCTCGAGCCTGGGCCCTCCGCTGTGAACGATACTGCTGCGCAGCAGCAAGCTGCTTTCCACTCGCCTTCGTCTATGGCATCACCACATGGGCAGTATACGTCGCTGTCAGCATAGGCGTCAGACCCTCACGCAGTGACTGGATCGGTACGCAGGATAACGCCCGGACTCGAACGGGTCTATGTATCCGGGTATACTAACATGTCGGCAGGTATCCCGAGCTCCATCCTCGCATTTTCCCTCTATGTCATCCTCAACTTTTCATACACCGTCGCCGTTTTCACCGATCCGGGGTCACCGGTTTCTACCAGTCGCGGTGCCGACCGTCATGAGTACAGCGCCCTCCTCCCTCCGAACACCCGGAGTTCACCTCATATACCGTCACCTCGACTGGTGAATCACGGTACTGCAAAAAATGCCAGTGTCCGAAACCGGACCGCGCGCATCACTGCTCGACATGCAAACGATGCGTCCTCAAGATGGACCACCATTGTCCCTGGCTGGCAACCTGCGTTGGACTGCATAATTACAAAGCATTCCTGCTGTTTTTGATCTACACATCGTTATTCTGTTGGGTTGTTTTTGGCATTGCGGCCGTTTGGGTCTGGACCGAGATCCTGAACGATACCCAGTACATGGATACTATTCTCCCGGTCAATGTAGTTCTGCTGGCTATCCTGGGTGGCATCATTGGATTGGTTTTGGGTGGATTCACAGCCTGGCATATCAGTCTGGCTATACGGGGTACCACTACCATCGAATGCTTGGAAAAGACCCGGTACGTGTCGCCTTTGCGCAAAGCGCTAGAAAGACAGCGGAATGAGCAACCGCCCAACAATAACTACTGGGGCGAGCCGGGCGAGGAAAGCATATCCAGCCGACTGCAAGGATATGGTAATCAGATCATCGATGCCCACGCCAACGCAATCCCGGGAGTGACCCGGGCCGAAGAGGGCATATCTCCTGGGCCGCGCCCATCAGGGCCTCCGGACGGCTCGAGCAACGGTCTCACGCCAGCACAGCAAGCATTAACCCGGTCATATGCCGAAATGGAGCGACAGCGCGAGCACTCACGGTATGAGGAGTATCAAAACGACGAAGACAACGAAAAAATGCCTAGCGCGTTTGACCTCGGCTGGCGGCGTAACCTGCTCCACCTCTTCGGTCCCCGGCCGCTCCTCTGGGCTGTGCCTATTTGCAACACAACCGGCGATGGCTGGCGGTGGGAGCCAAGTCCTAAATTCCTAGAAGCGCGTGAGCGCATGCGACAGCGTCGAGAGCAGGAATCCACCGAGGAGCAACAATACTACCGCGAGTTGTACCAGCGCAATTTGGACAACAGTAATAGTTGGAGGGAAAGCGCTTCACAACCGCAACGGGTGCCAAACCGCGGTAGCACACCTGAGCGGCCTCCGACCTCTGTATCGATGCAGACTCTTGCACCCCGGTCGCCGCGGCCGAGGCCTGGCGATAGTGATTATGGGGATGATGTGGAAGGGAACGGGTTGTTGGATCCGGGCGCTGGCCGCCAGCAGGCTACACGCCATGACACTGATGAATGGCGGGCCTGGGACTAAGACAAAGTGATTGTACGTAGCATTTCCATGTAGCATGTTGCAGGCGTTGTATGTGTATCATTGTGAAAGCATTTATCATATCAAGGGTTTTATGACCATTAAGACTTTATCCCTATTGTACACTGTCTACATCTATAGGATATGTGCTAATCATACTATTGTACTTTGTACATCGTAGTTATTCTGTAACATAACAACGTTGCCACTGCCCAATCGCATCATCCCCGCAAAACTGAGACAACTGTCATCTTCCAACTTATCGCTTCTCCCTCCCAGTCCAATTTAGCATTCCCCTCCAATTCCAATTCCAATCGCATACAAAGAGACAAAGACAAAAAGACAAAAATGTCCTCCCCTCAACCCGCCGCCTCCTGAAAGAAAGCAGCGACCTCCACAAAAACCCAAGCCCATACTTCACAGCCGCCCCGATAAGCGACACAAACCTCCACGACTGGCACTTCACCCTAGCTGGTCCACCTTCGCCATCCCCCTACGCCCAAGGCCTCTACCACGGCCGCATCACCTTCCCAGCCACATACCCACTCCGACCGCCCTCCTTCCGCTTCCTCACGCCCTCCGGCCGCTTCGAAGTCAACCGCGAAATCTGCCTCAGCATCTCCGGCCACCACGAGGAGACATGGCAGCCGGCTTGGGGGGTGCCGCACTGCGCTGTTGGGGATCCGGTCTGAGATCTTTACTTCGGAGAGTCAGGGTCAGGTTGGTGGGATGGAGGGGAGTGACGAGCTGCGCAGAGAGTATGCGCGACTCTCGCTTGGGTGGTCTTGTCGTGAGTGTGGGGTTGGGAATCTGGAGGCTATGAGGGAGCTGTGGGGGGGTTTGTCGGGAGCGCGGGATCGAGGTTGAGGGTGGGATTGCTGCTCTGGATGGGAGTGCTGGTGTTGATGCTGGTGTCGACGGCCAGCGGGAGACGGTCGAGGCCGAGGCTGAGGCTGCTGCCCCGGCTTCTGGGGGGAATGCTGTTCCTGTTGGAAGTGAGCATCAGGCTCGAGGGGGTGATGCTGTAGAGAGTACTCCGGCTCTGGAATCTGCTTCGGCTCCTTCTGCGTCTGCATCGGTGCCCGTGGCACAACCACAACCACAGGCACCGCTATCTACTGTACAAACTCCGGCTACAGCTGTTATGCCTACGCGGACAAGGTCTTCTCATCTGGCTTCGACGGAGTCTCCATCTGAAGGTGTCTGGCTAGACCGGGCTATCATTGTTGTGATCATTGCTCTTGTCTTGTTGATATTGCGCCGAGTGGCGAACGTCGACGATCTGTAAAGAGTTCTGGGGTTTAATTAGGCATCTTCTTTCTTTCGGCGGTCATGCGGGCGTTTGTGATTACATTACAGGAGTTGATCCATGATATCCCTCTAGATAGTTTTTGAAATCAAGCACAAAGCATCATTGAAATGAAGCATTCCCTTGTTCTTTTTTTTGTTTATTTTTCGTAACTTATCTTGAGAAGTCCACCTAAGCAAGTATGTTTGTACATAAGATTACATTCAAATTCAGTCGGAAAACCGTATTTCAGTCGAGGATGAGCCATCAAGATAGAATCATCCACCAAGACTCCTGTAGTGTCCAGCAAGCCGTCTCCCCCTCGCCGTCTGACTTGACAATGCCGACTTCCTCCAGCCACTGTAGCATCAGCACAGTCTCCCATGGGCCCATGGTGGGCCTGATCATGTTAGAAATGTTACCGGCTTTGATGCCGGGGCGCATCACCAGGCATCCGAGGACAGGGCCAACCACCAGATCCCACAGACGGTGTATGAACTCTCCATTGATGTCATACCAAAGGGGGTTTCTAGGCGGCATTTTCGTGTCTGATGGCGAAGGCGCTGGTGGAAGGACCGCGGCTGCAGCTTTGCCATGGACGGGGTTACCGTAGCGATATGTTGCGGTGGGAGTAACCTCGACAGAGAAACGGAAGCGTTTCTTGTCCATCTGCCGAGTTTCATATCCGCCATCGGTGAGACCGAACTTAGCGCGGGGAGCGTCGCGAGGTCGCATTTGAATAGCACCCGAAGCGTAGAGATTGATCAACGCGAGTATGTCGCCGTCTTCTGCGGTGTACTCGACGTCGGATGCACCGGTAGTGCGGAATTGAATATCCAATATGTTTGACTTGAAATGAGCGGCACGGCGCAACTGGGTGCTTTCCACGGCACGTTTGCGGCTCAGCGTCTGCAGGAAATATTCTGAGATATCGTAGTTGCGACCTGGATTGATGCGGCCACGGGTTGTTGAGCTGACGACACGTTCGTTGATCAGTTCCTGCGTCGCAGTGGTGATGAGTCGATCACCAAAGCGTTGCAGAATATCGCTCGACTCGTTGGGTCGATAGGTTTCTTCAGCGGTGATGATATTTGCACGGACCCATGTCTTCGCAGCCTCAAGCTGTGCCATATCAACCTTTCGTAGAGCCGATTTAGTGCGTGTTTCACCATCCACGGGTACAGCAAACGGATTCCGCGCCATCAAGTTGCGTTTGTGGTTGATAGTGACACCATGCACAGCCTGGTACAGTTCATCGCCTGCCGTAAGTGCATCTTCGCGTAGTTCGAAAACACTGTCGAATTGCTGCCGTGTTGCTGGGAGGTCCGGAGCCCGTTCGGACGGAGAAAAGTCGAGCCTAGTGCTTGCCCAATCAACCAGGGCAGGCCAGTCATAGCCATCTAAATCGGAATAGTCAATGCGCGGAACTTCATCCTTTTCATAAGCCTCAAGGAAGCACTCTTGGAAATCTCGATGCATCTTCGTAATCTGCAAGCGATTCTTGTTGAGTATCTGACGAGCTCGTGCTTCGATGAAAGACGAGTCTTGATCTGGGAAAGCTTTCGTCACAAGAGGCCAATCGATCACTCTTGATTCCGCTCCGCCTGCAAGCACACGAACGACGACAAGAGCAACCACCAACTTTTGTTTGAGATCCTCAGAGATAGGGCGCACGAATCGCTGTCGGCGAATGCGTTTAGGGGTCGCAGACTGTGCTTCTTTCTCGGCTGTTGTAGTATCATCGAGCTTGGCCAGGCGGCGGTCCGTAACAGGGGCACGCGGGGCCCGAGGAGCCCGAGTCCTTCTCGGCTTTGGTGTCCGTTTCGGCGTCTCATCTTTCGGAGTAATTGTTGGAGGAGGCTGAGGTAGAGGCTGAGGCAGGGGCTGGCGCTGGCGACGGATCTCGCTACGCCGTATTGGCAGCTCTGGTTCCACTTGAGGCTGTTTTGGAGGGGGCATGTCAGTAGCAAAGCGAATATCGTCTGTGATCGGCGCTGGCTTGAAACCATCCTGAACGGTTCGGTTGATAAACTGCTGGCCTTCAAGGTTCGCTTCGAAGAGATTCGGGTGATTAAGCTCCCATTTGAGTATCTTTTTGGTCTTCTGAATAAATCTCGAGAGTAAAACTCTGGGTTTGACAGCCAGGGGGATTTCCGGCAAGTCCGGTTCGTCACGAGCCAGTCTAGATAACTCATCGACAGATTTCTCAATGTCCAAAACCGGCTGTTTTGCTGCCATCGGCCTCGCCCTTCGACGTTTGGCCGAGCACGACCCTGTGGAGAAGGTCCCACTGGTTGGCTCAAATTGTTGGGCCGGATTCATCAACATAGCATAGGCTCCGATGGCAGAAATCGGTTTCATCACCCGTTTGGGATGTACGATAAACTTTTGCTGCTTGCCAGGACCACGTATACCTGTTCGAACATATGGACGAATAATTGATGTGTGCGGGTGAGAATCAAGGTCCAATTCAGGAGGGCGTGCAAGCGTCATGAGTCGCTGAACTCCAGGCAAGTCAGGCAGTTCATCCTCTTCTTCGGCAGCCTTGGCAGCCTTGGCTTGGGCTTCCAGGCGTTTAATGAAGTTCGCTTGGGCCTGTCTCCTTCTTCTTGCCTCTAGGTTCACAATGGAAAGAGGCTTTTGTTGTAAGTGAACATGAGTGCCTTCTTCCACCGGGAAGGAGAATCTCTGCGCGCGGGGAGGTGCACCGTGTGGTCGACCACTATTTCTTGTCAAATTTGGATCCAGCTCGACATTGGCCGCAAAGAAGGGCCGCGACTCGTGGAAGTCAGTAGCCAGAATCTTGCTCTGCATCTCCTTCACCAACGGATCATCTGGTGACATATCAGGCTTCAACAACAACGTCCTTGTCACCATCACTTTTCTCGTGTCTCGGCCGCTGAAAGTCAGCTGCCGAAGCTGGCCGGCATCAATCAATTGCTTGCATGCAGTATTGATAGTTCGCATGTCTGGCTTTTCATTGGGATGAAACTTCATCCATGCAGTGACAAAAGGATACCACATCGCAGTGCCCGCGGGGTATACACCATCGGCCTTTTCCATGATTTCCATGATGAGCTTTCTCCGAAGGACACTGATGGATCCACCTCTCTCAATCAAAGGCTTAGAATATTCCGATCCTTCCTCTGGAATCTTCATGGTTCGGATATTGAGCCTGTTCCGAACTCGTGGCTTCTTTGCAGGCTTGGTGACGTGGGCGCCGAAATTGAATTTTTGGGGACCCACTGAGCCTGATCGTGGTGTCGGGATGTCAGATGGACGGGGTGTCGGGGATTGTAAAGTCGTGTGGTCGTTGCCACTGCGCTCGGAGGATTCTACGCGGCGCCGCTTTGATGGGGTTCCAGATTGTTGGTCTTCGAGTAGATGAACGCTGGCACTCTTGTCACGATGGCGTGGTGTACTCATTTTGATTGGACCCTCTTGGGGTGCTGGAACTGCATCCTCGGGCAATATCCCGCTGGCATCATCCAAGGGTCCTTCATTGCTTCCAGTTTGGGCCTTGTGAAGTCGAGATCGTTTCGTAGGTCTCCCGCTTCTCTGATCATTGGTCTTGGAACCCGAGGATGGTGTGGGTGAGACGGCTGAGTCGTTAGGTAGAAGTCGCTTGGCTCGCCTGGAAGTTACCGGGGTGGGGGTCATGACGGGCCCCTCGGAGTCGATAACTGAAGGTGCAGCCTCAGGGCCAAGGCTTTCGGATGCTCGACTGGTGGTAGCAGCATCTCCAACCTTGTCATCATCACTTGTGTCATCTTTGTCCTTGACAAACCAAGGGATTGACGCTAATTTTGGCGATTTGAAGATGGCAATTCGACTCTGTCTCGGGCGACCTCGGGACTTGCCGACTGGTCTTCTTCGGCCGTGGGGAGTCACATACACACCAGAAGCAGGCTTGTCCATGACAAGAGCTTTGTATTCAGTCCAACCCTCATCCATGCCAAGTGCTTCAAGCTTCTCTTGCTTTGATAATCCCCTAAGGTTGTCATGTTTGATCTTGGCTTTCTTGGCTCGCGGGGATTCATCGACATATTCCCAGCCATAACCTTGGCTTGGCTCCAGCTTGGGTTCAACCAGGGGTTCCAAGGCCTGAGATTCTCTGAGTTCCGTTTCGCTAGCTTCGGGTTGTCTAGTTGCAGCTTCTGTAGCTATGGGTTCTTTAGCCTTGGGTCCTTTGGCTTTTAATTCCCTGGCGCGCTTTTCTAGAGTCGCGCGGTTCAATCTGCCTTTTGGTCGTCCCTTGGGCCGGAAACGAGGCTCATACTGCTGCTTGGAGCCAGGCGGGAGTTTATCGATACGGGTACGGATCACTGCGGTTTAATGTTAGATTCATCACAGTTTCTCTTGTGGAAACCAGGGAGATGAGTGGGCAATCATACCATGTTGACCGTCTGGAAGTTCAACAACAAACGGATCGCTCGAAGAAAGAAGATAGTTGGGCGGATTGACAGCCATGATCCCGTCGAGTAGAGTTGAATTTGGATCCTTCAGCATATTCTTCGGAAATTGCTTTTTGAGGAATCCATATTCATCAAGTTGAGGCAGCGCACCAAAAGGCGGTGCCTCGATTTTTAACGACTTGGCTTTCTTGGCTGGAATCTCAACGGCCTCCCATGATGCCTGACCAGCTTCAACGAGCTTTGCAAAGTTGTTTGCCGAGTAGTGGACATAATACATAATGGTCTTTTTCATTGCCAAATCTCGAACAATGGCGTAATGGCGCAGATGAAGTGGCTGGGCCACTTGCCATAGGTCAACCAAGCGATGTACCATACTTTCAGCAGGCCTCCTGTAAAAGGACCCAAAGCAGGTCGAGTTCAGAGTCTTGATTATGTTAGTTGCTAAGAAAATATACACCTTTGGGAGTGAGGCACTTACCTGGTTCGTGACGCCTGTTGTGCCTGATCTTTCAACAATGTCAAAGATTTGGTTGTTGAGGTTACGATCCGGCGTCCAAGACGGTACGATGCGTACAGCATCCCCGACATGCTCTTTGATCAGATCCATCCACCGTCTCCCGGGCTAGGAGATCTTTTGCTTGGGCCCTCCAGCTCCAGGTCTTCGTCTCGGTCTGGGGTAAATTTGGTTCCCTTGGTTCGCACCCCGTGCTTGTTCAAGACATCGAAATTAAACTCATGGAAGAGGGCCAGATCTTGCTCCGTGGGATCCCGTAAAAGCTTCACGCAAGGATGCATTCTTTCATATTGTGATTCAGCTCTCACACGTTGTACCACACCTATCCGCTCCCATTTGCGGAGGGCACGGGACAAAACTTTCCAACGCCAATGGTCATTGAAACCCAAGAGTCGCTTCAAATCATTTCGTGCAATCAGTTGATGCTCTCGGAGAATGTCGAACAGGGTGGTGTTGAAGCTATCAAAATCAATCATGTTCTTCGATTCCGGTTCTTCTTTCGTTTGATCACTGGTGATGTGGCGATAGAATCGCTGCAGCGTGCAGAGGCTGGTTCGGGCCGTTTTTGTTTGAACTGGTCGCTTGTCGATGTAGCCCTTTCTTTGCAACGCATCGGTACGCTTTGGAACAGACCGTTTGTCCTGGCCACTGATCTTCACTAGGTCCGGCTGCACAATACCCTTTGACTTGCGTGAAGCAATCACAGACAATAAGACAAATTCGAGAGGTAGTACTTTGGAGTCATCTGGTGGATGGCCAGTGATGGCAAGCCAGGCTCTCTCTTCTGAGACGAAGATTCGAAGCGGCGGTAAATCAGGGTTCTGATCTGCGGTTTGGTTGGCCTCAGGACCTTTGTTTTTGGGATCATCGCTTCGTGAGTCAAGACGCTCGGCTTCATCCAAGGTGAGATGGTTCCATTCATTGTGCTGACCAATAGACACCTCTGGGTTAGCCGTGAGCCAGGACCAAACTTTGGCTTTGAAACGATGGTCAATGTTTTGGTTTATTGCAGGCCCATTGTGAGGTTGGGTGTGGAAATCATCAACGGCTTGTAGTAGATCGGATAAAGATGCGCCTTGATGCCTGTTAGCATTATGTTCCAGGGATTGCGTATTAAAAGTAAAAACACCCAATCAGGGCTTGAGAAGGAGAATATAGATCGATATTGGGTCCGCGCCACACGAACGCAGAGTCAACCCCGTCATGAGAAAGTCCTGACAGGGGAAGTATAGTAGGAATTTCCAACATATTCCTCAGACTAGGCGGCTTTTTCACATAATTTCGGTGACATTTGAAATCCACAATGCGATATGACATGCGTCTCCGGGGTGAGGAAAAGTGGGTCCCAGTGAAGAGACTATACACACCTTGGTTGCCACAGAGTGCGACTTCGTTCAGCACGAAGTCGATAAGATGTTGTACGCCAGGCATGGCTACATAGCTTTTTTTGAATAGAAGGATGGATGTAAAAATGATAAAAGAAAGGTGATGGGGTGAGGGAGAATTAAAGAAGGACAGAAATTTTTTGAAGGGGGAGGACTCGAACGCCGAGCGTCCAATTTTTGCAATGCGATTGTCAGGTCACATGACCTTATCTTATCTGTCTCAATAGTTATATTTGATGCCTCGTTTGTGAGGCATTTATAATAACAAACATGGCCTAGTTATGTAGTAACTATCTTGTAGCACTATCAAATGCTCCATTATCAACGTTCCATTGAACTAATTTTTAAGAAATTATTTATTTGCGTTTGGATCTAAAGTACAGAAGCAGATATCCATAGTGCAATTTGTTCTCGCCACCACTGCTAACGCCGAGGCCAATGTTTCACATCCATGCGCTGATTCTCATTTTGGAAGGGGGTGAAAGCAAATCGTATTTGGATGTTCGATTGGTGGTATATGTAGTACATATGTTGTTCTACGGTGTAGCTACTTTGTACATTCTTTTACTATATATAGAGGGGCACTTATGAACAAGCATAAACTCCCGAGGTGATCGGCATCCGAGTGGACCGGTGTGACTCTTCTTCCGGTCTCGATTCCTTGTTTTCTGCATTATTGTGCATATTTACCCATTATACGCAGTACTATTCACTAGCTTACACGCCGTATGAATGGTGCATGTCTACCGCATACTGACATCAATCCCAGATTCTCCTTTTGTGTGGGATACCATACGTACTACATGTAGGTGGACTCTTAAACGAATAACCCAGCCATTGTACAAATATCAGAAGCTCAGAGACAAGTAAGAGACAAGAACATCAATCCACTAGGAAAATATAAGACAAAAAATATCAAATTTGCCCACTTGGCAGTGGTTTGATTCAAGGCTGTGTGGGTATATACTTGTTTTGAATGACATCATAGGGTCTTACATCAGGTACCTACCATCCCAGCCAAGTTAGTATGGCGACGGAAGTACCCGTCTCCGTTGTTTCCGGCCAAAATTTCCTGGCTTACAATTTACATATTCGCCTCTTCTTCACTCCGTTTTCCTGGATTCTTTCTCTCTGGAAATCCATTCGGATTTATCATTATATTCGCACCATGTCTTAATAACCCCTTATTCCTTCATCAAGCCTTTACCGCGTGTCCCTCCGAACCTATCAACACCGTCCGCTTATCGCCACACCGATGGAGGAAGGAACCGTCCCAACAGCCTCCGAGCCTCCTCCGCTCCCATACTCGTTGCATACAAGGAAGAAGTCGATCGCGTTCTTCTGGACTATCTTTGTGATTGATACCTTGGCTCAGCCATTGATTCTGTATTGGTGTCTTTGGTATCTCACTGATCTGTCACACAACGTGGGTATGTCTTGCATGGTAGAACAGATACACCCCGTTCTCGTTGCTAATTTGGATGTGCAGTCTTCTCGATCGTCACCGCGTCACTTGGAGGAGTCTCGGTCTTTGAATACTTTTACCGCCTTCATCATTTATTCCGCAAAAACTCGCGCGCTCGACCCTTGAACTCCCGCGTATCATGGGTACGTTTCGACCTAGGATTGATCATGGACTATTATTAACTGATACCTCTCCGTAGCTGGATTTCTTCCAAATCAACTTCACCATTCTTTGGTTGATTCTGGCCGTCGAATTGGTCGTGTAGGTCTAGCATCTATCATGGAAGCAGGATGAGCAATGAGCTAACAAGTCCGCAGTGGATCGGTACCTGAAGAACCTTATGGTTAGACAAACCCATTATAATATCTTGCGCCATTACCTCGTACTGACCGCTTAAACAGTACGCCTCATTGCGATGGTCTTACCCACCGTCATGTTCTACTTCGGCATCGTCTACCTTTCCCTCGACATATTCCGTATGATGGGCTTCAAGGCTCCGTTCCGAATTTCTTCCACGCCCAAAGGCTCCGTCATGCCGACTGCATTGTACGCGCTTATTGAAGACGTGGTAGCAGTCGACGGTGGTGGTGGACAGATATATCGATATGCTCTCCGGACTCGATACTTATCGAGTCCTTATTTCCGCCGTATGCTCTTCGAAATGAACTGTTTCTGGAGTGGAGGATCTATCATTTTCGCTGCCGCCATTACTGCAGTGATTTTCACCGTTCAGGAAAACGTTGCATTCACGGTAAGTTGGAATCAATTCAATTCAATCTCACATTGCAATCAGACTAACTTGACATACAGCTGGGCTGGACCCTTCCGTTTGCCTGGGCTATTGTTTGGACCTTGATCACAATCCCCTGGGTTCAGAGTGACCTGCGTCGTGAAAAGAAGGCATGGGCAGAAAACCGTGGACAAGGCGGCATTCCTTGGGTTGACGATATCAGCGCGCCCACTGCACGTACCCGCTTTGCGTCCGTTCAGGCTAATGTTTGGCCTTGGACTCGCGATAAGCAAAGCCAACCATCAACACCATCCGATCCTGAGAAAATATCCGATGATGTCCCTGGGCCCTCTAATGGAACTCAGGATATCTCCAACGACGCCTCCTGCAGTGCCCCTCAAGGGCCTTCTCATGTTACCGATGGAACTTATGATGGAGCAACTCTTGGCACTCACAATGCCGAACCAACGGAGAAATTATCCGTGTAATATGTGTATGACTCTGATGAATTTGTATCCGATGAAGTTTTCTCGTTTTGGTCTTTCTGGTTGCACATGAAAATGCATTTTGGGAGGTGATTTTATAGACTTTGGCATTCTTTTTAATGTGCCCCGCAGGCTAGTGTATATAGATACCCTATGTTTATTGTCTAGGGAGCAATGAGATTACTATTTTATGTCTCAGTTTCTCCTGACCTGAACTTCTCGTACAACAGCATGTGGTGAAACACGGCTCTCAATCACAAGCCTCAAGCTTGAGACCCCATGCCTCTTTAGACAGAACACTTTTGTCTTGGATGCATAAACAGTATCTTCATATAAACCTTCATAGGTATCGTCCCAGGCTTCTTTTGAAAGATCTCTATACTGACTTTCTCTCTATATAAATAAAGACCCGATCCTACTATCAATTTCATCTGTGACGTACTTTGTCCAGTATCACGAAATTTCCACTCCTTTTCTGTTTTCTGACTTCGCTCTTCATTCATTCTCTGATTATGTCCACTGCAACATCGGCCTGTTTTCCCTTCTCTATAGAACGGGCATACCCTATCAAAAGTCGCCGAAAAGCCGCTAAAGGCCCGTTCCTAGTCAATCCCACGCCAACAGCCTTGCTACACCCACGACATTCATATCCGTGACCTACGTGTGTGACGAGAATGGAGGATGTCAAAAATTCCTCAGTCCGAAACTGGGTTGACAGCGTCCGAGAAAGTATTAAGTTCCAGTCAACTTGCTCAAAATCCTCTAAACGCAAAAGAGCAAGCTCGGAGCCAATACTCACACCAAGTATCAAGAGAGATCTCAGAGACACGTCCCATACATCAACCATGTCTACTGCTCCGACCAGTATCTCATATATTCGGTCACAATCTCACTCAGAGTCTAGCTTCATTACATTTGAAGAAAAGACCTTACAAGATATTAAGAAAGCCCTGGGTTCTTCTGCAACCCCTTTGATTCGGTTCATTCGTGGCGATGAGGATCCAGAGTCAATTCCAGCGACCGAACTGCTAGGTCGTTTGCGTGTAGATCTCTCTACTCCCCTTAGTCCTTCCGATAAGGAAAAGGTGGCAGAGATCAGTAAGGTCTCCTTCAAAGGAAAGAACGAGACATGGAGCCCTGCCCGGTTGGTTGATCAGGTCGTTTTGCCCTTATTGAGAGTGGCTATCGGTGACTCCCCATTAGAGGCAATGTCGTGGTATGTTCGGTGGCCCACAATTCCTTCAATCCTCTACTAATGGCTCTTTAGTCGAGGAGAGCTAATTAACCCCATTTATCTGCCTTGCAATGTGCCGCAAGTTCTGGTCTGCAGTATCGATATTGTTTTCGAGTTTCCCAGAGCACTCTGGAAATTCCAGTACAAAGCAGCAGGCGCAGAGGAAAATGATATGAGCCATATTAGCAACACATATGGCGGTGGCTAACTTCTAGGGCCAGGCTTTGTGGTGAAGAGCGTCGATGTCGATATTCTTGAATCCCAGATAGAGCTTGGAGTCTGGATGGCTGGTTATTTGACATGGCTAACAAGCCATCACAACAGAAATATTGATATTACCCCCTTGGGAGGTTGTACCGTGCGTGGCGATGTATGGGACTTTTATGTTGCCTTTGGGGAATATGTAAGGGACGACATAAACCAAGTGGAAATCCTTGTGCGGGTGGTAGGTATCCCAAATCCTCTGTTCGGCCTATTCGATACTTACAATTCCTCCACAGAATGTTTGGGGGCCCCTACCTGACCTTACTGGTTTCACTGGGAATACACCATCGGCGATGAGCCTTGCCTGCACACTACGGAGGATAATTGATTTCACAAAGGGTGATTTCATCGACAAGCTACTAAACGCTGTTGCGGTAGTATAGGTTGCCAACGTGTTCAAACGCTGTTAACCCTGTCTGTCTGTGTGAAGTATCATCCAATGTTCATAAACATCCGGTTGATAGGATCGAATATTGCAGATTGATTCCATATTAAAACAAGTCGTCTACGTTATCGAGCATCAAGAGTCTGGTATCGTCTAATTCTTTTTAGTATGGAACCAACCTGTAATGTTCGACTACCTGTAATGTTCGACTTTATCCTGACCGAGGCCGTAAAATAAGCCGTCTGCGTTATCGAGCATCAAAAGTCTGGTATTGTCCATGGTGCATACGCTGATACGGTTTGATATTGGACATCGCCGGAACACGAAGCATATTGAGGGCTTGACTGGAATCTCAAGGCATTTTAGCCCATCTGATGAGAACATAACGAGATATCTAGACTATGTTAAAGCTTAGAGTTACATAAATAGCCCTATAGGCATCTGTCAATGCTAAACAATCCCAGTGCAAGATATACCCATGGGAATGTAACCTAAGAATGTTAGCTACATAACATGGGCAATGATAGGGAATATCATCTCCCAGCCATACAAGGGACTGAGATATAGCTGTAAATCTGTCTATATTACACTATGATGCACTATAATGCACTATAATCTACTACTGTAACTCCAAGTCGCTACCTCCCCCATAGCGTGCGGGGTTGGGATCGCCCTGGAGGTGTGCATCGATGTAGCGATCGGCTCGGATAAAACAATATTCTAACATCGGCAAATAGGACATCTGCATTGATTGTCACTGACAGTATTCGAGCTCGAAGCTATAAAATGGACACGTCGGCTCGGTTTCATTGGAATACCAACCCACTCTTTCCTCGAAACTATGGTGTCTATCTCAAGATTCCTTCTTTTGGTCTTTGGTCTTCTGTCCGTAGCACTGGCAATTGACCCATTCACCTACGACAATGACACTTTCATTCTTCATGGCGAGCCATACCTACTCCGTGGCGGCCAGATGGACCCGCAGCACATCCCCCACGAACTATGGCCCGATCGTCTGGAAAAGGCACGCGCCATGGGCCTGAACACGATTTTCTCCTATGTGTTCTGGGATCAGCTAGAGCCTACCCAAGGCGAATGGGATAACACCGGCAATAACGACATCGCAAAGTACTTCCGGCTTGCGCAGGAAAAAGGGTTGAATGTGATTCTACGGCCGGGGCCATACGTCTGCGCCGAGCATGAATGGGGCGGTTTCCCAGCCTGGCTCAGCGAAATCCCGGGGATGGTTGTCAGAGATAATAACAAGCCCTTCCTGGAAGCTTCGAGGGCTTTCATCAACCGCCTTGCAGAGGAGGTGGGTGATCTCCAGGTCACAAACGGCGGACCCATTTTGATGGTCCAGATTGAGAACGAGTATGGATCCTACGGAAGCAATCATGAGTACTTGGCGGCTTTGAAGGATATCTTCATAGCTGCTTTCGATGTACCATTTTACACCAACGATGGTGGCACGCAGAAGATGCTCGAAGGTGGCCAGATCCCGGGTGTCTTGGCTGAGACGGACGGCGATGTGTACGAGGGATTCGCTGCTCGTGATAAATACGTTACCGATCCAACTAGTCTCGGGCCCCAACTCGATGGCGAGTACTATATCACATGGCTCGACCAGTGGGCAAGCAATTACACGCACAAGAGCAACGTCGGAAACAAGGGAGCCACCGAGAAAATCACAAAGGACGTCAAGTGGCTGCTGAACAATAACGGCTCATTCAATCTCTTCATGTTTCACGGTGGTACAAACTGGGGATTCCAAAATGGAGCTAACTGGGCCGATGCCCTGCAGCCCATCACCACAAGCTACGACTACGGCGCACCCCTCGACGAAACAGGCCGGACGAACAAAATCTACCATGCGATCCGAGAGACTATCGGCGCCATCATCGGGGAAGACAAGCTCCCCACTCTTCCAGAGGAGCAGCCATTGATTGAAATCCCATCTATTAAACTCACCCCGTCCGTCGACATATTTGATACCCTCCCCGAACCCATCGAGAAAGAATTCCCAGTCAACATGGAAGCAGTCGGGCAGGCGACTGGTCTAATTCTTTACCGACACGTTATCACATCTCCCGTCAGTGGCACGATCAAAACCGGCGATAAACCGCGGGATCGGGTACTCGTGTACGTCAACAAGAGCCGAGTCGGCGTGATCGATGGCAGGTACGCTGCACCGAGCACCGTCAACCTGAATCTGAAAGAAGGCGATGTGCTCGACATCCTAGTGGAGAATCTAGGACGCGTCAACTACGGGCCCAAAATTGTGGACCAGCGCAAGGGAATTGTCGGCAATGTCACAGTTGGCGAAAGTGTGCTTCCCAAGTGGTCGATATACCCTTTGCCCTTGGCGTCGCCTCCTGACTCTACCGACAACACAACGCCTCTGAAGCCCTCAGCTGCTTCAGGCCCTACCTTCTTCACAGGATCGTTCGACTTGGATAAGGTTGGTGATACGTTCCTCGAGCTACCCGGCTGGACGAAGGGCGTGGTTTGGGTCAATGGAGTCAATTTAGGCCGGTATTGGGTTGTGGGCCCGCAGCAGTCGCTTTACCTTCCTTGGTGTTACCTTCGTAAGAGTGACAACAAGATCACTGTTCTTGCCCTCGAGCCTACGGGGACTGACAGCTCCGTTCGTGGAGTTACCTCGCGTATCTGGGGTAATAACCCTGACCCAGATGCTCCGTGATTATGGGGATACCAAGATACGGTGTTAGGTCACAGATATTGTATAGGAGTGGTCAGAATGAATGAAACGCTACGTATACTAAAGAGTATTTCCCCACAAAAGCCCAAATTGCTGTTACACCCTGAATTAATATAAAATTGTCCCCCGCTGTAACTCTTTGATCCAACGTTTGCCGATCAGTGAAGATCTTCGGAGATTAGGTTGCCCTACGACGTCAGCCTTGTTATTCATGAATGAAGTGCTTGGTTGAAAATGCAACAATAGTTTTCTACACTAGGAAAGACTTGGGTATCTCCCTTGGTCTATGTCGTGGGCAAGCGAAAGCCATGCGAGGTCTAACATCCGGTGTGTACATGTATCAATAAGCGCTATCAATAGCCACCTGTCCCTGCAGGAAACAAGTGTCAGGGCCAAAAAGGATAATACTAAAAGGTTATAAGCAAAAAGCAAAATGTCCCCTCTCGCCTCTATGCCAGTGTCCTCGGACAGCCCGAGTGATGAAAACACGATTTCTCCCCGCCATAGACACACCAAAAAACACGAAAAACACGAAATAACGCCTATGTATGGCCCAATGCATGTAGAGGGTATCTAGGAGACACGAGGGGCCTGATAAAAATAAGGACGTGTTGGTGTACAAAGGATCACAGGAATTTAAAAGGGTGTAGAGGTATTAGGCAAAATAGGAACGGAGAGAAGAAAAAAGGGATATAGTGCAAAATGAAGCGAAGCGATCATTTCCGGAATGTCAGCTTCCGGCCGATGCTGCGAATTGTTTTGATGTGACTATACAAGTCAGCCAACTTCTTTGCTTTGGTGATAAGTGACTCGTGGGCGGGATCCATACCTGTCATCCTGATCATTCTTGTCGGCTCGGATCGTAGTCACGGTTTGGCCAGAGGTCATCGGTCTTGAGGGTGGAGGAGCATTGACAAATCGACGCGATGCCTAACCATTCTGTGTTAGCATTTGGGGATATTCATGGTGACACGATGAGATGAAAGAACACGAACCTCCCAGCGAGAATCCACATCCACCTCACTGGGGGAGCGTACATCATGGATAGTGGGATCTGAATAATTTGTGCCGTGGATGTCTGAACCCAACGAGGTAGTCCTAGCCAGTGGCGAGGCATTCGACTGCATAGATTTGCGCGAGCGTGACTCTGAGTAATCGCTATTAGAGTCGTAGCTGGCCAGACTCTGGGCTTGGCTACTGCTCGGGTTGATCAAGTTGGATGTATTTGACAGGAGTTGAGACGATGATGCAAGCTCACGGAAACGCTTCTGTTGCTGCTTCGAGGGTCGGTGGTGGGAGAACTTGTTGCCAAGGATGGCGGGGGCGTGCGAGATAAGGGCTTTGATCACGTCTTTCTTGAGGCGCAGGGCAAGATCCAGGTTCGACCATGTCTTGTTGCTGTACTCCAGAACTGGAAGGCGGAAGACGAAGTCATGGAGATCCTCTAAGTTGTGCTCTCCTTTGCCCTTGTAGCTCATGCAGAGAACCACATCATTTACCTTCACACGTGCGAGAGTCATGAAGTTGGAGGCACGGGAGATCATCTGAGACAGGTCGTCAGTTGGCTCTTTGGATTTACCGCCCTTGTTGGACCCTTTAACCATTCCGAACTTCTTGCGACTGTCTTCGCTAGCACTGTGGCTAGACACCGATCTTTCAGTGGGCTGTTTAGTCAACATGCGCAGACTATCAGCAGACTTCTTTTTGCTAAGACCACCAGTTGTAGCGGGACGGCCTGTTTTGCGAGCGGTCTCTGATACACCCAGTCGGTTACTATCCTGGTGGATAGGTGTCATCACAAGTCCCTTCAGATGGCCTGAGCGATTACGCGACTTGGTCTCATCTGAAAGCGACAGAGTAGGCTGGAGTCGCAGTTCGATGGAACCCGGTCCCTTGGAGATGGCAAGACTGTCCATAGACGAGGTATCACCGTCGGTACTCGTTGAGCGTGTCAGTGGCGCGCCATTTGAGCCTTCGTCATCGTCTTCCTCATCCGAGCTCTCAAGCGGCTTCATGTTCTTGATCATGAAAGGCGAGAAGCCACCGGCCTCAAAGGCGCTAGAGCCCACGTTGGGGAAGATGTATTCAAAGACTTTCTGACCAAGCTCGCGTTCGAGCTGAATCTTGAGCGGGAACAATGAAACTTCGAAGTTGTCAAGCACGGGGATACCGGCAACGGCCTCCAGCATGTGCCATTTGACACGCAACATGAAGTCATCCAGGGTGCGTGCGCCGTCGAGATAAGGTGCGATAATTTGAGGGTAGATAGCGTCTGGAAGTAAGTTCAACCCGAATAGTCGCTCGATGGATACCAGGTTGTGGTTCGAGCCATCAGCATTGTCGGTTCGTTCGTATGAAGCATTGCGCAGCTGGAACTCAATCAACGGCTCAGAAGGCTCCTTCATCAGGTGCCACACGACCTCACTCGCCGATATGCTCCAGCGTAGTAAGCCATGGACTCCGGCTGCTCTAGACGAACTTGGTTCCATTCGCCGTTGAGAAGTTGTGATTGCCTTCATCATGAAGAAAAGTTCATCCTCGCATAAAGACAAGTCGCGTTCGAGAGCGAGCCGATCCTCCCAGCCCTGTTTGTCCAGGAATTTAGCATTAATCTGGAAGTACTCTTTGATTTCCTCCAACTGGCGAATGCGCGCTTGAAGCTTGAACACCATTTCCGGGACGCCACGAAGGTCACTGAAGTCGGAAGTGAGCATAATCCTCTCCAAACGCTCATTTCGGACCTTTTCGAGTGGCTCGCTGTAGAGCATGAGATCCAGGACAATGATATACATGGAATAGTACTCTGCAGAATCACAAATCGCACGGAAATGAGGGAAGTCCACGCTGATCGAGTCTATGCGGTCTTCCTGATCGTCAGGATCAGGCCCTTGCTGACCCTTTACCACCTCTTCGTTATACTTGAGGCGGAGGTTGTTGAACTTGTCGTAACGCAGGGTGGCAGAAGTCTTTTGCACAATACGAGAGAATCCAAACGGATTCAACTCGAAATCGAACATGGCTTCCAAAGTCAACCACGGCGGCCACGCTGATCCAGGTGCATTTCCGTACTTATTGCCCGCATAAAATTGCAAGTTCGCCATCAATTTCTTCTGTGTTGCAACGAAGAACTGGGCACCGTCCATTTCGAGGGAGAAACGGCGCCGTATCAAGCCGCTGACATCGTCCGAGACACGCGCTTTGTCCATGATTGAGACAACCTTGAGTTCCATGCCTTTAGCAGCAACAAGCAAGACCGACTTCTGGTTCTTTTCACTGAGAAGCTGGATTTGAGGCGCAATGAGACGCAAGTGATAACTGTTCTGGGGAGTGAACTCCGGCATGGTATTCTCACTCGAACTGTCCGAGTTGGAAGGCGACTCGGCGTTCGGACTTGATTGGGTGTTTGGACTTGGTTGGGTGTTCGAGTCCGGTGGCTCGTTCCCGTCGGCATTCACGTAGCGCTTGCCATCATTCAGCAACTGTGCGACGCGTTCATCGACCTCCTCCTCGTCTTCATCGTTGTTCGAGCTTCGGGTGTGCGTCTTAGACATTTTAGGCTGCTTGCGCTTGTTCCTGTCCTGCTCCTCCACGATATCAATGATGAATTTGACAGCTCGGCGAGACATATAGTAAATAAATCCACGCCGCTGGCTCACTTGGTGGCTGTACCGCAAGACGATGTTGCGGAGGGAGTTGTTCCATTTCAGCTGCACGTTGTGGATCATGAAACGATTGTTGAAATCACTGGAGAACTCATCGTTGGCCGAGGAGTACATTCCATCCAGGCCTGAAGAACGGCCATCGGTTGTGGAATCAGCATCACGACCTGTTCGTCCTGTCCGGAAAGAAGCAGTGCTGGGTGCAACGTTTTTGCCAAGTGTGTCGCCATGTGGCGTCCGCTCGTCGCGTGCGATGTGTCTCTCAAGACGGTGGAGAGTTGTGGTCAAAAACCTGCGTCGTCTCGCCAGCGACTCTGACTGGCGAAGGAATAACTCGTGCTCAGCTTTCAAGCCTTCGTTGTTGTCAACATCTCTCATGAGCTTGAGTTCCATTTCCCCAATGGTGCGTTCATAATTGCGAATTTGTGCCTCGACTGTTGCAAGGCGGTCTTTGACCAACTCGATCTGGACACGGCGAGGATCGTTAGTTTCCGACATGACACACTCGTGAGTCGGTTCGTGTCCAAACGTGCTGTACCCCGTTTCGTCGGGTCCAATGTCGCCATGATCTGTGTTACGGAAGTAGGTAAAGCGCGGGGTAAAGGCCAGAGGTAATATCTGTGTACGAGGGTTCGACTCCTGTGGAAGGATCCAGTCCGGCTCCACAAAATCATCCATGTCGACCCAGTCCAGGTTTTGGTCAGGGATCGTGAACCGAGACAAGTCAACTGATGGAACAGGCTGTTGGAAGGAAGAGAGGATATCGTCTCTGTTGCGCTCAACATCCTCCGGCGTGGTGCCTTCGATGCTGGCGGACACTGCGCGGAAGTCTGCCGATTGCATATCAATTTGGGCTTGGTTAATACGCATCGCGCTTGTCCTAGTTTGTTTTGAACGGCCTCCGGCTTGTGTTTTGATCTGCTCGCGGCGTTGATGAATATCAAGTTTCAAGCAATCAAGGCGAACCTTCAGGCCCGTAGCTGTAACAACTCTTTCCGCGTAATCTTCGCGGTCCTTGTGTTTGTATATGTGGGCCACGAACAGGGGTGCGAGAAGGATCTTGTATTTGACAGTTGCCAAATGACGGTTGAACTTCTTGCTCGTCTTTGTGACTCCTGGCCAGAGAGGTCCTTGGCGAACAGGAAGCGACATCACACCCGAGAAAAGAGACCACCAATTGAAGAAGTGGGTGAAGAATCGCGGGGTGAGATGGATTGTGTTGTAGCTCGAAGATGGTTGGACAGTGTCGACAGTCCAGTCTCTGTTCTGCGGTGCAATAATCGAGACAGAAAGGTGGATGTGGTCACTCCTGAAGCCACGATAAGCGTCGTAACCAGCCCGCTCAGATGGTTTGAGGAACTTAGGGTTCTTGAGGATGACCTCATAATGGGGTTTGAAAGAGAAGGACCTTTCATCATTGTCAACATCCCGCTCGAAGACGAGACCTGCTGCCCATTTGACATCGCCAGAGAGCTTCATGACAACCTTCTTGAAGTGGGCAGCGTTCTTCTGCTCGCTGGACGCAGAACTGTTGTCCAGCTCCTCTGTAGTCGCTTCATTTGCACAACGTGCTTCGGCACTGTAGTCGGGAATAGCAAGCACGTATTCGGCACTCGTGACAGTCATGAATTCCATGGGGTTGTCACTGGTGTTAACATCCAATCGGACATCTCTGCGCCAGCACATGACAAATCCGCTTCCAAAGCCGGTCACCACATATGGATCACGAGAGCCCTTAAGCCGCAGATGCACATCGCCATCTTCCTTCCAGAGAACCTTGATCCGGGAATGAAAGCTGAGTCGGATCTTGTCCCAGAAGCCCACACGCTCCGAGGGATCGATTTCAGGTTTGGTGAAGCCCTCAAAGATTTTCATCATATCTTGAATGACAGGCTGGTAGGAGACACCCCATGAAATGCTAGTCGGCAAACTTGTGTTTATCTCGATGACAGGGTCTGAATATGTCTTAACTGGTGTAACAGAACGCCATACTTGGATATTGAACGCATCGCGGGGAGACCCGTCGGGCCCTTCAGATGCAGGAACGAGTTCCACTTCGACCTGCCTCGCGGATTCATGGTCACGCCATTCTTCTGCAATGACGAAGTTTGTGCGCAAAGACCAGCTGGGAAGTCTTGGAGACTGCCCTGGGCGCAGGGCTGGAATATGCAACAGATCTAGAGGATAATCTCGCAAGTTGACGCGTGCTTCACCCATTTCCAGGTTGAAGCTCATTGGGACGACCAGGCCATATTGCATAGACATGGGCATTCCCTTTCCGATTCGGTTCAAGTAACTCGGGAACTCATCGATAGGGAATGAGGGCTTGTCAATAACAAGGTTGACATCGCTGATCAAAGCTGACATCAGACCCGGTCTGTTCGGAATGGCAAGAATGGTTTCGGTCTCCTTCACATCCGGAGGAGGTTCATCTGCACCAGAGAAGAGATTTCGGACTTGTTTGATGGAAGTGCCCTGGAACATGAGAGCCGCATCAATCTTTTCTTTCCAGACTTGAGCATTGTACTGTTGAAGTCGGCCCCAAGCGGCATCCACAGATATCTTTTGCTCTGATGAGAGACAGGTCGCGCCATCGGTATCATAGCGGTATTTCCGACCTCTCCCACGTTCCTGGTTGTTAGATCTCGGCCGTTCATCAGCACTCCTGCTTCGCCTTGTGTCTTGGCTAGTTCGCTCGCTTCGCAAGGTCCGATGGCTTGATTTGGCTCGTAATCGGGATGTGGCGCGCCGCTGGTCAGATTCCCTGACTTTGTGGGATTTCAGGTCGAAGGCGTCTTCGCGGGCCAGTCGCTGAATCTGCTCAGCTAGGCCGAGTCGATAGATGCAGCCCAGTTTCCACTCAAAACCATCGTCCTCCAGCTCAAAGAGCAACGCTTTGCTGCGAAGAGATATCTTGGGCACCTTCTTCGGGGCTTCTGGCTCTCTCTTGGAAGCAAATTCTCTGCAACCATTTTTGAAGCGATTATGCAGCTGCTTGAAGGCCTTGGAAGTGTTGATAAGGTTATCAAAATGCGGTGCATCACCATGTGATGAGGTACACCAATTCGGATGAAGTCTGTCCATATATCAATCGATTTTTCTTCAACCAAAGTGTTGCCATGTTTCATCTTCATCTTTCGGAAGTCCAGCCTGACATTGTTCATACTGCCGATTCTTGCCCAAACCCCCTTGAGCTTAGGTGCCTCTGCATGGAAACGAACAAGGTTGGCCTTGACATAGGGAGTGGAAAGACGTTGGGAAGCACCGGCAAGTCCGTAGATCTGAATCATTATTTGAGGATCGTTCGGCAAGTTCGCCTTAAGCTGCACAACTGTTGCCTTCATGTCGTAGGTGACCAGCTCCTTCTTGGGGGACCATTTGTACGCCGGAGGCGGCGGAAGCGATATGCTTGCAGCCGCCCTGGACTTGCTTTCAGCAGACTGCGAGTGCTTTAGCGGGAAGGGTGTGAGCACGTCTTGGATCACGGAGACGGCAACGCCAAGGCAGTAGAACCGGTACAGTGAGTACTGAAGGTATATGCCCTTGAACACAGAGGTGACATGCAGGATCGGACCAAGGCGATCACTGTGTGTGCTGAGAGCGATCTCAAATCGGGGCAAAGTGAAGAATGGCTCTGGTTCCAAATAATCTTCTGATTCAATGACAAAGCCATCGAAACCACGCGCATGGAGAGCCAGTCGCCGGCCATCTGAAGCGCCGCGTTGAGTGTGAGTGGCCTTGGGAGGTGAGGTTGGGGGAAATCGAAAGGGAGACTCATCGCCAATGGTGGAATGGCTGGGAGTACGGCGCCTAGCAATGCTTCCGACGTTTTTCTCCGTTTTCTGAGCTTTGTATTCCGCTGTCCACGACTGTAGCTGCAAAGAGACACCGCGAGATATATCAGATACGGTGCTGTCCACGCCAGCGATTTCCACGCTGGACCCTGTGGCTTCAAACTGAAATTGGAGTAGCCATGGGGGGCACTCGTCTCAAAATGCTTGCCTTTTGATCATTTGCTGGTATCGGTACCCGCTTCTGTGATTGCATCTGGGTGATGAACTGCTGCAAAACTTCGCGGATTCCACGGTTTACCTCTCCATCAATCATGTGGACTGAAATCTCGTTAAGGCTTCCTGAGACGATTACACAGACCTCCGGGGTAGCATTCAGGTGGACCTTGAGCTCCAAATTCTCGTTTGTGAGCAAATTATGTTTGTTGCCTGCGGGGGTCTGGTAATAAAACTTGTGGGAGGCAACCCGGTAAATGGAAGATAGGGAATAGTGGGCACCGCCTTCAGATGAATGAGACGATTCGATATCGAGTGAAATGGAGGAGATAGAGGAGATAAGAAGGTTGTAATCATCGGGAGTACCAGACTCTTTCTCGATTGGGAGAACAAACCGGATCACGGGTTCGTGTACAGAAAGCTTAATGCTTGCCTTTGGGAGTAATCGAGAAATCAATCGATGATTATCTCGCTTCTTCGCTCGAGGAGAAGAGGCTCGACTTTGTGCCAGTTTGAGCAGCCTCGAAACATGTTGCGGTTGGAGATCTACCGAGGGTGATGTGACAACCAAATTCGCGAACAGGACATTTGTGTTTCGCTCTTCGGCGTTCTCATCATCAAAGGCGCTCACGGTCTTCGAGGGCAGTGTGGTCTTGATAGTTGTCGTAGCCATGGGGATGTATAGAATGTCATCACTCTCGCCGGATTCGTCGGCTAAGCTGACTGAAAGAGAGATAGCAGCAAGAAGAGCCTGGTGGGCAACATCCTTCCGCTGGAAATACATGCGATGCTCCGGGCTCTTTGGATCCATCCGATGAAGATCAATTCCAAGCTCATGCGATACCACATTCAGATACACGGGTTTTTGTCCTGCGGACAGAGACTGGATACCCTTTGAGACACGGAAGAAGCTCAGAGCGATCTGGATCTCCTGTATACCGCGGAGTAATGAACTTGCAAACTCCTTTGAGTCCGCCACCGTCTGTACAATGGAATTGTCTCTGCTTCCAGGCTTGTCGAGTTCGTCCACAAAATCGGCAAATGACATCTCGTCATCGGTCTCAGTATCCCCTGGCCCTTGTGCAGACTTGACCGGCTTGATGCGCTGCAACAGCGTGCGGAGATCGTCATATGGAATATGCATACGTCCAATCTTAAGGGCCACCGAGGCGTCTCTCAGTCCGTCCAAATCCTTGTGAAGAAGTCCATGGAGGTTCACGCCCACATTATCCAATATTTCGGTTGGCTCCCGGCCGTCGACATTGAGTAAAACATTTTTCACATTCATAATCCACTCGGCTGGACGCTGGTCTCGCGACATATCCTTCTTGCGACGAAATAGCTTTCCCCGTTCCACCATCTTACTCCGCGTGTCGACTGAAAGGGAAAGCGATCCAACCTGGATCTGACCGGCATTGACGAAGTGAACAGTTGTGTCGATAGCAGTCAGGTCCACAAGAGCCAACCAATTGATCTGCCGGTGTAGCCGCTTGACACTTTCCTTGATTCGTGTTAACGTCCTCCATGTTTTGCTTCTTCCGCCATTTTCGGGCGCGGCGCAGTCTTCGGACGGTTTAGGGGGCCCAGGAGTCTCCAATATGTCGCGGGCCACTTCGCGTTTTCCTTGCCCCAGAGTCGTCGAGTCCACGGTAACCTTCAGCTCTGTCAACCGAATGCTGATCCATGTTGGCTGGGCGAACGACGAAGGGTGTAGCGAGAATCCGAGGCCGCGGATTTCAATGTGTATTCCTTCCCTCGGAGTGTATGCGATTCGGCGCAGTGAAAAGTAGCCGATCCGCTGGATGGAGATTCCCGTCGCGATCCGGACGATAGCGAAGATGAAAAAGGACGAGAGGTAGAGAAGGACGAATCCCACGAGAATCGAGGTCGGGTTAAAGAGGGTCATCGCGCTTTGCGATCAGCAGCGGGCTGATCTCAGACAGGCAGTGTCGACTCGTACATTGAGGTTACGTCGGGATTCAATTGTAACTGTTGTTAGAACCCCCCGAGTCTCTACTGTCCGTCTGGTTGGAACCAGGGATTCCAGACTCCAGAACAGCAACGACTTTGTCCATCAAAGTCTCAGTAGGATGAGCACTTCGGGCTGATTCAAAGAAAAGGAGTGTAGGCGAATCATGCCGGGGGGGAAGAACTCAAGGGTAAGGGAGAATGAGAGAGGTGGGCTACCGGACAGGTCGGAGGAACTGGCCAAAAAAAGCGGAACGCTAGTTATTTCTCTCAAAGCGGCTTCCTTTTTACAATAATTGCTTTGATCCTTTGGTACTTTTCCATATATTATACTATCAAGCATTTTATATTCCAATCTCTTCCTACAATGTTCCTATATAGTTGTTGTTCATATGTATGTTCTGGTTGATCGACACGCGACCCAAGAATTCCCAAGGTTCAGGGGGAGATCATTTTGTCAGCCCTGGGGGGGAATCCAAGCCTAGGCTCTATATGTTGTATTCATTATATTCTCGACTCTCTCGCTTTGTCTCCCTTTCCTCATATTGTACAATAATTTACATTTCCTTTTATTGTCACCTGTCCCACTTTTCAGGGTTCCTTTGAGCTTGAAGCAGGGATTGGTCTAGACTTCTCCAGTTCCTGTATCTTATCGTCAAGAAGAGCAATCTCAGCGTCAATGCTAAGCAGCTTTTCACTCAACATCTCCCTGTATTCCTGATCAGAGAGTGTGCGGAGTGGGACCCATTTAGATTCAGCCATTCGCTGCATCAGAGGTTTTGATGTCTTGTGTGCATTTTCCATTTGCCACGCGTCCACTCGGTTGAAGATGCTCTGGCCGCAGTAACCGAGTAATGAGAAAATGATAGTTCCCGGAACCAGCCGGCCTCCTATATGATTTGGTTAGACACGATGCCACAGGGTGTGCTTTCGGTGCGGGATATGATACCCATCAACTTTGTTACACTTCCACCGGCAATGCCACCGCATAAAGCACTCGCGTACGTGCGCTCCTTCGGCGAGGCTTTATCTTGGTAATGATGTTTAATGATGTTACTCCGCAGCCCTGTCCCAAGATTAAGGTTAGACATCAGCGATATAACATAGGGTGTCTCCACATACACCAAAAGGCCGAGCCGCATGCAAACCAGTGGATGCCACATGACAATGAATGAATCATGGGATTGGGGGATCTGATGACGCCAGCGGCTCCTCCATAGATCAGGCCAGCAGTTCCTAGTTGAAAAATCAGCACTTCATATTCAGGGAGTCGTGTCTATATCCAAGCAGTCTTGTGAAGAACAGATACTAACCACTAAGGGCTCCGACTTTGGCTGCAGACAGGAGGGTGTGGGACTGGAAGTCCTGCACATCTTTAATTCGATCTCCCATATTTGTTCAAACTGAGAGATACATGGGTCCAGAGGTCGTGGAGGGGTAAAATACAATCATCGAAGCACTCATCGAAGCAGCAATCCAAGTCAGAAAGAATATGGTCACGTGTCAAATTGATGTGCCTGGATTATGTAATGTTCTCATCGGCCGGGGCTTCCAAGGCTGGATGGACAAATTAACTAGGGCATGGACAGTAAGCTTCAAATTGGTATCAAAATAATTGAGTAGTCTGCATACATTATATAGTATTCTTCTTATATACTGACTGGCTTTTTTAAATATGTTGGAGAAATGGCGGATGAACGGGGTGAAGATCTCACAGATATATCCCCACATTGCACATGTTCAGCAGATGATCCCCTGCAAGACAGCCCCACGATCTTTAAATTTCCCCTCGACTGTTGCGATTGATTCCTACTGGGTCAAAAGTCATCCCTCCACTTTAACAAAAGGTGCAATCTCCAGGAACCGCCTATTACTACACCTATCACTATGTCAAAAGGCTTAATTCTTGATGTCAAAGCTTAGATTTCTATTCAAACTAGCTTTACGGTGTTATCGCATCTTGTTATACAAAGATTTAAAGTCAGGCCGACAAGGCATACACATGACGTCCACTGCTAGTCGTACAATCTTCAGGAATACCATATTTCCGGGTGTCTTCATAACAGTCTAAGTATCCATGGACCATGCTCAGCGCTTTTCTTAAGTTATCAATACTAAGACCATAGTACCACTAATATAGATGACCTGCTGTGACTAGACAAATGTGCCATTCGCTTTATGGACCAATACTTGTAGCAACCTAGACTAGAATATCAGAAGTAGTAATCCCTACGATTTGCATAGAGCTTCTTAGGCATTGCATATTAGCGTGTAGGAAAAGAAGAGGAAAGCAAAAAAAGAAAGCCTCTGCACAAAAAAAAGGCCGGCACCAATACCTATGTAACTAGGATTTTCATACCAGAGGCTCCGGTGAAGTATATCAAAAGAACTAAGAGCCGGAATGATTTACAAAAGTCGGACTTGTGATACTGCTGATTCTTCAGTTAATTGAAGCTACTGTAAACCGACTCCTTCTGGAATGACCGAATGTTAGCCGATCAGGTTGGGGCGGGGATGAAGTTGTGTCCTCCATGCTGCTTTCGGGGTATGTGCATTCTATGATATATTTTTAGCCGAGTATCGAGTATGAAGAAGACTACTATTGTACACAGATAAAGGTACAAACTCCGTGAAGATCCCCATCTTCCCCCTTCCGTTTGAAGCAACAAAAGTATAGCCTATTACTTCCACATCATTCAATTCTAGATGGAATACCGATGGGTTCGAAGGTGGTCGCAGTTCAGGTATAGACCGATCTCGTGGCTCTGATTGGGCTAGCGTCATCACTAAAATTTTAGTAACCCGTCCACTTCCATGCCGCAGCCGACTTCCCCTCTACCAACTTTTCCACTGTGGGTTTGCAGATATTGAACACCCCAACTACTTCACTCAAATTTTGATTCTTGGCCTTCCCACCAGGTGTCTCTGACCTTTTGACTTTTCCTTTTTTCCAACTCTACTCTCCGTGAAGCGCGCACAAATCCCGGCGCGTTTCCCCCAACTTCAAACCGCAATCATGGGTTCGTTCCAGACCTTCAATTTTCCCCAGGGCATCGACCCGCGAAGATATTCATGGGCGATTGGCTGACATGTTGGAATATCAGCTCCCAAAAATAAAGCCCAGAAGATGTCTATGAGCACCTTCTTGGCCGATGAAAGTGAGTGACCCGGAAAAAAAAAAGAATTGGATGATTGAAGGTGATTACTGACGACTATAGGCCTTGGCTCTTGGGCTGATGAGATGGAGGATATGCCCCTTCCTTGTAAGTCGCAGATTCCCCACCCCCACTATGGAATTACGAAATTGTACTAACCCAAAAATTATAGCCAGTATGTGGTTTGCCCAATACCTAGCATGCTTATCATTGATCGAAACGCCTGCTTACACTATGAACAGCCCAGCCTCTGACTTCCACCTTCAACCGTCGCCCCGCGGGTGATATGGGATACGGCTCCGGCTCTGGCGGCTTTGGTATGATGCCTCCCGCGCCAGATATACAGAACATGTTCTGACAGATTGAATGATTAGAGCGCGAGCGTGGTGGATATGCCGTTCGGGAGCCTCTTGATCTCCCCACCCAGCCCCCCCTACACTTGCCACGTTGGCAACCTTTCCTTCGAAGCAACCGACGCCGATATCTCTGAGTTCTTCTCTGGATGTGGCGTGACGAGCGTCCGTCTCGTGGAAGACAAGTTGACAAAGGCCCCCAAGGGTTTCGGATATGTCGAGTTTGAGACCGTCGAGGGCCTGAAGAAGGCTCTGGATCTCTCCGGCTCCTCTTTCCAGGGACGTTCCATCCGTACCAGTGTTGCAGAGCCTCGTAAGTATCGACGGTTGGTATATTTGTAAGGATCTCAACTGACAAGGTTATTTAGCCAAGGAATCTCGCCTGGAGGGCAAGGATCTTGACTGGTCCCGACGTGGACCCCTCCCCGAACTTCCCCAGCGCCGTGTTCCTGACCGCTCCAGCTTCGGACGTGGCATGGATGCCGGCTCCGATGCGGGCAGCGACCGCGGTGGCCGCCGCAGCAACTTTGAATCCGACGGAAAGCCCCGTGATTTCAACAACTGGGAGCGCAAGGGACCCCTTTCGCCCTCTGCCGGCCCGCCCCGCGAGGGTGGCCGAGAGCACAGCCACGACGGACCTGGCTCCAGCTTCCGGAGAAGCGAGGCCGCGTGGGGTGAGGGACGTTCCCAGGACGAGGGCTCGCGCCCTCCCCGCCCCGAGCACGTTCGCCCCGAGCCGACACCTACTGCTGCCGATATGGACAACCAGTGGCGCGCCAGAATGCGCCCTGACGAAACTCCCAAAGAGCCCACCCCCGCCTCCCCCTCTGCCACGCCTGCCGCTCCCGCTGCCCCTGCTACCCGCCCCAAGTTGAACCTGACGAAGCGCACTGTCTCCGAGAACCCCACCCCCACCTCAGCCAGCAGCGACTCCAAGGCTAGCCCCTTCGGTGCCGCTCGCCCCATTGACACCGCTACCCGCGAGCGTCAGGTCGAGGAGAGACGCCAGCTTGCTATCCGCCAAAAGCAGGAAGCTGCCGAGAAGGCTAAGGCCGAGAAAGCCGAGAAGTTTGCCGAGAAGCAAAGGCAGGCTAAGGAGGCAGCCCCCGCTGTTGACCACAACGGCAAGGACGTCCTTGAGACCCCCAAGGGTGGTGGCAACTTTGAGATCCTCCAACGGGCCAGTGAGGATGGCGAGTTGACCGCTGAAAACGAGACCGAGGAGACCGCCCCTGCTGCTCCTGTCGAAGCCAAGAAGGCGTCTGCTAACGGCTGGAGAGCCCCGGCCCCTGAGGCCGGTGCTGCCGGTGACGAGGAGGGATGGAGCACGGTCAGTGTGAACAAGCGCAACAACCGCCGTGGACAGACTGGTCGTGGATTCGCATAAACGTATCGATACCCCGAAGCAACGGCCGTTTTTGCCCTGAGCCTTGGATTTACCGGTATGCAGGTGGGTTAATTCTGGACGAGGTTCATTCCAGTCTTGGGTGCGCTGCTCGGTCGAGTCACCTTGAGCGGTACACCCGGATAGGTCTGTCACTCATAATTACCACCAGCTTCCGCCATTTCTCAGTGCCGGACGCAGGTTGCTTTTTCTGATTGAGCTTTATTCTCCTTTCCACTTCCCTTCCTCTTTTTTTCCCTTTGGTTTGATGATCTCTTTCCCTTTTTCGTGGGCTAGATTTTCCGATATACATCTAGTCCTCGCTTCGATGATCTGGCAGTCCGAAAAGTTTCATTTTATGTCTTGTTTCGCTATCTAGCTATTATTCCCATGCGTGACTCAAAGTGATCTGCTCATGACCATTACAGCCGATGCGAAATGAATACTACATGTTCCATTTTATTCCTTTCCCTCGTCTCTTCACTTTTTTTCCCTTGTTCTCCTCTCTTCCGTTCGATTGACCACGGGTGGTCCTGTTTCTTTCTCGTCTCTGTCTACCGTCGAGGACCTACATTGGAGAGGTGGAGTCTTTGACACTCTTCTTTCTCCGTTCTCGGCCATGTGAACAAGACGACTCTGCGAGAATAGTCATTACGAGCACCCCTCTCATGAGTACAACGTTGACGAATTCCTGTTATTTGCTCTTCTTTCTGTGACTGCTTCTAATTCAATTCTTTGGGATCTTTGCATGGCAGAGTTGTCTCGATGATCCTTGCTACATTCTGTGTACTAACCTTTGAATTGAATTTCCGCTTAGCATAGAATGAAATGCAGTCTTCACTGACAGTTTAGAATTCGTCTAGGGTATTATGTAGATAGTGAGAGGTTATAAATATGTATGTTGTTCCAAGGTTAGCATATCTCCAACATAAGTACTTGCATGGCCCGTCTTTTATGTTGTATATCTCTGACAGGGCCGACTTTTCAAAACACTAGTGTATCAGAATGTCGATCAGTTACCTTGAAGGAATGGGGAGGTTGGATTTTGAATATGTAGTGATGTTTAAAGCTATAGCTACATAGGTATGTACGGAGTACATATATGTCTAATTTTAGTAGTAATAGCCTCTAGATCCAAGACATGAGAAGATCAGATTTCGAGGCTATTGATTCAAGCAAGGGTATATAAATAGGACCCACTAGTCTCAAACGGTCCGAACGTGGCAGATTAAGGCAAAGAGCGTGTGAGGTGTGAGATGGGAGTTTAGTATATACATATGTAGACTGTGCAATTAAATTGGTTTGAATGTGTTTTGAACATATCTTTGTTTACTCCGTCCATTTTCATATTCTCATAGATCATCCAGGAACCAAGATACGATACGATTGGCCAAGAAATCGAAGTGGCCGGTATGGAATTAATTGAAGCCCCTTCAAAGGGCCAGGGATTATGATTTTCAGCCTTTTAAATTTCTTTTCTTTTCTCTGTTTCCCTTTTTTTCCTGTTAGTACTTAAGGTACTTCTTATACCTCGTCAAACCCCGTCAAATCACTGTTGCAACCTTAGTACGCCTAGTTTAAAAAAACAAATTAAATGACAATCCCGGGGTAAACCCCATGTTGTCATGTCGACTACCACAACATCCCTCACTACCACACTTGTCGCACCGGCCATGAAGGGTGCTATATCAGAAAAACAATGTCCTATGTGTTGGGGCGAAGGATTTCCTAATGGCGGTGCCCAAGATAGAATCCAGGAGCTGGAGGGGCAGGTGCATGCGTTAACAGCGCGCGCTTCAGCTACAGGTAAGCCTTTGGACTATCCTATCTCTGCAGACTACATACACAAGCGTAGCATGAATGTGATCGCATCCACAGAGAATATAGAGCAGTGTTCTTTTTTTTTGTTCCCCTCCCTTTCTTACCCAACCCTTAAAAACAAGAACCCCCCCGCTAACCCGATCGCAAACAGCCTCCAAACTCAGCCAGTACGAAGAAGAAATCCGACGTCTACGCTCCTCCCAACCCCAAGGATCCTACCACACCCCACGAAGCAGCTCCTCACTGGGCAGACCTCCTTCCCAAACCGAGCATTCATCACCACAACGCCCAACATCCTCAGAATCCCAACCCCAACCACAAACATACCAGAGCCGCCTCACAAACCTAGCCTCCCTCCTCCCCTACCGACGCGGCAGCGCAACCCCGCAAGCGCACCATCAACATCTAGCGGCGCCCCCTCCCGACTACCCCGACTACCTTGACAACACCCCTCCCACATATGTCCCCTGCGAACAGTGAACACAACACTGAATTGCAGGATGCGCTTACGCGCGAACAGAGGCTGCGCGAGGCTGCTGAATCGCAGCTTTCACAAGCGAGCACTGAGCTAGAGGAGTTGACCGTGCAGCTTTTCAGTCAGGCGAATGAGATGGTTGCGGAGGAGCGGAAGGCTCGCGCGAAGCTTGAGGAGAGGGTTGCTGTGCTGGAGAGGAGGGATGTTGAGAAGCGCACTCGGTTGGAGAGACTGGAGAAGGCTATGGCGCGTGTGGAGCGATTGAGGGCTTTGGTTAATCACCAATGAGGGTTCCCAAGGTTTCATCTGGACATCCTTGGAACATTGAATGTTGGAAGGCTTTTGGCTGACATGTGGGCGTTTTGTTACGATTGATACGATTGGATTATTTGATGACGGACATGATTGGGCGTTCTATTCGGATTTGGGCTTTGGATCCCCTTTGCAATTGGAGTGTACAGTTCGGATTGACTTTTTGTATCTGGTTGTCGAGGTTGTTTTTGCCGACAGAATTTGAGGAATTCTTGGATGACCCGATCTATCACGGAGTCTCCGTGTTCGTAGAGATACCTGAAGATGTAAGGGAACGTCTACATCTGGGCATGCATGTCTATAATATACTACATAAGACTAGTCCCAAAGTATACTACCGACAAAAGCAAATAAGATACGGAGTATCCGACCAGAAATTAACATAATAGGAAATGCAGCCGACCAGCAAATGAGGTGCCTCGAGGTTGGCCCTTCCCGCTTAAATTGGCTTTGGGGTCATCCAGCGTACTCCACTGCTAGACTTCCTTTATAACATCAGAAGTACAGGAAAAGTAACATCGTTGTATATTCCATCTCAAATCTATCACTCTGTACATTAATCATGTCTATCGGTGTGGCTATCATCGGCAGTGGTACATACTTCTATACACGTTATGCTGTATGCATTGGCTGACATTCAACAGGTCTCTTCGCGAAAGAGCAGCACCTAGTATGGCAAATCCTCCATTTTGTATATAATGCGTTTGACTAACTAGTTACACAGCCCGCCGTCCAAGCTGCCTCAAACTTCCAACTCAAGGCCATCTATTCTCGCTCCTTGAAGTCAGCCAAGGACCTCGCCAGCGGCACGTCTGAAGTTGATCTCTACTCTGAAGACTCTGGCTCTGGCAAGTCCTATACCGATCTACTGGCTCGTTCAGATATCGGTGCTGTGATCATTGCGTACGGGATCACCCCCCTTTTCTCTAGGTTCCACTAGATGGGCGAAAAACTAACCCTCGACTCCCACAGCCTTCCTATTCTGGTTCAGCCGGAGTTCATCAAGAAAGCACTGCTCGCTGGCAAGCACGTCTTGTCCGAGAAGCCCATCGCTAAGGATGTCGCCACTGCCCAGGACCTTTTGAAATGGTACAAGAGTAATATCGATACCAGCAAGGTCTTCTGGGCCGTCGCCGAGAACTTCCGTTACATGACGAAGTTCCTCTTCGCGGCCGAGCAAGTCCAGAAACTGGGCAAGGTCCAGAACTTCCGGGTGAACGTTCACAGCCTGATGGATAAGGGAAACAAGTACTTCCGTATGTTCAATCCCGGTTGAGGCTCTACATGGTGGATCCTACAGAGACTGACTATATTTGAACTAGACACCGCCTGGCGCAAGACTCCTGAGTACCAGGGCGGATTCCTTTTGGACGGTGGTGTGCACATGACTGCTGCGCTGCGTCTGATTCTAGGCCCCACAGAGCATCTTAGCGTTCTGTCGGCGCAGTCGCAGCTGCAGCAATCATTCCTGCCACCGGTGGATACGGTGGATGCCGTCGCGAAGACCAAATCTGGTGCTACGGGCGTTATCTCCTTGTCTTGGGGATCGTCGTTTAATAATCAGATCTTCGAGTTTGCTTGCGAGAAAGGTGTCGTCACCTTGGACTTTGATGATGTGACAGTTAACGGCGAGAAGCACCATGTTGAGTTTGATGGCAAGGGTGTTGTGCCCGAGGTGGCGGAGTTTGCAAACTCAATTGTGAGTGGAAAACCTGACAGCAGACAGTCTCCCGAGGAAGCATTGGCGGATCTGGAGATCTTGGAGCAGATGTTGCGGAGTGGCGAGAAAGATGGCGAGAAGGTTCAGTTGCATTTGCAGTGATATGAATACTACATGGAAAGAAAATGACACATAAATTATAAAGATATATTGGAATACTATGAATGCGCAGCGTAAGATAGGAGACCCATTATAATGTACTACAGTTGTATAGAACATCTCCAGATATTACTCAAAGGGGAATATTAGGGCTAGGGCTAGGCCAGCCCTAGGCTGACATAAGTGGCCTGGTTTCGCTTAGTTCGCCCAAAGCGCACTAGTGTGGGTCTCCCACTCTGCTGCGGGAGAACCTGAGAGAGAAGTTTTCGAGATTGAACTCCGACCCGACAACTCTCGAACGCCCGGCGAGACCCAGCAATACCGACAAGGTCAGTCAACAAAATGCGCATTCTATTCGATTCAGTCACTAATTTTGATTCCAGATGGCCGCCGCTAAGCAGCACATCCCTATCGTGAAGAAGCGTATGTTCCCGATCACCTGTTCCATTCCTTTTCGTGCCCGTGCTTTGGATTCTCTCGCCCTTCGATCGACCAAATGAAACAAACAAGCTCAGCAAAATGCACCAACCGAAAAGACGACCATTGGAGGATTGCTGTGGAAAAAAACACCAACACTAGTTGAATCGAAGGGCGACATTATCCGCAGGCCGTGAAGGCTGAAAAGGACATGGGCTTTCCACATTCACGATCGGAGGACTGACATCGACTGCAATTAGGCACGCACCGCTTCAACCGTCACCAGTCTGACCGGTTCATGCGCGTTGGCGCCTCGTGGCGCAAGCCCAAGGGTATTGACAACTGCGTTCGTCGCCGTTTCAAGGGCCAGATGGCCATGCCCTCCATCGGTTACGGTTCCAACAAGAAGACCCGCCACATGATGCCCTCCGGCCACAAGGCTTTCCTCGTCCAGAACCCCAAGGACGTTGAGCTCCTCCTCATGCACAACCGCACCTTCGCTGCCGAGTACGTTCCGCCATCGGAGCGATGTTGATCGTTCTCTACATGGATTCGCGTATTTCCTTTACTAACAAGTTTACAGGATCGGCCACGCCGTTTCCTCCCGCAAGCGTGTTGAGATTATCGAGAAGGCCAAGGCTCTCGGTGTTAAGGTCACTAACCCCAAGGGCCGTGTCACCACCGAGGCATAAATGGAATAAACCCAGTTTGTTTCCTTTTAATTGGGATAGGTGCACGAGGTCGGGGTTTTTGTATGGCGATACTATCTCTCTGGCGATAACGAAATTTAAGGATTGTGCATGGCATGTCCGGCTCGGGCCTTGTCATAGTGCCGGGCGCTGTGAAGCGAGAGAATTGTTCTCTGAAATGACAACAAAAATTGCAAAAATCCCTTTTGGTCCAAGACATTTCAATTAGGATTCTAATCTGGCCTTGTATATGTAGTGGTATGTATGCTGTACATTCAATGTAGTCCGATACCCACATAACCCTATAAACTAGTGAACCCCCCCTCTTATACTAACTACAACATATTAACATTAACATATTGAATGTGAAACCCCTTTACATACACGTTGTAGTCCATCACTTATCACACGTTTCAGATCATCGGACCCACTTGTGGTGACGTACGCAACACGGGCAAAACCCTGAAGCTCCGAGACCACATAGCACGGCATAGGAGCACAGGATCGGGATAGGACTAGGTCAGGACAGCATATGGAGCATCCACTATCCAAAATGTCTCACATGCGCTCAATCCTGGGGAATAATAGTACCACAATAGCGCTGGTTTCGATGTAACCTATGTACATAGGCAGCCTTGAACTTGCATCAGCCCCCACGCGCCCATCACTCAAGAACTTGAGACCCTCCTGAAGATCTTCTCAAACTTTGTGATTTATATTTGGGTCTCCATCTGGACATGGAGACAGATGGATCCTTCCATATCCATTGAACCCCCTTTCCTCAATTCTCTTTCTCTCTTCTTCTAGAGACCCAGGAAACCCCCCAAAATGCACTCTGTCCCACCCCGATATGGTCGCTGGGTACTCATTCTGGGACCAGTAATCCTGGTCCTCTTGATACTGCAATTCACCAACGCCGACTTCGGCTCAAAGACCACGCAGGACGTGCTCGAACCCGCCACGGGGGTAACCATTGATAATACACACAACGAAACCGAAATAACCGACCATGTACCATCATCCTGTCCCACAGATACAGGAATGGACTCTGTACTGGTAGTGATGAAGACCGGCATCACAGAAGCGCAAGACAAAGTCCCCGTGCACCTAAGAACGACCCTCCGCTGCGTTCCGCACAAGATAATCGTCTCAGACTTCGAAGAAGACATAGCCGGTACACGCACGCACGACGTCTTCCTCAACGTCTCCGAAACCCTCAAACAAACAAACCAAGACTTCGCCCTGTACAACCGCGCCCGCACAGGCGGCCGCACAGCCCTAACCTCACAAGACCACACCAAAGTCGCCAACGGTCCGTCCGGCATGATGGACAACCCAGGCTGGAAACTGGATAAGTGGAAGTTTCTGCCTATGATCCATACAGCGCGGCGGGAAAAGCCAGATGCCAAGTGGTTCGTCTTCCTCGAAGCAGACACATATCCGATCTGGCCGAATCTGCTCGGGTGGCTGGCGCATTTTAATCACGAGGAGAGGCTGTATCTGGGGAACCAGATGCAGATTGGGTCGACTTTGTTTGCGCATGGTGGGTCGGGCTTTGTGCTTTCGAATGCGGCGATTCATTCCGTCGCGGATTATCACACGTCGCATATTGACGAGTGGGATGATATCACGAATCGGGAGTGGGCGGGGGATTGTGTGCTTGGGATGGCGCTTGCTGCAGCTGGTATTGGGCTTACTTGGTCTTGGCCGCATGTTACGACTCAGTCGGTTTGGGAGCAGGATATGTTGCATGAGGCTTTTTCGAAGACGCCTTGGTGTTTCGCGCCGTTCACTTTCCACCATATGACGCCCGCGGATGTGGATCGGTTGTGGGAATTCGAACAGCAGTGGTTTGCGGATGTGAGTTTTTTTCTTTCCCCTTTAGCTTTTTCGATATCAATTGGGATATCAGGATATTCAATTTCCATCTCCCTGGAATATATGGATATATCACTAACAAACCCCAGACAAACACGAATGTCCTCATATACAGTGACATCTTCCGCAACCTCATCCGTCCAACCCTCGCAGACCACCTGGACAACTGGGACAACTTTGCAAGCGCAGGCGACGATAAAGAAGATTACAAGGGCCCTAAGACGCCGACTTCTCTCGCCGCCTGCGCAGACTACTGCGCCGCAGATCCAGAGTGCGTCCAGTACCGCCTGACAGCCGACTCGCGCTGCACAACGTCCAATGCAGTTCTGCGCGGGAAGCCCTCACCAGGCACGCAGTCGGGGACGATGCTGTGGCGGGTTGATGCTGCGCTAGAGCAGATGAAGCAGTGTCACAAGGTGACATGGGTGACCGGCTAGATTTTTGGGGTCTGTTTTATCGTTGGGATACATTACTAGGCGTTTAGCGTTGAGCGTTATATTTTGGTCTGGTTCGGTTTTGCATTGTGAAAGATAGCGGCATTTATAGCGTTGGCTGGAAAGCGAAATTGGTAAAGAATTATACATGAACTGGCTGTTTATAGGGAAGAGTAATTCTGACAAAATTCAACAAGCGAGTATCTCCTTTTCTGGGGAAGCTGGCTGCTCTTTAGAGGAGGGGGCTTCCGAACTCTTGCCATTCGGGATTAGCATGGGATTCAAGGTTTATTTGTCCGTGGCGTTTCGAGGGTGAGATCTCGGGTACAAAGAACAAAGTGCTGGATTGATATATATGGGATGGAATGCTAATCATGCCTACAGGATCTCCAGCATAGTCTTAAGCCAAAAATTCAAAAGATGGCGATACATCTCGGGCCGATATAACACATACACGGACTCCAGGTTTGCAAGTGTGTTATACGAATGAATTTTGATAGATTGCACATATCTCTATAAGACTTCTAAAAGCAGCAAATCTATATGATAGATGAACACCAAGACCAAGACGCTGTGCTCGTACACTTTTGATGGTAAGCCGGCAGAGTGGTATCATGAGACAAAGACATTCCAAGAAATATGATATAGGTAGAAGGTATTTTCAAGAAAGGAACCCCTAAAGAACAACATCATTAGTTCGTAGCAGCTGCCTCTGTGGCTTCACGGGGAGGCTCGTTCCTCCTGGCAGCCTCGGAGATATTAACGAGGCCAACGCCTTCCAGAAGCACAGAGCCACTGTTTGCATCTGCAGCATGGTCATCGTCACCCAAGCCAGGGGGAATAGTCCCGTGGCCAACGATAATTTCCTCGCCTTCAGCGGCAGGAACCCAGTCCGGACACTCGCGGGGACCCTCCATACCCGCAGGAGGCAATCCCCAGCGAGGCATGGGGCTGCGGTAAGCCCAATCACCATCTCGATCGGCATACGCAACAGCATGCAAGAAGATACCGAGCTCATGCGGACCCGGGTCCGAGTACAGTTCTGTTCCGCAGACTTCACAGAGATCGCCAGACAGACGCTCGCCCTTGCGCTTCTCGTAGTCCTCAGCAGCGGCCATTTGCTCGCGGTGCATGATCTCGTTGACAAGCACCGGGTCGGTGTTCGGCGGGACATTCGGCGCCGCGGTCAGGTGTGTGCGGTACGAAACAGTGTCGGGGATCTCGGTCTTACCCATGAGAGACAACCGCGCAACGATCTCTTCGTCGCGATCGGCGCTCGCCTCAGCCTTGCCAAGCTCAGGCCCGAACACACGGCGGTTGGAGTAGATAGGGTCGTTGCTGATCGGGTGGCCCAAGAACTGAAGGTGGACGCGAATTTGGTGGGTACGGCCTGTCAGCGGGAGACAGTGCACGATACTGTAGCCCTCGGTCTCGTTTGCGAATGACGCGGGCGGGGTAGCGGGACGCTCGTCGTCGCTAGATGACTCGGTCTCCTTTGCTGACTCGGGAGGATAGTAAGCCAGGCGCCGGAACTTAGTGGTTGCTTCCTTGCCGGTGGCGCGCACACGGTTGAGACCCAGCTTCGGGCTAACCTGCATGATTGGCTGATCGCAGACAACGACGCCGTCTGGGAACTTTCCCTTCACGCGCGCGACATATTCTTTCTGTACGGACCGGGCCTTGAGCGCGGCGGCCATTTTATCGGCGCCCTTGGCGTGCTTTCCAATGAACATTATTCCAGATGTCAATCGGTCAAGCCGGTTGCATGGGCGGGGTAGCCATTCGGAGCCGCGCTCGGAGCGCAGAATTTGAATGACCGTGTTGAAGTTGTATCGTCCCGCGGCATGCACTGGTACACCAGCAGGCTTATCAATGACCATGAGGTCATCGTCTTCGTAAATGATTCCGACAGGAAGGCTTGTAACGGGCGGTTCGTGGCGGTGGAGGGTGTGGGAGATGACCTGGCCGTTTTTAAGTGTCGTTTCGGGGCGGGCTGTCACGCCGTTAACCTGTACAAGGCCATCCTCCAGAGCTTTCCTCTGGTAAATGTCAGTTTCCGGTTCTATATCTGGAGGCCCATGCCCACATATTCACGTACATAGTATTCTGGCTTCCGATCGCGAAACTCGGAAGTGAAGATCTCGACCAGCTGACGACCCCGCCATCGCTCCTTGCAATTGGTGTTGTAGGTGAAATGGTAGGGCGTGACACGACGGAAACCACCATCCAAATAGTACGGCGCAGGCCATGGATCGCATGGGGTCACGAGGACATCGGGGGTCTTCTCGACCGGTTTGGAGGGGGAAACTTGGTCGACGTTCGTGAGGGCCATAGTGGGCAGCTTGAGCTTGCCTTGCCGTAGCAAGTAGGCCGTAAGACGAGGTGAGGGAGCCAGATAGGCGACGAAGGTAACGAAGGTGATAAACGAAGACTCGAGGGGGACCTGGAGAAACTTGGAGAATTGATCAAAAAAATAAAGAAAAGTTAACAGCCCCACATCGAACAAAGTCATTTACATTCCAGGCACGGAGGACCACAAATTGAAATTGTAAAAGCCAATCATAACGATGAGGCAAAAAAAGCCTCAATCTCTTCTGCGAAGGGGTATAGTTATACCTAAACTACTAAAAAAGACCACTAAAAAGACATATAAAAAGACTATCGGAGAAGACTACCTAAGAAGACCACTAAGGAGATTACGGCGTATAAGCGGCTGACTATTTATTCCTATCGCACTATATTTAAAAGGGAGGCGGTATAAGGTCGGAGGCAATTAAGGCATCAAGCCCAAAAAATCAGGCATGTGACCCTTGGCCGTTATGTTATGCCCCTTCGCACTCTTCCTACATACTAACGATAAGTCTAGCTAATTCTAAGATTTGACCTTTTTCTCGGATCGGAGCTCTGTTCTTGATCCAGATGTAGGGGTTCGGCCCTAATTTTACATATATTCTAAGTTAAGAAATTGTAGTCTAAACTTAGGATTAGTAGGTTTTCGTAGTTGTCTACGTTAGATAGTACTAAAGAATAGCTATAGATACCTAATATCCCACCTTCCACTTAGCTTGGTGAGACTCTTAGTTCACCGTGTGCCGCGAAGAAGGCTCCGATACGTGACATAGATATTGGGAACGTCATTAGTGTAGGGTTGAGTGGACTTTGGCGTGAATATATGAGTGGAAATAGCAGATTTACGAGTCCACTTATTGAGAGAACAGTTCTCCGGAGCAAGCTGAGCCTATGTGCCGATGAGGAAATGCAGGCCTCAATAAAAGGCCTTTGCTTTCCCAGTTTGAATACAAAGAGTTTCTTCCTCCATCTCCCAGTTCCTGGTAGCATGCCTAACTATCTCGAACTAGGGTTTTTAGTCATATAGCTCGAGTTAGTTATTATAACCTACCTTCACCGGGACAGACCCGAGAGAATCTCCTATCTTAATAAGGCGATCCCGTGATATATGTTTTCTTAAATAGACAAGGTGTCTCTTCCCATCTTTCTATCTTGATATGTTCACATTCTTTAACACTCCCCACTACTTATCACTTAGCCATACACATACAACGCATATAGCTCAATAAAATATGAGTCTTTTACAACTATCTTCTTTTTTTCGAATCCTGTGTATCTCCAGCTAATGAGCCTCTCGCCTTGTGTACTGTACACTAGGACCGGATCGCTCGTAAATGTCACATTAGGGCTATAGGAGGAAGTTCTCAGTTACTATTTAACGCAATTAGCGTGGTGATAATCGGCTGTAGAGTCGGCTGTAGAGTCTATATTACCACTATGTATTTGCTTCGTCTAAGGCTCGTTTATTCTCTTCAAGATTATTTTTCCAACGCCCTGCCCCACAAATTAAAATTGTAAGTGCCAATCATATGATAAGAAAAAAGGTCTCCGCAAATTTAAAATTGAACCAATCAAAATTGCGATGGCAAAAGCCTGTCCCACAATGAAATGTGGGGAGCCAATCACAATAATAAGCAAAAAGTAAAAAATATATGCAGCCTGTGGGACTCGAACCCACGCCACTTTCGTGACCAGAATGCTCACTGTAATCAGTGAAAGAGGTAATTTCTCTTGAGTCTGGCGCCTGTTGGTTTCGTTAGTTTAGATTCACTTCAATTAAGGTGATGTCATGATTACCTTAGACCACTCGGCCAAAGCTGCGATCGACGAAATATGTCGCGGCATATTAAATGAGGAGTGATCTTTCGATATCCGTAAAATTATATCACGAGTACTAGACCATATCATAAGTTCCTACAATGCCAACCCCATTACCATCCCTATCTGGCCCATTCATCCCACATACGAGTAACAATGCGACAAAGTGCCTCCACTTATCCACAACAATAACTCCTAACTCTTATACATGTCCACTCTTCCGAGACAGATCGGAGCCAATACTAGGATTCAGAGCCCGTGCTAATGCCCTCCGCCGATCTGCGGAGGGGACCGAAGCTGTAGCCTAGCAGCTGTAAGTCCAGTCTCTAGTTTTCGACGCTTCTGCAACTAATCCGGTACTATCATAAACTAACCGCAGTTTACAAAGTGAGCGAGAATGAGCAGACAAGCCTTTTACTGTTCGGGTATGATTTGGCCAGACATCGTGGCAGTGTCGAGACCTTTTCTTAGGGGGGGCTCGGAGTCGTCCCAAAGATCTTTCAAATTAATGATGCCTTGTATATAGGCCACAATGTTTTGCGTTTAAGGCACTATTGAAGGACCAATAGTATTTAGCACTACCAGTGGCCCTCTCAAAACTGATTAGTGACGCATTGTGGCTCGACGCTCCTAGCAGAACCACCTACGAGGAATTGGCGGCATCACTGCCGAATACCGAAAGTAGATTGCGATATGGGACGTACGCCCAGCCCACTTCCTCCTAAATCGCAAGGTCTAATCATATACATATAGGTCATAGACCCCTAGGCCGCTCAGCGCATTGGCCCCAACGGCCCTCTTCTGATGCAGGATTTCCACCGGATCGATTTGCTGGCTGGACCATCTCATTCTCGAGGGCGATATTTTGATCACGCACAGCCTCGGTTTGTTTCAGTTGGTTTCTGAGAGTGGCGTTGCTTTCACGGAAAACGTTGAGCTTATTGATAGTCTCCAACGGCTTGCTGCTAGTTGAAGTGAACCACTTGCGCACCCCTTCTGCGTTTTCTCTTTTGCTCTTGTTCTCATTTCCTTTTAGATATAGTAGCTATTTATTGGAAGCGGGTGTGTCGTATCCATAGAAATGACGACTTTCTGTGGCAAGATGACCGTTTCAGGTTACACTACTTTTCATTTGTAGGTCATATACGACACTGAACATGTCCGTTGGAAGAAATTTCTTCTACCTCAGACCGATAGATTCCTACAAACCACGGGTCAGATTGTAGGGACTTTAAGACATGAAGACAGCACACGGTGTCTTATTAGCATCGATTTCATATCCTCCTAAGCAATTTGGGAAAGGTAGTGTTTCCATACCTTCTTCGTCATCCAAATCATTGCCATTCAAACGGCCAGGTGAAGATTTATCCGACGACGACGACGACGACGATGATGACGACTGGCCTTCCACTCTATCAAAGAAATGTATATTTTAAATGTTGTTATGCCTTTTTTTTTGTTTTTTTCAATACATCAACTAATTAATAAAGCGGCGAGTCTTCAAATTGATACTCCAATATACGTTTCTAGTGTAAAGATATGCAATGGAAAATATAGTATTTGAATTTTTTCTCTTTCAAACATCAACAGTGATTCTCACATTCCACCGTATTGTAGCTTCTTTTGACGGATTGGGAGCTCTCGGAAACTCCATTTCACTCTCTATCTGACGCCTAAGCTCTACCTCCAAGCAAAGCTTGTCGGATTTAACTTATCGAATTTATGGGCCTTTTTGTTATTTGATTGTAAAAGTTGATAAGTTCTATAGGGCCTACCTTGAGATCGGGTGCGTCGATTCGGAAACCGTATAGTGAGATGAAAGATAAGGAAGTTGGATAGCCGACCTTGGGAAGGGTTATACCCCTCACTTTTGATTTCCTCCCTTTATACACTTTCTTTAGCCGATTTCTATTATAGTCTATCTAATATAGCCTTTTTAGCACTAGGGGAGGCCTAGGCCTTTTATTAAAGCTTTTACGAACCACTCTACCGCGAATGTTATTCTAGACAATTGTACGATAGAACTCTATCGGGTTTTATAGAAAATATATTACTATAATCGGCGTGATTGTAGAAAAGGCTGCTATTGACCTTTTAACCACCTTATCGAACAAATAACACCACATAGCTGTCTCGGCGGAGAAATGAGAAAAGTGAGTGTAGGCGACGTAAGCTAGAGCTAGGTCGTTAGGGACGGGCGCGGCGTGTACTGCTTAGAGATATATATATCGTCGCCTACATCGAGTAGTTGTGGGTTATATATGCTCGAGATGGGAGTCGAAGATATGGGTATGTGGTCTAGAGGTAGATTGGTGGATGGAGGACGGAAAGGGCGTGGTTGGCATAAGGTCGCCCGATTGACATTGCGTTGGAGCATTTAATGTTCTGAAGTAGGTCTCGACGAACCCCGACATAGGTATGCTTTGGTGACTCTTTTCTATTACTCGACCAACGAACGGATCACACCTGGGCATTTTGGTCTTGCGGGTTGCTACAGCCTCTTGTTTGCGCTTCAGGGATTTACGTTCCTTGAACTTCTTTTATTGCACAAGGTCGCCTGATTGATATTGCGTTGGAGCTTATATGGTTATAAAGCTAGGTACCACCGAGGTAACTCTCATTCTAGCACTATAGGCTACTCGAGATACCGACTTTAGCTTCGAGCTTACATACCAGAACTGAACCGTGTCAGCGTTTGATATCCTCCACCAGACACACTCTGTTAAGCTGAATGCCCTCTTGCTGTCTCCTAGTCGACTGAAGGTACCTACGAGACATCAGACTGCACTGCAATCTAGAAGGTCAAACTCAATGCGCTCCTGCTATCTCCTAGTCGGCTGAGCATACCTACGCAGCAAGAGGAGGGACTTTTTTGATATGATAATGTTGTCTCAACCACCTACCTCTGAACTGCGACTGCAATCCAGAAATTTACGGAAGCCAACAAAAGCTCATTGGGGGTGATTGTATACTTGATATATACGGGATCATTAGGTAACGAGTAGATTGAGGCAGTGCAGTCTCCGGCCGCACTACACCACTGCCTTTCACTAGGCTTCTCAGACCTACCCCCTGTCCTTGTTGTGCCTGACGTATCCTACCTCCTGAATTGTATTGGTGCTTACATGGAGAGTGTCCCATGGGCAAAATTGGTGAGTTATATCCGAATGATAAGCTTGCTTTGCGTTGGACGATTAGGTCCCAGTCAACGCCCCTAGAGATAAAAATCCAAAAAGCACACTCTTAGGATTTACCACATCCTTGGATATCTCTGACTCTGTATATGGAGATCAAGTGCTAATATAATGGAATCAGGTTTGATTGACAAGGAAATAGGTGAAGTCCTGATGGCAATTGAGCTGCCCACTCTCATATAGAATTTACTATGGAGGTCATGGGTTATATGATATTTGATAGAATAGTGAAATGGAATACTCAATTAAACGACTTTTTCCTCAGGCTGTATCAAGCAGAAAGTCAGCCTTAAATGAGTGGGAATCCAATTAAACTCACGTGTACCTGCTGAAGTGGGTAGGTAGTTGCTAGTTCATGACCACCTCTTCTTCCTTAGACCATCACCACCACTTTCACCAAAAAGCAGTGCTTGTATCAGCCGAATCCATCGATTCTTTGTCTAATTTTTCTAATTACTGTTAAAGTAAGTGGTCTCTATATACCTGTTAGCTCACAATGGATACTGGCGCTGGTCGTGATACGGTAGACCCATTCGAGCCCTCCCTCCTCCCTACCGAGGACACTGGTCACAAGAAGAGACTCCTATCTCAGATTGACCAGTTTGATACAACGAGGTCTGTCGATGAAGTCTTGGCCAAAGATCGGAACCTAGTTTCGAATAAACGGGTGAAGCCATTGGGTGTCAACAAGAACGCCCAAAACCGACAGACCTCCCTATCTTTTGCCCAAACTAATAGCGTTGACCTCAACAATGTCGACCAAACAGCCACACCACGTCAGGAGTGGCGGCTGGAGACAATGGTTAGAGCCCCTCAAAAGGCAAACCAGATGGAAGAAACGAAGGTTAAAGCCCCTCAAAAGGCAAACCAGATGGGAGAAACAAAGGTTAAAGCCCCTCAAAAGGCAAACCAAAAGAAACAATCCAAGGTCAAAGCCCGTGAAAAGGCAGACCACAAAGAACAATCCAATGCCAAAGCCTCTCAAAGGGCAGGCGAAAAGAAACAATCCGTCCTAGACGGTTTCCAGGCTTTTTCACGAAAGCCCCGGTTCCTACCTCGAGTGGCTAAATTGCGGAGAACCCGTTCCTTAAGAGCGACAAGGGCTCTAAAAGCTGCAACGATGGTTGGGAATCGGACTGGGATTCCGATGTTGATAAGAGGGATGATACCTCCCATATGTTCAATAGTGATAACGAACTCATCAGTGATGATAAAGTCATCTGTGAACCCGAAGCCCATATGGCTATCGGTGATGAAAAAGTCGTTCCTGGACCCGAAGGAGAGGATTTCTCTGTTGGCGATTCTCCCGATCAAACCAACATTCAGTCATCTGCAAAAGAGACACCGTACCTCAACGGTAATCTCTTTAAGACGATTCGAGAGATCCTCTTATTCCTTAAGAAATGGGCTGGGGAGACTAGCTTTATGGAGCTACAAGATAGGCCTATAACTCTCGGGTTCTGGACCTTACTTAGTCGTGTCAGTATCGACTTTCTTATGGGTCTCCTTGCCCCTGCAATCTCCCTAGAGGTGCAAGCTCTCTTCGAGGCAGACACCTTTTCGGTAGAGGATCTCCGTCACCTTCCAAAGGCAGGCTTTAAGAAACGCCCTGGTATTTACCTCGGCTTTATTATCGAAGCTGAGCATGACGATGGTACAGTTACACTTACCCTATATGTGGGGTCGAGTATCTGTGTCAGGGTTCGTGTCCATGTTCATCAACTACCATCCATATAGGATGCTCATAAAGGCTCTCAGTTTTATCGGAGACTGAAAAAGGGCGCCAAAGTAGAGTTCCGTGTGCTTGCAGCGTTCAATTCTTCTATTGAACGAGGCTATCTGAACCTACTAGAGGCAATCTTTATATTCCTCTTTGGAACCCTTCGGAAACCGACATACGAGTCCGAGTTTATCAAGCAAAGCACGTGGAAGCTTTACGAGATGCTCCAAGGCGCGACTGGGTATCGTCCACATTTTGAAGGCCAAATTGTTGGCTTAAATGCGGCTTAGTCGTTGACCCAAGGCTTTGTCAACAAGGGCTATAGGCTCAGGTCTCAATGCGGCAACCCGCAATGCGATACTATTACAGTTCCTGCAAATGAGCCAAAGGAACCATATCCCTTAGCGGACGGTGAGTTCGTTTCCCGAGCTCCTCGTATGTTGCTAGATCCCGGTGACCCGCTTGGATCTTATCTTTGTTCCAGTTGCTACTTTTACCGGAGAAATTATGGCAAGCTGCCGGACGAAGCATTTGCCAAGTTTCACCGTGCTAAAAGATACTACCAACGGTGGATCGAACATGAGCGAGAGAAGGGGCGCGACATTTTCTGCAGTGGCTGCAACAAAATCGAAGCCCCTAATGCCAACAGGTATACTAGGTTCGTGATGAGTCAGTCAGATCCTAGTCAATTTTATTGCAAGCAGTGCTGGAATTCGAGCCGCTACGAGTCCAAATATAAAGCTCAGGAGGCTATTTGTCGAAACCCTTACTGTGGTGCCCGTCCAGGGAACAGAACTCTTACTGGCAAAACGGTTATTCGCATTGTAGGTGGTTTTTGCCCTGCATGCCTGTCGGCGAAGACCATGAAAGCCAAGTACAAGAGAGACAAGGCCAAGAAGGCTAACCAGTCTAACGAGGCTAACCAATCCAACGATGCAAACAAGGCCGATGACACCAGCAAGGTCGACGACGAGAATGCTTTCAATGAAAAGATACTCTCTCGGACAAGACTTCAAATTCAGGTCGACATTCTCAGTGGTAGCACCGTGCACCACTGCAGTGAATGTAATACCGAAGTCAAACAATGCTGGATTATTAAAAAAGGAATTCCGGAGCTTTCATTATGTGGAGCAGTTACTGGGCGCGGCTTTCTCCTATGCGATAAATGCAATAAAAGGGGCCAGCGACCCTCTCAACTTACGCCCGTTTTCTCTAACCTTCGGCCTGAAAGCGATATCTTGCAGGATTGGTGGCGATCTATGATCCAGCCCTCACCAAAAAAAAGCAAGAACTATCTACTAAGGCCCAAGAGAAGAAGGATTAAACGAATCGGGCATTTTAAACGGTCATGGCTCTTAACAGAGCCGACCCCAATAGCGACGAGCTTGGACCTCTACGTGGTGCTGTTGACTAGTAGCCTTCTGGTGAAGCTAACACAAGCTCATATCCTTTTTTCTCCCTCTATATCTTGTTATGAGAACGCGATTACGTGTGTTGGAAACCTACATATGTATGTTTGATAAGTACATATATGTTCTCCCTCTTTCCCTAATTGAGCTCTCGATTCTTCCTTCCTACACTGCTTTTCCCAATCAACTTTTACAAATTAACAAAAAGACCTATGAATCCTGTTAAATACAGAGACTACTCTGGAAACGTCGTCATCGTCAAATAAATCGGAAACGTATCTGAACGCGCGGATCTGGGGGCGCCGGATCGGGATACACTGAGGTTTCTACGTCACGGTTGGGATCGACACGAAATAACTCAGTTGGATACACCGACCACAACTCATTCATATACACATCTCCATTCTTTTTCAAACGAGGTCTATCCGGGTGGAAAACCGCTATGGCCTGAATCGCTTCGTCTGCCCCCTCATCCTTTGCGGCTCCGAAATTGTCATTTCCAGCCCAGGATAAGAAGCCTGGCTGCACGAGGAGATGGATGAACTGGATAGTCGGAAAGGCTGTGGTCCGAGGTGGATCTGTTGCGCTCGCAGAGTGAGCTGAAAAACTAGGTAGGCACTGGCTTACGAGCGTGGAGCAAGGATCATTTGGTCCACGGTCAAGATGACTTTCATATTCATAGTACTTTTCATAGTATTATTTTTGTCTTCACATACATGCTATACAGACCTTAGTCTCTATATTCAACACCTTTCACCAGGTTCATTATACCCGTCCTATCCTTATTGTGTCTGATATATCCTACCTCTGATAAGATCTACACCGTAACAGAGATCATGAAAAAGGCTGTACAAGATGTAATGCACTGGGTGATAGTTGTCTCTTACTAAGTACAGAGGAAATGAAGACTAGCAGTAGACTACATACATGGGAAGAAACGTCCATACTAGTTCGAAAATATCACCAGCCAGATTTTGTCTTTGCAGCGAGAGCGAATGAACGTTGCGAGCCCAATCCGAAGGCTACAAAACCGATCTGTCTCAGAAGGTGGAAAGCTGGGCGGAGCAACGAGCTAGTGCACAAGGGTGAGCTTTCTGAGCTGCAGAGGCGCCACGGGGAGGGGAAGGGGGAGGTCCTTTACCAGAACTATGTGCTTCATATCTAGCTCGAGAACACAGCATCCATCGGAAAAATACCTTTCCTCTATCCTTTCAATATAAGCAACTGCCTAACGTAAAGTAAGCGTATCATTTGGATGTAACGTACTGAGTTTGCCCGTGAGATACTCTCCATGTAAGCGTCAATGCAATCCAGGAGGTAGGATGCGTCGGACACAATAAGGACAGGGGGCGGGTCCGAGGAGCCTGCCCAGTGAAAGGCAGTGGTGTAGTGCACCCAGAGACTGCACTACCCCGATTTGTTCGTTAGATCATCCTCACGTCTGATTTCCTCCCTTTCTTTGGAGCGAAGAAGTGGGACCGACATTCATTCGGTCCCGCTGTAAGGGAAATCTGGCTGGTGATGTTTTGGAGCTGGGTGTGAAGCACGGAATCCTGGTGAAGGACCTCCCCCCCTAGTTTTGTAGCCTTCGGATCGATCGATTCTCTAGATCCATGGAAATAGCAGCAGGCTGGGACTGAGTAGTAGCTGCATACAGATCTCTATCTTCCGGAGACAGCTTGTCAAGGTCCTCTCCCCAGAGACAGAGAGCGGGAGACGGAACTAGCCTGCATAAATCTGCGGAGCTGAGCAATGCCGCCATTGTTGTATGTATGGTGCCAGTACCGGTTGTCTTGGACTGTAGCATAAGCCTTGATTTTGCCAGTGGTGAGAGACTTGAGCTCTGCAGGGTCTTTGTAAAAGGTTGTTGAGACGGTCCCTACAGCAGCAAGCTGCTTCATAGAGATGAGACTGTGCGTGGGTCTCGGTGCATACCTGACTTTCTCGAGAACCATACTCCCTATGCGAGATGCATCATGATCAGGTGGTGATTGATCACGATGGTCTTTATATCCCGGTTGGGTTATTTCATGTTGATCACGATCGTGACGTAGAAATCCCAGTGTGTCCCTATTCGATGTCCCATAGCTGATATCCGCGATTTCAGATACGTTGTTTCGGATTCATTGGACAAGGATGAGGTTTTTAATGCGGAAATCTCCGTCTTGAGCAAGGAGCGAGTGGTTTCTATTCAGTGTTAGAGAAGAGCTACTCCTCAATGAAAAGGATAGAGGTAAATACCTGCTTCGCGAAGCTTTTGGCTTAGGTCTGCGACCGACCTTGGCGTGTTATCGAGAAGAGTAAGAGTCACTGAGTCACTATGTATGTCGTATAGACAGATACTCGAACGTGCTGATAGCGGATTGTTGTTTAGTGCATCGAGAAGAGATGCACTGAATGAAGATGCACATCGTAGAGAGAGGCGAAGAGCCAGTTCAAGTGGAGGTTGAGTAAAATGGAAGTGAAAGAAACCGAGGAAATTCCGCCAGAACTGGAAGAGAGGAGTGAATGAGAGGACCGATGGAGGGAAGTAGAGGAAAGAACAGAAGGGAATGAGAAGCCCTCGCCGCCACAACAAGTAGTATTTAACGCGAGTTATATACTCTTGAGGCTACATGCTACCAGGGAGATGGAGGAGGAATAAACTCTTGATACGGAAACTACCTAGGTAGCAAAGCAGGGCCTTTATGAAGGCCTGCACTAACAAATGACTAGCAAACTGACAAAGAAAAGGCTCAGTCTGTCTAGCAAAGAACAATCCTATATCCTACATATACCCGAGTGGTTATGGTAATATGACATCACCTTAATTGAAGTGAATTAAACTAACAAAATGAATAGGCGCCAGACTCAAGAGAAATTACCTCTTCACTGATTACAGTGAGCATTCTGGTCACGAAAGTGGCGTGGGAAACGATATGTTTTTGTTATTATTTAGAGTCTTTAAGAAACATGCCACATATCGATTTGGTGTCTTCAAAATTGATACTCCAATATACGTTTGTGTCAGACTGGGATATGGCCCCCCCCCAGGCCCTAAATAGGAACCTTGGTTTTTGTTATGGTCTAGTGGTAAAATACGCCGTATTTATTTCCATGGTTTGTAGTGCAAATGTAGGTAGTGGAAAATATAGTCTTTGAATTCTTTATAACATCTATAGATATAAAGAAGCGCGCTTGTGTGAAAAGGAGTAGTTCACTCTTCCACACGGCTCTGGTCGAAGCATTTTCAACCTCAGGTCCTCCTAATTCGAGAGATATCCACATTCACAAAGACTCTTAGTTCAAGCACTTGCCTTTCTTGTAGAACGGCAATCTCATGCTCCGGTTGAATATATCATTCCCCGTGAAGTATATCAACGCCGCCGCCACATGGTCTTCACGACTTCGTGTGTTGAGTCCGCAGTGTTAACCAGGATGCGCGAATCCTGAGTTAAAGCGATTGGCACAAGGGCCCGATTGAGGTTGCGTTGCAGCTTGTGTGGTCTTGAAGCTGGGTACCACCGAGGTAACTCTCGTTCTAGCACTGTGGGCTGCTCGAGATGCCGACTTTAGCTTCGAGCTTATATACCAGAACTGAACCGTGTCAGCGTTTGATGTTAGCATTTGATGTCCTTCACCAGGCACACTCTGTCAAGCTCAATACGCTCTTGCTATCCCCTAGTCAACCGAAGCGTGCCCACAAGACACCACATCGACTACAATCTAGGAGTTTACGGAAGCAAACAAAAACTCATTGGGGGTGATTGTGTGCTTGATAGATACGGGATCGTTAGGTAACGAGTATATTGAGGCAGTGCAGTCTCTAGGTGTACTGTACCATAACGAATCAACCACTAAAAAAGATCTAGATAGTGAGATCTAAGGCTCCGGTCTCTTCGGGGTTGGGAAACTTCATAGTGGGGAAGTTAGGATCAGGCTTTTCTTGGGTAGCAACGGATGAAAATTCGTTGATTCTAAGTGAGCGGTACGGATTTGGAAGAACCAAACCTCCTGTTCTTCGGCGTTGAAGATGTGTATAATGACTTGTGAGTTGTCCCAGCCTCTCTTAAGTCAGACGACTTTTAAGCAACAATTTCTACGAGCTCGTTAAGCACGCCGCGGTAGGTATGGATTTATAGGCTGCTCGTGCAGAGAGTAACCAGCTCAGACTCGATATCGCTAAGATACGAGCCTAACCCGAAGGCTACAAACCCGATCTGTCTTAGAAAGACCTCGGGAGGAAAACTGGGTAGAGCAACGAGCCGTATACGAGGTGAGCTCCCTAAACTGTAGAAGCGCTGTAAGGACGGGGGAGGTCCTTCACTAGAATTCTATACTTTATACCTAGCTCGAAAATATCACCTACTAGATTTCGTCTTTTTAGCGGGACCGAATGAATGTCGGTCCCTTATATAGAGGTATAGGGCCGCGGTTACGGGCGCCGGGGGGATTGTTCTATACCGTTGTTAGGCGCGACCGGGGCGTCGGCAAGCGATCTTCTTAATACGAGTTTCGAGGTCCTGAATCTTCGTGTTCTTCTCCTCTATAAGACGATCGGTCTCTTCACGGTATTGATCATATGTCTCGGTGGCGGACTCTAGACGTTCTTCACTGGCTTGGCCTATAGCCTGGTAGTCTTCGGCTAGTTACTTAGCGTGTTCTAGTTCACCCTTGGCCAATTCTAGGACCCGTTTCAGGTCGAAAACTTCAATTGAAAGTTCTATTCGCGAGAAAGACCGCTTCCTTTAGCAGACTCTAGACCCTCGGTAGTTCCACTTAGAGACTACACTACCTCAACCTGGTCGTTACCTAACGATCCCGCGTCTATCAGGTACACAATCACCTCTAATGAGCTTTTATTTACCTCCGTAAATTTCTGGATTACCGTTACGGTCTGATGTCTCGTAGGTACCTTCAGTCGACTAGGAGACAGCAAGAGGGCATTCAGCTTAACAGAGTGTGTCTGGTGGAGGACACGGTTAGCTTCCGGTGTATTTATCAGGAGTTTCTGTAATTCCAAGTTGGACTCACTCTCTAGGTTAGGGACACACCCCTCACGTTTGATTTCCTCCCATTGCTTGGGCGATTTCTATTACTCGCGAGCTACGATAGCGCGAATAGTTAGCGGAGTCGTAGTTATTGCAATAGTAGACATAAAGGCAGTCTATAGAGTCTCACTACCTATTGTTTAAGGAGCGAGTGTAGATACGGGGATGAATGGGACTAATAATCTAAGCGGGATAACGGCAGAGCGAGGAGAGGCACGTTGTTAGGACAAGTTTCCATAATTCTCACTTGGACACGCCCTTCAGATAAGCGGCAAGGTCTAATAATTCAGGATCAGAACCCGTGTGATTCCGCCATAATAAAAGTGGCGGTTGAGTTCCCTTATAGATAAAGTGAGATCGTGTCATAAGCCATCGAGGACTTTGATCAGGCAAGAGCTGCCAATGCCTAGTAGGAATGAAGAGGTTAGAGAGATGCAGAAAACAATCAAAGTAGTAAACTTAAGAGAAATAGTTTTTTTCCGAAAAGAAAAGAAAGGAAAGAAAGAAAAAGGAAAAGGAAAGAGCATGAGCATTCTTACGCCATGGATGTCCCTTATCCGTAGATAAGTTGTGTATGGTCCGCTTTTTACCACCTTGTACACATAAGAGAACGTTTAAGAAGAAAGACAATAATAACTAGAGGATGTACCTAGCTCTTTCATCCATCCCACTTAGAGCACCGCCGCTGCCTCAATGTCAAGACTACTTGTATCAATATATAAACCCGGGGACCCCAGACTATCTAACCAGGCACTTTTCAAAGTGTTTGAAACATGACTTCAAGCTACGCGTGGTTGGAAACCCAAGAAGGAAAACCCAATTCTTAAGCTGTCAAACACGGCCACATAGTGTTTGAAACATCAAGAGCGCTTCCTAAAAAAATCACATCGGAAGGCGATTGAGGACGACCTAGCGACTAACCATGAGACATTCTGACCATGACTAACCTACTCGAGACACAAACCGACACCAAAACAACCCATTCATTATAGAGCCCTAATGTTGGGATCCACTTACAGCTGTTTCCTCCGCGCCGCTATTGGAACTTGGGTGAGTCGTTGAAATGCTACTAGTGTGATCGGATTCTGCACCGGGCACCTACCCAATTGGGAACTGTCGCAGATATAAAACATTGTAGCCTTTTTCTCTTTGCTCTTTATGCTTGAACGAGAAAACCAAACGTTTGCCGTACTCGTAAATAAACGTTTTCCGTACTCGTATTCTCACACGTCCATTACAGTGGGGCTGTGGCGCAACAAATGTCGGACCAGAGCATAGAAGAATACTAAGTATAGCTCCCCTAGGCCATAAACAGGAACCTTGGCTTCTGTTGTGCTTTAGTGGTAATAAGCGCTGTATTTCGTCTTTCCCACAACAGACAACATTTACTCCGTAGACATTCAAATGTTCAGTTCCTTCTGCCCTAGTATCACCTTTGTTTACGTGCAATGCTCGCAATAATTGCAAGCTAGTATTTACCAAGATATACGCTATATAACCAGGTTAAATAAGAAAATAAAGACAAAAATATATAAAATCACTAACTATGACAAACTGCCGCCTGATTTCTGAAACAGATATCGGTCAATCCATGACCTTCGAAGGTGGATAACTTCATCTAGCTGGTGGGTTGGAGAATGGTGTTACCTAGCTAATTAAGCCCCCAGCGTCTTGTTAGATTGCTAGATTATGCGCCGTCTGCTGAAGTTTTATTATATTGCTGCCTTATTATGGTGGTATATCATGAATCTACTATAGAGGGGATCACTTATATTAAAGGTCAGGCTCACGATACTCTCAGAACACAATAAATCATCTTTCGCATCTTTTGAAGGCGCAAGAGGGTCACTGTTCAGATTGCTTGATGCGCCTCAATTTCCTCTGCTTTTCCCAGATTCGACATGGAGATGATCTATTCCGTCGACATGGCATCCATTGACAAAAGCCCTGCATTTGTAGTTGGGTTCCTCCAATGGCCCTTGAGTGATTGGGCTCTTTCTTCTCTATTATCTTTGTTCTATCTCTTTTGCACCGGCTCTTTATTCTTTGACGTGGTCCATTATATGCTGCATCGAACCAACAAATCGTCTCATCCTCTTCTCCGAAGTCTCGCACGCATTCACCGTTTCCACCATCTCTATTTTACCCGGCATATGAAGTTTGACGATAAATATCTCTGGCAGAACCTGGTTCAAGCGCTTCCGCTTGAGTTAGGGCTTCAAATACTTGGGACCGCACTAGGATATGTCTTCGCTACTTTAGTGACTCCCACCGGCCTTGTGTGGATAGCCCAAAATCATCTTTGGTCTATAATTAGCATACAAACCTTCAGAACAGCGTTTGTCATGCTCGCTAGTGGCCGCGACTCGAACCACCTAGTGTACAAAACCGCCCCGAAAGATCCTAACTGGATATTTGCTGGACCGGAGTTCCACGCCCTCCATCATGTTTACCCAGATCGTTATATTGGTTCATTTATCAAATTATTCGACTGGGTATGGGCACTGCCTACTCCTTTCGAGGGAAACGCTTCGTGATCACGGGTGGAAGCGGAGCCTTTGGCCAAGCTATTGTGGCGGAGCTTGAACAAGAAGGAGTGCAGAGCGTTCGGGATTTGAAGTTCGGCGTTGACTGGGACCATCAGCACCTTGAAAAGGCTACTGCCGAGCTTTCCGCGTGTGACGTCCTCATCCTAGCGCACAATACCGAGGACCAAGATGCAGATTGCAATTCTGCAGTCCAGCTGGTGCGACTATTCAAACAGAATAGATCTTTCAGCGAGACCAGTCCGACGCTGCCAGAAGTGTGGTACGTTGGTAGTGAGCTTGAATTACTTCCATCCTTTGGAAATGAACAACTACAACGTTACTCTCAGTCAAAACGACGCTTCCTCCCATATGCTCGCTCTTTCTTCGACGATCCTGACATACTTTACCGTCACATTGTCCCTTCATCTTTTTGGTTACCTATAGGGACAGTTACACTCCCAGCAGGCTGGGCAGCTAGGTGTGCAATGTGCTGGATCCGGAGAGGTGCCCGATATATTCCTGCTACATATCCGGGAATTGCATACTTGAACTACCTCAAGTTTATGTATTGGGTTCCCTACGCACAGGATACAGATAAATTGTAAATAAGAAATCAAATCACACCAAAGCTTATGTTCGATATTAGATATTTAGAATGTTCGAGTTATATTTCAATCCCTGCCTGTAGCAATCTATAACATGAAAACCGGATAATAATTAGAATCAAAAATAGAAATCCTAGCAACTATTCGCAAATATATCAGTACCCTCCTCGAGATCTTCAAAAAGTGGCATGAACTTCTCGTTCTTAGCCTCCGTTTTCTCAGGAACAACATTACCCTCCTGAACTTCACAATCTTTAAGCACAGAATCATTGCCAATATGACTACGGCTTCCAACTACACATCCAGTTAATACACAACGTTCTCCGATGACAACGCCATCAAGAATGACGCATCGCGTGATTCGTGCACCGCTGCAGATCTTGGTGTTCGGGCCAATGCAAGATTCCTTTATAACAGAACGTCGCTCAACAATCACATTGGATCCAAGCAGACAGTCATCCTTCGAAACAAAACAGTTCGAAGCCACACACTCAGGGGAGGTAATCTTTCTGTCGTGGGCGAATGGGGCTGTATGGCCGACATCTTCCGTGGATCCTAGTTTGGCTAGACGAAGGGAAGTTGATAGGAGAAGAGCGGGATTGTCGACACGACGAACAAGTGGCGTGGATCCTGTATGCAAATATGCTAGGAGAGGTGGTACTTCTGAGACATCGTTCCGTGGTGGCTGGTGGGTGATAATGCTCAATCCCTGGTAGTCGTTCTCTGGGCTTTCTTTCTGCTGGCTCAGACAAGTATCCATTCCTAGCTTTTTATGCAGTCCCCGCTGCCATGAAGACTTGGCCCAGAGCCCAATGAGATCCTCACTGATCGACTCTAGTCTTTCCTGGCGCCGTGCGAGATCCTTCACCCAGTAGGGGAAAATGTAGAGGTGTGCATCGCGGTAGCCAGTCAACATCTTGGCCCGCGTGGCTTGCCGCTTCGTAAAGGAGTGACGAAGAAGAAAACCTTTGTCACGCTCCATGTTTCTTTTCACGGTGTCCATCCCGGTAGACATGAGAAGTTTCGATAGCCTCTGACTTGATCTTGCAGGCTCAACAGCTATCAGATTCAAACCCTCGTCCTTTATAGCATATTCCACACGATAATACATACAAAGACCGCCTCGGCGGTGCCTGTTTTCCTCGGCCATTATGGCCTGGCCCTGAGACGCCATCCACGTCTTTAGCAGGTATGTGCCTTCGATTTCACACACGAGGTCGCAAGGTAGGAGAAAGAAATCGGATACGATGCAAGACTGCACCTCGGGGAGGCGAAGCAACTGCGCTGTTGCCATTGTTGCTTGAAGGTCTTGAGGGGCGACGACTTCCGGCACGGGAAGTGATTTCAAATAAGGGTTCTGCTGTAAAGCAGATTTGATGCGGGAAAGGGCAGAGGGAGGTGCGATCAGTGTGACATCTGAAACCATTAGTAACCTCTCATAACAAGCAAATGCACTTCTGGTCCGAATGGTCTCTAACTCACTACTGATATTTGATATCATACAGAACTTTAGTGGGTAATATATCATCGGTCTGTTGGCGATTAAGGCAAGGCATTTTGGAGTTTTCTCTTGATCAAGAAGAGTTCCAAATGAAGTTCCAGGACCACATAGGATCAGAGCTTGAAGCCCAGCTGTAGGCAAAGTAGCCCCCATCGTCTTCTTGATGAACTATAACGCGATTCCTCACACATGTATGATAACAGGACTGCTAGGAAGAGAATGGATTGAATGATGAATTTGTTCTAAAATAAGACTCCATAAGCTCTGGTCTTTATACAGATGGGGCACTACTAAGAAGATACGATAAAAGTCTCGATATGGATCTACTTCTTTGTTGGAGGTGGATCAGATGAAAGACAAGTGGATCAAAGAAGCCCTTGGCCCGCCCCGATCAAAGTTACATAAGCACCGATATGCCGAGGTCCGCGCGGAGAGCGGAGAGCATGTTATATCAAGCTTGGAAGAATAAACAAACCTACCGTAGGACCACACTTGAACGAAACCTCTCTACCAGAAAAAGAAAATGGCAACTCCAGAGTCCCAAGCCAAGAAGCAACGCAAGCGCAGCGACTATGGCTTCCACCAAGTACACCAGACCCGATGGTCAGTACCAGGACCTCCGAAGCACCCACCAACCAGACACCGAAACTAACACCCACAGGTTCGACAACGACATGTACGCGCACCTCAACAATGCCGTATACACACATTTGTTCGACACAATCGCCAACACGTACCTAATCCAGCACTGCGGGATGGATCCCTTCAGCGTGAACAACCCAAGCCCGGCGCCGACTCATGGACAGCCATCCAATTTCCCCTCCCCATCGAACCTAGTAGCTGGCGCCGACCAAATAGGTCTGATTGTCTCGACGCACGCTGATTTCTTCGCCTCGGTGCGCTTCCCAGATCTGTTAGAGGTCGGGCTGCGTGTTAATAGGCTCAGCAAGTCTAGCGTTACCTGGGAAGTGGGTATTTTCCGTCAGGGCGAGGAGGATGTTAAGATGGTTGGGACTTACACGCATGTTTTTGTGTTGAGGGAGACTATGCGAGTCGGCAAGACGGGGATGGAGGAGCGAACTAGGAAGGGCTTGGAGAAGTTGCTTGTTAGGCCTGAGGCAAAATTATAAGGGATAGAATGTTAATATTGAGTGCTGGGCTGGATATGTACATAGTTTTCTTATCGAATACAGTCATTCTCGAAATCGGCTTGACCGATACACACTCGATCACTCTTGGGAGTCCTCAGGTCCCGACCAGAAACTATTTCATATGGAGACCGGAATGAAATTGTTGCCGATAAGAGACTTGCCCTTCAAAGCAAATTTTATTATGCAAGCCTATTTGCAACTTGCTATTTCAGACGACAAGGAACCAAATATCCCATTATCCATAATTGGGCCACCTTTTAGTGGGCTTGTCGAGATCGTAGATCGACAAAGTGCCTCCCTATTATCCGCCAAGTCACAGACATGCCTGTTCAATTGGCATCGCTAGTCTACGAGCATTTATATAGGTGGGACCCGTTTGGACGATCTCATCCATCACATCTACGGCCATTTAGGTTGTGTGTTTCAGCGCCCATTATTATGATGTTGTTGCCCTGTGCTCCCAGACCGGAACAACTAAAGCGCACCCAAACATAGACCTCTAATAATTAACTTTCGTTAGCCGCAGAGAACTCCCGTCAGTGTTCATGAGATTTCGAAGCATGGTACCTGTTCCTGCTAGTGGGCGGATAGTGACCAACTACCCAGTCATAGGGCATCACTCCAAAGACCATACAAACCATTCCGCTTGATAATATCCTCAACATGCAAATCACGTAGACGAAACCCAACTCCCGCAGCCGAACATAACAACTCAAGTTCCACCTTGAAGTCCGCAAACTCCTCTAACATGGCAGGTATAGGACGGGGTTCAGCATTAGACTCCTCAGTTGACTGCTGGAAATGCATCCAGTTTCCCCTGACCTCTAAATAAGTCAGGTTTGGGCAGCGGTACTTCCCTCCAAAGAGCAGGTCTTTAAACGCCTCAGCTAGTTCAGTTGTATGCTCTGTATCTAGACCATCAAGGATAAGGCTTTCCAGCGATAGAGGCAAAACATCACTGAATCTATTCCTTGATGTCTCACTCCAGCATCGGTCCCAGTCTAGTATATGAGATATCTGCAGCCGAAGTTCCTTCAGCGCACTGAATCCCGCGAATGATCCGACGTGATCATAGTCGTGAATCTGGTAAGCGGTATAATTGTTGGTGCACTCGTCGGTCAGTGTTAACGTTTGCAAGGTTTCCCGATGTCTTTGCAATGGTGGGTAGTATCTCGACACGTACATCCCTTGATCATCCAGGTAATTCGGGTTATCGGAATGCTCAAAGATGAAAGACTCGAGGCTCTTGGGTGCGCCGATCAAATTCGCGAAGCCTCTTCGAGAACAACTGGACTTGAGGTGGATATGAGTGACATTGGAGTACCGAACATTGGCAGGCACGTAGCTGGCCGCATCGAACGCTTCATCTTCGGCATGTTCCTCATCAGAGCTACCACTATCACATATCATATGGCCACAAAAGCTTCGTAACGAGGGAAGTCGGAGTATTGGGAGAAAGTGCGATGAGCTGAGGCCACCATCTACATGAGAACACACGACTGTGAAGTGTCTTAATTTAGACAAACAAGAGCTTTCTTTTTCAGCGATCCTGGCCATCCACTCGAGAGTGTAGTTTGAAAAGTCATGAACCTGCAGGATCAGATCCTCTAGATTAGGCAAGAGGGCCAGAAGTAGGACAGTCCATGCGTCATTATTCCCTCGACCCTGTAGTTCCCAGTCCCATGTGGATAGATTGTCGCCGGGCCCCAGGGTTGATTTCAGAACTGGCAGGGTAACCTCCTGTTCATATCGCACGCCGGAAGTCGGCCACCGGGCATGGGAGACACGGAGAGTGCGCACTTCTTGCGCTAATGCCGGCTTGGATGCGAGTGTGTGCACCAGATGACTCAAGTGGCCATTGCGGTGCTCTATCAGGTCGAGCGATGTAAAGACTTTGGGTAACAAAAGTGGATAGAAGGCATGGCAACAGGAGGCGAGCCGCAGAGTATCCATGTGGCTATCAAGATAGCTTGCTATTGAGAGCAGCAGCTCTGCTGGTAACGTAGAGAGCATGTTTCTTTCTGAAAGGGGGGAAGGGTTGGGGGGGTTTCTGAGTTAAAGCATAGTGAACATGGTGTTTATGGTCGGTTAAGACAAGATTTTAGACATCGGCCGGCAGGCAGCACCAGGCATCCGATCCTTCGCCAAGCCTACATCCATCCTGCAAATTTTCGGTCGCACATGACCTAGCTCAATAAATGATGTACGCTAAGGTCTCGGCGGTGGGACCAGGAAAGAGTTTCTCAGTGTATGTTAGTCAAGGTGATTTCGAGAATGACTGTACAACATAGGTAGCCCTTTACATTCCAACATCAAAGGCAGTCGTATAATTTTCAGATTTATTGTTGCGCGGGGATTCTAGACTTGGGAGATTGAATCAAGTGATTCATATAGGAATCGGAGAGAAACAAGCCAGATATAGCTCAGCAAAATGCCTTATCTCGATTGGTATGGTATTAATCGTGGGAATGTAAGATGCCGAAGTGAAGAAAAGATCAAAACGTGCGCCATGTAGATCATCCAAGAACCCCTGAGTCATTAAAAGTCTAGTCTAACCCGAGAAAAAAAAAGAAACCCAAGAACATATCCATCGCCGTGCCATGAAACCGAAATCAAAAACTTTTGTGCGTCATCATAAGAAAAAAGAAAAAAGAAAAAGAAACACGCTAAATCGCTTCGCAATGTCGAAAAAGCGCTAACAGAATTGGAATACATGATGGAATTTCCGATCATTAGGAGATTGCCATCCGACAAGCTCCGGAGTTGTCGTTGAGACAAGCTGCTCAGTCAAATTTGCCAGCGATGATACTGCTGCAGCGGGACACGTTGGCGCTGGTAGGAGGCGAGGCACCGCGGCGCATGGTGTATCCATCTTCATCGAGCCACCACTTGGGGTAAGGGCCAGGAATGAAGTTGTCCTGGGCGTCCCAGCCAGCGACCCAGTGAATGCCATCGTCGAGGAGGAAAAAGCGCAGCTTTTCCGGACGGCCACCCTTGTGCAGCGGGGCATCGAACCAGCGGCAGCGTTCGTCCAATTCGGACTCGAACATGTAACGGTGGAGGATGCGACAGTAGACTAGCGCAGCAGGAACCTTTTCGTCGTTTTCACACCCATCCCGGTGGATGAGATGCCATCCGCGACCCGGGAGGAACTTGTATGTTCCCGGGACAGGGGATTCCCAGTGTTGTTCTTTGAGAGTGCTGTCGCGATCGCCCTTCTGGAACCAGTAGGTAGGGCAGAAGATGGCGCGCGCACAGAGGAAGAGGTTGGGCGCCATGATGGAGGATGGTATCAAGATCAGAAAGGGTATGTGCAAGGATGACTTGTCCACGAAGATCGGGGGAGAAGTGCAAGTTATAGAAACTGCACTGAAGTACAAAAGAATCTCAAGGGCTAGAGCGGGCTATAAGTCGACAGCCATAGCGAAAAAGAATAATAAAATGTCAGTCAAAATCCAAGTTGAGATAGGAATTTTTGACGGGTCTTCCGCGTTCACGAAAGCTCGGTGAAGGGCCCCTGAAGACTTTTTCGGGAGACAAAGGATGTGAAATGGCAAGTACAATTGGCACGGGGCTGTGATCTGAAGCAAGGACTGGTTGGGAATGTCCAATTCAAAGAGCACTGGCCAGACAGCAGGATGT